GTCGAACTTGGCGGGGGTGTTGAAACGAACGCTCCCCCCGCTGGGGGTCGCGATGATGCTGGCCGCTCCCAGGAGCGCTTGGACCTGGTTCCGGAGCTCGGCGACCATGCCCTTGTACTCCTCGGTGGTTCGGTTGAGGGCCAGGATGGCCTTGTCCTGCTTCTTGGTGTGTTCGATTGCGCCGTTGGCCCATTCTTGGAGTCTGGCCAGTTCTTCCTCAGTTGAGAGTCCGGGCTGGCTGACTTCGCCTAGTTCGTCCTCCAGGGTCCGGCCGTGGGTTGGAGTGACGGCCCGTCCTGCGGAGTCGGTTGACATGTTCGACATGGTTTATCTCTTTCTGGCGTTGCTGGCGCTCTGGAGGTACTCTTCCTCGTTCCAGTGGGTAAAGGACCGTCCGGAACAAACGTCGTCGTGGTTGATATATCGGAGGTTATGGCAGAGTTGGCAGATCTCTCCTACTTCCTTCCTGAGCTGGTGTCGATAGCAACGTCCGAGATAGACTGCTGGTTGTGCACACTCCTTGCAGCGCGCTCCCACAGGTGTTCTGTCCTGCGATGGGTTGGCGGTGCTTTGTTGGGTGTGTGCTGGGTTGTTGTTCATGACCTGTAACTGTGGTACCTGTTGTCAGTATTGCTCGGGGTGTACTTACCCGAACAAGAGCGATCAAAATGTCACGATCCGATCTCCGGGGTCAACCGTCTGATCGGCGCGGTGGGGTTTATGTTCTGGATAAGGTAGGTAGCGACCTCATGCAATACTGACTCCGTGCTTCTCGTGTTCTCGAGGGGGTTGTCGTTCGTGTCTCTTGCGAGATATCACACTCGGATCAATTGAGTGACTAGGTCAAGTGAAGGGTGAGGGTGATACTTAGATTGATCGCTGAAGTACAAAGGTAATGACTGTCTACAAGGAAATCCTTCTGGCTCTATATATCCTTTGTCCTTCATCGTGAACTGTGTTGCCGTGCCTTGGAACTGTCAGTTCTATCGGCGCACTGCGCAGTTCCTACTGGGACTGCGCAGTCCCACAGTTCTTGGCACAGTTCCACGGTCTTGGCGTGGTCCTGTCCTGGATGACTCATCATGGTGGCTTAGGTAATGTTTCTTGGACCCGCGTGCATGACCTGCCCTTGTCCCTGGCCCGATCTTGCGACCTGTTGGTCGGGTCGTCACAGATATGTGGATCGGAACATATCCAGCGATCCAAGGATATGTGGATCGGAACATATCCAGCGATCCAAGGATATGTGGATCGGAACATATCCAGCGATCCAAGGATACACCTCCTTGAAACCACGATGAAGGACAAAGGATATAATGCGAAGGATTCCCTAGATAGACAGTCATTACCTTTGTACTTCAGCGATCAATCTAAGTATCATTCTCACCCTTCACTTGACCTAGTCACTCAATTGATCCGAGTGTGATATCTCGCAAGAGACACGAACGACAACCCCCGAGACACGACAAGCACGGAGTCAGTATTGCATGAGGTTGCTATCTGCCTTATTCAGAACATAACCCCACCGCGCCGATCAGACGGTTGACCCCGGAGATCGGATCGTGACAGTAGGGCGCGGTACACGTAATATAGCGTACGTAGGAAATAGCCCACGATAAAGGGCAAAGGTCTAGGATATTTAATAGGAAGGATCCCCTAGATAGATAGTCGTTACCTTTACACTTCAGCGATTAATCTAAGTATTAGTTTTACCTACACTTAAACTAGTTACTCAATTGCCGAGACTAGTATCTCTTCTAAGAGATACGAACGATCACCTTGGATCACCACAGATCCAAGACGATCCAGGATCACTGGGGATCACCACAGATCCACGGTGATCCAGGATCGCGGCACAGGACAAGCGATCCAGAGCACGCACGATGAAGGACAAAGGATATATAGATGCGGAGGATCTCCTAGATACACAGTCACTACCTTTGTACTTCAGCGATCAATCTAAGTATCAGTTTCACCCACACTTGAACTAGTCACTCAATTGCCGAGACTGGTATCTCTTCCAAGAGACACGAACGACAACCCAGAGAGAGAACGACAGCAGAGTGTTAGTTGATCTTGCACAGGCTTTACCTATCTTGCAGAACAGCAACCCGAGCGCCCTGCCAGACGGTTGACCCCGGAGGCAGGATCGTGACACCCGACTCCCATGCCCGCTAAGACTAATTACCCATTAGTGTGCTAGTTAGCACGACTCTTGGTCAAAATCAGAGGTTAACTTGCTCGCGTGTTTGAGAACTGTCTGCCCCTTCTAGAACTTGCCTTATCGCCTAACTATCAACATCTGAATAGTATCGTTGATTTGTTTCGGACCACAGTATGGTTTCATGTAGCTTACTAGATTCGTCAAGAGAAATTTAGCTGTCATGGCGTCTCAATGGTAAAGTCGATGATGCTCCATAATTGCATTGCTTCAAAAAACAACTTGAATGAAGAAAGACATTCCCCGACTCCAGTCAACAGGTCGAAGACGGCCCCTTGTGTCTTCCTGACTCATCAATACCGTAGTTCTCAACACTCAGCCATTAAGTTGCGCATCGACATCACGAAGCGCGCGTCGCGCACGCTCTCGATGGTATTCCTCTGGATCATACCCCAGTAAAGCCCGCCGCTCTGCATCGAGAATTATGTGTTGCTGTTGTAGATATTGTTCCACCTTGGCTTTTGCCTCTTTTTGTTTCCTCTTTGTTTTGGAATTCGCCTTGGATGGCGCCGGGTCAGAGGTGGACTTGGAGTACCTGTGACAAAAATGATATCAGATGTGGCAATTTGCCGAATGTCCATTTGCGCTTACCTGTGGTCGAGGACCTGGGTATTGTCTGTAAAGTCTTGCATCTTTGTTTACAATGGTATGTGCCGGTCCGTGTGTGTTTCTGGGATGTTTCAATAGGAGCTGTTGTGCAATGGTTGTGTTGGATACAAGACTTGCAAGAATATGTTTACCATCGACCCGATATATTTATGTGATGATATCCATGCAATGTTTTCGCACTGGAAGCCTCTTCAGGTATCAATTGAGACAATGCGAAAACATCAGCGCACAACACGAAAGGGCAGTGAGCGCACATATGTGCCTTACTTGTCTTTAGAGACAGACTGTTTACGGCTTGTTGTCCAGCTATTCATATCACTTCCGTGAAACAATCCGCTATGCGGCCCCGGCATGCATCTGCACTTTGATGCAGAGTGTCTCACATACCCATGTCCACGTCTCTGCCGCTCCTGCAGCCAGCCACTCAGCTGCTCCAGGCTTTTCATTGGACACATCGGCAGTCATTCCAACCCTCAGGCCTGGGAGGGTGCGGCTGTGCGGGCAGGGGTTAAGGCACAGCTGTGCCTTAACTGAGCTGACAGAAATGCCTCTGTGCTCCTGCTTGTGATTTTCGATCTCTCTTGTGCACAACCCCTCGCAAGCCCGACTGCCGCCTCGGGGACAGCTGTGCGTTGAATATGATTTCCCTTTGACGCTAGCCCCTTCCAAAACCTTCGCTTCGAGATGGGGAGAACCCAGGGAACCCCAACCCACGGCTCGCCGTCGCCTTTTGGCGCTGCCTCTTCCCCGCTGGATGATGCCCATCAATTAGGTTGGCAGAGTCCCGTACGCCGACGGGGCAGCTTTTATTCACCCCACGACCAGTCAAGAGAGACGACGGGAAAGGGGTGGTCGACGCCTTCTCCGCGTGGGAAACATTACCTCCTGCCCACGTCGACATACCAAGATTCGCCAGCAGAGCAATACTTTCCCACCCATCGTCGATCATCGTCGGTGACCTCGGTCAAACGAGAGGCTGACCATGCCCAGCATAGACAGCACCAAGGGGCTGAGTCTTGTTCGGCTGCTGTCATTTCCAAAGACCCCGCGCCGACAGCCAGGCCGAGCAAATCCTACCATGACGGAGCTTCTGCGAGTGTGCCAGCGCATGAGTCTTCAACTGACATCGGAAATTGCCTCGACGAACAAAGATTCGATCCCGAGGACCATTATAGCGAAAATGACATTTATGGCGAGATATTCACAACGGAGACGAGTTGTCCCAAGAATGAGGAGGATGACAACCCCCCCGACGAACCGGGAGCTTTACTCCCAAGTCCTTGCACGGCTGTGGCGCCTGATCGGATGGACATCGACAAAGATGAGGGAAAGAACAACAAAGAGCTGCAAGAAAAGTCCTCTTTACTGTCCGATCCAGACAGAATGCCCACTTTTCCTGCATCGTGCGAAGCTCAACCCAAGCCAAGGACGAGTCACTCACGGACCGCTGGCCGACGGCCACCACTTTACTATTGGCCCGCCACACGATCGCCACGATTCTACCACGCCGACCATCGCTATTATGAGGCTAATGACCACGCCTTTGGTTCGAGACCTCCCAACTTCGCAACCGGCGGTAGATATTCATACCAACCAGACAATCCATACGCGGACTATGAACTAGACCCGAGAGTTCGACCTTCCACATACAGAACCTATGGCTTCGACCGAAATAAGTCCACCTCTCAAACCCCACGACATTCACGCCGTCCTGCGCACGGCTATGGGTACACGCCAAACACATACATATCTCATGGCAGTGCAGCATCGCGGCGCCCCAGGAACGCATCATCCCCACGCAAGGCGCCAGCTCCCAAAACCAGCAAAGCGACCGAGGTGGACGCCCGTCGCCACCAGATACCAACGGGATACTCCCTACGAAATTGGGACCCCGACGAAGAGCCCATCTTGCTGCTGGGTAGTGTCTTCGACGCCAACAGCCTGGGCAAGTGGATCTATGACTGGACCGTGCACAGTTATGGTGCCAGAACCCCTCGAAGCGAGGTGGCTGGAGAGCTCTGGCTTCTGTTAATACAGACCGCCGGGAAAATCAAGCGAGCGGAGGAGACGATCTCATGTGTCCGCAAACACGAAGATTGAGAACTCCTCGAAGATTTTATCGCGGCTGGCGAACGATGCATGGACAGACTCCGTAGCCTGCTGAAGCGATGCGAGAATCCGATGCTGAAGGCCTTCAATGGACAGAGGAGCAAGGAGGAAGAAAAGAACGATGTGACCAGTGGAGAGACATCCCAGCAAGACCCGGAGCGTATGCTGGAGGGGAACACGTCTGATACTGTACCGACTCAAGTGACGGCATCTTCTTCGACGTCAACGTCAACATCAATGTCGAACTCCGCCGAGCCTACAGAATCGACACAGTCACGCTCTGAGAAACCACAGCTTGGCTCGAACGCAGGCAAGGCATTCATCGAGACGTTGTTCGGGATCGACCGTGAAATGGACCGGACAGAACGCCTGATGCAGGCGATGAGACTGTGGAGCTTGCGTTTCGACGCATACTGTGAGGAAATAGTCCGTGATCCAACTGCTTCTCGCCGGATCGTTTTGAAGGGTAAACAAGAAGAGGACATTGCTGCACCGGCGCCTCCAAAGGCAAAGGCAGAGACCATTGCACCAGACACGACCAGCAAGATCCCGGCCGCGAGGAGCATTACCACGGTCGGTTCTGCCAACAGGGGATCGAAGCCAAAGCCAGGAAAGCCCGCCTCGAAGCGACAAGATCCAGATAGCGATGGCTCACCAGCCATACCTGGCACCGTGGTCAGCTCGGATGAAACCGACGATGATGGAGTCGTGGACTTTTTACCCTTCTCCAACGCCGGGGGTGAAACTGAACTGCCCGCCGACCATCCTTTCCAGAAGAGCATTGCGAGACTTTTGGAGATTGCAATCAGTTCCTACTGGCGAGCACACGGTAGTGGAAAGAGCGACCGGACTCAAGCTGCGCCGACAAAGCGAAAGCGAGGGTCTGACAACAAGAGCAATGACAACAACAAAAACAACGGCAGTAAAGGTGGCGATGGGCCATCCAAGAACAACAAGAAGGGCAAAGAGGCTGCCGGAGACAATGATGACAACGAGGAGGAGGAGGACGACGACGACGACAAGGGTAGAAAGCGTGCCCGAGGCACAGACGGATCAACCATCCTGACCGACCCCAGCGACGCGAGCCCACTCCTCGCATGCCCATACTACAAGCACAATATGGTCGCCAACGAACGATGCCTACTAGTACAGCTCCGATACGTCAAAGACGTCAAACAGCACCTCCGTCGAAGCCACGCTCAGCCTTACTACTGCCCTATCTGCGGACACGTCGCCCCTTCCCAAGCAGGTCTCAACGAGCACCTCATCGCCCGCACGTGTGAGCGCACTCAGTTCATTGCGCCATCGGGTGTGACGGAGGAGCACAGGCTCAAATTCACCGAGCGGGTCGGGCGCACGCTAAGCTTGGCGGAGAAGTGGTTCACTGTGTGGGACATTTTGTTCCCGGATAGCCCGCGGCCCGAGTCGCCGTTTGTGGACAGTCCCGTGCGCGAGGTCTGCGCGGAGGTTGTGCGCTGGTGGGATCGGCATGGGAGGAGGATTGTCTCGACTGTTATTCGGTCTGGTGATGTTGGGCCGGTGCCATACGAGCAGATGCCGGTTAACTATGAGAGGGATTTGGCTACTACGTTTGTGACTGTGGGGAGGAGGACTCTGGAGAGGATCATTGAGAGGATGCTAAGAGGTGGAGGTGGTGACAGCGACGATGGTAGCGGCGATGACGTGGTCGGCACAGGTTTGGCAAGGGAGGAGGGTGGAAGTGGGAATACGGGCCCGGGATCGTCGTCAGAAGCTCTTTCATGTTCGACAGGCGTGACGAGAAACAAGGCCTGGGATTCGTCAAAGACAACAATCACCACTATCGAGAACTCGAGGACGGACCCCGATGGTGTCTTCCGACAATTCGATAAGCCACCGCATCAGGCACAAACCCCCTCAATAGTTCCTGAGACCGCCGAATGTAGCTTCCCAATACCTGGGAATACTTCATACGAGTCGAACATTGCGAAGCACATAGTCATGGTGGAGAGTGGTTGTGGCCAGACTTGGGCGTCAATGTCCCGCTCGAGGGAAGCGAGTTTGATATGTGGAACAATCCCTACTAAAGCTAAAAGAGCGCATAGAAAACAGGGCCGCACTTTCTTCACGGTCATGTGGCCGCTTGTGGGTGCGACCAAAATTAATGCACTGATCTATTGAGAGATACCTCGGGATAATGGGCGAGGGTGTGATGATCGACCATTCTGTCTTAGGTTCAAAATCATGTAGTCATGCTCTCGGATGTACTCCACGAATCTGGCGGCGTCCTAAAAAGGCTTAGCGTGGGTAGCCCTGTCTGCAACGCCATCGAAGCATATATAAGGATGACCATTTCCCATGCTTTCAACCAACACCACTTCTGCCGTCACTACATGCTTCACATGAACCCCTGTAGCTGAAATATCATATACTTGTTATTTCAACAGCGTCATTTCCCCTCCCAATACTCGAATTGACCTGTTACTATTCCCATCAACTCGCTGGCACCATGGCGGGCGAGCCACGAGTAAGTACTACTCGAACACTCATATTTGCTAATACGCTGATGATTCAATTGAACAGCTCCAGAGCCCGACGACGCCCCAAGCCGTTACAGACAGACAGCGCATGATTGAAAATATGTCTGTATACGATATCCTTGGATCGATGAAGAAGGCTCCAGCTGGGCAAGGCATAGATGCCTTGGGCTACGATGGTGTGCTCCGTAGGTTTGATGGCGAGCGGAATGTGGTTGACGCAGTCGGCCTGAACCCAGCCCAAATCAGAGAGTATTACGATGAGCTCCCGTTGCCCCCGAGGTTTCTCACCGCCGACGGCCGCAACATTTCTCATTGGGATATGCTCCATCCTGCGGCAGAGAATGTTCCTAAGAAAATTTCAGAGGAGGACAAAGCTAGAATTTTAGCACATAACGAGGAGTTGGCTAGGCGCGGCGTCTTGAGCTGCGTCTCGAGCAAGTAGGAGACCACGGTGAATCAAGGCTCTAGATGGTCCCTTCATTAATCTTCAAAGACGTTCGCGATTAAATCATGGCAATCAAGTCAACCCGGATTCACGCAGATGTATTTGCCGAGTGCCATTTCTGCGCGAGCACTGCGACTCAATCACAGTTGTCACTTGCCATGTCTAGCTTTGCCTGCTGATGCAGCAGTAGGATAATCTCGGGACAGCATGGCAGCGACTGGGGCAGACTGCCCCGGAGAGGCATCACCCTCGTTCTTGCAGTCGACCAGTCGTCCTTCTTCCCCAGGAGAGGCATGCACATCACATACTTTAGGGCTCACCCGAAAGTCTCCAAACTTGGTGCCGGTCGTCGGCACATCGGAAATGCCTGGATGGTCCGATATGCATGCACACTGCATGTTGCGTACGCGGGCGCTTAGCTCGGACACCACCCTTGCTGTGCTTGCTTATCACGACAACCAGCAACAACAGCACTAGAGGCTATTCATAGTCGTCCCACTAGAGTGCTATGTTCGGAGACGATCATGAATGGCGGAAAATTTGGCGGTCTTCCGTGCGAGACGCAGCAGACACGCGGGCCAACATGCAGGTTTTCGACAGGGTTTCAACAGCTGCCAACCCGCCCCCTTTCCTCATTGAAGCCGGCACATCTCCGTGTATTACGATGAAAGCCGACGATGAAGTCTTATATGGCAAGGGCCAAAGGGATAAGCGCAAGAGATCACTATAAGTAGAGCAGATTTCTCCCATCCGCTGTACCCCGAGATGATCTTAACCTCAGAGCTAATCGAAATAGCCAACACTTTCCCTGTTATCTCACCAAAGAACAACAACAGCCCAACGTCGAATATGCAGACCAACCTCTTTACAATCTTGGCAATCGCTACCGCCATCTCGACGGTGCAGTCCGCCCCCGTCGAGTCCGCAGAGGGCGCGGTCACTCCGCTAGCCGAAGGCACTCAGCCTGATGAGGCTCACATCCATGATGCCCTCGCCAGCGATGTCCATGCAAACGAGGTTCAGGTCAACGAAGTTCATGTCGATGATGCTGATGTTGATACTGCAGTACGTCCAACTTGAGCAACTCAAGCTCGCGCAGTCCTTTGATTTGCTTCCCCAAAGGCTAACACCGAAGATCCGTTTTCACAGACTCCGCAGCAGATCTGTAACAGGGAGGAACTTCCTCATATCAGCACAAGAGGCGAGGAGGGTAACATCTTCGCGCGATCGTGCAGAGGGTATAGCTGCTGGTATCCCGAGCAATGTGTCTCATGGGGATGTCGTGGATGCGGTCTTTACTTTGACATGTGCGGCAACTCATGGAATGCGTGCTATTAGCGTTTGGGCGAGACATCTTCATATGCATGTAAGAGGAGAAGCAAGGATCATGGCATAGTGTATTCTGCGATACAATCTCGAATCAAAGAAGATATTTCCCAGATTTCGGCAATATGGTTCATGCACTATCCGCATCCCATCTAGGCTTTCCTGGGTTACATTGACGAGTTCGGTCGACCTAATACCGCGGCTTGGTAATATAAGCTCAAGGCTTATCGTGCATTAGTATCTTGGGATTTGCTCGCTCCGGAGAGGACCTCGTGAAAACCCTCTCACGTTGATCTACTTGAATCCCTCTCCAAGCCCCGCCCGGCGGGGGCCACCGGACTCTCATGTGTTAAGCTTTCTGCTAGAACGAGCTTTTGGGAAGCGGGGAGCCACATCCACAGGCAAGCAACCAGGGCAGGGCCTGCTCCCAGCAGACTCCTGATGCATGTGAGGTGATGTGGCATGTAGCCTTTTGTTGGCTGACGACTTCTTCGTAAAGGTGTCCACCGCTGCATATGACGCGGCCCAGCGTGCATATTGGTGCACAGATGCGCCAATTCACTTAAGGTGACATTGAAGCAGCTCCTGACCCCGTCCAATCTGTGTAATCGAAGCTGTCGTCGGTGGTGTACCCGGCCAGGTATGGAATTTTGAGTATTCATCCTTCTTGGTCAGCACGCAAAGTTATACCCATCTGTGCCACTTATCATTAGCCACTTATCTTAGGCAGGCGTACAGCTAAACTTTCTGTCCTGCAGCCAATGGCTGTCTGTTTGAACTAGACTAGAGTAGGAAGGGTTTGAGGAGTAAATGCCCTTCTGCAGAGAAAAGATTCTCATAACTCTTGGATATATACAGGCTCAACCGAGACGCTCATACCGCTTGCCTTTCTGGTTTGATCAATCAGGCTGCTCCGCGGCACTACCTATGCAGCAGCAGAGTTTTTCCGGCAATGGAGACGTGGAAATGGATGCATGTTGGTGCTCCACGTCGTCACCAACCACCCTGCGCGGCTGCCAAAGCTCTGCGGGGTTCTCAGCGGAGTGAGGATAGATGCAGTAACTCTCCTGCACAGCTCTGTTGATACATTGGTAGGTCTCATCACCCATTCCATTGTCGCTACTTTGCCCAATTTCCAGCCTGATTTCTTAAAACTATACCGGAAAGATGACCTCACCTGCAGAACCAGTGCTAGACTGTTGCCGTTCCGACTGGGTCGCCAGCAGTCAGCAGTCATTCACTCTTTATCATGCTGGTGCGAGACTCTGGCGTCAAGAAGACCTAGTAGATATCGAGCAGCAGTTGGAGCATGTCAACACTGCCGAGACCTTTACGTTGCGTCGTGTCGATGGCTCGCATATCAAAATCAAGAACCCCATGCTTGGCGTCGAAAATCCAATCTGGTCAGTGTTTCAACATGCCTACCGAGAGATCTAGCTAGTCAAGACTTCTATTGCGTGTGGTCCTCTGAGGCTCCTTGTATTTTCACTGATTTCAGACACCGACAGGAAGCCATTTGTTCGTTTTCGCGAGTACTGGTCGCTGGTCCGCAGCAGGCCAAGGAACCTTCCCCCGGAGATATATGGTTGCTCGTATATTCTGGAATGGGAGAACATGAGCATTGAGGAATACAGAGGCCCGCACCCTGATTGCGAAGCATGGTTTCGCTCCTATCGTGAGACCTGGCAAGCCAGTGCCACATGCCAATCGGTGAAAACCCAAATCACCCATATTTTGTCGTCGGAACCAGGAAAGACTGTGAGCAAGGTGGTCTGCTTTGGACTTGGTGATCTCACCTTCAGGTCACCGGACTGGTGGCACATTCAGAATCGCGAGCGGCCAGAGCACGAGCAGGAGACTGAACATGACTGTGCTCTGGATAGTTCCGTGCACCATGCAGTTGCCCTCACTTTGAAAGAAGCTGTCACAGCAGCGAGTCGCACTGAAGTAAAGCTGGTCACCCAAGACCCCAGTTACACGGCAGAGTCAAAGAGCATAGTTGGGAGGGTGGCCCCAGAGTTCGAATTTGTCGGCCGCCACGGGGCTGGGGGTTTCTCTGAACTCAGTGACGACTGTGTCGTGTTTGCGCCTTTCGTGGCTGCGCCAATCAATCAGATCATTGCCGATTTGGCGAGACCAGCTGTGATAATTACCAGCAAGGTCGACGAACTGGTAGTTATGACTTTGAAACAGTAAGTGTACATAGCTACTTGCACTGGCGGCTTCTTGAGTTGAACGACGACATGCTAACAGTATGCCCTCTTGTTGGGAAGGGTTCCTCGAGGTAACCCAGAATCTCCAAGGTCCAGAGAGATGTGGAAGGAATACACGATGCAGGACTTTCCGCTGGTGAAAGAGGAGGAAGATACACTAAAAAGCGGTTTGTCGCAGCTCAAAGTTTACACGAGGAAGGCAGTATGACGTACAGCGTCGAGTACGTCCGGTATCCTGAAAAGGATGTGATGATCCGTGAATCACAATCGACTCGATCATAATAATTGAGCATACCATAGATACGGATTGGGAGACGGCAGCGGCGATTTCCCTCGTCCTAAGTTCTTGAAATTAATTGCCTTCGCAATGGACCTTTATTCGAAGTCATTTTCTCGCTCCTGCATACAAATCCGGCTTTCTGTCACGGCTGACCAGGGGAGGCACTATAAGGTACTGGAAGCACCTGGGTAATTGCCGACCATTGCGATTATTGCCTCATCTTTTGCTCTATTGGTATATCGTTCTGTCATAGGTGCCAGACCGTAACAAAGTGATTTGGCGGAATCATCACTGGCTTCTCGGTTTTCGGGCGCATCCAAACGTCAAGAAGGAGAAGTTGCTACCTGCCGCCCAAAGTTTCTTGCCACAGACTCTGCAAACCACTCTCCGACAGTAATGGGAGGGCTGGCATCTGTCAGAAACTCGTCCGAATAGACAGAATGGGCAAACTCACTATTTCTTCTCTGGGCCTTGTAGCAGAAAGTCCTTCCTCCCCTGGTTGAAGTATGCGATAGAGTATCGGGAGGGGGACTTCCCAGTGTCTTTGGCTCGCACGCGGTGGAAGTTACTCTTGAGACGGTCATCTGACCACGCCACTGTAAGACTTTTTGTTAAAACAGGAGTCCGGAACCACCTCTAGTATGCTTGGAGAAGATAGAAAGAGAGAGAGAACTAACTCAACATGTCACCAATGTTGACAACAATAGGTCCTGTCTTTGCAGGCAGTGGTGTGAAGGTATCTCCCATGCCAAAACTCGTGTACGACTCTCGACCTGGACAAATCTCGAGGCCATCCTCACCGTCGCGTTGAAAGAGGAGAGTTAAGCACCCGATATCAGTATGGCTGCCAGCTCTCCAAGTGCCGACTGCATTCTCGGAGGGAGGGTAGTGTATTAGACGGAGCTGAGTCATGCAGTCTGCTCGCGTCACGTCGTTGGCGGTAGTGAGGTGGCCTTCAGGGAACCCGAGTGCTGCCGAAAAGCACGAGACTGAGATTGCTGTGAGCGTTTGGAAGGGACAATGGGATATCAAAGCAAGTTTGACTTACGAACTTGGTTTGAGACGCTGGCGCACTTGGCCATGAAGTGTTCGGTTGTTTTGCGAAACTCGGGCACGTCGGTATCACTTGGCCATTGGGAACTACGCATCAACCATAGAGACTCCTTCTGGTCGTATGTTCCCGTGCTGGGCCGGAGTTGGGCCTGTTGGCAATCGAGTGTGAGTTTTAGCGCAACCTTGTACTGCAAAGCCAAAAGGACAGGGCCGCACCTTGTATTCCCAGCCATTATTGGTCTTTCTGTCGTGAGGCGTTCTCCCCTTGACTTCAGCAGGCAAGTCGAAGAACGTCTTTGAGAGAGCAAACTGGGCCTCGATTTCCTCAACGCTTATGCCATGATCTACGAGGGTGAAGAAGCCTGCAAACTCTGCAGCTTCAACTAGCTGCTTCGTTATCTCTTCTCGACGAGCTTCAAAGTCTACCAACCTCTTAGCATTGCATTGACTAAATCAATTTGGAGGACTTGTGGGCATACCTCTGAGAGAAATCACAGGGACCAGTCTATCAGCCATTATCGTAACGATCAGATGTGGGGGAGGCAGGCTCGATAGGCTAGTTCACATATCCAGTCGCTCCAAGGCAGCTTGGGTCAATTCAGAAAACGATTCTTATCTACATCTATAAACTGAGCTTCGATGCGCCAACCTGCCGTATCGCTATAAAAATATGCTAGGATGAACGGCCCCTTCGTCGATAGCCGGCATTAGTACAAATCGCCGCGCTAGAGTGATTGCCGAGAGTTGGAGCTGCGCGGATGATTGAATGATAGGGTGCTGATTAGGGGCTGTGGAGGCCGCCCCGCCTCTTATCATGAGTGGATCAAGATACTCTCGGCTATGTTCCCCCCCTCTCTTCCTTGTGAGATCCATGAACCTGGGTATCTAATGCACAGCCATGCATATGAACGAACACCACTTTGCACTGGACTGGCCGCAAGACCATGTGTAGATAATATTGGCCGGGCTGTCGCGCACTTGCAGCTCTCATCGATGTGGTCTCCCGCCCTTAGCAGTACAACGGACCATTAAACATGTCGCAACCAGTTTCGCTTGAAGAGAAGAAGAAGAGGGATGCCGTAAAGGTATTTTGACCAAGCTCGACCATCTTTCCCCATCCATCAGGCTCAACTTATTGACGAAGTGATATCTAGGGGGACGTCGAGAGCGTCATGGCTGGCTCGAGCGAGACGGTGCCCAAAGACAAAGCTCTTGAACTCCTGGCGAACCACAATGTTGAGTTCCACGCCGACTCGCCCGAGGCCAAGCGCGTGCTTCGCAAAATTGACTGGAGAATCATGCCCATGATATTTACCGTCTACCTCTTGCAGCTTATGGTCAGTGATTGTCCTCTTCAGGAACAACCCGATGCGTTCCACATAATACCTAACACAACTTTTATCTGTGCGCAACAGGACAAAAACAGCCTCTCATTTGCTGCCATCATGGGAATCAGGAACGACGCAAACCTCACCCCGGCGCAGTATTCGTGGCTAGGTTCTATCATCTAGTACGTACTTGCAGATCTCGGTAACTCCATGTCACCAGTAAATTCTGTTCTAACAACGTTTTCCATAGCTTCGGATACCTCGCAGGGGAGATTCCAGCCACGTATCTAATGCAACGCGTCCCCTTAGCAAAATATGTGGCCATTATGTCAATGCTCTGGGGAATAGTTGTGGCAATGCATGCCGTCTGCCACAACTTTGCCAGCCTGGCTGCTGTCCGTTTCCTGCTCGGCTTCATCGAGGTGTGCGTCGCCCCGGCATCCATCTATATCACTGGATCGTGGTACACCAAAAAAGAGCAGGTTAGCCGGGTTGCGATTTGGTATACAACCTCGGGATGGGCCGCCGTGTTTGGCGGTCTTTTCGCATTTGCACTCAATCAAGCTCCGACTTTCAAGTGGCAGGGATTGTTTGTGCTGTATGGTGCCCTCACCTTTGCCGTTGGAGTCATCTGCTGGTTCTGGCTAGCCGTGTCCCCGACCGAAGCGGCGTGGCTCACCGAGGAAGAGAAGATCATCGCACTGGAACGCGTCCGAGAGAACAAGACGGGAACCGAGGTGTGGAAGTTTAGCTTGCCACAGTTGAAAGAGGCGTTCTGCGACGTCCGCTTCTACATGATCTTCTTACTGCTGGTCTCGACCGGCCTGCCCAATGGAGGGATCACCGCATTTGGTAGGCTCCAAGACACCCCTGACTACTTGTCATCAACTCGAGCTGATCATTACTCTGCTGCAGGACCGACTATCATTAATGGATTTGGCTTCAACATCAACCAGACCACATTGCTAAACATGGGATCTGGCTCGGCGCAGGTCGTGGGCACGTTCGTGGCACTTTTCGTCGCAAAGATGACAAATCGTACCATTGCGGGCATATACACGCTCGTCTTGGCCATTGTGGGCGTTGTCATGATGTTGACGATTCCTGCGGAATACAATGGTGCTCGTTACGGCGGCTATACACTAACGATGCAGTGTAAGTGCTTTCTCTGTACGAATGTAGCTGGTGCATCCTCAGCAATCTAACAAGGAGCCTAGTTCCTATCTGTGTCCTGTTCATCATAACATTCATGACCGCCGGCGTTGGTGGCTCAACCAAAAAGTTCGCTTTCGGAGCTGCATACCAGCTTGGCTATTCAGTGGGCAACATCATCGGCCCCCAGACGTTCCAGGCTTATGACGCGCCAAACTACTATGTGGGTTGCCCTGGAACGAGACAACTCCTGAGCGAGGCTGTGTGTACTGACTGGAAGATAGGTTGCCAAATATACCATGCTTGCCTTCCTGGTCTTCACGGCAATCCTCCTGGCTGCCATGGGTCTGCTACATAGGTTTTGGAATTCAAGGAGGGACAAAGAGCAGGACAATCTTCCCACTGAGCACGTGGAGAATGAAGAGTTTGCAGACCTCACAGATTTCCAGCTTAGATCATTTAGGTATCCTTTGTAGTTGCAGAACGCGACCGGGTGTGGGATATCAAGTTTTGGTGAAGAGACTGCACTTTCAAAATTCCTGACGACACACGAATCAAGTACGTTTTAGTTTAGTCTGTTGAGTGGATATAAATTAGTTTTGCTCGCCCGCGAATTGTCTACGCGTACGCAGCTCGTTGTTGTCGGCTGCATGAACGCCGCGAAGCTCACAGCAATTGGGGAGAGCGCGACAACATAAGCCGGGCAACTCAAGGCCGCCTGGGTAACATGTGGCAGCTATCGGAAGAGGGGGGTATGGCCTTTGAAGTCACATCGAGTGAACTCCCTTACTCAAGTCGCGCAAACGAGCCGTCGCCCTAGGTGGTGCACGCCGGGCACACGATGAACACTCCAATATAGAGCTCGCGGTCCCTTGGAGTGTGGCTCGACTGGTAACTCTGCTGGGGGGGGGGGGGGGGGGGAAGGGGTGAGCGTCAAGCGCACAAAGACGAAAACGAAGACACGGACAGTTGCATGATGCGCCTGGCAGCGACTCTGTGGGGATGTAGCTTCGGCCGCGTGCGCTGGATCTACAAGGTCCAGTCTGGCATTTGATCACGCCCTGCGGCCCGAAAGCGATGGGGCCGAGCAGGGATTTCGCTTTAACCCAGGGAGAGTGCCTTTGGATCGTCTGGGGAACCCCGTGTTCGACCCCAGTCAAACACCTTGAAGTCGAGGTGGCGATTCCGCCGGTGCACCTCCAACTCTCGTACCTCACAGCGCGCTTCGGGAACAGCTCAAGGTGACCGCTGCGGAACAATATTGTAGCGCAAATTGAATCTAGGGCTCCACCTCTAGCCTGAGATTATATGCCTTGACAATGTGCGAATTATCTAATGATGTTGTTCTCCTTCATTTACAATCGCGACGTTTTGGTACCTTTCACCAACACACTACATCGCAAAACTTAGCCAACAAGTACTTGCCGAATCCTCTGACAAGAGGTTTCCACACTCACTCATTGTTCCCCAAGCAGTCCCGAATGAACTCGAGGATCTTATCTGCCTGCGCACTGTCTTTAGTGCCGATAGAAAGGATGTTGCTAACAAACAGTCAGCCTTGACCTGATTTCAGCTAGCAGTGGTTCCAAAAACGAAAGACGCCCACCTGAGATGATTGTGTTTCTTCAGCACATGAACCACGGGCAGTGTTGCCATGGGCCGACTTCGAGCTCGGTACGCATTGAAGAACCTGACCATGGCATCCGTAGTCTCCGGTCTAGTACACTGTGTTAAGCCACCTATAGAGCAATCTTAACAAGGACTCTAACTCACATTTCCCATTCCACCGAACCTACGAATATTGGGAATCTTCTAGAGTCCCTGAGATGTTGTTAGCCCAATAAGAAGGCTCAAAATATCGTGGCGCGGACAGGCTTACAGAACGGGCGACTCGTCTGGAAGGCTCTCGAACAAGCCTAGGGCTGACTTCGGCTACGAAAGAAATTAGTCCCGTGGCCTGAAAGGACGAAATTTTAGGCAGCGTACTCCCCAGACATCTTCTTCGTCAGACCCGTAATAATTTCTCAGTGTCTTTGCACGCACAGGCTTTCGTCGGTCATACCAAAACGGGACATCGATGAGGATCAGACCGGCCACTGGCGGAGACAGAGGCTCCTGTGGAGCCCTTTGCTTGTCACCTTGACTCCTAGTCAGATCAGTCCGTTCATGTCTGCAAACTGCCGGGGGGGGGGGATGGCATACCTGCAGCGAAGAGGTTCATGCAGAGGTGAGCGCCTCCCGATGAATGACCAAAAAGGAACACTTTCTGTGTTGACCCTCGGCCAAACTTGTGAGATGAAATGTTATCAAACACCCACTGGCGGATGAGTTGCATATCATCCGCGCCGCCGGGGTACTGAACGTCGGGAACTAGCCGATGATTCGCCACAACGGTAATGGTTTCCTTTTGTGCGAAATGGTATCCAACATTCGAGTAGACCTAAATATTCCGTGTTAGCCAGTGCTAGGAAGGGAACAACCTATACAATCAGAACTCTGTCTTACCCTTTCATTCCATTGCTTGTCTCCAGAGAAGAAGCCGCCCCCATGGATGTAGACGAGCACCGGCTTCTCTGTTCCATCGCCCGACGGAACAAAAACATCGAGCAGATTCCTCTCTGCCGGGCCGTACCGCTGGTCACGATATACGCTGATGTCCTCTGGAACAGGAGGGTACAAGGGCGTGTACATGTCTCGCCATTTCTGATCCGATGAGCCAAGAGCGTTAGTATTGTAGGGCTGCTATTAACCATGGATTTCTCTACAACCTACCACATCATCCGTTGGGCCGAAGTTGATTGTGTCTCTAGCAATAGCGGCGAAAATGTCGTCCATAGCTACGGATGCTTCGAAGCCAATCGGCGTGATTCTCGTCCGCTGTACCAGAGCCTCCCGAGGTGCTTGACCGAACTGTAACAATAGAACATCGTCTAGGGTCAGCGGTCTCCTGGCTTGTGTCGTGCGGGTCCGTTGCGCGAGGGTGTTTATGTAAGCGGTATCTTATGGGCCCCGGATCAGTTAACCCGACACAGGGGCAGGGGTGTTAGCCGAGAGGTCAATGTGGTTGCGGCTATCAGCCCAGCCACCAGTTCAGCCGAGCACCGGAGCATTGACGGGGTCGCCATTGGTCGTCTTAGGGCGAAAGATGAGCATAACCGACGCGAAGTCAAATTTTTAATTTCCCGCGCTGCAGAAACCACTATATTGCATTCGTGTACCTGGCAGGTGAATGGTCTATTATCCAATACCCCAAAGCGGCTTGCCCCGGAGAGTTGCTGGTCGCGGAAAATGTCATTCAGGTAAGCCACACAAGAGTTAACATCACCGATTTCTGTGATTGCAGATGCTAAGAAAGACGGTCCAGTGTTTCTGAAGTACGGCGACATGCATCTCGCAAAAGCTGTTGGATTATCATCGACAACACTGTCTACGATGTGACTGATTTTGTAGACTTACATCCTGGTGGTGCTCGCATCCTTCTCAATTACGGAGGACGAGATGCGACGCATGCATTCGCCCCAGTGCATGCTCCGGACACTCTTACCAAGCACTTAACTCCACAGTATGTCATTGACTCGGGAAACACTCCTTTGGCCGTGATGGCAGTCTAACAAGCACGATAGACAAAGGCTCGGTACAGTCCTCGTAGCGGAGCATAAACCCAATCACGTCGTTGCGACTGGGAAACCAGCACGCAAAGGTCCGAAGTTGTCGTCTATCTTGAGCGTGTCGGATTTTGAGCGCGCTGCTTCAGACAAACTCCCTGCGAGGTCATTTGCGTGTAAGTATAGAAACAACGTTCATAAACGTCAACACAAGAGACTTACAGTTCGAGGCCAGTCTTCAAAAGTGGTGCTGAGGATGAGGACTCGTCAGCTCGAAACCTGCAGAGCTGGAAAACCGTGCAATTCAGGCCACGAGTTCTTCGACCAATACCACAAATTGACACGAGGCGCACCATCCTTGGACACGAGTTTTCTGCGCCGTTCTTCATCTGCCCCGCAGGCGGTGGGAAGCTGGCCAATCCTGCTGGAGAGGTGTTGCTAACACAAGCTGCCGGAAGGCATCGCGTCCTCCATTGGGTCTGCAACAATGCCGGCTGCACAATAGATGAAATGGCTTCTGCTCGGGCGGACAACCAGACGCTATTCTGGCAGATTTACGCCAAGTCGGATCTGGAAGAGTCTGCCAAGGAAGTCAGAAAAGCCATCGAACTTGGGTACAAAGGATTTGCCTTGACTGTAGATGCGATCTGGCCTGGTATCAGAGAGCGCGATCTACGTGCTAGCATCCTCGAGGAAACAGGCCCGGAGCCGGAGGAAGATTGTGTGGAAGACGACAGCGAAGACAGCGAAGACAGCGAGGATGAGCAAAGCTTCACCCGTGGCCCAACAGTCAAACGACCGTAAGAAGAGTTTCGCATCCTGGAAGATTGGTTGGGCATAGGACGGCTGACATAGTCACAGGCCCGTTTGCGTGGAGTTCGACTGGATCAAAGCTGTGGGATGGCTCCGAACCATCACAGACGCGCCGCTGGCTATTAAAGGCATACAATGCTGGCAAGACGCGGTTCGATGCATGGATTTTGACAATGCGCATCCATGGCTCTCCAACCACGGAGGTCGTCAACTGGATGGCGCACCTACCGCCCTCGACACGCTCGTGGACATTCATCGCAATTGTCCTCGTGTCCTGGAGGACCGCGAGGTGATCGTAGATGGGGGTGTTACTCGCGGTGCGGATATTGTCAAGGCCATTGCGCTCGGTGCCCAGGCAGTTGGTCTTGGGCGGCCTTTTCTCTTTTCGCTCGTCTACGGCACTGCAGGCGTGAGCAAGGCCATTCGGATACTCCAACATGAAGTCGAGACCACCATGGCACTTCTTGGCGTCACCTCGCTTGAACAGCTTGATCCTTCATATGTAAGTCTACCTCTGCATTATTCCCAACGTCCTAGACTATCTCGGATCCAGCTCATTCAAAATCAGGTCGATATATCGCGAGTTTCATCGCTACTCATTCCTATCAAGGCACGCCTGTGAGCATAGTCTAGCATATGATGAATCTGAAATGAGCGTACCCGCAACACTTTGCTAGCACCGAAAAAAACCGACCGTGATCCTGCGTCTTGCATGGAGAGAGTGGCGCATTGCTGTCCGTGAATATTTGTTCCGAGAAGAACTCAGGACTTTGGAGTTCAAAACAACACATGAGCAACCACGTCCCCCCTGATCAATTGAAAAATAGACAACAACAGTATCATGGAGGGTAATGGGCGTTGTGGTGGACAACGAGGCGAGGGCTCTTCCTGGAGATCGAAAATATTTCTCCTCCTCTCCCAGCCCGGCAGGTTCAGCAGAGTTGAGTGAGAGCATCAGTATGGCGCTCTGTTCCGTGAAGCTAGAGCTGCGCTAAACGATTGGCCGCCGCCTAGGGCCCTAGTAACGCTAGTGTGTCGTGGGGGCTAACCTCCCTATGCCGCGTTCCTTATCAGCGTGGGCAAGGTACATTAGCCGGGAGGGCCCCGAGCCCGAAGGTCGGTGGGAATACACCGAGCTCTCTTCGGTTATCGGTGCTGGTTTCTCGGCTTTCCCAACTCCGGCCCACATCCTAAACAACACCAATCGAGCCTCGGGGGCCATCAGTCACCGGGTACAGGACAACACCGAAAGACTGGCTCTTGCTCAGCTCACGCAAGGACACACGATTGATGAACTCATGCCCCGCTCAAGGACCCGGCCGGAGGACCGGCAACGCATCGGCCAGGCGTGTCTGCTATGCCGGTCTTCCAAGATCCGCTGCGATTCGAAGCACCCGTGCATAACCTGCATCAAGCATGACAGGGCAGCATCGTGTGTCTATGCCGAAGTCGACCGCCGCCGATTGCCTCGGACCTCTGTCCAGCAGCGGGGCAGTCACCCATCAAGCCATTCATCATATCCTGGAGTCGCAGACGTGGATTTGGGAATGCAGCAGGTCACCGCAGCTGTTGTATTGCCGAACGCACAGATCGGTTCGGACCACTTGATATCTCCATCGCTCACGAGCCCCGAAGACGTCTCAGCTGGAGTTCTGTCAAGAGTGCAGCTCCCACGGGCCACCACAGATACGGCTGATGAGAGAGGTACTTGCTTCCTCAGATATGTAGTCACTGACGATAGTATACTAAAGCGCACACAACGCAGTCTATGTCGGGGAGGCATCTGCCTCCTTCCTGTATTTTCTACGGACTGCCCTCAAGCCATTTGTGGGCCAGACCCGATTTACCGATGGCGAAGGTTATGGCATCTCCCCAACCAACGAGGTAGAACTTGTGATTGAAGGATCATTCCATCTTTCCACTGAGCAGGTCCATATCCTTCTGGAATCTTATTATGAAGCGGTATGTGATATATCAATGGAGTCTGACAGGCCAACCTACCTCAGTAGGGATGCATTGCTTTCAGTGCTGACTGCTGATTCAAAGACGAGTGGGCTTCTGGATCTGTTTGCCGCAGATGAGATCGACGTTCTTATCGAGCAGCGAGTCAGACCCCAAAGTCTTGGATCTTCGTCGCCACCAGTGACAACGCCATCAGTGAATCGCCTGGATATTGCTGCGCTCGATATAGCCCTGGCCATCGGCGCTCAGTATTCTGCTGCCGCTAAGGCAGATACCCGTATCGAAAACAACCTTTTCTTTTCGGCCCGCCGTACTGCGTTGTAGGTTGCATGGCTACTCATTGTAAATCTCCCAAAATGCTGACTCTGTCCTTCAGTGAGGGCATGTTGAAAAGGACCTCCCTGGGCACGGTGAGGCTGTTCTTGCTCATGGCCTTCTACATGCTGGGGGCGTGCCAACGAAGCACAGCGGCCATGGACCTCGCCATTGCGACGAAAGCAGCAGTTATGCTGGGTCTGCATCACGCCTCCTCACGTCAGCAGGCGGTTGACGACAGAAGGTGAGTATGCCAAAGATTTTCAATGCCACCATAAACGCTGAAGCTGAGCACAAACTCTTCCACAGGTTGCGTATCTGGGAAAGCCTGCGAATATTCGATGTGCTTGCGAGCTTCATTCTTGGCCAATCCCAAAGTTTGCCTACCACGCACCGAGAACATTTTGACGTCGAAAAGCTGAATGGAAGTCAATTGTGGTTTGGAAAAGCTGCAATTTCAGCCATGTCACAAGGGTGCACGCTGATTGAAAACGTCGTCCACACCCTCAAGAACGGGGGCATTCTTCACGTCCCCACGGCAGAAAAGCTACTAGGTCAGCTCCGGCAATGGACAAGGAGTCTGCCTGAGGCTTTGCGGAAGTTCAGCTTTGAAGACGAACCGAACCTGGAACCCGCCAATCGTCAACTTCTCATCGGCAACATCCACATCGCCTGTCTCTACTACTTCGCCGTTTTACTGGTGACGCGTCCCTATCTGGTCGCGTATCTCATGTCTCGACTGCGTGGAAAGGCCCCAGACCACCTCATTGACGATCCCGATGCAGCGTCGGATCTGCGCATCAAGAACAACAAGGTATCCAAGTTGGCTCAGGTATGCGTCAGCTCTGCGTGTTACATGTGCGAGACACTGCAAAAGCTTAAGCTCTCCAACTTCAGGTTTGGAAATTTATGCCTGATACAGTGAGTTTCCCTTCTGTCGTCATCACGTCGGTCGCCCACAAATCTCAACTCGGCTAATGCAACTGAAAGGGCCTGGCTGTTTGGTTCTGGTCTTGTGCTAGGTTTCTCCATGTTTGCTGGAGAGCCCAGACAGGACATACAGGACGCCTTCGCTGCGTGCCGAGAAGTTCTCGGGGCAATGAGTGAGACATGTCTGCAGGCCAGGACATATCTGGACATACTCGCCAGCTTCCACGAAGCGGTACGCAAGTACCACCAGCGCGTGGCTATGCAAGTCCGCGATACCGTGCATAATTATATGGACCAAGTTTTGATGGTTGAAGTCCCTCAGGCTCTCAATCGTACCGGGCCGAGTCCCTTGGATTGGGAGGCAATAATGGCTGCTACGAATGACCTGCCCGCGGACCGTACCGATAACACTGCTATTGCGGACTTCCAGATTCAGTGGACAGACCTTGATTTGCAAATCGTGGATGACTACCTGAACCTAGACTTGGGTCCATTTCAAGCACTATTTTGTAGCGGCGAATGACGGATAGTATAGTATGTAGCCTTTATTGCTTGGCAGGCATTATAACGAGCATATTAGTTCTTTGCACTCATACTCTTCCATGTTCACTTCATGTATTGTATCATACAATGCCTCTCAGAAGTCTCTAGCAGCTAAAAATGCCTCCTCTCATTAATGTATTGTGCTTGGCCCCCATGCCGTGGTGTGTAAAGTGACCAGTTACCCCTAAGGCATGGCGTGATTGAGCATGAAGTCTCTAGTCAAAGCAGACCAGCCGTCGCTTCTAGCTCGATCGCCGAAAGGCTTCAGTGCGGCGAAGCGCATACTGCGTGAGGAGATACAACCAATCAGCATTGCATTTAAAAAAAGTTGCGCCAGATTGTTTTCGTAGGTTTCCAGATCCGGACACTTTTAGACGAGCCGAGAAAGGAGCGAACAAGGAAACTCACGTATAATTTCCAGGTTTAATCCTGGACCGTCCGCCAATTGGCCAAACCAGTAATAAGTCGAAGTAAAGCTCCCACTGACGAGCGCGTTCCTGGTCTGGTCCGCCAGGGGGAATGAAATGATGTTGCTGGCGTTGTGCTTGGCTGGGTCGAACATGCTAACCTGGCCGGCGGACGCCCACGATGTCGCCGAGCCTACGTAGCCCTGCTCGCCCACAACGGGAGGATAGCGCCAGTGGTGGTCGTCGTTTCGAAAGCCCTGCTCGTATATCTATGATCAAGGTTAGTCAGCGGTCCAAGTGTCACTTGAAGATCCCACCACTTCTGCGGTACTCTCTGGAAATGATGAAGACGAGCTCGCTCAACTGCCCACATGCGGGACTGCACTTTTTCTGCTTGCATACTTACATCCCAACGAAGCTCGCGTGTGCCCCATTTCATTTTGGAGAAAATTTTGGGATAGCTCTGTGCTCCCGTGCTAAGATCAAAGTTGAAGCTATAAGAAAGGACACAATTCCCGACGGTTAGCTTTCCTATCATACTCCGAGGCGCGAGTTTCCCACGTAGGGTAAGGCGTAGTCTATCACCACTTTGCACGTACGTTGTTGCATCTTTGGGAGGAAATCCTGCACGTAGAAGCGGATACGCGCCGCTGAACATTGTCCGCATTTCACTGAACAAGTCGAATCCTAGGCCTTGGTACGGCACGGAGAGTTGTTCGCCATTGCTCGCTTTGACGAGGAGCTTGCCACTGTACAGTGGCAGAGCTGTAGCATTAAGGCCTGTGGGAGCGGTGAACCCGAGACTGTCGCTTGACGTCAGTAGACAGCCTTGTGCGCAACAGCTTAGATCTCCGGCGTGCTTTTGGCTCCGTACCTGACTTTTCCAGATTCACCGGGGCCCAGTTGCAGCTGGGCAGGTGCAATCAACCTCGCCTCGGCCTTTATGGGTGCGAGGTCCTGCCAGGATTTTATCCGGGGCGTTTCCTCCGAAGACTCGACGGCGTTGCGGTCCTGGAGCATCTCGTAGCCTGCAGCAGCCTCGAGCCCAAAGGTGAAGGTGAGCGCCGTCTCGTCGCCGTTGTAGACCATAATCTCCTGCTCCGAACGCATGTTCTGAGTATCATTAAGTGCAAGCCGCGCCAGGCTGATCGACGCTGTGCTGTCCACCACACTGAGGGCGTTGATCAGGCCCGTGCCCACTTGAAATGCCGGCGCCTTGTAGACTTTGCTGACACCACCCGCAGATGATGCCGAATCGAGCGAGACGCCGCTGGAGATGATGCGCATACTGGCCTCCTTGGACAATTCTTTGCTCCTGGCCCCGGCCCTAGCGGCAAGGTAGAGCGCTGCCACGCCGGCGACGTATGGAGTTGCCATGCTGGTACCGCTTACCAGCCTGAAGGTGTTGTTGTCGGATCCGATCCAGCAGCTGAAGATGTCGCGACCAGGGGCGGCAATATCTGGCTTGGCTGACAGGTCGTAGAGTCCGCCCCAGCTAGTATAGGAGCTCGGTTGCAATGTTCTTGTCGTGCCATTGACATCGGCGCTGGCCACACTCAAAACAAGGTCCCCGGCGCCGCCGTTGTCGGGGAAGAATGGCCCGGCCGCGCCCGCATTGCCTGCTGCGAAGGTGACAATGACGCCCTCGGCTGCGATCCGGTTCGCCACGACAGCCAGCACATTGTCAGGGAACCCGCTCGGTCCACCAAGGCTCGCGGTGATGATGTCCATGCCGTCGTCGTACGCCCGCAGAAGGGCTGCAATGACAACCGAGACGTCGGTCGAGCCGGAGGCCCCGAACACTTTGTATGCGTACAGACTTGCTCCGGGCGCGACGCCTTTCCACCCAGTAGCCGCCGCGTCTCCAGCCACGATGCCGGCGACGTGTGTGCCGTGGCCTTGCTGGTCGATTGGATCTGGGCCTGGACGGGGGACGCCGCCAGGCGCCCAATCCCGGCCGACGAGGTCGTACCCGCCAGCGACTTTGAAGCCTGGACCAAACCCGCCGCCCAGCGCCGAATGGCTGTATAAGATGCCCGTGTCCACGATGCCAATCTTGACCCCCTCGCCGAGCACGCTGCGCTGATGCAGCTTGTCCACACCTGTGGCCCAGTGGACATCGTGCTTCGACGCATCCTCAGCGCTGGCCGGCTCTTCGCGTTTGTGGACAGGCGCGAGAAGATCGACTTGCACGTCGGACCAGGCGCGGATCACGCCAGGCAGTGCCGTCAGCTCTTCGACGCCATGCCCTGCCGCAACGATCTGTGCACCCGAGAACACGGGCGAGTCGAAATGGGAGACGACCTCGATTTCATGCTGCAGAAAGCTCTCGGCACGCTTCGCAATGAGGTGGGTTGCCGTGGTCTGCAATTTGTCGAGATGGTCGCTCGGTCAAATTCAAGTCCAAACCTGCGCGGTCTGAGCCTTCGGGTGCAAAGGGGGTCACTTACATCATACTCGAGGATATATGCGCGGGTTCTCGAGACCATGGGAGCTTGATCTTCGTCGAACGCCGAAACGGGCTCGAAGCCTTGAGCTAGGCTCGCGAAGAGCGCGGCAAGTGCTACAGCCCTTGGCCGGAGGAGCAGCATCATGAGAGCAGCTTCTGGTTGCCATATAAAACGTTCGAGGCCGAGGGGATTGCGACCAACCACTATCTTATGAAGGCCGTCATTCCTGATCAGTCCAGGGCGAACCGGCTCAAATTCGCTCTCGCTGCAATGCAAAATCTCCGCTATATCACATGGACCCCTGTTCTGGGTATTGGTGGGCGAACCACCCGCCCACCTGCCCTCTGTGGAAGGTGTTGCGCATATTACCCGTGCACGTGGGGAAACAAACACAAGACGCATTGACTTATGCCTACGCGGATAAGATCGCTGGTTGACATTAACCACATTAACACCTGAACTTTTCGGTTTACAGAAGTGAGTTCCTTGCATGCCATGGTTGTACAATCTTCTACAAACATGTAATTGTCTGCGTCACGCAACAGCCCATCTCCTTCATCAGGCTTTCTTAATGAGCAAAAGCCTGTAGTGCTTGCTGTTGCCTCTACGTTGTGAGAATCCACGGCATGCCCAGAAAACAGGAGTTGCAGAGGACTGCTGATTCACTAACTATGAGTTCGACAGCCTCATAACGGGCGGCAAAAAAGCTCTGGGATGAGTCAGATGTCGCGTTTCTCATTGAGCCATTACCCATGTCTATACAGCACCCTTTGTGTAGTGATTTTCCACGGACTCATTGACGGCTCATCTGATGAGATAATGGAAGACACGACATGGAATCAGAAGCTACTGACGGCCTAGACGCGGGTGTTTCGGGGGTTCTCGACCTATGCCGAAGAGACTAGATGTGCAAAGCAACAAACAAAATCCTTACCGCGTTGAAGGCCTTACCAAGATCCCCGAGCAGAACAGATGGCCATTAATGAGTGACATGGAATGCTATGGCGAGCGTCTATGAGGTCTTGAACTGGCGGTTTGTGAACCCTCGAAGCACTGGATCACCCTCCGGCTGGCTACTCTAGCCCTAGCTCGCTGCTGAGCTGTGCTGCAATTTCCTTACTTTGCAAGGCCACGACCCACAGTAAGTCATGTCGACCTGAGCCCTCGACCAACGCTCGGCACATTGCAAGACCCCCGTACCGTGCGGCCATCCGAAGCGGCTCGTGCCAATCGCTCAGCTCGCCATTGAGCCCGACGTCCATGTTACCGACTTCGCAACAGCCGCCGGGCTTTATGTTTCCCCCGCGAACATCGGCCCCTCCAAATTCGAGCAGGATAGTAGCAAGTTCGACAGGCCGCCGCTCGAAGAGGAGGACTTGCAGTGGCGTGTCGCCATTGTCCCTTCTCTCATTGACCGCGTCGGGCAGTCGCTCGCAAAGGACGCGTATCATCCGGGCATCGCCACGGCGCATGGCGATATGCAGCACCGTGCTCCCCTTCTGGTCACGGTAACGTAGATGACTCTCGCACACGCCGTCTTGGGCCAGCAGGTACTCGACTACGGCAGTGTGGCCATTCCACGCCGCCATGCCGACCGACTGATGCGCACAATCCCAGCCCTGGCGATCTGGGCAGCGCAGGATCTCTTGTCTCAAAGGCACGGACTCTTTGGCAGCGCTGAATAGTCGCCGGATCACAGGTAGGCAGCCATGGCTCGCAGCCATACAAAGCAACTCATTCCCCCAATTCTGGTCGATGAGCAAGTCAGAAGCTCTCAGCATGTGATCGAAAACTGGACCGTATTTCCCATCCTCGTTGTCGCCAGATCGAGTCTCCATTCGGTGATCTCGCGCCCAGTTCTCAAGCACCAGCCAAAATAGATCGGCGACCTCTTTCAGATCGCGACCTCGCTCGTGTGGCAGCAGTAGAGGTAGTCTCTCTGGATTCCCGATGCGAAGCACTTCCGAGATAGCGTTGCTAAACGGTGACATCCTTCGCGCAGTATCGTCGTAGCCTGTAGCAGAACTTAGTTGATGGCTTACAGCTTCGCGAAGCTGACTGTCTGAACCGTAGAGCGAAAGCAGAGTCAGAACGTCGTGAAAGTGCGGCCGTTGCCTTGATTCATCCTCCTTGACTGTGCAGTCAGGACGATAAAACTGCTTCCACCAGTTCTGAGCCCAGCTGTTCCGCTCATCGGCCAGACTTAAGACATCGGCTAGATAGACCGGCAACTTTGTTTTCATCATTGTCGTCGCGCTCGGCGCCATCTCCAAACCACTATCTCGGCGAACTTCCGGGCCGTAGATATCATGAGGTTTGACCTGAATATTCGCCTTGTGCATATGCTCGAGCCAATAACACGACGCATACACAAAGAACTGCCCGAAGCCGCGATCAGTCGGGTTGTAATATCCCTGCTCTGCCTCAGCGTCGGAAAGAATCGTGGGCTCTTGATGAGGCACTTCATCATAGTCCAACCGAGTAGCTGCTACAGTCTCTGGTGCAGGGTCGTCCTTGTGGTCCTCCATGAAACAGCCTTCCATGAGCCCAAGACCACCCATCTCATCGAATGCTTGCGTGTTTTTATCCTCTGCTGTGAACAAATCAAGGCTCTTGAGGTCGTCTATCAGCAGATATCGAACGCACTGTCTTGCTAGCTGGCCATGAAGCTCCGCCTTGCGGCTGTCGATCTGCGCCTGATTCCGTGCGAGCCTAGAATTCGCGGCAAGTTGGGCCCATTGCTGGGGCGAGGACTGCAGAACATGCTCGCGTACTGAGTGATGGTTGAGGCGGACCTGTCGGGCGTGCTCATCTCCGTGATTGACGTCGGCACTGACAATGAATGGATTCAGAAAGTCTAGGAGCCGGTCCGGATCGACGATTGCAGCCAAATCAGCAACGCACAAAGCGCTGTCTGGTGGGCTCCCTTCTCTTTCCTCTTCGGCAAGGGCCACAGCCCAGCTTATCTCAGCGACGCTCATGGGTCTCTCGGCGACGGCGAGGATCTCAAGCGCAGTCGAAAGCAAGAGGCAGTTTTCGAAGTCGTTCTGGGTGACTTGAGCATAAAGCTTGGCGTACAGGTCCAAGACAGTAGTCCCTGGTATCTCTTTGATGAATTTCTTGAGCCGCGGTGCCGCCTGTATCTTGCGCTTCGCGAGCAAGTCCACGGCCAACCGGACCCAAATGGCACTGCCCTCTGCCGCCTTGGAAAGCCCCTTAACCACGATAGCTTGTTCCTCAGGGTCCAGGTATGCTAGCCTTCGCTCTACAATGTGCGTGACAATTGATGCGTCCCGTGCTGCGGCTCGCGGCACGTGCATGATCAGATTGTCGCAAAGGAGGCTCCTGATGTGCTGCTGATTGCGTGATGATACACATACCCGGACGAGAGGTGAAGCCTCGCTGCATTGCTTCAGGACGGAGAGGATATGACCTGCTCCGCCGTCGATACTGTCTCGACACTCGTCAAGACCATCGACAAAGATGAACAAGGGTCTTTCGATAGCCTTGACTGCCTTGATAAGGAATTGAGATAAGAGGAAAGGGTCTTGGGTCTGTCCCAGCATGCCTTTACCTTTTAGCTCTTCGTCCCAGCGATCAAACAAGATTTTCAAAAACTTTTGGTCCATGAGCTGCTGGATCAGGCTGAGGTAGACTTCGAGCGGTCGACCTGTTTCGTCGCTAACGATGTAGTAGTAGCAGCGCATGGCACGTGGCATCTGGGACGAGTAGAGAAGACCGATGTAATCGACCAAGTATGCCATCGTGATTGTCTTGCCGCATCCCATGTCGCCGAATACTGCCAGAATACGTTGTTCGCTGAGCAAGGTTGCGTCGCCACAGCCAGCGAGCCAGGTCGCGAAAGCATCATCTGCCAGCGCCCACTCGCACGCCTCTTTCGCGATGCTTTGAGATAGTTCATTATGCCGCTTTCTCGTCTCGGGCAGCCTCTGAGCTCCCAATAATCGTTGGACTATTCATTCAACAGTCAGCGGACACATTCACTCACTGCGTGAAGTTTCACTGGAGCAGTGACGAACCCTTGTCATCGATAAGCATTTCCTCGATTTTCTTCAACAATGCGTCGGTCGCGTTCTTTATGTGTTGGCCCAGGAGCTTGGAGTCGTTCACATAATTGTCGACCAAAGGAGGTAGTCGTTCGTTCAGCTGTTCCGACAATAAAGCCAAGACAGTGGCCTGACGGGTCAAGATCTCCGTAGCCGAGCAATAGAATGCCAAAAGATCCTTGTAGACGGTCACCAGAGCCTATTGATCGAGCATTCGAACCGTGTTAGAAGCCGTGTGCGAAGGATTCGAGTAGGGCACAGTCGTCGGGCTGATCCAATCCTCGGTTCTCCAGTGTTTGCACAATCTGGGAGACACTTGCATAACTGGTAGTAAAGATTGGCAAACACTTACATTGTGGATGCGCTTGCTCTCAAACGATTGCGTAACGTTATCACAGTCGTCAATGACTGCAATCTGTTCCAGCATTTGTTTGATGTTTCCACTGAGTCGTGCCTCTACGCCGCAGATTCCGATCGCAAGCTGGCACATACAGGTATGGTCAGCCGTCTCATTTCAATGCAGCTTTATGGAGGTGAGGGGGTAGAGGTCTCGTGACTTAGGCGTCCAGGCGCCGAGTCTCCAGAATACCAGAGATTCAGTGGTCACACCGCAACGAGCGCAGCCTGTCCAGACGCGATAGGGTCACATGGCTAAGCGGGCTTGACTCACCGTGGTCACGCCTCTCGCAATCCCAAAAGCACTGGAAGCAGTTGGTTCCAAGGCTGCAAGGGGGCTTGCAGCAGATAGTGCCGCGTCGAGCCACGTCAAGGGCCCTCGGAGTCTACTCATGCCTCTTCGAATAAGTGATTCTTTCTTATGCGCTGCTTCGGCATCGCCCAGTCGCGCGAAGATCTGGTGGATATCATGCACATTGCTGGCCATGACCACGTCGCGCGCAACGTCGTCGAGTCCTGCCATTGCCTCGGCGAAGGCAGTGGTCCACCTGTCGCCGTTCTGATTGTCCAACAAAGTTGCAAGCGTGTTGGTCCGGGTCACTGCCCTGTTGATGGCTGCCGCTTGTAGCTCGATCTCATGCTCTGGAAAGAAATCACGAGCGTTTTCATCTGGTTGTACCGCAGTGACTTCAGTCGACCGCTGTTGATCGTCGACACGCAGCTCTTCACTGGGATGCGCTGTTGTGGTGTCCACGGTTGATTCCTGCTGATTTCGAGCCAGGGTCTCATGATTGCATTGTGCCTCTGTCGTCTCAGGGCCTGAGGCTTGTTGGATATCGACGCGAGCCTGCTCAGCGAGCTGCACCGTACTTGGCAGGGCCGGCTGTGCTTGCGGCACAGGTCCCGGCAGAGACTGAATTGGAGCACATGGTGCATTTTCGGGTTTCGACAAAAGCAAAGAAGCAGTCGCTCTTGCTGGATCCCGAGATGAGCCGCGCTTGAGGCGATCTCGAGTTTTGGTCAGCCAGCCCATCGTGATGGGAGTTGGATATCAGGAGACTCTGACGCGGCACTGGTGATGCATCGGCAGAGAGCGGTGCGGCAACTGCGAATCTGATCACGTGCCTAGCTGTGCGTGGTGAGAAGGAAGAAACGAGGACTGCTTGAGCTTTACAACTTTGCCCGCGGCATTCAAGCCCAGAAAGTTGGTCTCCGTTGGGCCAGTCGTATTTGCATTGTGGCAGTGTTAGAGGCACAACCAACAACATGTCCGTGACGTGTCTGAGCAGGGGACAGCCAATCGCAGGAGCGCTCTAACCGCCTTTGACCCCTCTCTTTCCGCGGCCAGGCGCTGCATATCCCCTGAGCCTCGCCGCAGATAATATTTCATCGGCAGGTCCAAGATGTCCGTGTCTAAAGGTGTCTAAATGCTCAAGGGATTGCTGTCAAGCCAAACATCAAAAGCCTTGCAAATTGGAAAAAGCTGGGAATTTTGAAGTTCATGGCTCCACAAACGCACTTGACCCGTCCACAGGGAATGTTTCTATTTCCTCGTTTCCAAAGCGTCGAGGCCTGGGTAGACCACTGTTTCACAAGCACAACATCCAAGGACATGAATTCCCAAACTGGCAGATTGGAACTCAAAAGTCTAGACCGTCAGCTGTCAAGACTGAGACGTCGGGTCGTCCAAGGGCTCGGAGAGATGCTTAAAAGCATAGAAACATGTGAATTTGGACACAGAAAGGTTCCAGTACCTAGGACCTCAAACATTTGCCATATATATATCACCGTCACGGCTTTCCTCTCCGCCCGAGCTTTCTTCACTCCCTCGAACTCTATGTCTCCGCAACTCTCGGACGGCACACAATGCCATAATACCCGAATGACCCGTCGCCTGCCCCGAGATGCTCAACCTCCAAGTCCCAATTTGTCCCGTCGCAGGTGAGCAAGGGCCGGACAAAGTGTGGCTGTCTGTATGTGACGTAGAGAAAGACGCCTCCGGACTTGTTCAGGATCCGGGACACCTCCCGAAGATAGGCTGATGTGTTGTCTAGCGTGTCCTGTGGCGGGGACCAGGGGCTGCCGTGAATCATGGCGTCGAGCGTGCCCTTGTCGAAGGCGACGTCGACAGACCCGTCGCCCAGCGAGGCCATGGCGCGAACGTCCATCTGCTGCCAGCGGATGGCGGTGTCAAGCAGGCCCAGGTCGGCGTGGCGCTTGGCCATGGTCTCGACGACGACGTGGCTGAAATCAACACACAGCTGGTTCCTGTAGCCCTTGGCCGCGAGGTGCTGCGGGACCAGGCTGTCCCCGGACCCCAGGTGGAGGATCAGGGGGTCTGAAGCGGCAGCAGATGCAGCTGCCGATGGCGATGGCGATGGCGGTGGCCTGGGCGTGTAGAGGTGCTTGGTGAAAAAGTCTTCGAGGTCCTGTGCTGAGCGGAACCACTCGTGCAGCTGCTGGTCGCTTGCAGTGGCCTGGGTCTCGGCGTACCGGCCGTCCCAGTAGTCGGCGTGCGCAAGGCGCTCGTTTTCCTCGTCAACGCCTGCCATCGAGGAGCCACTGTGCTTGGGGGTTTGGGTGCATCACTTGTGGACGTCGAGGCAGGGAGGCAGCGATCGATGTTGGTTGACGTTTATCGCTACCCCACATCGTGTCTCCCCCACCACGCGTCAATCCACTGCTACCTCATTTTCTGTTGTGTGCGGGTTACAACCCGTCCAAGTACGGCCATCGTTTTGCTCAGGCTTTTATCTCCTTTCCACGATCTAGGACAACCTAGGAGCCCCTTTAGGGCCCAGAATTGAGTTGGCTAATGTCCTCTTCAGTCGCTACTTGGATCTAATCGACAGCCCGGAAAAGTCCATAGCGCAGTGCAGCAAGAACAAGTCGTCGTTGAGATTGCAATAACAATGAAATGCTTACTCAACAGCATTATAGCTCTGGCGGCTCAATCCGGTGATCGTACATGGACCCCGCAAGGTCCCATATCCGAATAGGTAATCATGCTTGTGGATTTCGAGATTTGCGTTCCGATACGTCGACGTCTCTGAACTCAGCCCTCGCTGGGATCTCTGTGATGATGCCTGTGTCCGATTGGCTGGTACGTGGTCGGGCCGCTCCGAGACAACTATTTCTGGCACAAGTTCGAGGCGCATGGGCTGACAGCTGGCAAGGGAGGCATCCCACAGGGCATCTTGGATAATTCTGGCAATATTTCCATTGTCACAGGATACCCCCCTCCGTCTGTGCCAGTGCATAGAATCTGATAATTCCGCTGGCGGACTTTTCAGACAGAAATCCAGAACTGGTACAAATTTCCTTTTGCCTTCATGGGCAACTCGCGTGGCGAACCCTGCCAAAGTAAGTCCGCTAACGAAAAGATAGGGGGATAGTACAGCGAAGATAGTCTACGTACAGTACGTGGCCGTGCCGTAACCGTGCTGCAGCTGAGGTAATTACCCTTCCAGGTCGCCAGCCGTCTTTCAGCTCTTGCCATGGAAAAGCCACCTCGCACGTGTCTTCAGCAAGGCTGGTTCGCTGGCTGCAGGTGCGGGGTAGAACTGCATCCTGACGTTCTTTCCCTTTCTCCAGCCCATCGGGGCATGACGTGGCCTCAGCATCCGTTCACAGAGCTACGCATGATTCCACAGAGACGTTTCGCACCACAGAGCGATGGCTCGACATGTTTCCTTCGAGCCGAGTGACGTCCATGACTGTACGACACACGGCAGGCCAGCAGACCGCGCCTCCCGCTCCAAGCTATCCCACGCCGACTACACGACTGACATTTGCATTTTGATTGTGTGGAATCAACCTCATCGACACTCGACCATTTATCTCACAATTGTGATCCTTTCACTTCTCTTTTTGTGAGATTACTTATTGGTTAGTGGTACTCGACCAGTGCCTGCGAACCTTTGTTAACGGGCGTTGAAAAAACGCAGCATCATCCACACTCCCTTTCTCTCCAGCCCCGTTGTGTGCCTCCGGATATTTGCATCTAATCAGCCCGGCCACTCTTCTCTCCCTGGAGCTCCCGAAACAACGCAAACCAGACCCCTCTCCTGAACGTTGTTGCGAATCTGCCCAAATCGACCCTCGCGTGTGATGCAGAAACGGCGAGAAAACGCCGCGCCCAGGACCATCCACTCCATCATGTCGTCATGGGCAATCATCCCCTCTCGCGAGCTTCTTCAGAGACGTGATACTCTCTGTCGAAGTACTTGCATACGTAATCGACAAAATCGACCATGGCGTCCACGGTGTCTTCTTGCAGAGGATCACGAAAGCCGCAGTAACCCATCATCATCGTGCGGGCGAAGTTCCGCTTCGTCTCGCGTGTCTGCTCGTCCCGGAAGTGCACTCTGCACTTCCATCATCGCCGTCTCGCGCCCCTATCTAGCGATGTGCTACCAACGCCACAAAAAGCTATCCTCAAGCAGTCGTCAAACCGGATCTTCGCTCGTTTCCGGATCAACATACTCTGCTGCCTCAGCTGATCCATGTCCACAAGATCGTCGTCGGGCGCGACGTTGATGAATAAGGGGCATCAAACCATCTCCAGTGCCATGTCGACTATGCGGCCATGAAGGAGCGAGCGAGCCATGCTTTGATCTTCATAGATAGACTTCGCCCCCGTCGGCGGACCCTGGGCTAGCATCTCGGCTTGGAAGATAGGCTCTCTAGTCGAGAACCCCGCGAGCGAAGTAGCAGGTGCACTAGGTACAAGATCAGGAACCTAACTTGGCAGCTTACAACTCCGCGTATCATTGCCGATAGAGTCGGTCTTATTATTCGGCGCGAGACTAAGTAAGTATGGGTTCTGATCGTGAATTAACATTGAGCGCGCGAAATCAAAGAGTACCTGCTTAGCAATCTCGTTATAGTCTCGGTAGATCGTAATAGGGTATGGACCGCGACGAGTTAGGCCTAGTAGGGAATAGATGTGATCGCGGGAGTCGGTGTATTTGAACGCGTAGGTCGCTATGATATGGTCGAGGAGGTTGTTAGTCGTAAAATACTGGATAAGTTTAACGAGATTACAGTTCACTAGGGAGATTACGGACTGGATACTGCTAGCGCCGAAGTGGTTTTCAAGAGATGGGCCGGGTTCGTATACTATATGCATTACTGCAAAACTAATTCTTGAGGAGGGCAAGTTGTCTGGCTCCCTTTTTGCCACCTGGCACCGAAAGGGTGCCGTATATATAGCGCAACAGTGCCGTCTCAGACGCGCGCAAAGCGCTGTGCCTCGGCATGGCCCCGTTCCTGTGCCGCCTTCGTGCCGGCTCGCATCCGCACTGCCGTTCGGTATGGTCTTACATAGTACTGGAAGCTCTAGCGCTCGAGATAGAATATCTAACGGGTATAATAGTACAGCTGCTAGCGAAGACCGTAAAACTACAACTCTATCTGATGCCTAAAATGTATTCTAACATATACCTCTAGAATCGCGGACTTGGACACGAAGGAGAGCCATGCGCGAGTGAAGTAATAAGGAAGGCATTTAATTAACTAGGCATCTTCGTTGAATATTTCTAATTACCCAGTCCTCTCCAATCCCCACACGTGTATGTATCCGATACCAGGCGAACATCTCTTCCGCGAAAGGTTCTCTTGTCAGGCAATGTTGGCGCGAAGTCGAGTCGCTCACTGACTGGCCATCGCAGGAGCGTCCAACTTGATCGTCGGACTCTTGGCCAGCACATATTTCTCCTCAAAAGCATCACAGATCGAGCTCCTTCATTCAGCCGTGTGGAACATGTCGAGATCTGTATGAAGACAGTGTCAAGATAGAGAGGTGATTGTGCCGTGGGTGAGGATCCATCTGCCTTGACATCTTCGCCGTATGCTGTGCGCATCACGTCCACTAAGCCGCCAGAGTAGCCTTTCGGTCTGTGAGGACACGAATCACCTCGCCATGGTGTCGATTGCGAGCCCGACGCAACCAATTTTCAACCTCGCTCCGGCTAAGTTTCAATTCGTCCCATGATTCAAGCTTCTCAAGGAGTGAGAGAATCATGGCCTCACTACCATAAGCGATAGCCGCCCCAATCATGTTCACGGGAGCCTGCTTGTTTTCAGCGACCTCAATGTCCGCCAAAAGGTGTACTGTCTCCACGTGTCCGTTGCATATCGCACTCCGAAGAGGCGTGTAACCATCGCGATCTCTCTCGGAAGTGCTGTATCCCTTTTGCGCTAACAATCTGACGAGCGTGGTTCTGCCCTCCTCTGCAGCCCACGACACGGGCGTTCTGGTTTTGAGATTGGCTGGGTTTGTCGTACGCTCGAGTCCATCTAAGAGATCCTCTCCTTCGTAAATGATAGTGGGCAACCCCAGGAGGGCGGCAACCGCTCCTTTATGGCCACCTGCTACAGCGGCCAGCAGCGGATGTCCGTATGGTAACCTCTCGTCCACGGCGGTAGTTGCAGAGTCGTGTTGAGTATACCGTATCAAGTCTTCCAGACCCCGATCTGCAAGGACATACAATGTCCCCGCGTGTAGCCCGTATTGGCGATCGTGGCGGTGCTGGCAACAATCCAGTGCTGGTGTCCCGAGGCACTCGAAGAATCGGTTTACGTGGACTTCTTGGGCGACAAACGGTGCGGCTTGGTTGGCATGCTCGAGGAAGTTCTGGGTTGCGTACTCCAAGAACACATTCGCTTCGGCAATGGCGAATTCGCGGTCCAATTGATCCCACCCGCCGTCTAGCCCTTCCCCTCGCTGCAATATTTCTCTGTAGCGCGAATGCTCCTTGCTGCTCGGAAGGTAATGTCTGTACTGCTTGTAGTCGTCGATCACGGATCTAATTGAGGGATGGGTCAAGTAGGCTTCGCAACAACCGCGCAACTTGTCATGAACCACACCCTGCCATTCGAACCCGAGGTCTGGCCAAATATCCATGATTCCTCTCTCTTTGATCAAATAATCGCGGACCGACTCGTGGATGAACTGTACTGTAGAGCTGTCCTGCCAGCCGCGAGAATGGCGCTGGGATGTTCGTCCAGTGTGTACAACTTCTACGAGCCCCTTCGAGCAACTAGAAACCAACCCATGAATTTCTTGCTCGCTCTCTATCGATGCCAGGTCTTCGTCCACCGCGCCATGGGCGAATTCACCAGCCCACATGGCCATATGAAACTCCCAGACATCAAGCGGCCTACGAGCACACAGGATCCACATGATGCAGCGTCGTAACTCTTCCGGGCGTTCGTTGTCGCGTGTCAGAATGTCTCTGAACAGTTGGCTTAATGTAGGGGGTATCTCAGAGAGCCTCCTTCGCAGTGCGAGAGGGCCGTAAGGTGACTCCTTATTCAGGATCTTGACGGTGAGTTCTACCCATAAGAAAATGCCCCGTGCTTTTTCGAGGACCTCTTTCTCAAGCTCGGCCTGGAGCGATCCGGGGACCTTGAGGCACCTTCGAACATATTGTGTAAGGTCTTCGGCGTGTCCTTCTTCATTCTCGAGCGTGACGAGAAGATTCTCCCTGACATATATGTAAGGATATGGCCGACTAGAAAATGCTACGCGGAACTGAATGCCCTCTGCTGAGGCTAGGTCTGTGATGTCTTCAAGAAACTGGACCATGTCCCTGACGTCATCCTCGTTACATTCATCGAGAGCATCAATAAAGCAAACAAGAGATTGCTTGCTGAGACTCATTACGGCGTCCCTCAGGAGGAATTTTAATGAGCTCAGGCTTGGGCATACTGCTCTATCGGCCGCAAAAGACTTTGACGCGTATAGAGCTGCGTATACGCTAGGGAGGGCGACCAGAACCTGTTTGAGCAGTGATCTGTACATGCCTTCGATTGAGCGCTCCAGATAATCACCCCGAGCGCTGAAGAAGAATGATATAGCGACATCTGCCAGTCCATTCTTGACGGCCTCGCGATAGATGAACTTCATCATGGTCGATTTTCCTGCTCCAGCTTTACCGCGTAGCCAAAGCAGTGAGCTGCGTCCTGGATCTTGAGTCTTGAGGTCCGCCCACTCCAGATATTTCTTGTGACTGAGAAACCAGAGGCATGTCTTGATCTGTTCGGGCTGGATTGCGTCCCTCCGTCTGCCGCTCTGCGGGAAGTCTAGCAGTTCTAGGAATCTTCTTTGTCTCTCGGCAACGAGACTCTGATTCTTTCGGCGGGCTTCGTCCTCGCCCGATCCGCTGGGTAGTGGAGGGCCCTGATGGGTGCCTGCTAGTGGCGGGATTGTCTCTAGCAGCTCCCTTGCATACGAAGCTGCTGTGGCGGCCGCATAGCTTTGCCACTCCTTATTTTTGTGGGAGTCCGAGTAGTCGCAGATCCCTCTGATTGGAAGACACGCAAAACTGTCCATGATGCCGGCGGCCTCCATTTCAAAACATTTAATTTCCAGCTTTCGGGCAATTGCATCTCGCTTGGCTGCGTCCCTGTTAACGCTGTCTCCAGAGGCAACGCCACCGTAATGGATAAAGAAGTCGTCTGTGAGCCGGCGCCTTCGAGGCTGCAATTGCGTCATATCGCAGTCCACACAACACGTCTTCGTGGTATCAGAGAGGTGGCTATAGCCGGCTCGGAACAAGTGGTCCGGAAGTTGCGGCCGCGGATATCGGGATAGTCGTGTTCGCAGGATCTCCATTGAGCGGGGAGATACTCGACCTGGCCCGTGCTTGGACCTGAGATTTGTAACGGCCGACAAAACAAATGCAGCTGGCTGCTTCGGGATCGCTGTTATCTCAAAACCTCCGTAGTCGAGTGCTTTGCCCAGGTCGTACTCCATCACCCTAGTACCAATGACGACGTCGCCAAGGTACAGGTCGGCTTCTGTAGGTGCCCCTCCGCCGATGCCTACCAGAAGGGTCGCCCTAATATTTGGAAAGCTTCGTTTCAGATCGCGCGCAACGTTGGCTGCGTTGACTTTGCCGTAGATACCCGGAAGGGCTGTCATAGCAATATTGTGCTGAAGAATGTGGCCGAGGATGTAACTGTTGTCGTCCCCATCGCGAGCAGGGAGTGGCTCGTGCTCATTATCCAGCATGAGCCTTGACGTCTCTAGTTCGACATGAAGAGCGCATATCCAAGCGATCCCAACGCCTTATCTAGTTGTAATAACAGGAACATATGCCCTTACAAGTCCATTTGCCGGACATCTTCTGAATCGGATGTCTTTCTGACAGAATGGGACCTTATCGGAAATCTCAGCATGTTTTCAGTATGACCCCCTTTATGTACAACTTGTTGTCCTCTACGCAAGGTATGATTACATTTGATGCCTCGGCGATGTCACCCCACTCCTCTCACTCCCTATCCCTGGACTCCTCGGATAACTCATCTCAATCACACTCGTCATACTCCTCACACTGACAATCCTTGCCTTACTCGTCGTCCGACTACTCGACTGCCGGATGCTCTGTCGATTGACACACTGCGCTATATGGAAACCGCCAGGACTCCCAGGCTCCTCTGTCATCGGCGACACGAGCGCCGGACTAACACTCCTATGTCGCGGCGGCAGAGTCGCCAACCCGTCTCCTCCTTGGTGTTGTTGCTGGTGCAGAGAGTAGTCCCAGTCCGGCATATCTCCCGACATTTCCCATGCCTCATCCCCATTCCCGAGCTCATAATATACCTTCGGCGCAGGCGGTGTCGCCGGTGCCGCCGTGGGTGGTGAACCAGGTAATTCGAACAACTCTGTCCCGCCCGCCTCGCTTCGTGTGCCGGTATGAATTGTTCCCATCTCTGCCGCCACGTCGAGTGTCGTCGAGCTGGAATTACTGTCCTTCGCCGATGGCGCGGGTTTGTTGAGTGTGGGGATCTTCTTTGCGTCCTTTCTACCGCTACTGCTGTTATTGGACTTGTTCCGTTTCCGTCGACACAAGAACCAGGATATTATGCCAATTGATATTGCTGCTAGGGCTCCGCCGACTGCAATGCTGATAATTGCTCCCTGTTGTAGACCGCCCGTGGATGGGGCTGTGGATTCGCTCGGCGTGGCGTTGGTGGGTACGGATATTGGACTGACAATGCGGAAGACGTCGCTGTTGAAGGTGTCAGAGAAGTGATCGCCATTTATGGTGCCGTAGGAGTAGGCTGTGATGATGAAGTTTGGGTCGCTAGGGACATTGTAGTCGGTGGGGAGCTTCCATGTTACAGCGACGGTGCGGGAGCCACAGGATATCCCGGGGTCGGTGTAGGATATTTGAGTGTTGTAGTAGGTTAGTGTTGACGGGTATGTTGGTACTGAAGCATTGCCTGTAAAGGGATGTATGTCAGTTTCGTGGATGTCTTTGACCTGCATGTGTGATGTGGGAGGTGCACATATACGTACTCAAGAGTGGCGATGAAAGAGGCAACCTCAAACTCCGTAGGCTTAATGAACACGCGAAGCTGGTCGAATAGTTTGACTGAACGGCCCATGTGATCTTCAACTCGTCGCCTGGGTGGAAGTTGTCTGATGACGACGGGGCGACAAAGACTGGCGACGAGACATTGCATCCAATCGAGTTGGTGGTCGGTGTCGTCGACATGGTCGAGTGCTTCAGCCACGAAGGGTCCCAAAAGATGAGTCGCCGTCAGTACTGGTCGAACGTCGCAAACTTGGGCATCTGCGACTACTGAATCCACGGGCGTTTGGCCATCAGCCTTGAAGATGCATGAAGGATCAGGGCAGGGCATCACCCAGCACAATCATCTAAGCAGCTGAAGAAGAAAGCGCAGTCCCCTTGACAGGCTCGCCAAGTGACACAGGCACCATTTGGGATCTGAAGGTGGCATGGGGTCTGCCAAGCCGCTAATCTCTCAGTTTACGGGGTTTGCAGTTCACTGGATGTATTTGGTAATCGATAAGATTCTCAAGAGTAAGATTGGACAGCAAGCTATATGATCCCACTTATCTACGAAGTCTCTTTAAACTGCAGAATCAATTGTTAGTAGAGTCCCCAATTGCAGGGGGCGGTCGTGCCACCTTCAGATTTCCAAATGGTGGCTGCTTACGCCAGGGTACACGCGCGCGCTAACGTGCAGATAGTGTCAGTTGGCCTGCAGACGGACTAGGACTTGCACTTTTGGACCAAGAGCGTGTAAACGGATGCAGGGTGTAATCAACGGGAGATTGCGCCTGGGGGGCCTTGCAGAATAGACACGGCTCGTAAGATCGCTGCACAATTCTGCGGTAATTGATAGCCTGCTGATGGAAAACAAACGAAACGACTACCAGTTCTCAGAAAGGAATGCTCCCATGCAGCAGTACTGTTTTAAAGTCAAAATGCAGGTGATACAGACAGAAAAGCAATGTTGGGGAAAAGGAGCGAGTTCGAGGTTCGCTGTGGCCCACTTGGCTCGTCCCATCCCTGCTAGCAATCTATTTGAGCATGTCTCTGGAAAGCCACGCTGGGAGCTCTCCCCGGTGTGTTAGGGCCGTGCGGGACAGTCTGATCAGGGGTCTATTTATAGAATACTACATTACTGATCAGGTCCAAATTAATCCGGCCCAAGCCCCCCCACCAAAATTGGCTGCACCATACTTGCACACGACAAAAGGCCACAGAACCGTCAAACGAGGTCAGAATCGAGTAGTAATTATTGCATTTTGAAGCTGGCGATGGCGGCTTCAATATTTGGTGTATCCTCCGCGCGCACGGGCCACTGCGCGAAGGCGACGGTCCATTGTAGTGAGGACCTTTGTGATCAGCCGTTCCGGCACTGCTGCCCACGCCGACTTCAAACACTCCTCAAATTGGGAGGTATCACCGTCGTTTCTTTTGAGGGCCATAATGTTTGGAAACAGTTTTACTAGCTGGCGCTTCATTGAGGCCCAAATGTGCTCAATTGGGTTGAGATCTGGCGAGTGTGCTGGCCAGTCTGGTAGTACCGCAATGCCCCTGACGGCGAGCCAATCCATAGTACTCTCTGCGCAATGAATTGCTGCATTATCCTGCTGAAATACCTGCCAATCGTCGTATATTGGGATGAAGCCATCGCGCAATGCCTTCTGATAACTCCAGGCCGTATAGCCCTTCTTTCGCTTGTTGGGATCTGGCTGCGATTCGCGCTGCATTATCACCAACTCTGACCGGCACCCCACGCCGTTCTTCAGGTATATGGCACCCCAAACCATAATGGATAGGTTCGCCTTAACGTGCGATTTAAGGTTGACGAACTGGTCGTCCCATTTCTCGCTTGGGAAGCGGAATACCCATTGCGCGGGTGCGTTTGTGGAGTTCTGGCAGGACGACTCATCCGTGAAAATCACCTAGATCAAGTCAGCATAATCCCACCAACTTCACTTACACGTACCTCCTGCAATTCGTCGACTTTTGGTAGCCACTCTCTTGCAAATGCAAGCCTAGCTCTTCGTGCTTCTTTAGATAGCGGAATCCTCTTCTGAGCTTTCCACTTACGTAGCTTAGCTTCGTGAATGATGCGCTTTATGGATGTCTTGGAGATCTGGAAGGGCATGGCTTGTATGATCTCTGGCCACGTCGCTTTTCGCTTGCGTTTGACGATAGTTAGTACGCGCCTTCTCTGGGCATTTGTGAATCCATTGCGACCATTCCGAGGCGATTTGGCTAGGTTGCCGTTGTTTTTCCAGTCCGAGATAATGCGGGTGATTGTTGACTTGGAGGCCCGCGTAAGCTCGGCAATGCGGCGGTGCGTTACACCTGCGAAATGGGCGGCGCAGATAGCTGCTTTCTTCTTAGGAGTGAAATCCTGCTTCGGCAGCCTATCGGCGCACACTCCAGCAACAAAATCATCCATGATAACCTCAAAATGCGCTCGAAATGGTGGTTTTGAAGAAGGGAGGGTTTGCAGGTGGCGCGACGCGTTCGCGTCGGTGGGGTGGTTGGGCCGGATTATTCTGGGCCCCAACTGTAGGGTTGAAGCTATCGCGATGTTTTTCCATAGCAGGCACCCAGACATCGCCACTCAACTTCACTAATGCGATTCGATTTTCTACCTCATCGAATTCTTGCTATTTAGAGCCCGTTCTTGCTTGTATCCTGTCGCCAATGCCGTGATCAGAGATTGCCTCACGAGTGCTGCGTCACCAGGGCACTGTTGACGTGGCTGGCTCCCCTCAAAAATCCCATTCAACCCCTGACTGGGAATGCCCTCACTCTGGCCCCGGCCCAGAGTGCACGTCGCAGGCAATACCGCCGAAACTGGCAAGCGGTGAACTCCCTCCGGTCGTGGCGGTTGTTTTGTCCCCGATCAAAAGAATCCTCGCCCATCCCAGGACACTGGTGTTGTATGTTTTTGCACTTTTGCGTTTCACTTTTTATTTCGAGCATGTTGCCTTTCCTGCAATTACCTGGTTAAAGCGTCCCGACGTTACACCCCGAAAAAATCCAGGGCATGTTGAATCTTTGGGGTTCGGACAATCCTGTAGTGAATGAATTTGAAACACGAGTATCGCTTTATCTTCTGCGGCTTTCAGATGCGTAGCTCACGTCTAATACATATCTTTAATGCAATATTCAAGGGCAAAGCGGCTGCTGACCACATTGCCAGCCCATGTTATCATGTCCGCTCGTATGCCGCGAGCCAGGTTCGTGCATGTCCCACCGAGCACAATGGTTTTGAGGCCTGAAGAATGTTCGCAATCGAACACTGGCAAATGCAATCATAAAGCCTCGGATAGATCGGGTCTTGTGGAACAGAACAGGCTGAGGCCCTTTGGACAACCAGCACCATAAAACAAGGCTGTCATGGATGGCAAGTGCCTGCCTCAAACAGGATCTCGTGGACACACGCAATAGGCTAATGTCGCAGCCACGCTGGTATTCACGTACCATATCCGCGCACCAAGATCATGCCTACTTGTTCAACTCTGTTTCTTATATTCCTTGGCACGAATTGAGTATGGAGGTGGCCACAATTAGACTGAATTGAAACGAGCGCAAGCTAGTGCCATGATCGGAACGATTGATGCGAGTTAGTTAGCGTAGCGATGCAGTTTGGTTGCCATTCGAAGACTCCGGTGACCTTTACGCCCGCTATGAGTATCACTTTAGATCCATTCAACTGCGTGAAGTGCACACGACCAAATTAGATGTAACCAGTAGAAAACTTCTCAACTCGAATTATAAATCGGAAAATGGAGGAGCGTACGATTGATAAGTATCTTCTCGATCTGTTCAATGCTCGCCTTCCAGGAGAGCCTTGATGGTTGGCCGGAGAGCAATGCCACCGATGATCTCGTTCCAGCGTTCCACAGCTGCCTCCGTTACCTGGGGCGTGTCCTGCGAGTCAAAGAGTGCGTAGAGCTCCCCAACCACCGTACCAACCTCCCTCATCAAAAAAGACACCATCGATCTCTTTGTCTCGTCTGGAAACATTGCGGATTCTTCAAGCCTTAGCAGCGCCATGCCCAATCCATCGACGTAGTCGAGGCTCTCCTTTTCAGAGTCGGATTCCTGAGTAGAACATGCCTCGTCAGATTCGGCAGAGTCGTCCTCTGGCGTGTCAGGATCGAGGTCATCTTCCTCCTCCTCCTCCTCTTCTTCTAGTTCCATTTTCAATTGCCTTTCAAGCTCATCTTCATCATAATCATCATCTTCCGCCTCAGAACTAAAAATGGAGCTGGAGCTGGAGTTGGATGAATACCGGTTCCACCTGGAGAATGACGAGTCCCCTTGTCTTCCATAATGCTCAGCAGCAGTGAGAGCCCCTGCTGCTCGCAGAATGTCCACGACGGCTAGTTGATTGGCGCGCATGGCCATTTCCAGTGGCGTCTCATTCGTGTCCGATACTGGCGAAGGGTCAGCACCCGCTCGCAGGAGAGCCTCGACGCACTCGACGTGTCCGCCATTGGCGGTCCAGTGGAGCGGTGCCCAGTAATATCTCGTTGTGTGCGATGCGTTCAGACCTTTGTCTTGGATTCACTGTACGTAGAACAGGTTACCGCTGGCTGCGTGTGGATACAGCAATGGCAAGCCGTCGCTGCCCACGGCCATTGGGTCAGTGGCGCCATGGAGCTCGAGCTCGTCGAGCACTGTCACATGCCGGTCAGTCGTAAAGTCTTGGTGACATCTCAGAGAAACCAAGCTGGTAGACAGAATGCGACTCACCTAGCTTGTTGTCGGGGTTCAACTTGACGGACCAGGCCGTCTGTCCGTTTCTGTTCTTGACGTGAACGTCTGCGCCCCGCTGCAGCAAGTCTTTGACCAATGCCAGGTCCTTCTTGGCTGCAGTTCTGATCAGAGGCGTGTTGCCCTCGTCGTCCTGTACATTGACGTCCACTCCCGCTTGAATCAGAGTAGTCACTGTCTTGTGATTACCCAGCTCCACAGCCAGGAACGCCGATGGCCTTCCAAGCCCAAAAGTCTTGTCCTTGACATCCCACTCGCCCTTCTGGCTCATGCGCAAGACCTTTTCCGCTTCATCGCGTTCTACAGCTGCGAGGAGGTTGTCCGACCGCAGCTTGCGATATATCCGCATTGCGCCCTCCCCTACTCGCTGGACACGCGCCGTGCTCTGGAGCGATGGCTGCCGCGACAATCCGGCGGAGACAAAGAACAGACAAGCGAGAAACATTGGAAAGACCATGACAAACTCTGACAGGCCCGCGAGGTTGGTGGTTCCGCGCCTGCTGCTCTCGTGGATAAAGTTCAATCGCTCATGGTTGCGGTTGACCATCGACCGCACGAGCGTCCTGGGCGTGCCATCCCGATGTATTGCCTTGAGCAGGATTTGACGGCCCGCGGGGGACGTGATGTCTAGTTCTGCACCGTAGTCAAGGCAGACGCTCACCACGTCCATATGATCGCGCTGGAAGGCTACAGCGATGGGCTGACGAAAGAACTCGTCAATGGAGTTGACATCGCGACTGGATCCGAGGAAATGTCTGAGGACTGGGATGTAGCCATACCAACTGATGATGTGCGTTGCGTTGGTGTGGGGCTTGGGGAGTGGTGCAGAGGCTTTCGTGCTGCGGAGTATGACTTTCTGAAGGTCTTTGGCGATCTCTGATGCGGTCGAGGGCCCGGCTTGCAGTCTCTGTGCGACGCTGAGGGGTCCTGCGGACGGTTGAGCCTGGGTTTCTGCATCGCCCCCATTGTCTTGATCGAGAAGTGCGTCGTACGTTTCGAGCTCCAAGACCCTTGCGATCTCATACAAGAGATCATCCAAATCCTGCAGACCGTCTGACTCAAGGTCGTAGTAGTTCTTGAGAGCGCTTGGCAACTGGAAACCGTCTCCACGGAATACCATCGCGCGCTCAGCTGCTGAGGTGTCCAGGTCGCCTACGCGTATCGGTGGCGATTCTGAGCTCTGCTCGTGGAGATCTCGGGTTTCTTTTTGAATCGCGCTAAAAAGATGCTGGCTGGTACAAGTCCCAAGCTTTGAGCCATGAGTCAAACAGTGATCTTGATTGACTGTTACTCAGGAGCGTGATGAGGTCGTTGGTTGTGCCGCTGTCAGCATCACTGGGTCCGCGGCGCAGATGATGGCCAAGGTACTGTAATGCGTACGGAAGCAGTTCGGAGTCAAGCAGAGGCTTGCTCTATTGGTCGGTTGGTCGCTGAAGCCGGGAATTCCTTGAAGATATAAGCAGCTTCCAATGTGGAACCCGATTGACCTTTTGCATCCATACAGGTTCCCGTGTGCAGAGCCGATGAAGGTACTTCACGCATGTAGCGGCTATCTGCCGGTGATGGTCGCCGAAGAGTGCTTCGGAGTGTTCCCTCAGGTACAGTTGCGCCGTCCGATGGACGAGACGCACCGTACCTTGCTGGAGAGTAATTAGGCCGCATGATATGTCGCGGATCGTGGTCTGCATGCGAGTGCGGTCATCAAGAGCCATGCCCTTCGTCACCGGGTCACAAGAAAGAGCAGCGAAAAACTCCTCTGTGGTGAACTCGCGTGCGCTCATCACAGTCCAGGCTAAACAGCGGTAGGCTCGCTGCGAATCGATGTTCTTGTCCTTTTCACCAACGAGGCGCTTGGACAGTCTGGAGTACATCTCGTGTAGATCGAGAGCCTAGGGAAGCTGTTTTTCCAGGAAGAGACGCAGATCTGAGTGGTTCACTGGCACGGAGTCAAGAAGAAGGAGGAGCGAGACTATTTGCAGTTCTGCCAGGAAGAATCTGGTCATTGTCAGGCAGTGGGCTAGGGGTAAGCGCGAACTGGCGGTGACTTACACTGCGTAGCTTTTCCAGGTGATCAGACTTCTGACTTTGTCCCTGATAGCAGGGTCTTCGTCTATAAGTACTTGCACATTTTCGTTCTCGGCCAATTTCCGGTCCACGAAGAGGTGAAGATCATCATGGCCTGTTGTGATTTGCTCCCGATGAAAACCCTTGGATGGTTGTTCGTATCCACTCCAAATCTTGGATGTGACCAGTAGTGAAACACCACTGTCCTCGATATGGGAAGGGCGCACAAGAGGAAGAAGCTCCTTGGCTATACCTGTTGGTGCTTCATCAATAAATAGCGTCAATCACAATATACACAGGTTCGACCCGCGACATTTCGTGGATGAGATCTGCAAGCTTGGCCGTCCTCCTTAGGGACGGCTCGTTTGTCGGGTTTTCGGTCTGGAAGTTGACAAGGTCCTGAGGAACGGGGTTGTCTCCGAGCATTTGCTTCAAGATGCTTCCGAGAAGCTGGTCGAGCTGCACATCTTGCAGCTCGTGCGTGAGATAGCCATAGGCCACTTGCCCGTGTCGTAGCTTCCGGCTCTGTTTGAACTCTGCGCGCTGTCTTTGCAGCCGCTCAATGATGATTGACCTGCAATATTGTATGCGAACGAGTCAGCATACCTGAAGCTCGAGAACCACGGAGAGACGATCGGGACTATACTCACGCAAGCGTACTCTTCCTCACGCCGGCTACTCAATGCAAATTAGTAAACCATCAAGCAAATGGAGCAGCAGGCCAACTCACGCAACCCGCTGTACCATATCTCTCACGTCTCTTGACCAACCCAAGCAGATAGGGACGCCGACTCCCATAGCCACTTGCCGCTGTAGCGGTCGGATGTCTCGGCGTGTGCAGTACTGTGGCTGCCTCCTTCATGAGCGCTGGGTCGTGCATGTCCAGGCCTGCCTTTTCTCGGATCTCCGCATGCTTCAACCGAAAATCCAGGGGCGTGAGCCACGAGAGAAGATTCTCCCGCACAATCTCGCGATGCTTGGCTGGGATCATGGAAGCTTTCCCCAGCAGGGCTGTGCCATCCAGGCCATCGAAGAGCTCGCCATCGCGACCGCTGTTGTATCTGCGCACGCGCTGCTGCGGGTCGCTTGCCTGGATCGTGCTCAGGAGCGCTTTCGTGACTGCCGCTGCCGAGGCAGCTGCGAAAGGCTGCCACCCTTTGGCTTTGTGGCTGTCGGCGTAGTCGCAGACGCCTTTTACCACGATGCAAGGAAGCTCTTCCCACATGCCTGCAGCCTCCATCTCGAGGGCGACAAGCTGGTATCGTGCTGCAATGATGTCACGATCGACCCCCGATTTCATGACCGTGTCGGCAGAGCCGACTGCTCCTAGATGCACACTCAGCCTGTCCGTCTCGGCCGAGGGTCTCTTTTTGCGTGTGATGGCGTTGGAGACTTCGCTCTCGGCGCTCTTAGCGTAGTGGAAGTAGCTGAAGAATTCGCCAAGGTCTTCTTCGTGCAGCGCCTCCCAGCCCCAGCTTAAACTGTGTATCTCGACATGAATAATCCGATACTTTGAACATCCTCACATCCAGTTTCGTTCCTCGATGCTCTTCTGGGCAAACCGTTTGCGGTTTGTGCCTCCTGTAAGCGGTTAGATGAAGAGGTATATCACGTGACATAGCCTGAGTGTGACGCGCAGTCGGCTGCCCAAAACAGTTGGTGGGAGTCATGTGCGACAGCACGTGATTTTTTGACGTTTGGGTTTTTTTCGTCGGGATCATGATGATCATCGATCCGCCCTCATGTACCTCGACCTTGATCCATTTGGTGATCCAGCCGCCCGTATGCCACGCCCCCCTGTGTAGTTGGTAGCGACTTCGCTCTCCGTGACGGCGTTGGACTGTTTGCACCAGACACACCGACATCGCGCTCGATGTGCGACATGGCGAACAGGCCGATGTCGTGGGGTTCGCCTGCGGCCGTCTGCGACGCCGAAGGGTGCAGCTTACTGATAGCATGGTCTACTAGCACGACGCTGTCGATGTTGCTGCTTTTCGCACCGCTCTCCTCGGCGAAGACCAGACGCGAGGCGAGGATGTCGACGCTGTTGTATGATGTCTCGGTTAGCGGGCTTAACCATTTATTAACGTTGCGATATCGAGATTAGAGGACAAGCGTACAACAGGATGATTGGGAACAAACACCCCAGAGTGTAAATAAACAGGTCAATCTGGCTGACTGGGTTTAGAGGGCCCGACACCATGTGGAAAAAGAATGTTATTGAGCGCGGGATGCCGATGAGCGCCAGCGAAGCGAGGCGTATTTCGGCGCTGCGTATGAGGTAGCGGTATAGCTTGCCGCCCTTTAGTCCGCCCGATATCGACGACCGGAGGGTCGTGCGGAGCTTTTTCAGCAAGAATACGGCGTTTACGCTTTCGGCCATCGCGATGGGTATGAAGTAGCCCAAGTGCAGACGGTTGACCACGGTCAAATGTATGGCCAGGCGGGTTGGCGAAGGGTCGTCGGCGAGTATGAAGAGCACGTCGACCACGGCTATTGCAGCGCGGACAACCACGGTGACGAGTATACACCCCCAGAAGAGCGTTAGGTAGATTGCGTGCTCGCAGCCATGGAGGATAGGGGCCAGGATCGCATAGCCGTAGAATGGGAGTCCACCTTCTTGAACCTGTTGGAGCAGGCCGAGGTGGCCATCGCGTTAGTCGAATATAACATAGCAAGCCGGGAACGGAGACGGGGACATGAGCGTCGGGGGACGGATGGGGAGGCCCAGAAACGTCTCGCTCACCAACCACGCGAAATCTGAGAACGCATAAGCGACCGCCCTGTTAACGGCCGGGGCGTCGGAAAAAGCAACGTAGTAATATAAACCATTGGAGATAGCACACGCAGCCGAGGTAACGATCGGTACTAGGATGACGGCTGAGAACCTGCCCCTGATTCCAGCGATCATAAGACCGACAAGTACGTTGTTAAGCCCGATGGTGCTGAAGACGGCCCATATCGTTTCGAAGTACTGTGGTTTTACGGCGGCTGGATTTGATGCCATGGCGTTAAACTGAAGAGTTCCGAATGATGATCAGTTCCGAAATGGGCCGTAGACGTTTATCAGAACAGATTAATGCTTTGCACCGTCGCCGCTGACATAATATGTGACAGAATATTAAGTCGCCACCAAGAAAAAGAGGTAAGCCGGTTCGGCCTAGTGCCACACAGACGCCCGCCAATTGAAGCCATCTTCAGACCCCTGATTTCCCCACTAATAGTGAGTCCCAGCCACAGCCAAAGTTGTTAGCCCACTGGACCCTGCCCCTGATTCTGGTCCCACGAGCCCTCAAACTCGCCTTGGAGCCTGATCGGCTCCCCACCGCTGGCGGTTGGCCACTGCTGCGGCAGGGGGCAAATCATGCCAAGGACTATTTTTCGACGCCCTTATCCCGTTCTAGTACCAAATTTGAGTGCCAATATGAGCCAGAGCGTCTTCAATCGCTGGACCCCCTGTGACGCCCCTGTCTTCAATGTACCGACTAGCTCAGCCACTAGGCTTGCTACAATACGGCAAAGATCAGCGCTTTCGAGTGGTCTGAGATCCCTACAACCACTACTGTGGTGGGGGGATAGCATTTATCCCGGCCTTTTTGCTGCAACCCCTCGGGATAAGAATCACGTGCAAAGAGGCTGACAGAAATAGGCTTGGTGAAGGGAGGGGTTTCCAGCACATTGTCAGTGTACTGTATTAGACGCAGAGTTGCTCCTAGAATTGCGCCACCTGAACTCTATACAGGTGGCGTTTAACATGTGAAGTTCGCCACCCTAAAGGATGCCCATGTAAATGCGGAGCTCGCGGCGAAACCACAGATGAGATGAAAGCGAGGGAAAAGACGAGAAGGATGAGAGCTGAAAGTTCTGGAGATGGCGGGGACCAGGGGAAGTAAGTTATATAACTGCCACTTTTGTCCGAGCCCTCGAAGCCGCCAGGCATACTCAGCCCTGTTAACGATCAAAACTTTGATCTAGCGTAACGCCGTGGCGTTTTCAGCCGCGCAATCCGGCCCTTCGGGAGTACTATCCCTAGTATTTGGATGTCCTTAGTTCCGGCCACCATGAACGGCTTGGGGTAGACACGACGGCTGTCAAGCTCAATGGGCAGTGATTGAGGCCATTTCTCCGTATACCAATATGTTTGTCTCGTTCAAGGCAAGCATGTCGCCACCAGGGTGAGATTTCAGGTAGTGATGGAAGCCTGCTTGACGTGTAGACCATCGAAATGGCCTCAACCGCGCCAACTTCACTACCCACGCCATGTGCAATCAGCATTGAATGGAATCCCATTGAGACCATTCTGGTGATTAACCAGGCTAGCGAGGATCATTGAGCGAAATGACCCAGCCGCCAGCCTGAGCGATTGTTCATTTGGTGGCACAGACAGGCTTTGTCATTCTAAATGCCTGCATGAACAGAAATACATAAGCTCGAGAATGCGGTGTTCGGCAGCGTGTTTGAGGACTCACCAGCTTCTATAGTCTCTCGTAAAGTCATCGTATTTCACGAGCTCTCAGCATCACATACTGCCCTCTTCGCACACCATGGACAACTCCAACACCCCCTATACGAACCTAATCCGTGGGAATGGTAAGCTAAACATCCATCCATGCGACCAGCCTTCCATAGTTGTTCTGGCCCAGGGGTCGCCCGGTCATTACTTACGATATCATTAATGCCTTGCCCTGGTGACCACGTCTAGGGAATTTTGGCGACATGTTTTGGTCCAATACAGCATATGCAACCAAAAACGGCAACTCATCCACGCAAACGCAGGCAGGCTCAACTTCATCCAACATAAATACATCTTCAGCACGTTCAGACACACGGCCGCCTCCCAACAAATAAGATAGATGTTGGCAAACTCATGCCGACAGTGATCAGTGCATCGAGAACGAGGGCCGCAATCACCAAGTCCAAGGAGAAAGAGACAGTGAGAGAGCCAAGCAGTTGCAAAATGCCATGCGTCTCGGGTATTACGGCTTTCCTTAAGAACATGCTGCCCTTCGGTAGAACAACGCTCGTTGATCAGAACTTCATTTCTTGTTCTTTCAATCTCCAAGCATCCGGGCAAGGCGACGAACTCATGTGTCTTCATGCATTCTCATACTCCTATATCATTAGCGACTGCTTCAATAAGTCCTCTCACCGTTTCGTCTGCGCGACTAATCACACAAAGAGGAAAGCGGCGCTTCGGCATGTACTAGGTCAACCTAAAGTCTTCCACTCGATCAGACCAAAATCGCAATAGTAGGGTGCACGATGAGACAGGACTGTGGCTCTCACGTGAGACTAAACTTTCCTTTGTCGATCAACTTTGTAGCCGTTCAAAGCGAGTTGGGTCGACCTATAACACGCGGTGATCCAGATCATCCGATCTTGTACAATCACGAAGGGTCGCCACGTGACATCTACCCCAAGTACATCATGCTTTGCCTAGCAGCGAGTTCATGGCACTCCCCGCATTCTGGCCGAATTACCCTATGTGGAACCTTAATTCTCCTGGCTTCCCCCGCAGTACCCCGACTTCCTGGAAACCGATTTCCTTGCGTCCATGTGCGACCCCCTGCGCATCATGATCCGGAAGTCGTTCTCCCTCCTCACCCATAACCACGACTTGCATGTCATAGTTTGTAGGCATCTTCAAGCGGACACTCCGGACATATCATTCCGCGCCGCAACGAGCTGGAAGGATTGCCGAAACCACGGCTCGGGGCGGATCAGTAGAATGATGATAGAGAAGCGATGATCCACGCCCACCGCAGGATGCCTCCGCTCGGTTTTGCACGAACGGCTTTACATCAGGTTGAGAAGCTTGGTCGAATCTGCTCAGTGAAGACACCCCGACGATATTTCTCGAGACATTTCATAGACAAGCACCTTTCCAGCAGCGGAGATCGGAGAGCCCTGTACGAAGTCTCAGCCTCGATCCCGCATGGTTATTCGTACAGCCGCGCATTCTCTTCCTGTGCACCGTGGCAATCCACGAGTGTTCGATCGGGAGCAGCTTCAAGCAACCACACCATGGGTTCGCAGGCCGAGCAGCGCGTGGGCATTGTGACCGGCGCATCGGTACGTAATTCGACTGCATAAGAGGCTTACTTGTGATTCACAAGTGGTTCAAATACGCCGTCGGAAGTTGATGTGTGTCAATTCTGTGTAGTCGGGCATGGGCCTTGCCTTAACAAGACACTTTATCGGCAAGGGCTGGAAGATTGCGATGTTTGATATCAATGACAAAGTGGGAAACGAGCTAGGTGAGTGATTCTTTCCCAGCCCCAGCGATATAGCCTCAAACAAATGCCTGACCTCTTCCTACAGTTCAAGAACTTGGCCCAGCGACGTCATTCCACAAAGTCGACGTCGCCTCTTACGATTCTCAGGCCGCCGGGTTTTTATCCGTCTTCGAACAGCACGGCCGCATTGACGCGCTCCTAGCCAACGCTGGCATCGTGGACCGGTCGTCTTTGTACATCCTGGGCCACAGGGCTAACCAGGTCGAGGACATCCCCCCGGCACCAGACACGCTGTGTACTGATGTCGACTTCAAGGGTGTGCTCTATGGAACGCAGCTTGCAGTGCATTTCATGCGACACAATCCACCTGCTTTGGGAGGAGGTGCCGGAGAAGCTGCCGGAAATGACCAAGTCAAGGGGAGGATTGTCTGCACAGCGAGCGTTGCAGGCATCGTTCCGCACCCGAGCTACCCAGAGTACAATGGCGCCAAGGCCGGCGTGGTCACGTTCATCCGGGGTGTTGCGGGCGTGCTCAAGGTCAAGGAGCAGATCCACATCAACTGCGTGTGCCCTGGCATCGTGGCAACGAGCATCATCCCGCCCGAGATGGTGGCGGCTGTGCAGCCCGAGTACATGACCGCCGTGGACACAGTCGTTAGGGGATACGAAGAATTTCTGGACGAGAAAGACCAGAGGTTTGGGGTTGTCGTGGAGGCTTCGGTGGATGAAGTGCTCGAAGTGTCTGAGGGAAGGCTCGCGAATGGCAAGGCGAGTGAGCCAGCCGTCACGGTGTGGGATCCGTTGTTCAAGATGTTACATGGAGAGGGGAGTGGGCTCAAGAATGCCATTCCTTGAAACAAATCTCTGTTACATGAGCCTTGATAGCTACCTCACACATCTTAATTCTAGTCGACATCATGCATTGCACGATCTCCTCATATATCACCTCTCCTCCATTCATCTGGGAACTGTGCATCCAGCTCGTACACGAAACGGTTGCTGCCTGGTGCTTCCGCGGTCACTGGGTGATGATTGGAACCACGAAGCTCTGCAATGTACGTCTGTTCGAAAGCCTCCGGCTCGTATTTGGACAGCTCGGTAGATCTCACGGTGTTCTCTTGCTGATATGGAGGAGGGTCAAGAGCACTGTGAGACCTTGAGTGGTGGCGTCGTAAGCACCACCACGTGAGGGTGGCTGAAATGGCTAATATCACAGCGCCAGCCACTCCTCCAGCGATGCCCACCATTGTGCTTGTGGGAAGTCCCGCTGATCCTGATGTTGGGGTGCTGGAGGCGCCGCCCGGGTCTGTTGCTGGATTCGAAGTACTGCCCGGCTGAGGTTCACTCTGGCATGCCGCACGCACCTTCGGGCCCATTACTGACACTAACATGGTTTTCGTCGTAGGATTGGCCTTCCACATTGTGTAAGTGCCCTCGTCATGGTCAACCATGAGATATGCTGCAGTCAAGAAGTAGCGGCCAAGCGTGGCAGGCTGGTCAGATAGACCATTAAAAAGAAGCTCGCGTCTGCTGTTGTTGAATACACGCCGTCCCTCACGATTGATGTCAACAAATGGTACGAGAAACTGGTCGTTGGGAACCCGGACTTGAAGACCAGAGGCAAGCGAGATCGTCAAGTCGCCATCGTAACTAGAGTAAGCGTTAACGTCAGTTGTTGTCCTGCTCTGGCAGAGAACTGCAGCCGAAGGCGCGAAGGATTGTGCCGTGGTGACCAACTCACGTTCCAGCAGCACTGTACAGGTACGCGGACCAGTGCAATCCGAACGATTGCCCCTCATTCTTCATCTTGGTTAGCCCTTCGAATGTTCGAATCAGAGACTGAGGGGCTTCGAGTAGAAGCTGTCTCTGGGGCACGATGCAAGCAGATATGACCGTGCTTGAGTCGAGAAGCTGAGAGTCTGTGCCATTGCGGTTGTTCAGGGTGATGCCGGTGATTTGCGCTTTCATGCCTGTCCAGCAGCCCGTCTTATCGCTGTAGTCAAGGGGTGAAGTGAAGTTGTTGCCGATGGTTTTATCTGCGTCGTATCCCCCAAGCACGAGCGACCCGTCGACGTCATTGTCTATCCACATTCGGCCCCAGAAGATGGACCAGACCCGTGAGCCAATCTCGCCACTGGCAACCAAGCCATTGAGGATGGTTGAGTTGCGCCCCATGCCCATCGCATGCATGAGGCTGTAGCCATGATCCCATCCGAAGCGAGGTACTCCAAGCGGCATGGCTTTTACGTCTGCGGTCCGACGTCCGAGTGATATATTGTCGTTGGCCCCCACACTCGAACTCATCAGTTCGTCGATGCCCAGCTCCGATCCTGGAAGCTGGGATTCTATGGTCGAACCGCCGGCATTGACAAGGTCTGAGCGTCGCGTGAAGGTTGTGGAATCATCCGATCGATATAGCCCGCCGCGTCGAATCTCGCAGATCAAGTCGTTCCAGATGACCGTCTTGTCGCAATAACCTTGCTCATCGTAGATGAATGTGTTGTTGAGTTCTCTACATCCGTTCCGGATCAGCATCGTCATCGTGTCACAATACATGCTCGGCACTCACGGCCATGGCAGAAGCACAATATCTTGTGGTGGAGTGCCGATTGTTGCTGCCACACCTCTCACGAGGGATTGCGGGATGTCCGGGCGGGCCTGGACGTCAGAAATGGGTAGTGACAAAGGAGGAACGTCCGGGCATGAGTTGCAAAAGGCGCTGACGCCAAATAAGATGACAATGAGGAGGATCATCGTGTTGCGACTCTTGGCAGTACGAGAAGATCTTCTTTCGTCGACATAACAAATGGGCTCACAGTGGGATCTCGAAGAATGAAGTGAAACCCAGGCGACCTCGACGACTCTGTTGTGTGTGGGCGATGGTGCTTATGGGTGTTCACATATCCCTCTCCGGCACACTGGGCAGCAGGAGCGAATCTGTTGGCCCAGCATGCAAGTCTGCCAACATGAAGCCATCATCGCGACCGCGACAGGGCATTGTCCCAATCACAGTCGTCCCAAAGAATGTTGGTTGTGCACTGCATCGTGTGGGCGCTAAAATGCAATCGCGGCAGGGATTCTCGGACGGATGAACCCCTGACGCCACAGGCTCGTCCAATCGTCCTTCGTAGTGCCTACAGGGGTTACAGCCTGGGATTCACAGAAACAACAAGAATATCCGCGCGGCAGTCAGTTCGATTTCTCCCTTGCCCCCTTCGCGAGTTGTTTGCTTTCCTCGCATGCGGCCCGAGAAGCAGGCTTCTCCTTGACCCGACGCCACGGTGCCCACCACTCTACGACGCGTTCACCACCATCCCCATTGTATGTCAAGTCTTTTGTTTCGACACAATCATTCCAAATGATAGCCATGAGCGCCTTGTGCGGCCGGCGCAGCGCTCGCTTGCCCCTCGTCTTTACAGCGGTGGCAATTTTCTATCTCTGCATTTTGTACTTGCCCAGCGGCTACTATCGAAGCTACGCTGATCCGGAGCCAACTGCTCATCAGTTCGACTACAAGAACAGCAGCTTCGATTGGGCAAGTGTGTCTCTACGACATCCCATCGCGCAGTTCACCAGCCTTCCCACGGAATCATCCTCCACTCTGCCACTGGTTCAATACGATTTTGCCTCGTCCACAAAGAAGCCAAGTCGGGCGCGCATCAAGCTCATTGCAGAGCGCCGCTCGCAAGTGAAGGCTGCCTTCACCAAGTCTTGGCAAAGCTACAAACGACATGCATGGCTTTTCGACGAGCTCACACCGGTGTCCGGGCACGGCAAAAACAGCTTCGGCGGCTGGGCCGCCACACTCGTCGACTCTCTTGATACGCTCTGGATCATGGGCCTGAAAAACGAGTTCTACGAGGCCGTCGCCGCCGTGGCTCAGCTCGACTGGGCGGACACAAAAGACACGGCATGCAACTTCTTCGAGACCACCATCCGCCATCTCGGCGGTCTTCTCGCTGCTTACGATCTGAGCCACGAGGAGGTGTTGCTCAGGAAAGCAGTCGAGCTCGGCGACATGCTCTATGTGGCATTTGACACCCCGAGCCACATGCCCCCTTTCTGGTTTGATTTTCAGAAAGCCAAAGACGGCATGCTGGTCGCTGGCAACCATGATCCGTCTGCATCTGTCACATCATCTTCTCTCGAGTTCACGCGCCTCTCCCAGCTCACAGGAGACCACAAGTACTACGATGCTGTCACGAGGGTGACTCGCTTCTTGGAGGACTCGCAGAACTTCACAAGGCTGCCAGGCATGTGGCCAACCTTCTTCGACATGCAGAATGTCGACAAAGAACGCATCGAGAGCGGCCAAACCAGTCTTTCATGGGAAAACGGGTTTACGTTGGGTGCTTTGTCTGATTCGTTGTATGAGTACCTGCCGAAGATGCATTCATTGCTCGGAGGCAAGGATCCCGTATACGAGAAGTTGTACAGGGGAGCAACGGAAGTCATCACGGAGCACATCTTGTTTCGCCCCATGGTCCGTCCATCTGGTCAAAGTTCTGCAACAAACATCCTGTTCGCAGGCACCGTCTGGGTCGAGGACAATGGCCTACGCTTAGACCCCGAAGGACAACACTTGGCTTGCTTTGTGGGAGGCATGTATGGCATTGGGGGCAAGCTTTTCCAAGAGGCCCAACACGTCGAGCTCGGCATGAAACTGGCACGGGGCTGTGCATGGGGCTACAGCGCTTTCCCAACTGGTCTTTTGCCGGAGATCTTTGGACTCCAGCCATGTTCGACCGCAGGCCCATGCGACTTCGAGCCACACAACGGGGCTGATCACGATTCGCAACAGCCACTCCACAGCCGGATGGGGTTCACGCATGCTCGGGACGCTCGTTATATTCTGCGGCCCGAAGCCATCGAGAGCATTTTTTACATGTACAGAATCACAGGCGAGGATGACCTACTGGACATTGCCTGGGATATGTTTCAAGCGATCAGGCAGTCCACAGAGACAGAACTTGCATTCTCAGCAATCTCTGATGTCACAGAGACTGGGGAGACAGCCAAGCTAGACTCTATGGAGAGCTTCTGGCTCTCAGAGACGCTCAAGTACTTTTACTTGATCTTTTCCGAGCCGGAACTGATCAGTTTAGATGAGTTCGTACTCAACACTGAGGCACATCCCCTGAGAAGACCAAGATCTAGATAGCGATTGTGTATTAATTCAAGGCATCAGATCTATTGTGGGACGTCATTGGGAGCGATGGCAATGCCAGACGAGACCGCGCAGTTTTGCAGTATCAGTTACGGAAGAAGATCGAAATGCCTCTGCATGCACCATAGACATTACAATGGCTTGGGTCATTCGATGACTCTAGTGGCCCTTTTGCGGTCTAATCTGCGGAACTACCCGTACAAGAAGAATTGTCTAAGGCATGCGAGCTGTTACACGGAGCCAAGTTTAACTGACATTAGCAAAGGTATGACCAAGCTCCCTCCAGAGAAGTATCTGCTCATGATTAGACCAAGTCTTAATGACAACATCTTGCCTATCTACCCAACAGTGTCACTGGGCCCGTGTCACCATGTCGAATGTTTGGGCCTCTTCCAGCGGCAAAACGGTGTCTAGAAGGGCCTTGATCAAGCATCACCTGTCCAATGCGGCAACCCATTCCCATCACCTTAACAGCCCTTTTCCGCGCGACAATCCATCCGACCTTAAAGGACGAATGTGTCGCGCCACACGAACTGGGATGACGCGATGGAGGCTAGCACTGTCGCGCCGACCACAAATTCGAGAATATGACAAAACCTCATATCGGAGCAGGCCTTCTATTCGTGCAAAACATCCGAAGTGGAAGCACTCTGCCCATGTGGTCCTCGCCAAACCCTAAATCTCCCACCAGGTACTCGAGACATTCCCGTGCGAAGTATCCGCAAAATACACTTTTTTGACAGGCGCCGTAGCGACAACTCTAACTGACCCTGGCCATCACTATTACGAAAGCGGCACTTCCTCCAAAACTCTATTTCTAGGCGAACTGGCGACGATAAGGCCGAATGAAGAGCCCCCTCACACGTGGTGTACTCAAACCTACGAATCTGCACCTGTGTTGAGAGAAACCTTCGGTAGACCGTTGTCAGCCTATGCTCGATGTGGCCACACGACGGAAGAAGGTTCGCACTCACTGCGGTGCCGGAGCATATGCCACGCGCGTACTAGCGCCCAATGCCGCCGGAGCCGAATGTCACAGAACCCCCCTCATGCTGCTTTCAGCTAGCAAGGAAAGCTCGAGGAGTGCAGATTTACGCCAGAAGAGTAGCGCGGCCCGGCAGTGCACTAGCTTGTGCAGGTCCTGCCTTCGTAACCGACAGCCTGCACATCACGGGCGACGGCTGAGCGGAGGCCTGATTGGAGGGTAGAGAGCACTCTTGTTAGACTTCTGTCAGGTCACCATCAATCATATGGGCCCGGCCTGTGAAATGGCGTAGAAGCACCGCGTGGGCGATCACGTTTCCGACGGCAGCCAGTCCGTGTACCTGCCACGACGACATCTTGAGGCTGCCGCGACACGTGAATGAAGAAGGTTCAAGCTGATCTGGTGGCAACTGCCAGCACCTTCAACGTCGTGCTTGTCTTTCGGCATGGCCTGTGATCAGAAACGAGTCTAAGGAAGCTGCAGGGCCACCATTTCGAACTTTGCCGTGGCAACTAAGCCAACTTGGCTCTCTCAGTTCCCATGCTGAAAGCTTTCCATCACGCATGCACAGCAAAGAAGCTGGTGGAGACACGACATTGGGAAGAATGCGCAGGGTGACACGGATATCTGAGACCGCAACGAACACAAGGAAAGACAACAAGCAGACGCTAGAACCTTGGGCCGAAAAAGTGTTGTTCTCCGACCGGAGCTGATTGCCTTTGTGGGGAGTTGAAAGGAGAATGGTGCTCAACAAACTATACGCTGTCGGAAGAAAAGAACGCTCATGGTAAATGAGCGGAGTATTGGAAGCGGTCAAGGGTCCTGGGCAAAAGGACCCCCATTTATGCAAGGCCAAAAGGGCGGCGCGGTATGCTATGCACACTGCAATGTTAGCACACACACGGGCCTGGGAGCACATTCTGATGGCTACTTGACCACTGAGATGCTGACAGGTCTCAGCAGCTGCAGCCACCGGCCGACTGCAGGCCACTGCATAAGGCATCCGGGTGATTATGCGTTGAAGAGATGTAGGTACTGAAAAGCGGTGAAGCTGCGCCGGTTGCATGTGTCAACGTGATAGGCTGGCCGGCCGTCACATGATTTGCGACTTGAGGATGTGGTTGGAAAAAGCAGCCACGTTGTTCCCGAGATGGAATTGCCCGCTTTGCCGGCCTCAACACCTCCCAAGATTGCCACGTCAAGGCGGTGCCTTGTGATTTGACATTGCAGACATCAGATTTGCTTGTTGTTGCCTCGTTGTTTCGAGAAGAAGGCAGCAATCATGGGCATCATTCCAGTCGGTGGAGCTGAAGGGTGTCTGTGCATCAAGCCGCACCATCTGCACCAATGGCTTGCGAATGTGATGGCGACTTAGTTGCGAAGTATCTTCGACTTCTCTCCATATACGTCCGATCTCGCCAGCTCAGCTAGCAGTTTGCATCCCTCGTGGAATGGTCAAATCTTGGGCCCGGCATGCCCAGCAGATTCGAAATGCCATGTCTAAGGGAGGCAGGGGTCCCACCTTGTTCGGCTCTGGAATGCGCAGAACGCGTGCATCGAGGTACCCATTATCAAATAGGGTCTGACACGAGAGCTAGCCACGATTCGCAGACCCGAATTCCCCCGCGAGTGCTTGTCTCGCCCCTGGCCCCGTCACTGGGGAATGCAGGCCAGTCCCGTCGCTTTTGCAAGCCTAGCTCAATGGGCCAGACTCTACGCCTTGCCTATGGCGAGCTGGGATGAAATAATTGGTGCATGCCTGCCATCACACGTAAACAATAGTAGGACAAGGCTGGACGAATCTCCAGGATTGTATCTGCCGGGAATACGAGATACTGGAGCCTCCGGATGGGGAAGTTGCTAAAGTGTATGTCCAGCCATTCTTTTCGGACATCAGCTCATTGCGTCGATCATTCCCGTCTGCTGAGACTAGCTCAGGTCCCTTGGTCTCTTCATCGCACCAGACACCGCCGTCATAACGTTTCAAGCTATGGACGAGACTCCGTCTCGGACCCTTGATTAGGCCACTCATGATGTGAATCACATCCCGAGGTGGAAGAATAAACCCGTCTAGGGCATGAGAACCCACACTGATAGGAAAAGTGGTGACAGCCAGAGGAACCACGAGGCAGAAGCCTTGCAGATACGTTTGTTGACAGCCTTCCATCAAGGCTGTCCAGGCATTTCTACTGCATTCACTAGTAGCTGATCGTCGTCACATCTACGCTGCTCCAGGCCTGGCGGCTCACCTGGAGGCGGTCATTCATCCGATGTATTGAATTCAACACAGACTGCAGGCATGTGTTGATCAAACACCGTTCCATGCAAGGCTCAAATTGCAGACAGGACCAGAGCGGCCGCTCCTTCCGCAACGTCGTTCGTGTCTAAGACACCCTAGCCGCGCCAGCCTCTCCAAGTTGCATTCCAGAGCACCTCTTAGCTCCTGAAGATGGAGAAGCCACGGGATATACCCGAGATAACATGGCTCGTCCCCGAGACCTCCACAAAGGTTCTCCCAAAAGAGGCGCATGGCTCGGTACCTGGCATTTGATGAGCATCCATGATAGCGCGTAGCGCCTGGAGGCGGAACTGCTTGCTTCGAGCACTCCGCCATAAGACAAGCTGCCACAAGCTTTTCTGGAAGAGCTAGTTGAACTGATTTCGCACCATCCACTGGAAGTACCTGTCTTCGCTGCAAGCACATTGCATGATAATCAGGTACTCTAGCAGCGGCCCAATGAGAAAGATTATTTCAAGCCCATACTGTAGTCGACGAGGTATTGCTAGCCGTGCTGCTGGCATACCTTGGAGCTGGGATGGTCGTCGAGTGCCTCCAGCCAGTACCAACACAAGACAGCTCATCCCGTGCTCCTGCCGGCAGTCAAAGTACACCTGGAGGAGCGGGCACCCAGTTCCCGGCTAATCTTGTCAGGATGTGCATAGACTCCCAGACCAAAGAGCCACAATTTCTGACAGCTGATCCTGAGTACGGTGTTACCGTAGACACAGACAACGTTCGGAGAATTTACGGCAGTGTGTGGCTGGCTGCGATGTCTGGCTTTCAAGCGAATCATTTCAGTTCGATCAATGTCAAGGTCGTCGCGGCGAGACATCCGTGCGGCTTGTCGATCAGCCCACCCAGCCAGGTCTCACTGTTCATCAAGTATCCAGGTCCCGTTCTACGGAAACGGCCTGTCAGAGGGAGGAAACACCAAGTAGGCCAGCCAAGGTTCGGGCAGTCACACGAACTTCGAGCTGCGGCTTCTCCGGCTATTGCTGTGGGTGCTGCAAGAAAGCGCGCATAGTCGACAGGTGCAGAAAACATATCGTGCGCTCGGAATGCGGCCCATTCGCGCACATAGTCATGAGAACTCCTCAGGAGTACCATGTTGCCTTGTCACGCGGTATGGCCGACTATGCTATGCCCTGGTTGTGTCCCTCCTAACTCTGATCATTGTCCACGACGGCGAATCTTCCAGCCTCGACGAGGTTCACATGACGAAGGTTGGCAACATTAGATCGTCACCTCAAGCAAAACAGCTGCTGGCACATCTCGGCTGCGGAAGCCGGTTGATCATGGTCATGCCGCTCACTAGACTGCCCATGACGCATGCCTAGCCTGTCAGAATCAATCTGATCACCACTCATTCAAAGACATCTTCTCAATCAGCCGAGACGGGATCGTCCAACCGTTTCTTTCTTCTCTCGTGGGAGACGGCAAGTGGTGTCGGGTGGCATTCGGCAGAAGCGCAAGCCCTGGCGCCCTCTTCCCGCCAGCCAGATTATGCATGGCGTACCTCCCTGGCCGAGTCTAGCCCAGCCCCTTCCGTCGCCCTTGATAGGACTGTCAGTCACAAAGCGATGCACAGCTCAATAGTCCACTGCACCCTAGGCTGCGGCGAGCCGATGTGGACAGACTGCCATGTTCATCCATCCCATCCATGACCTCTGCTCGAGGAGCCCCTTCTCCTGCTGATCTCAGCAGACGAGAATCCTCGTACGATCTGCCCATGCATGGTGCACACGGACATTGCTAGCTCCCGCGATGGAGACGGAGCGGAGGAGGAGCAGGAGGAGCTGGGTGCCGGGGCGCCACCCACACACCCACGTGAAGCCCTCACTTGGTGTTGCCGGCAATCGTGCCCCGGCAGGGAGAAGGGGGGCGCCCGCAAGCTTTACAAGGATTTATTAGGGCCACAACCCAAAGCAAGGTACCCGGAACTAGGCAAAACGTCTTTTTGACTTTTCGTGACCCGGGTGGAGTAGGTACGTAGTCTGGGCCACGGTAGGGAACCTGGGGGGGGGGGGGGGCGATAGTCTTGTTGCCGCTCTCCCTCACGTCGAGCGGGCCCCCGACTAATTAGCTGTTGGCCGAAAGAGAAGAGAAAGCTCCCTCAATCCGGGTTTTGGCTACTCTTTCGGCATTTGCTTGAAATGATGTGAGCTAGGGGGGCGCGTCGCCGGTCACCTCTTTTTGCCAACGATCGCTGGGGGGGAAGGGTTCGACGGGCCACTCCGTAGATGCTCGATCAGCACCCGTCGCCCCATGATGTGATGGCACTTTGCTGGCCATCCTGGTCGTCGATCATGGCGTGTTTGTTGCACGTTCACGAATGGTTCGTGTTTCCTGGTGTGGACCGCCGCCGCCGCCGCCACGCAGGGGGGGCGTTTGGGTTGGGCATGCAAGAGAGAGAGAGACAGAGACAGAGAGATGGGATGAGATCCTGACAGGACCCCATTGTGGCTGCGCTCCGTGGCTGATTGGGCACGAGCCTAGATGGCCTTCCCACTTGAGCCCCCCAGCCCGTCGCTTGCCTGCCTGCCCCCGTCAATCACCATGCTGTCTCAGATCGCTCCCGCCGCCCGCCGGGGACTGCTTAAGCACTGCCGGGATGTGCGCGGGAAGCCAACACCTAGCAAAAAGCCAGCAACAAGCAACAGCACAAGCATGGTGGGCTACGGCATATCGTGCCTTAGCCTGGCCTGGGCAAACACCCGCCCGCCGCCCGCCACCCCTCACATGTCTCATCTCCACAGCCAGAAGGACTAGCGGGAATGCCGGGAGTGGCTCATTACGTGCATGGCACTATCGGCGGGCAGCAGCGGAGACAAGGCAGAAGAGGCAGCAGCTACGTAAGATGGGAAGAAAAGGGCAGCAGCAGCATCCACAAAGAGAGGTACCCTGTACTCTGCGGGCGGGCGGGCGGACTTGGGAGGAGGGCGCATGTGCCAGTGGAATAGACTAAATGGATATCAATCAGTACGGAACCCACGCGGCCTTTGACAGCGGAACATGCAGGGCGCACACACCCACGCCAGGCCAAGCCGAAAAAAATAGTAATAAACTTTAGCTCCCGTGATACGATATTCTTTCCACAGAAAGTACAAGATAAACGAGAAATCGGGGACCACGCCATCTCCCATTGGTTCATGATCCGAACCTTTCGGCTGTTTTGACAAGAGTAGCGCTCATGTTTCCCTCCCTCCCTCCCCACCCAGTCACTAGTGCTAGTGACTGGGTGATGGCGGGCCCTCCAAGGGAGCTTGCTCCGGCGCACCCTCCTCGAACCGGAAGCAAGTCCCATTCGACGACAACGCCGCCCCCCCGAGAGCGGGCAGAGAGGAACCATTGCCTGCTGGTGCGGCTGCTTGTTCTAATGCACGGCGGGCTTCCATTGCAGGGAAGGCAAGGCAAGAAGGCAAGGCAAGGGGATGGAGAGAGGTTCAGCTCCCAGAGCACCGGGTCAGCACCGATTCCTCGGGTCCGAGTGGTGCCAGGGGAATCCCAGTGCAAATGGGGGGAGCTAGAGCAGCCAGAGGGTCCAGAGCGAGCGAGCGCCGGCAAACTCGCAGACAATTGCTGGGAATGGACGTGGCAGTATGCAGCTGCTTTTCAAAGAAGCATTGATGTTTAGTTCGCGAGCATTTCGCAGTACTAGCGACGGGGGGGAGGGGGCCTTAATGATCGCTTGAATTGGCCAATCATGGAGCACGATAATGGGATCAGGAAATGGGTCGGTTGATGAGAGCAGCAGAGAATCGTTCACAGCTCGGGTTGTCACGAAATCCACCACCACACAGTACCAGGAGCGGACCTACCCGAGCACGATCGATCCAGGACTTCTAAGGTTAAAATATGCGGTGGGTGACAACGGAGGGTCGGAAAAGGCAAGCAACCGGCCGGAAAAGCAAGAGTACAATTAACCGGATTGCCGGATTTTTCAATGCCGCTGTCAAACAAAGAGATGAACTGAAAGAGCGCGCCCGCCAATGCTAAACTGCACTTGATAACAGGCACAGTAGTTCCTGCATCGGGTGGCGTGGTGGACTACATGCTGTTTCTGCTTCCTTTCCCTCGCCTCGCTGTATGTGTGTGTGTGTGTGTGTGTGTGTGTGTGTGCGTATTCCTGGACTAAGTGGTGATGTTCTTGCTGCCGCCGCACGGATGGATGCTCTGGAAGTGCGGGAAAAAGTAACGAGTGAAGGCCTGCAGCAGGTTTACCACGCCGGCGGACAGCCACCTCGAGAAAAACAACGGAAGTTCGGCTCTCAAGGCGCAACCACCAGCCTACAGGCGCGCGCAACCAAGTGCAAATCAGTAAAGTATGCACCGACGGACGGACGAGTCCTGCACCTCAGCCTCACCCACCCACCCCTTCTCTCACCACGACTTGCAGATCCACCTCGGACTAGTTAGGCGCGCAGCTCATATGCTGGTCCGTCCGGATCGGGAACAAGGCCGCAAGGCGATGATAATCGCGATGGGCGAACTTCACAGGCCAGCCCCAGCCTGATTCGTGGAAAGGGAGCAGACATTGCTTTCGGTGTTGCTCGGAGGCCCGAGATGTGCGAGCTGGTCCCTTTGTGCGGGTAGGTAGCCTCGCCCTCAGCTTTTCTTTCCACTCCCAGCTTTCGCGATTACAGCAACAAGGGTCAGGCAGGGTATGGCAATGTAGCACAGTGAGCTGCGACGCAACAAAAGGGTCGGAGGAGGCAGGCAGGCAGGCAGGCATACAGCCGCCTGTGCGTATGGCGGACCAGCCACAAAGCCAGGTAGATTAGCAGCGAATAATTGAACCACCACAGGCCGTCCTGCATCCGAGGCGCGCGGGATGTCACACACCTGCTCTCTCTTTCACAGCAGAATGTCCCCACTGCTTCTGTGGATGCTGGCGGTGGGGTTGATGAGGGCGCGCTGGCAGATGCACAAGGCACAGGCAAAAAGTATGTGAGCCGGCCCAGTCTTGTCGCGTTGGGTTGACGGAGGCCGCTCCGTCGAGGGAGGCCTTCTGGCTGGCCGGCTGGCTCCCTTGGGTCTAGCCCTGGAATAGCTCGTGGGCACCGGCACGGCAGGGTTGGCGATGACGACGAGATGCAGCAGCGGCAACCGTGGGCTTTCGTCTAGCAAGGATACCTCAGCGTGTGTGATTGGGGGCTAAGCATTTGCCTGGAATGGTCTTTGGGGCGGGTGATCGACCGTGCATTGCACATCCACATCCACATCCACCCATCATCATCCAACGCCCGCCCCGTCGTCGGGGGGTCCAGGCAGGTGGGGGTCCCATCATCATCATCATCATCAGCGCTGCTGCTTTTCTTGGGTGGTATGTGTGGGCTCTCCGGTCCCCGCAAAAGCAACATGGCAGGGAAGAGCAAGGTGCAGCAGCTGAGAATAACGAGACCACGGGCCGCCGCCGCCGGGGGAGAGGCGACGGAAAAGCAAAACGGGCTTGCCCTCTTCATCTAAGCAAGGCGTGCGCGTGCGCGTGCGCGTGCGCGGACCTGGAGCTCCGCATGACTTTTCTTTCTTTTGGGCGCGTTCAGCTTAACTCGGTCTGGCAGGAGAATAATTAGCCGAGCAGGACCACAGGTGGGCAGGCAGGCTGGCTGGCAGGAAGAGGCCGCATTCGAAGCGACCAAGAGACAAATAGATCACAGTGGGTGGGACTTTGGGTTGGGTTTAGGCCCGCCAGGAGCCAGCCAGCGAGCATTGGGGTGCGATGGGCCACGCTGCCTCGGCTGCCTCCGTCTCTGGGCTGGTAGGTAATCCCCAAATCGGTCAATGCCGGCCACAGGTCGCGATGAACCATGAACCACGATGCATGCCCCCTTGTCCTGTGGAGATCTGGCTCTACACGCCCGGATGCCCGGCAGCGCTTCCTGCCCCAGCCGCGAGGCCCTCTTCCCCTCCCGGCGCTAGCGTAATATCTACTCGACTTCGTCGCCTATTTTCCATTCTCTCGCCCGAAAAGGCAGTGTGGGACGTAGACAGGTTGACAGCGGCTAAGATCGATGCACCTGCCATCTGGTCTCCCCGCCTAGACCAGTCCCCTTTGGTAGCTTGGCGCCTGCGGTGAGAACCGCGCTTTTCGATGGGGGTCGGCGATCTGATTGGCAAGGCAAGAAGAGTTGCCTGTCCAGCTGAATGATCGGCCGTCCCGCCTGCCAGATATAGCACACGCAGCGGGGTCTTGGACAAGGACGAAAGTCCGTTGCACGCTACCCCGTCTCTCTACGTAGTTCCGTGATGCCGAGCGCGCTGGGAATGGGGGGTCGAAGGGAGGGAACGCACGATCGGCTTCGTCCCAGCCCTTTATTGCCGACGCCGATGCTCGAGGGTGAGCATCAGTGGGGAGGGCAAGAAGGAAGGTCAGATGGCTGCGGCCGTAAGGACTTCTACCCGTGTCATGGCCATCCGCCAACCAGGGCAACGGCGCGAAACAGATGGGCAGCGAGCGGGACGACAGAGAGGATATTCCTCCGCCGCTCCATCGTTAGAATGATCAGGTGCCAACTCTCGCGCCTGTCATGGCGGCGCCTTGAAACAGCCAGGGAAAGTCAAGAGAAAAAACTGGCATCGTCGCCTTGTATAGTAATCAACCATCGACGGCGGCAAGCCTTGGACGATCCCAAGCAGGTTGTCCGATCGCCTATGCACCGCGCAAGATTTAGGAATATGCCGAAAATGGAGAGATTAGGGGAGAGTCGTTCGCGGCACTCGTGTTGCTGTTCTTGGCCGCCCGTCGTGCAAATGGGGCATTCTACTCAAGATTTGCTCACTAATCAATCTTTCGTCTTTATCAAGCGAGATAGTCGTGCAGCATTCTAATCTGAAGATGTTGATTCCAAAACCACGGGCAGCCAAGAGCTTCGCGCAGAATCTCGCCGGGAGACTGCAGCATCGACAACGTACGGCCGACTTTTGTCCAACCAACCTTGTCTTGGATCGGTCAAGGCGGAGCGCCCGCACGTGTTGTTGTGTGTGGTGGTGTCAACTGGTCTTGTTGCTTGTACTGTGCCAATACTGTGAATTGTTCAAGACTTCATACTGGGTATACGGCCCCTCTCCAGTCTACACATCATCCAGCTCCATTGCTCCACCACTTCAAGACCGGGTGATGCAACGTTTTGGCGATATAGCCTTTCCGTGAGCAGACTGAGGGGAAGGCTGGTTGCGTAAGTGTGCACGGGGCCTCCTCTGTCTGTGACCTTACCTCGCAGCTTTAACCTATTCGTTCGGCTCCCAAAGTCCGCAACAAATCGCATCAAAAAGACTAGCATAAGCGGCGCCGTGGTTTTACTTGGCTTTTATTGTGAGATAGACAGAACAACCAGCTGTAGCCGGAATGTCGAGCCAAACCACAAGCAGACTGTCTGCAATAACCCCATGCTACCCCCTGGATGCCTTGCGGCCCGTCTAAGCCACCATCCCCACTCCACCTGCCTTTCCAGGATCATACCCCGCCCACCTCATCAGGGACTTATATCTCGGCACACCTAGGTCAATGAGTCTGCGAAGTGAGAATTCTACACCGTGCAGTCTTTTCATCCTCTCATGCTGCTACTCAGGAAACATGGCAGAAACATTTGGGGTCGTCGCCGGCTCGCTGGGCGTAGCAGCCCTCTTCAACAGTGCTGTCGATACGTTTGGCTACATCCAGCTCGGCCGCAATTTCAAGCACGACTTCAGCCTCCACCAGCTCAAGCTCGACATTGCCCGCATTCGATTGAGTCGCTGGGGCCAGGCAGTCAGGATCAACGAGGATCCTCGATTCCTAGGCAATCCATCCTCCGCGGACTGGCAGGTACCCGTCATATGCACCATCTTGGGCCAGATTAACGCTCTATTCCTAGAGCTACAAGAAGCGTCCAAGCGATATGAGCAGGCCCCTACGGCAAGCGATACTGGGCGTGTCGTCTGCGTACTACCCGCCGACCTCGACACGCCTGGACGTAGGGTACACGACTTTCTTGCCCGCATCACGAAGCGCCTCGAGAGAACAGGTCCTGGCTGGGTAGACAAGACATACTGGGCTATCTACGACGTGAAGAACTTTGACAAATTGCTCACGACTGTGGTGCAACTTATCGAAAGTCTACACCAGATGGCCCCTCCACCAGCACCGGCGGCTGCTGGCAGCCAGCCTTCCTCGCGGGTGGTGGAATGGGAATTCGAAGAGCTGGATAACGACGCTCCTAGCCTCAAGCTGCTTGAAAACGCCGCTGCTGGTGTCGATAATGTCCTGTATGAGGCGGCCGCCAATAGGATCAAAGAGCAGGCTAGTCATCATAACAGGTTGGGAAACTTGAAATTCACCGAAGATGCCGATGTCCGCGTCGGAGTTGATTGGACTGCGGAGGCTGTGAGGGCAGCGGGTCCCGCCTTCAAGCTGGCATCCACGAGGAATGAAGTTGGCGATGTCACCATGGGGGGAAAGTCAAGACTTCATATCGGGACAAGCTACAAGTAGTCTAAATCTCGGAGTTTCCCTCTGTGAAATTGATAAAGGATCAACCAAGAAATCGCAGGAGCATCTGAATTGCCGTCAGAAGGCCAGGCACAGCCCGGCAAAAGTTCCATGCACGAGTCCCAGCGGGGCAGTGCAAAATCATCAATTTGTAATTCTGTAACATGAGATAAGCTCCTTGCTTCTGGCCGCGGGGCTTGGCACTTGTTGGTTCTCTATTGAATGAAATAGGGGGCTGGGATGTCCACCCCCTGCGTCCTGCGTGTGTGGCAGGGAGTGCCAGTGACATGGGACCCCAACTTGCTAATGGTGGGCAGCTGAACCAACACTTTCTTCCATCACATTTCCCCGCCTGGTTCTGTGCATCTCGAGAGCACGACTTGTTGGCAACATCGCGGCTCCTTGAGGGCGTGATCATCATGACGGACAATCCACCTGGCACGACAAACATCATCCGGGATGTCACGGCAAGTGACAGGGCGAGAGTTCACAATGGCAACAGCTATCACTATCACAACCAGGTTTCTAGCTGGAATTCAGCACAGGCAAAGTTACGACAAAAGTTGCTACGACAAAAGTTGCTAAGGGGCTTGAACACCTGCCCGTACGAAGAGCGAAAGGACATAAACCTCAGACGCGCAAGCGGCACCTGCGAATGGTTCGTCAATCATGAGCGCTTCAACAAATGGCAGGAGGAGACTTCGGCGTTGCTCTGGGTGTCTGCTGACCCCGGCTGCGGCAAGTCCGTGTTGGCGAAGCACCTCATCGACAATGTCTTGCCAAAGTCCAATTCCGAGAGCACGAAAATTTGCTACTTCTTCTTCAAAGACGGCTTTGACGACCAAACGACATCAGAGGGCGCTCTGTGCTGTCTGCTTCATCAACTTTTCACGAAGCAGGAAGATTTGGTCTCCGACAAGCTCTTGGATCTCTTCAAGATCGAGAGAAGTCGATTGTTTAAGTCCTTCCGGCAGCTATGGAAGGTGCTTCAACAAACAGCCACTCTGAACTCGAAGAAGAACCCCAAGTCCACGATCATCTGTGTCGTTGATGCATTAGATGAGTGTAGCAACGCAGGTCCCTTTGCGACAGCGTTGACACAGCTGTACACAGACAACGGTGTTCCTGGCTTGAAGTTCCTGGTCACCAGCCGCCCTTATGACCGGATCCGAGCAGCATTCCGAACGCTCGAGGACACCCAACCGACAATTCATCTGAGCGGAGAAAACGAGGAAGAGGTAGAGAAGATTTCAGAAGAGATCATCCTGGTCATCGGTCAACGCATCCAGCAGATCGGTAGAAAGTTCGGCCTCACCAAGAAAACTCGAAAGGAACTGGTCGATCGTATGTCGAAGGTCGGAAATCGAACGTACCTTTGGGTTCATCTTGTCTTCGCAGACATTGAAGCTGCCAACCCCTTGAGCGTCGACGATTTGAGTAGAAGCGTCGATAAGATGCCCCAAACAGTTGAGGCAGCCTACGACAAGATACTTAGCAGCAGCGGTGATGATACCAAGGTTCAGCGAGTCCTCAAATTCGTCCTCGCAGCCGAAAGGCCTCTCCATATTCGAGAGATGGCAACAGCCCTGGTCTATCTCAGCACATCGCACCGAAACTTCGCAGACCTTGAGCGCAGCCTCTTGGAAGATAAAGTTATTGTCGAATCTTTAAGGGAGGTTTGTGGGTTGTTCGTTGTCGTTGTCGACCATCATGTCCATCTCCTGCACCAAACAGCCAGAGAGTTTCTATTACGACCTACGAGATCAAAGGAGTTGTCCGCCCGCAAACCGTCCAAGTCAATGCAACTTCCCTGGAGGCATTCATTTGATCTTGAGCAGTCACATGCTCTGATTTCCAGAGTTTGTGTGGGATACCTCTTGCTCATCGAGTCCGAGCAAATAGACACGAACGCCGAGGGCTGGCGGGAAAGGAATCATCTGGAGTTCCACTTGCTCGATTACGCTGCAGAGCATTGGACGACGCATTACCGCCAATCAGAGACCAAAGCCGGCCCCGAGCTGGTGGCTGCTGCCCAAATCCTTTGCATGCATCAGCGGCGTACTTGCCAGGTTTGGCTCACGTATCACAAACCAACAGCACACATGGAGACTTCGGCCCTCAGCAACCAAAACCCTGATGGCTTGATGATTGCAGCGCACTTTGGCCTGGCGACTTTGGTGCGTCCTATGCTCCTAGCAGAAAAGAGCTTACCAGTGAGACTGGCACCTCGAAAGGCAAGAACCTCGCCGCCACAGTCCAGGGGCACACGATCAAGCCAAACTACCTCAGAATCCGGGCAATACCAAGCTACCACGGCGCTGATCAATCGGCAAGACAGCTTCGGACGAAGCGCGCTATGGCATGCTGCCTGCCGTGGACATAGCAACGTTGTGAAAGTTCTCCTTGAATGCCACGCTGAATCAGACGCATCAGTTACGGAGCTGGACGCACCTCTAAAGGCGGCTGCGATGTGTGGAAATAGGTCGATTATCAAGCAACTCCTCAAACATGGTGCGCAATCTGTGAACCCAGCCCTATACGCAGCTGCAGAGTGTGGCCATCACGATTGCGTCAAGCTCTTGCTCAAACGTGGTGGTCAGGTGGACTGGGCCGATAAGTCTGGTCGCACGGCGCTGATGGCTGCTGTTGAGGAAGATCACAAGAAAGTTGTCACGCAGCTTCTTGACGCTGGTGCTCAGATTGATGCTGTGGATAGAGGAGGCTACACTGCTCTGCTGCTCGCTTCTCAGCATTTTCGCAGAGAAATCCTCGCACAATTGCTTGAACATGGTGCCTCGACTGAGGTCCGCAACAGCCGCGGCTTTACAGCTCTGATGCTTTGTTCTTTTGTAGGTCACCGAGCGGCCGTGGCGGAGCTCCTACTCCATGACGCTCAGACTGAAGCGACAAACAACAATGGCGATACAGCTTTGCTATTGGCCGCAGAGCGGGGTGAGGGGGTGATCATCGATGACCTTGTTGAAGCTGGAGCCAACATCGAAGCCACTAATCACGATGGCAATACCGCCCTGATTGAGGCGGCGAGTCGTAGAAGGTTCTGGGTTGTTAAGGTTCTTTTGCAGCGCGGTGCAAATGTTAACGCCAGGAATAATACGGGGCGGACAGCGTTGATAGTAGCTGCCGCTTCTGGCTTGCGGAAAAACGTCGAGGGGCTACTGAAACACGGTGCTGACATCCATGCTCGCGATTTTGGTGGCCAAACAGCTATATCGCAAGCTCAAGCAGGGAGCCACTACACCACCATAAGGGAGCTGCTAGCTTGGGAAGCTAAAATGCCCAGCTGAGCCGATATGTTCTGATGGCCATGATCGTGGGCTCTCTGAAAATACTGAGCAATTGCTGATGGAATATGCGAGGGCGGTGTCGGTCGCGTTGTAGTTTTAGGTTCATCACTGACTTCTAATCACGAGCTTTTCTTCTTGTTTCACATTTTTTATTCTGGCAGAGTCTATAGCATCATAGTAAGTACTATTCTGATTCTGACTCTGATATGAATTTCCCACCGTGCAATCTACCCGGAGCAGAATACTTTTCCTTGGAGAGGATTCTCGCACATTCAAGTTTACGGGCGCCTTTAAGGGGCAGTGAATCTAGTAGAATCACAAGCAGGCACAATCATATTTCTCACCATTCTTTGGCACTGTCAAGGGCCAAGGATCTATCTGCACCCTTGAGTTATGACATTCAATGACATCAGGCATTCGGCCCGTATCTTGATTGGGCCATGAAGAATCATTCTTAAACTAGAGTATCTATCTTTGGCTGACAAGAGTTTCGGGTATTGGCGTCTTGATTCGGTCTATAACCGGGGCTCATGGCGCCTAGGCATGGAACTGCCAATGCTAGAATCTGAGATGTCCTAAAGCAAGACCTGCCTAGCGAACTCTATATATGTATATGTGACTGATAGACGTGGGAAGAACATCCTTTATTGAAAGTCTGTGACAATCAGACCTCGTGAATTGATTATCTCGACGCTCGTAAGGCAGATAGAAACACATGCTAAACTAGCAGATCGCCTGCCGATCCTCCTCCCTATCCAGATTCTCCAAGTCTTCTCGCAGGATAGCCTCAATCTCCAGCTGCGACAGTGCCTCTTGCGTAGCCAGTGAATTCTCAAGCACGCTGAGCGTGTTTGTGCTGTGATCAGCTGCAGCAGTCAGCAGCTTACGATTGCGTGGACAGGTCATTCCGCCAAAGCTCGGCCGCGATGCCCTGAGGATGACCTTGTTCTGTCCCGTCGAATCGTGTGGACGTTGGTAGACCAGCTCTTTCGCTTTGGCATATCGCCCCGTCAAGCGTCGCACCATTTGCAGATTCGACACGGGTTCCATAAAGTGTGGCGGTAATCGGCCTTCCGCCCCGAGATCTACCTTTTTGAACTGCGACCCATGAGGTTTGACCTTGACGTGGTTATAGGAGTCTAGGTCGCCTGCCTTCTCCACGACCAACTCGGTTTGCAACACCGAATATCTCTGCTCATCAGTGCAGATCGACGTGGTGTGGTCCGGGCGCCTGTACTCCAAGCACACGGCGTTGATTATGGCGTAGGTTGCTGTCAAGTATGAGTCCTTGAGCAACTCTGCCCAGTCGTTGGCCTTTGTCTCGAGCTCGATGACACTTTCGCAGTTCTCGTGCAAGAATGCGGCCTGGAAGCCCGCGTCCGTCAGGCCAGTGTGGTCTAAGACGTCAAGAACTGACGAGACCAGTCGCCCAACAAGTGGGCGCTCGAGATAGTGCTTGTTCCAAAACTCAAAGACTGCATCGTTGGACTCGATCTCCAGGGCCTTTTTGAAATCCAGTCCCCATTTCGTACTTGCCCAACCCGGTACTTGGCGCTCGAGAAGCTCCATGACCGGCTCTTTCAATAGCAGCTCTTTGAGTGGCACTCTTCGTGCATTGCCAGTGCAGTTGCTGATCTCAACGCCATAGTAACTGTTGAGGATCCCTGGATTTGCACGTTCCGGATTCGAACTCCATTTCTGCCACGCACTCTCCTTGACAGTCGTCTCAGGGAGCCGCTTCGTCTGGCCTTCGATTTGGAGAACCACGAACCCCTGAGCCGCCACTTGCAACGACATCGCAAGGCCGTCGAATTTCCATCTGGAGGGCCTCGGTCCTGCCTCTCTGATCTTGTCGTTGTAGTTCATCTCATACTCTTGAAGACTGAACGTGCATCCGTGGTTGACAGACATGTTTGTTCCAATGAGAAGTTTGTCATCCAAGGCCATGGTCAGATTCTCGCGCGACCCTGAAAAGAATCGTGACAAGCGGCGACGCTGCTCCTCCTGCCAGCTATACCAGTGGCACTTTACTACCCGGGAACCGGAAGACCCAGCTCTGTCGGGAACTCGGCGGATGCATCCCTTTGACACGACATATTTCTTGACGCGAGGGTTCCGGATGCCTGATTGCTGATGGTCTGTTAGCTCTGCAGACACCGGGCCCCAAATATCGGCGAGCGCACGGATTGTCGTCAGTATCGACAGGGGCTTCAGAAACCGGGCTTCACGAGGTCTGGGCGGGCCGGCGCCGTTGAAAATGGTGAAGGTCCAGACACTTCTGGTATCGAGGAACCCGTTCAGGCAAGCAAGGCTGCGCAAGGTACATTCGAAACCGAGCACACCGGCTACATTGGCGCTGATACGCTCGATCGTTCGGCCGAAATACTCAATGTCGAAGCGAGAACCATGCGATCCGGCATAGCACACCAGACCCAGGTCTAGGAAGTACGTCAGAACCCTGCACGCCTCTGGAATGTTGGAGGGCATGGCACGAACTCTCCAGCCCATCATGTCGCACAGCTCTTGCAGGACCGGCAAGATGAGGCGCGATATGTTCTCTTCAGTCTCCTCACGAGCCACAGAGATCGAGGCGAGGAGGGTCTCGGTGATTTTGACGAGAATAGTTCTTGGTATCTCGACAACCTCAGCTGTGTCATTGTCCCGTAGCACCAGAATGCTAAAGAAGTCTGTACAGAACTTCCACGAGACCAGATGGTTGAACCTATCCAGGACAGACTGAAAAATAGCATATGAATGGCACAGGCTCAAAGCCAGCCGGGCTTGTGCAGAGGCTGCATGCTCGCCTTGGACGTCGAGCAGGAACTCGTAAAGCCAGGATGGAGCCGCGGACTCTGGGACCGCGTTCAGAAGGTTGCTCAAGATGGTATTTGCATCAGCCGTCCATCCGACATCATAACCTCCTGTCTGCCGGTTGAACTCCGAAGTGGTCACAACAGTATGCTCGAGAGATTGTAGGGCTGCAAAATGGGCCTCTGGAGCGACAATGTGGGTATCCGCATCAAAGTTGCCCTTCTCAGCGAGCTCCTGCCACTTTCTGACCGTCTGAAATGCCTCCTCATCGGTGAAAAACGATGCTTCGGCTGGAACGACGCTTTCTGATGGGTTTGACTCCTCTGACGAGGCCGGACCCAGGCGCATTATGAAGTGGATGGATGCCTCCTTGCCGATATCATAGTCGCTCAAGGTCCGGCCCTCGGTCAGTTGTTTGCCGCCATATATGAGTCGCCCGTCGATTCTTGGGTCTCCTTCATGCTCTCGAATCTTCTGAATCACGCGTTCGACTGTATCGAAATGGTCCACTTCGAGGGTGATGGTTTTACCCGTCACTACCGAGATTGGCTTAGTCCATCTGCTTTCCAGTACTTTTGCATTCCTGCAGGGGCGACGGGAGACTTACATGTCTTGATGAAGACCTGCATCTTGTGCTAATACGTGTAGACCCCTTAGAACATCGAGCGCATGCCAGCACAGAAGAGTGGACACAGCAGATTTGAGATTGTAGAGAAATGAGGGAAATATCTTCACACCCGGAGCCTTGCGCAACAGATGTGTTCAGCTCGGATTTTGGTGTGCCACCATGCATGGGGCTGTGTTCAGAGCTGGACGTGCATACTGGGCTGGGCCGGGCTGGGGCTTAGCTCACACCCAGACAGAGCCTTGCACGCCAAACATTGTTCAGCTCAGATTCCGGTGTGCCTTGGGCTGTGCGGGGGCTTAGGCCCTCTTGCCCAATCACAGAAGACTACACAAGTACTTTGCATTGCGTCGCAAATCATGAACGTCTCATCGATGCAGGTGGAGAATTCGAGGAAAATGGGGAAAACGTTGCCTGGCCGAGACTTTTCTGACAAGACATCAATGAACGCGTTATATGTTGGGAGTTGAACATGGTTGAGCATGAAAGATTGAATACCTGAGCTTTAGGTAAGGAAAAGAAATGGTATATTTGGCTTGCGTATAAAAGAAACGAAGCAGAAACTCAACAAGCTTTTATTAGCTCAACATAACAACAAGCACAGACTCGAGTCTACAACCAATCTAAACCGCATCACCCAGCCCGACGAAGAAAAAGGGCAAGACACCAACAAAGTTCACAACTCCACTGATCCAGAACTTGGTGCCAAGAGTGTTGGAGCCCGCACTCGTAGCCGTAGGAGGGACACGCACGCCAGGCTGATACCTGAAGATGAGCGTGTAGAAGAGACCGCCGATGTTGCCGCCAGCGCCGACCAGGCCGGCAACGGCTCCGATGTTCTTGGGCCGCAGGTGGCCGTACACGGCGTAGCAGGCACCGTTGGCAGCGAAGCCGGTGGTGGCAATCAGGACAATGAAGCCGATGACGCCGCCCAGCGTGGCGTTGCTGTAGTTGATGTACATGCCGAGCCCGATCATGGCCACGCCCTGGGACAGCGCGGTGCCGAGCAGCCACCATACCTTGGCCTTGAGGCCGAAGCGCGAGTACAGCATGTCGGCAATGATGCCGCCGACGGGACGGGCAAAGATGTTGAGGAGACCGTAGGTGGAAGCAGCGTAGGCGGCGTCGACGTGATTGAAGGTGCTGCTGGCAAAGAGAGTGTTGATCAAGCCAGGCAGACCGGCATCCAGGGCAGTCTCGAGGCCAAAAGTGAGAAGGTAGCATACGAAGCACATCCACACGCGCAGATCGGCGAGGATGGGAAGGAGTGTCTTCAGAGTCAGTGGTTCCGACTGAGCAATATCAACACTCGCAACCATGTTGGATGCAGTAGGATCTGACCTGCCGTGGTGCTGGGAACCAAGAGGGGGAACGGGTGCCTTCTCCTTGTCCGAGTCGATTCTCTCCTGAGCAGCCATCTCATCGGCATCGAGGTTGACGGGCTGGCCTTGAAGTACGGCAACGGTGGAGCCGCTGAGTTGATGGCGGTTGGCCCACTTGCCCGCCGGATGGTCCCGACCAAGCAAGAGGACCATGCCTGCCACGAGGAGAAGGCATGGGACCGGGACAGATGGGAAGCATACACGCCACGCCATGTGAGGGCTCAGGCCGCTGTGGATAAATCGCTCGTACAAGCCAATCATGACGGCGACGGTTACACCACCACCGAGATCTGTAATATGTGTAAGTCTTTGAATTCATCATGAGAGAGACAAAAGCAACTTACTGCCCCAACCGCCAGCAAAGGCATTGGCTGTTCCGACGATGCTCTTGTCGAAGAATGTTGTGGTCCAGGCCTGGGTAGGAACGAACGTGCCACCAAGGATAGAGATGAAGAAGCGAACGGCCTCGAGCTGCCCGATGTTGGTGACGAGAGCAGCAAGGCCAGACGGGATGGCACCGAGAATCAGCAGACCAGCCATGACCTTGCGGGGCCCATAACGGTCACAAGCGGGCCCGGCAATGAGACGCACAATGGCAGTGCCTCCAAGGGCGGCCAGGTTGGAGTTGACAACCTCAGCCGGAGAAAGACCAAGGTCGTCTCGGACAGCCTCGGGAACCAGCGGCGAGAAGGCAAACCAAGAAAGGAAGGCAACGAAGAAGCCCAGCGTGGCGAGCCAGAAGGTGGTCGAGTACATGTCCCAGAAGCGGAAGATGGGGAAAGTAAAACTCTTGCCGTTTAGGGGGTTGACTTCGGCTTTCTTCCACAGCGACGACCATTGGAACTTGTGTTCGCCGGTCTGGCCGGGGTGGGAGTTGGCGATTTCTCGCTCCATTGCTGATTCTCTCGAGCTGTTCGTGCCTGGTTGCGATGCTACAGGCTCCTTGTCGGAGGCATCTGCATATGACGGCATTGCGCAAACGACGTGACCAACAGAGTGTTAGAAAGGAGTTGCCGGATAACGTGGAAAGACCACCAGGAAGAAGGCTGCTGAGTGATGTTCGCTGTCGCTGGCGCACCGAAGTTGATGGACGGAACTGAACAGCAAAAGATAGTCTATATACAAGAGGCCAAAACAGGCATTTTCCTATGAGTGGGTTCTCAATGGCAATGGCATGAATTGGCTCGGAGATGCAAAAACCACTTTGCTCAGGTCCAGGCCATGCCTGTCGAGCACTGGCAGCTGAAGAAGGGACGCCGCGCGGGATAGAACGAGTACGCACAGAAGGGGTGTCTGTGACTCCGGTGCGGCCGCAGATAAGCAGGGCAGATCTTGTCTCTACACAGACGGCCACCCCGGGCCTGTAAAGTTCTACGCAGACGGCCCCCCGTGGTGCCTGCGTGTTGGCTGTGCAGATTGTATCGAGCCGAGTATGTGAAGACGAGCGATGGCGACCGACACACACGCCCCCCTCAGATCCGCACTGCGAGCTTATCGCCAATGACCTGCCGGGACATCCAGGAACGGGCCGCAAGACGCCAGATTCGATTTCTCCGCGGAGTCCAAGGGGCCCCCCATGGGGAGGCTGGAGAGATAAGGGGCGGTTTTGTCTGGAGCCAGTCTGTCGGGTTCGGCGTCCGTGTGGTCTGTTGTGTGCTGGTGGAGGTTTGGGCTGACGTGGGCCCCGGGCTTATCTTTTTTTGTGTGGCGCTTTTTGGTGCGCTGATAAGAGGAGATAAAGTAGGCCAGTAGTATAACACCTAATCCCAACCTAATGCATTGTCTGCAGGGGTGTGCTACGTGAGACACGGGGGGGGGTTGCAAGAAAAAGATAAGGAATTTCGACTGTTGAGTGGCCACATGGCTGCTATTGTCTGGAATCTGGGAGATCCAGGCTTGGCTGTCCGAATAGTGACGTCGCTGTGCTGTGATGGCTGATAGCCGTACAGCAAACTATCGACGATGATGCAGAAGAGAGCAAAGAGGGAGATAGGGGGTCGACGAATCTTGTGCAGTTTGTGCAAGCGTCTGGATGTCTGTCTGAAGAAGTTCAACTTCACTCCAATGTAGGAGGGGGGAAAGAGAGAGAGATGTGACGAACGTGACAAAATGGGACATAATTCGTACTATTTACAATGTGCATGTACTCTCATAATCTCAAATACCATACCAAACGCTTTGTATCATCCTGTACCAACAGCCAACAGCCAATATTACGCCTTGCGAAGCCCAGCCATGTAAGAGATATCACGTGCAAGGTCTACCGACCTACAGCCTCCTACCAATCCAAATCAGCGCCACCACCACACATACTTTTGGCCGCAGCCTCGGGCGGTGGAGGAGTCGCTTGGCGACCCATCTCGGCATGCACTTTGTGACGATTCTCCTCCATCTTATCCGCCGGCAGCCGCTTAGCAATCTCGACCCCATTGGCGTCAGCCCCTAGCTTCTCCGCCTCCTCCTTGGCCTTGCGTAGCATCCACTTCTCCGTCGAGAGCACCGCGTCCAGCGCATCCGTTGGCGGGAGCTTGAGCAGGATCGTGTCGCCCTCCTCGTCCGCCTTGGCCTCAAAGGTCATGATAGAGTAGTCCGCGTCCGAGCAGCTACCGCCCCCGTTCTCCTGGTCCGAGCCTAGCAGGTAGTTGCGCTTGTGTAGAGGACACGACACGTACTCGCGTCCTTTGTCGTCCTCGCCGACGAGTCCATCAGCCAACACAAAGGCGCGGCGGTGGGGACACATGTTCTGGGACGCTCGTAACCCGCGACCAGGGATGTTCCACACTGCCAGCTGCACGTCGCCGTACTTGATGGTGACAGACGTGGGCGAGTCGGCCTGGCGGTCCAGCTCCGAGAGCTTGCACACAGAGCGCCACTCCCAGGGCGCGTCTTGGGCCACGTCTCGCACGTTCATGTGCAAAGGCGAGTTGTCCACAGGCCAGTCGGCGGGACGGTTCTGCAGCCGCTCGCTGAGGAGCTCCGAGACGTTCTGTGTCTCGTCTGTATTGGCAAACTGCCTGAACGCCTTTCTGCGCTCCTTGCTGTTGACGACGTTGGTCCATTCGCAGTGGTAGGTACCGACAAGCGTCTCCATCTCATTCTCCAGCTCCTCGCAGATGCCGAGAGAATCGTTGACGACGACATCCTTGATGGCCTTGAGACCACCCGGGTATCTCTCAATCCACCGTGCCGTACGCTCCAGCTTGTCAGCGGAGCGGATGTAGAAGATGAGGAAGCGGTCGAGGACTCTGATGGCCTCGCGCTTGGTCACGTCCTCGACAATCAGCTCTGCGTGCCGTGGCTTTGCGCCACCGTTGCCCCCAACAAAGACGTTCCACCCCTTGGGCGTGGCAATCAGCCCAAAGTCTTTGCTCTGGGCCTCGGCGCACTCGCGCACACAGCCAGACACGCCACCCTTGAACTTGTGTGGTGCACGTAGTCCCTTGTAGCGCTGCTCGAGCTCGACCGCCAGCCCGACAGAGTCACCCAGGCCGTAGCGACACCACGTGCTGCCCACGCACGACTTGACGGTCCGGAGCGCCTTGCCGTAAGCGTGTCCGCTCTCGAACCCGGCAGCCACCAGCTTCTCCCAGATCTGCGGGAGGTCTTGCTTCTTGGCGCCAAACAGGTCAATGCGCTGGCCGCCGGTGATCTTGGTGTATAGCCCATACTCGGTAGCAACCTCTCCCAGGACCTTGAGTCCCTGGGGAGTTACTTCGCCGCCTGCTAAGCGGGGTACCACAGAGTAGGTTCCGTCACGCTGCATGTTGGCGAGATACCTGTCGTTGGTGTCTTGTGTCTGTCGCAGCGATGGCTCCATGATCCACTGATTGTAGAGAGAACTGAGGATGGAGCCGACGGCAGGCCGGCAGATCTCGCAGCCTAGGCTGTCGGGCTTCTTGCCCGCGGCGCGCATGATGCTGGTGAAGTCTTTGAGTTTCTTGAACTTGACGATCTGGTACAGGTCCTGGCGCGAATGGGCAAAGTCTTTGCAGATGTGGTTGGACACCTCGACGCCGGCGTCCTTGAGCGCGCGGTTGAAGATGCTTGTGGCCAGAGGGATACAGCCTCCGCAGCCGGTGCCGCACTTGGTCGTCGACTTCATCTCGCCAAACGAGTGGATGCCCCCGGACTTGACACACTTGACCACAGCACCCTTGGTGACATTGTGGCAGCTGCAAATCTGGGCATCGTCGGGCAGGTCGTCGCCTTCTTCCTCGCCCTCCTTCTTGGCGCCGATGATGAACTCGGCCGGTGCCTTATCAATGCTCGTGCCCTTGTTACACAGAGCAACCAGCTTGACAAAGTCCTTGACGTCCCCGACCATCATGCCGCCGAGGATGTGCTTGCCGTCAGCAGTGAAGATGTATTTCTTGTATACGTCGGAGAACGGGTCTCGATAGATCAGGGATTTGACCTTTTTCCTGATCTGTTCAGGAGAGAGCTTTGTGTCGCCTTTACGGCCTCTTGTTGTACCACCGGGCAGAGGCTTGCTGATTTTGCCCTGGTCGGCGAAGAAGTCACCAAAAGAGGCAACGTCGACGCCCATGAGCTTCAGCTTTGTGCTCACGTCGGGCTCTTTCAAGTCTCGCAGCTGGTGGTGCGGGCCCTCTGTCAGATTGAAAGCCAAGACATCGGCCATTTCGATGCCGGGCGCAATCAAGCCAAAGGTCTGGCCTAGGAAGTTGGCACACTCGCCGATGGCGTAGATGTTGTCCAGGTTTGTGCGGAGCTTGGTGTCGACAACGAAGCCGCCGCCCCTTGCCGCCACAGTAAGCGGGGTTGACTTGGAAAGATCGTCTCGCGGGTTAATGCCGACGGCAAAAGTGACCATGTCGATATCATAGGGCTCGTCTGGGTTGCCGTCCTTGCCCTCAAGCATGAGACCGGTGACGCGCTCCTCGGCATCGCACAGCAAGCTGCGCACGCGAGCTTGCAGAAGCACCTCGACACCGAGGGCCCTGACTTTTTCGAGGACCAGTGTGCCGCCTTCGCGATCAAGCTGGCGGCTCAGAACCCATTGGTTGCGTTCCACCAGGACCACCTGCTCGACTTCTTCCAAGTCCAAGAGGGCCTTGGCTGCCTCAAGGCCCAAAAGGCCGCCGCCAATGACGGCCGCCCTGCGAATCGGACGTCCGAGTGTCTTGGGTGCATCCACGGCATAGCCGATCACGTCGTTCAGATCCTTGATAGTTCTGTAGACGAAGGCACCCTTGGTCTTGAAGAACCTTTCACGGGTGATGTAAGGGGGCAGTGCCGCATCAGAGCCTGTGGCGAGAATGCACTCATCGTAAGCAAACTCGATCCCCTTTTGTGTCGTCAGGGTCTTTGCCTCGGCGTTGATGGCAGTGACAGCATCAGAGGTGTGGTAGGTGAGCTTGCCCTTGGCGTGGGACGAGTACCACTCGAGGGGGTTGAGGTACAGTGCTTCGATGGAGCGGTTGGTAAAGTACTGGGTAAGGCCCACACGATTGTACGCGATATGGGGCTCCTCGCCAAAGACGACGACCTCCCACTCGTCCCGGCCGCCCTCCAGGTCGTACTTGAGCAGCTTCTCGACAAAGGCAATGCCAACCATGCCCAAGCCGACGACGGCGGCACGCTTCTTGGTGCCCTTCTCGGGCTGTGCCTCTTCAGGGGTGGTGGCCCGGGTCATGACGGGGTTTTCCTGGTCTGGCTCTGAGGAAGTCGTGGAACGCGACTGGGCGTCCACAGGGATGTCTGCTAGGTTGGGTGCCTCTGTAGGCGCGGCCATGTCTGCCGATTCTGCCATGGTTGGCAGGAAAGTTGTGGTAGTGTCTGTGGTGAAGAGCTTGTGTGGTCAAGACTCAAACCTGCACTGATCGAGTTTATTGAGAGACAATAAACCGAGGACAATCAGCTGAACCGATTTGCCATTTGACGGGGGCTTCGAGTGGCAATGAGCTGGATTCTGCAGACAATCTCGATTCTGTCACATCCCAACAGCCATTATCATGAGATATCGCATAAGCGCGCGAAAAGGCTGTCTGGTCTAGTCCTTGTCGAGATGCTGGTTTTCCCGGGGAGATGCGAATATCAAAACGGCCCGGAGAAGAGCGCCCGCGGATGTCTGCAGGCAGTGGCTGGATTTGGGGGTCACACAAGCTCGGGTGAGACGGGCCAGACTGGCGAGTGTGGTTGTTTGGCTATCCGGGGCGTATGATTCGGCAGACTTGATCGGTTGCAAAGTTCGCCCCAGAGGTGTCGACGGAGTTTGCCGCCGGCTTCTGCCTCTTTAGAGTTCAGTCGTTCAGCTTTGCTGTGCCTGCGATAAGACACGTTGTTGCTGAAACCACGTTCTAGATCAAATACCCCGTCCCGCTCGCTGTACCATGGCCTTTGCGTGTTCCGTGGTGGTTTTGCCTGTACTGCATCTCAAAAATAGATGGGTCAATAGCTGGCAGCGCAGCATTTCCGAGGAGATGTGCAGAGGCATGACATGACGTACCTGGTCTCCGCGGAGAAAGCCCATCACTCCCAGAAGGGCAATGCGGCTCTCTGACTAGCCAATGGCTCAGCAACGGGACCTTATCGTCGTGGCTTGGCAGGGGCCCCTGGTCCATGCTCTAGCGCTCCCGTTTATTTGGATCCACATTGCCTCGCCTGGAGAAAAACAAGGGAAAAACATGGTCTGGATGCAGCTTATCTACGGGACGATCAAGGGGCGTCGCCAGTGTGGGGGTGGGGGGTTGAATATAGGGGGGGGTGTGAATATGAAGAGAGATCGAGACAACTGCTGGGCCACGGTGGGGGGACGTTTGGTACTAATGAGAGCGGAGCGGACCAGCAGCTTTGTATGGGAGCATCAAGGACAGAAGTTGTGTCATGTCAACTCGTGCATCTGGTTGCCATCGGGAACTGAAGTGCAGTAGTCAGCCAACCAGAAGGGTAGATGCTTCGCCTCCTCGCCTTGTCTCTTCCAGAAACTGGTCTGACGACCTACCCAGTTGCAGCATTCAGTCTGTCTGTCAGCCAGACTTGGACTCTATCATTGCTTGATCTGTCGCTTTTTACTTTACTTGGCCTGATATTTGGCCCCGTCATTTGCTCTGTACTTTGCCTTACCTTCTGTCACCGTACTGCCTGTCGCACCTTGGCTGCAGCATCTTTGTCCTACTTCCGCTACTGCTGACAGCTGCCCTCCTGCTTACAATCGGCCTCCTGCTTACAGGCCCCCTCCCGCTTACAGGCCCTGCCTGGGCCGGCTTACCATCGACGTCACATACCTACCCTGCACTGAATTCAACACAACGCATCGCAACTCCAAGACCCTCACAATGGCAGACATATCGACAGTCATGTCGCAGGCATCTATATCGTCCACTGCCTACTCATCAGCCACAACCTCGGACCCGGGGGAGGCGTCCTCTCCGTTATCATCCCGCTCGGCCGCGACGACCCCCGAGCCCGGGACGCCGGAGACCAAACCCCAGGACCAAGATATGCTCTACGGGCCCTTTGAGAGCCGCCCCTTTTACGATGAATTCATACTTCCACGCATCCCCAAAACGCAGCCCGTCCAGCCCTTGTCTCTGGACGCCCAGAACCCTGACAACTGGGTTCCCCGAGATGAGCGCATGGTGCGCCTCACTGGCAAGCACCCATACAACGTCGAAGCTCCACTGTCTGCACTCTTCAACACGGGCTTTCTCACGCCCCAAAACCTCTTTTACGTCCGAAATCATGGTGCTGTGCCAAAGGTCACGCAGCACCAGGCCCAGAACTGGAAGATTAGGGTGCATGGCCTTGTAGAGCGAGAGATGGAGTTTTCCATCCAAGACCTCAAGGACAAGTTCCCCACAGTCACGCTACCCATAACTCTCGTCTGTGCCGGCAACAGGCGGAAGGAGCAAAACGTCGTCACAAAGGGCCTTGGCTTCAACTGGGGCGCGGCAGGCGTCTCGACTGGACTGTTCACTGGTGTCTACCTGTCCGACATCCTCAAGTACTGCCAGCCCAAGAGACCTCTCCTGTCGTCGTACCCGTCCTATGACACTGTCGTGCCTGGTCGAGCACGTCACGTAGTCTTCGAAGGCATCGATGAGCTACCGAAAGGGAAGTACGGCACCTCCCAAAGACTCAGCTGGGCCATGGATCAGGAAAAAGGCATGTTGATTGCGTGGGGTCTCAACGGCGAAGACCTTTCTCCAGACCATGGGTACCCGCTTCGACTCGTCGTGCCGGGCCAGATCGGTGGGCGCATGGTCAAGTGGCTGAACCGCATCGAGGTATCAGACCGCGAAAGCCAACACCACCTGCACTTCTTTGACAACAAGCTTCTTCCGACACAAGTCACCGCTGATCAGGCGAGGAATGAGGACAAGTGGTGGTACGACCCGAAATACATCATCAATGAACTTAATGTCAACGCGGCGCTCTGCTCGCCTGATCACAACCAAGTCGTGCCAGTAGCACCTGAGGCTGCACCAAAACAGACTTTACCCCTCGAGGGTTACGCTTACACCGGAGGAGGTCGTCGCACCACCCGTGTCGAGATTAGTCTTGACGATGGTCGAAACTGGGAGCTCGCGGATGTCACATGCCCAGAAGATCTCTACCGCATGCATCCCATCCAGAACCATCCCTACTTTGGCAAGCTGGACCTGAGCATGTCGGAAATGAGCTTCTGCTGGTGTTTCTGGAAGCTGGAGCTTGACATGCAACGACTCATCGACCAGGACGTCCGCGTTATATCTGTCCGTGCCGTGGACGAGTCGCTCCAGCATATGCCTCGGGACATGGCCTGGACCGCCATGAGCATGATGAACTCGTGGTGGTTCCGTGTTGTTGTCCACAAGGAAGACGGCGGCCGTTCCCTCCGCTTTGAACACCCAGCACCTGTGGATCATGATAACCGCGGCTGGATGATGCGCCTCAAGGATCAAGGCATGGATCCCAAGTATCCTCACTTCGGAGGCGACAGCCCCTTTAGTCCGCCTTCTAACCCGCCCATTACTGAGAAATCTGCATCAACGCCTGGGCTCTCTCAGAAGGATAAAGACCTGGAGTTGATGTTGAACCCTGAAAGGACGTCCAACATCATCACGGCTGCCCAGCTCGCTAAACACGGAGATAGCGAAGGCGCTGAGCCGTGGTTCGTCGTCTATGGCCACGTATTTGATGGTACGGGTTATCTCCAAGACCACCCCGGAGGAGCCCAGTCCATACAGCTGGTGGCTGGAGAAGACGCTACCGAGGACTTTCTGGCCATCCACTCCGCAGACGCCAAAAAGATGTTGCGTGAGTACCACATCGGACGGCTAGAGGAATCGTCTACAACATTGGCAGCGCCAGTGGAGGAACAGATCGATGACCCCTCAAAACCGTTCTTGGAGCCGAAACGGTGGAAGAAGACTCGGCTTGTACAGAAAACAGCCGTGTCTCGGGACTCGCGAATATTCCGCTTCGCCTTGTCCCACGAGGACCAGCTGATCGGTCTTCCCGTCGGCCAGCACGTCTTTGTCCGGATCAAGAGGACCAACAAGCTCACCGGAGAGACGGAGACGGTCCAGCGTGCTTACACCCCTTACAGCGGCAACTATCAGCGTGGCTTCCTCGATATCCTCATCAAAGTATATTTTCCAGGTGAAGCTGGCACCACAACGTCGTCTCCGGTCTTTGCGGGTGGCAAGATGACCATGCTTCTGGAGAAGCTACCTGTAGGCACGGACTCGGACGACATGAGCATTGAGCTCAAAGGTCCCCTGGGCCATTTCACATACCTTGGCCACAGCCAGGTCCAGTGGAAGCCCGCGCACCGCACCCGCAACATCAAAAAGCTCGCCATGATTGCCGGTGGCAGCGGCATCACGCCCATCTGGTCGACGCTTAAGGCCATTGCGGACGAGTACATGGCAACCCCGCCCGCCGAGCCAATCCAGATCTGGGTGGTATACGGCAACCGCACAGAAGACGACATTCTGGTCCGTAAGGAGATGGACGAGCTCTGCGCCGCGCTACAGCACAACCTGCACATCTGGCACGTGCTGAGTCTGGAGGAAAAGCTGACGGAGGAGTGGAAGATGGGCCGCGGACACGTGAACCTGGATTGCTTGCGCGAGCATCTGCCTGCGCCTCCGCCTCCGCCGGTGGCAGACGAGCTGGAGGACACGCTGGCACTGGTGTGTGGGCCTCCAGCGATGGAGAAGGGTGTGTCTACGGCGCTGCAGGAGCTAGGGTGGGATTTGGAAAGGACCGTGGTCTTTTTCTAGTTTTCTTTCCCAAAAATGTATGACATGATGATTGGACTCATTGAAGATTCGACGCTTTGTTTATGCCTCTGTGGCCGGTTCTCCTGGTTCTGCCCTCGGAACTGTTTCTCAGCCATGTCTTGTGATTTCCTGTTAGGCCACTGCTTCTACCTCACGACAACATCCCGCTTCGGATTCTCAGCCAGCCAAGCCCACCAGGCTGCAGTGTCCTCGACCTGCATCTCGACATAGCCTATACGGTCATACTCGAGAACTTCGTTGCCGTCCGGAGGTGTCGCCGCGATTGGGGCGTCGAGAGCTTCACCCGGCCGCCTGTCGTATTCAATTGCTCCGTGAGGCGCTAGCAATAGACACCAGCAGGTGTACTCGCCCTTATCTGTGTCTTTCTTGCAGAGCGGCAGGAGCACCACTGAGATGTATCCGTCCTCAACACTTGCCCTCAGGCTTTCCACCTCGAGCAAACCGTTGTATGTTGTCTGGAAATCCAGCCGTTCCTGCTTAGGCCCCCACGTCGCCAGTTTCGGCTCGCCTCCCCAGAACTTGTCGTTCAGCCATCCTCCGCCGATTTGGACGGGGATAAAGTGTCCGTAGAGAACCATGTACCCATCCTGCACAGCACCAAATGGGTCACTGCCGAGGTGTTTTAAGCGGACCTCTGTGAGCTCTGCCAGTCGATACGCATCAGCGCCGTCGGATGCAGTGTACGACCACGTGGCACGGATCTCGTAGCTCGCCCAGGACCACGAAGGTGCCACGTAGGTGCGGGACTTGCGCAGCCCCCGGTGCATATCCTGCCAGCAGAGGCCGGCGATGAAGGTGGACTTCCACAAGCCAGCATAGTATGCCTCGTCAGCTACGTCTCGCCGAAGCACGCTCTGCGTCTCCTTGGCCAGACCTGCTACGGCCAACAGCCTGTCTCGCTCGAAGGTGAGCTCTCGGCGGCTGTAATTTTCCACCACCTGACACCACGAACGATGCGAGTTCATGGCATAGGCCCGTGGATCTCGCGACACTTGAGGCCGCTTGAGCCATTTCTCGGTGACTCGATAGGTCCCCGTCTCATTGTCTTCCAGCTGGCGGCACTCCCAGTGCACCTCCTCGCCCGAGAAGTGCACGATGCGCTGTGCCAGGGTACGCTCCTGGTATATCCAGCCTCGCGCGGCCAGATGGCCCAGCTTGCCGTGGCTTGGGTCGTCGTCGTGGGGCCGCTCGCTTTCGATGACGATATAAAACCGCTGCTCTGATGCTGCGCACGTGCTCGCCAGAAGCTCCCTCTTTTCAATGTGCTCCTCTGGCAGGAGTGCGGTTGACCGCAGGAGCAGGGGCCGGATTCCGCCTCCGCCTGAGCCCCGGTGCCGAAAAAACGTCGCGTCCTCGTCTGCAGCGCAACTCGCGGACAGGACCAAGGCTGCTTGCTTGTATATCTGAGCCATGTGTGCTGCTTCCCTGTTCCAATCATTGGCTGAGTCCTGGAATATGCACAGCCGGTCAACCCAAATATGCTGATAGCCGAGCCTTGTGGCGGTAGTGCAAGCATCCCTTATGACCTGGGGCAGGTCCGTGATCGCCAGGCCAGACCTTAGACGCTCGCCTGTCGTCTCGGTAAGCATCAATCGTTGCTTCGTTGGCAACGTGTCGTCCACGCTGCCCCATCGATAACTAAGTGCTATGTATGGTGGCAAACTTGGTAGCGACGGCTGCCCCGACTGAGCCTGGCGGTCAGCTTCGCCACCAGCATATATGTCTCTGTCCTCAAGGTAGACTGCTTTGCCGTTTGCCCCGACACGAATAAGTCGCGTGGGATAATCTTCTGCTGTTGCGGGTTCCGCTCTGCACAGGGGATGAGTTTCACGACATGTTCGGATCCGATCCCGGATGTAGTCGAATGCCTGTTCGGAACTTGTGCTGTCAGACAGCAGGCGCTGTTCGCCCAAGGGGTATTGTTCTGCTCACGATTTGAATGAGTTAGCTCTGAAACCGTGGCTGGGAGAAGCGCACTATTCTGTGAAAACCCGAAGGTGGCTTACTATACGCGACTGGCAACATGAACCACACCCACGACTCGAGCAGCGCCATATCCCATGGCAACCAGATCCCAAACAGCGAAATGTCCCGTGGTGGGAGGGGAATGTTGAAGGCCAGGCGACAGTCATTTCCTTTGACGAAGCGCGACACCCTGAGGCCCTGGTGGCAATCCAGGTGCGGTTCGGCGGTGAGCCAGCCTTGCAGCCCCTCGCCTCCTGGAAAGCTGTGGCCAGCTCCCTCGTGCTTCTTCGGCCGGCGCGGTGAAAGCTGCCGGCAGAGCCCTCGCCAGATGAGCTGGCAGAGCTGGCAAGTCCGGCTCCAACCGGTGTCATCAGTACGACCGAAGCAGCAATCTATGAGCTGAAAGAGGTTGTTGTGATGCAGGTTCCAGTACTCCGCCGGCAGGGAGCCCCATTCCTCGAGCAGGTGGCCCTGGAGGTTGAAAGCCGGTGGCGGGGTTTGCATAAGCGCCTGGCAAGGGCCACACAGCCAGAGCGGGGGGTCGAGGGCAGCCTCATTGCCGACCAGCGTGAGGACTCTGTCTGGACATGTGGTGCTGCCGAGTGCTGACTCGAGAGGGTCTCTGATCCTATGGTCGGCGATGAGGACTCCAGTTGTGGCCAGTACGGCGTTCAAGGTCTCGTTGTGGTGGGTCGAAGGTCGACGACGCACCGCCGATGTGGACTTGGAGCGCCTTCGGCATGCTGGGGCAGCGCTCACTGAGAAAATCGAGGTCATGTCGGTGCCTGCTGATGATGTTACACGCTCCCAAAACAAACAGAAGAGCAATGGGGGCTTGACAATTGCCGTAGAGCCTGAGTTTCGTCAAGATATGAAAGAAGTCACGACTGGCGACAAACCCAACAAGATCATCGTCATGTTCAACATTGACTTGCCTTTGATTGGCAGGCTTTACGAAGGCAGACAGGGATACTCCTGGTCCCGTTTCGTGATGTGTCAGCAGTTACGGGCCCAGTCCAGCACCAAAGTACCAGTCGAGACTTAAAGCCCAGACGCGTTTTTTCCGCGACCACAATGACTTGTAGGTATGTAGCCCAATGCTTGTGCCGGTTCGATCGGGGTATGGCTGTGATCCGACGCAGCATCTATCGAGGCACCCCCCGAGCGTCCAAGTGAAACTCATCTTCTATAACCGCATCTGCCATGTGCTTTCCGAAGCCTTGCATCCGGCTTTGGACCCGCTGAAGCTGATGGGGTCACGGCGTGCCGTGCTGGTTGTCTCTGAGTGATGCTGTCCGAGCTTTATCACCCTATCATGTTTCGCCTATGTGCCGTGCAACCATCCATGAATCGCCGACAGCAATAAGTCAATCAATAGCAGTTGGACCAGTCCTGAACAGAGCGTGTGACAGAGAATGGAGCAATCTGCGCTTGGGATCGATCAGGCCTCCTCGTGGAGCATGGGTCGCGGACAAGCCTCAACGGGTATGAAGGAGCTGTATCAGGCGAAAGCGCACAGCGGGACGAAGTACCTTGTCCGCACGTCACAATGCACTGCCGGGGACGAAGCCCCACGACCTTAGAGCAGCTTGGTCTCCTTCAACACTTCCCATTGGTCAAGTCGGAAATACGTCCGAAACGTTTTCGCTGAAAGGATAATTACATGTTTCCCCGTCTCGCCGCGCACCAGCAGCCTAATAGCCGGGCCACCATGACAATTCCAAGACGATACATTAGTAGGCAAGTAGACACAGCATCTTAACATTGGTAGAACTCTTACCCCCTGACACTCTACACAGCTGAAAGTGTGATATCATCGAACCACGTGACAAAACTCTGCGAGGCAGAAGTTGAGATGTCAAGATACAGGACCCCAGAGTGGCCGCCTCCAGGATAGGACCATGGGCTAAAGACGATCTCAGCCCAGCCGCCCTTGTCAAAAGTCAGTGTCGATACGATCTGGGTGTTGTCATAAACCTGGTTTGCAGGGTTGGTGCCAGCCGCGAAGCCGGGAGCGCTGACGAATATGCGGGCGCGAATGGTCAGAGTATCAGTAGTGGTGGCGCGATTCGTCCCATACCAAATCCGCAGCTGGTAGGTGGTAGGACCAGCACATGCCGCAAAGGGCTGCCAGAATCGCATGGCGGACCCCGGCGTCGGGTTCTCTAGGTGGAGATCGGCTGCCGCCGAGCCGGAATGCGGTTTTCCGCCCGACCCGGGGGGCCAGTGACTTCCCGGTGTATTTAAAGAGTTCAGCCCCCAGCCCCATTGCGTGGCGCCGACGGAGACTGCGGCGAACAACCACGGGTAGAGGCCTGAGGACTGGGCCTCAAAGCCGGACTCGTCAAGAGGCTGGGTGCATGACCTGGTGGGTCGTACTGTCACGACCGGCCCGGGGGTCGTTTGCGTCACGGTCGAGGCCGGGAGTGTGACAGTCGAGGCTGGGAGAGTGACCGTGGTATCGGGCAGGGTGACCGTGGTGTCCGTGCAGGTAGTCGGCGGAGGCTGCGTGGGCGTGGATGCGGGCAAGGTGATGGTCGAGGTGACTGTCGTGGCGGTGCAGGTGGAAGTGTCTGGAAATGCCAAGCTCGAGCCTGTAGGAGGGCTTGTGGTGCAGGTTGGGGTGTCAGTCACTGTAACGGTCGACGCGGGGATCGTGACGGTAGCAGCGCCGCAAGTCGAGTTTGACCACGGCAACGTGACTGTGGACGCAGGAAGAGTAACGGTGGCAGTAGGGGCACTGCAAGTGGACGAGATGTCAGAGTGACTGATGGAGGAGGTCGTCGTTGTCGTCGCGGTGCTCGTAGACACTGGTATGTATGAGTTCCCCCTGGAGCCGGAGGACCTCCCCGTCGATGTCGTCGCGGTGATCGTCTGATATGTCAAGGTGCCTACCCGTGCTGTTGATGAAGTCGTCGTCGAGGCCGTCGTCGTCACAGGCATAAAACATGAGCAGGCCTTTGAGAGGCGCGCTGCGTGTGGCGGTGGACCGCAGTCGGCTGCCAGATACGCGGGCAGCCCTATCGTCGCATGTGGAGGCACCTCAGTTTCCAGCAGCGATTTGCAGAAGCTACGCTTGCCTTGTTCGTGGCCCGTCTCCTGGAGCGCCCGCAGGCATTTGCTGGGGCAGCATTGCCCCTGCGGTGGTGCGTGCCTTGGTACAGTGGCAGCCGAGACGATGGTGGCGATGGCTGCGCAAAGCAGAACCACCGAGCGGAGAGCACTGCTGCCAAGCATCTTCACTTGTTCAAGAACGCATTGATCACTACCACAACCAAGAGGGGGACAGTGTGCTCTCGTGTGTCCAGTTTAAATAGATTGCTGATGAGAGCACTTCGTAACACAAAGGACGCCACAGAATTCCAGCCCTCTGCCACTGCATGTTCAACTCCTGCACAGAGACTAACGAGTCTCGTCTGAAGGGCTGGGGACATCGTTCCGGGGACCCCAGCTCGATGCACTCCATTCTTGGCGGCAGGCCTTGACAGGTGCGAGGCAGTTTCGGTCATTTTATTCAGCCAGCCACGACGCCTTTTCTGTCACTGTTGGTCAGCCAGCCACAACGGCTTTCCCACCACTGGTGGTCAGCAAACCCCAACGGCTTTCCCACCGCTGGGTTTTGTGACCCTGTCCCTCCACGACCGATTGAGAGAAATCACAACTCGACGCTCGCTTTGTTGTACTGTTGATCATCCATGGAGGGGATCCGGTCACCAGATCAAGGCAATGTGGTAGCGCAAAGAGACAGAAGCCCCCATCATCCATATTTCTCTAACGGGGAGGGTGGCTCAACGGTGTAGAGAGCTTGGTGTGACCATGATCCCTGCTGGACTTGTGCATTTTCCAAGGATCATTGAACAGGGTTGAATAATGCCACACGACGTGGCATGCAGGGCATGGTTGTCAATCTCACTGCGGCGTACAACTTAGTGACTGCTAATTATTTTGTGCGCGTTCCCGGTCTGGCCTCGATGAGATGGGAAATCTGCGCCGTATGAGAAACTACATGATCAGCCATGGCCACGACCAGGCCTCTACACGACACTGCCGAGCGTCTGGCTAGTGCAGCCCAAACCTTTTTGATGGGACTCGTCGTAGGAATGGTGGTGGTGGTGATGCGAACGAGCTTGGATCGCCGCTGCCGCAAAATTTTAACCTTGCGTATACAGCTACGAGGGTATGGTTGAACGCGTCAACCGAAGGATGATACAGAGTTACTGAGAGGCAGCGGGTGTTGGTTCTTTGCGACCGCGTTGGCGCGGTGGGACGTAACGCATGGCTTATACCCGGATAATCGAAAGCGCGAAATCGAAAGAACGCGAGGAGCTTTACTTGCAGACTTTTTCGGTCTCACACCATCCAGCCCGTCCAGGAAACTGTCAGTCGGTAAGCAGTATACGCCAGCTCAGCCTAGCTGGAGAAATCATCACCGTGTGTTATTAAACACACCCAGTCACATACCTTTTTCAGAAGGGGGGTGGGGGGTTTCATTCCGAAGAGTAACTTATTATGGTCATATCAACCAACGACACTGTTAAAATCATTTTCTTCGGAGCAGGCGCCATGAAGCCGGACCCCTTGATGCTGCTCATTTCTCGGGCTCTACATATTGGGTGGAGCGTTGTAGATGAAGTACTTGCTAGTAGCTGTGTCGTACGTCAAGTTGGTCGACACCATCTTGCCATTCTTCAGACTCCCACTCTCGACAATGCCAACAGCGGCGCTTCCACTGGTGCGGTGCAGCTTGTTCTCGCCAGAAAAGACGGAGAAATTTGCCAGGCTGACCTCGTATCCCTGCTTGATCCTCGTGGTGGGGATACCGAAAAAGGAGGCATTCACCGAGGTGTAGTCAATAGACAATTCAAAGTAGCCGCGGTAAAAGAGGTCCTGCCACTGTAGCTCGCGGTTGGCCGCCGTGAGCCACGCGGATCCCTGATTGGCCGCTGCCTGGGAGATGTTCTGTCCCGCAGGGCAGGGCGAACTCACGGCGGAGCCTGCAAACTCGACACCCACAGACCCGCTGCCGGTCTTGGGATCATAAGGATGAGTGTCCAGCCACGTGAGGTCACTGACCCATGAGGCGTGTGAGTCACCCGCCAAGAAGATGTTGTTGGTCAAGTTGTTTTCGTACAGCGTCTTGAAGGTACGGTTGCGGTTGGCCACGTAGCCATCCCAGGCGTCGTAGTTTAGAGGGTTGGCATCACCAAGAGCCAAGCTTTCGTTCATGCGGCTGAAGATCACCTGGTTGCCGACGATCCGCCATGCTGCTCCGCGCTCCTGACTGGACGTCAGCTGGTTGTAGAACCAGTGCTCCTGTCGGGCACCCATCATGCTACGGCCCGCGTCGTTGGAGATCTCGTGTACGTAGTCCGTGTTCCAGTAGACGTCCGTGATAGAGCGGTCGTATTGACGCGTATCCAGCATAATAAGGTCAAACAAGCTGCCAAATTCAAAAGTGCGCCAAATGCGCAGATTGTCGTCCATGTCGACCTGGCGAAGAGGCACTAGAGTGAAGGGTATTAGTCTGACCTCAACTTCTATGTTGGGAACGATAGTTCTTACTCCACTCAAAGTAGGCTCGCACGGCGTTCATCTTGCGCTGGTCAACGGAGACGCCACCATCCTTGATGAAAGAGTCTTCAGTGTTGTTGAGCTCCGAGGCACCAGCCTTCCACGTGTTGTCAGAGACCTCTGTAAGACGTGATGATTGATCAGCAACGTCATGGAACTGCGAGCAGTATGCTGTATTGCGATTCTCATACCGTGATCATCCCACACTGGGATCCAGGGGAACGCCTGGTGGCTGGCTACCAGATCCAGATCGGTTCTGTACTGGGCAATGCGTTTGCGGTAGTCGTAAAGACTGTAGATCTCCTTGTCGGGCTGGGGGATTCTACCGAGCGAATTGCCCCACCCATAATCACCATTCTTGTACTCGTAAATGTAGTCACCAAGGTGGATGACATAGTCAACCGAGTCCTTCCGCACGGGGTTGCCGTAGGCATTGAAGAAACCGAAGGCTTGAAAGTTGTCAGCGTCCATTGTCCCTAGCAACCACTATTGCTTTTGACTCACGGTAGTTGCTACACGAGTAGATGGCAAGCCGAATCGGCGAGCTGACTTTGGCATCCTTTGCGGGGATTGTCTTGGTCCTGCCTATGGGCGAGACATTGCTGGATCCGCAGACCCTGAACTGGTAATCTACAAGGCGCTGAGTTAGAAATTTACGATTCAATCCCGATACCCATTTACAAGGCTACTCACAGTACGTAGAGAAGCCGCTTAGCTTGGTGGCCTCGACCTTGACAGTGTAATCCACATCGGAACTCGTGTACACTTGTCCAGAGCTAAGAGGGTCCTTCGTGCCAGACTTGTCGGCGCTGATAGTCCACTCAACACAGATAGGTGCACTACTCTGAGAGACGTAGTACGCATTGTTGTGGTCATACAAGGGAACTGAGCCCTCGACGGTCACGTTGCTCCTGTCATTATCGCTGGTGGGAGCAATGCGAGTCCAGAGGATCACGCTGGTCTCGTACGGATCACCAGAGGCGACGCCGTGCGTGAAGTTGAGCTTTAAAGGATCCCAGCACGGAGCGTTATAGCTCCTCTTGGCGACCTTGCCGATGGACACACCAAGGGATGGGTGGTGCAGCGATGGGGAGAAGTAGTTGAGGTTGTGGCTGAAGGCAGCAGAAGCAGTCGAAGCCAACGACAAGAAACCAAGAATGAGAGCCATGGCGATTGACCGCGCAGTCGGGAACAGGTCTGATTTCCTTGGCAGAGAGAGGGCGGCGCTGGTCGGGAAGCAGGACGGCAAGCCAAGAGTGTAACCGACTTATGGGGCGAGCTGAAATATGGATTTCTTACATGCCTGCACGTTGCCCATTCATGCAATGTAAAGCTCGCGTCGAACTTGCTTGCGTCACCGAAGCTACCCTGCCTTGGAAACTCTTGTGAACTACCCCTGACTGATTCCCACATGCATGCATGGTCGGCCGGCACAAGGCCCGTGGGTCAGGAGCGTCATCGCGATTGGGCAATCGGCCTGCGTCGGACTCGGGAGCATGGGCAGGCTGAGCTAGCCTTCTTGTGACTGGAAGAGCCTGATTAGGAAGACCGGATAAGGGGATTTCCAGGAATAAACGATCGACACCTGCCCCTTGATCGTCGCTGGCGGGCTATTGTGAATATCGACTCGAGGATTGACACCCAATCGGCGCTGTCGTTCATGGCACGTGCTGGGGCCTAATGGGCCTGCCCCTGCAATAGTTAGCTTAACGGTACTAAGGCTTGGCTCAAAGCTTGTCTTGTTCGCATTCCACCTGCCGAAAATGCCACCGTGCAGATTGAAGGGTACGCGTACCAACCCGGCCAAGCATGTTGCAAGATCGGACCGGGGACAAGGCCAAATATGCACGTGGGCCTTTCATCATTCTGTAAAAGACCAGGGTGGATCAGCACGTGCCAAGACTGGGCAACTGCGACAAGACTTGAGGAAATGCTCAGTGTATAAAGAGCACTGCGTAGTGCAACAACAGGAGCTGACAGCGCAACAAGCTTCCGAGAGAGGGTACGATGAAGGACAAAGGATTGTACAGCCTAGGCCTCCTAGACGGACGATCGCTACCGTTATATTCTAGCGATCAATCCGAGTATCGACCCTTACTCGTCGATACATTTTCTCCCTAGAGATACGACAATCCAGTAAAGAACGCGACACACGAAATAGTTGGACAGCAACCCCGAAGCCCAGGGTAGGCAATCGACCCCAAGGTCCTCCAACAACCAGGGCGGGCCTGATGTAATCGTCTTTAGGTGCACCTAGCTAGAACTCAACCCCGCGTATCTCCTTGTTATTACCCAGCGAAAAGGTGGCAGGAAAAAGGCCAGGCCAGGCTGAGGGCCAGGGGAGCGTCATTTGGGTGCAAATTTCGTTCGAGACGCCTACCTTGGGGATCTTTAATATACTCACTTTAGTATCCCAAATGACCAGGCTCGTATATCTGACGCGGTTATGGCTGGCTCAAAGTCCTTATTACTGCACCGGAGCCAAAAGTTGAAGAAGCCATATCACCAGTGATCGTAGAGAGTTTCAATTTTCAGCGGCCAGGTATCTTCGTCAGTTGAACTGATGCATTAAATTCAGAGTAACCTGAAAACTTGCATTGCTGGTGCGGCTGTCCCATTTCTCATTCTTGCATAGATTGGTGTTTCCTTCCGGCCCAGTGATGCGCAGCCAGAACGCAGGCATGTTATAAAATGTAGGCTACTATGAAGGCGTGTTACGAAGTCTTCGTTTACCAAGGCTTGGCAATTTGGTCTGTCAGCTAGTGTACGTCTAACAGCCTTCCCGTATATTGATAGATTGAGGGCCGTCTGCTTCTGTCAACGACGCAGGGCCAAAACTTTGTGACCCACCTCCATAGGTGTAGACTTGTCGTTACACGCTTAGCACTCTGCTTTACCGCAGCTTCCAAGGTTGAGCCATGTTGTCAAGCCCAGATATACATCTCGGTTGTTCGGATGATTCGACTTGTGCTATGTGTGAGAGCACCACCCAAGTTGACAGCTCCGTCCTGCAATGACAGAGATCCCTTCTTACGGGCCCGGGCAGCACAACAAGACTATAACCAGTCTCGATTGGTCTAGTGGTCAGGATACCTGCTTGTCACGCAGGTGGCCGGGGTTCGATTCCCCGATCGAGAGCACACTACACAATACCCAATCTTCCGAGGCCCACCTCGGAGATTTGTCTTTTTGCCGTTATCAATATTTTTGACACCAGGCAAATAATCTGGTTTCTGCACCTTGGCCTGGTCAGTCTTGAGGTCGAGAATCACCAGGGCATGATCAATGTGCTTGCTGATGTCACAAGGCGCAGCATAATAGGAGATACATTAACCACGTGGGTTGTGCGTATGCGGAAGACTCGCTGCAACCCACGCACTTGTCCGCCAGTTTCCCCAAACATCCAATGCAGCACAGGCCCAACCAAAAGCAAAGCCTGCGAGAACACAATGAGAAGTTACACGCCTGCGCAACTTGTGAGCCTGAGCCCAGAGACTGGGACGGAGCGCACGCGCCATTCGCGATTGTGGAATCTTGCCCCGCGATGGCGTGACAGGCTTGGCAGCAGCGCCGCTTGTCTTGGAAGCAATGGAAGCACCCATGTCCACTTCCTAGGGTCCAATGGCCAGACTCTCAGCCGAACGGGCCAGCCGAGAGGGTTTCATTTTAAGCCGATGAGCTGCAGGGCCCTCAGGGTCGGGTAGAAGGAACATCAGCGAGCTTACTTGGGTCACAGGGTTAAGTAGTGCCCAGTGGCAGAGCTCGAGCTTCAGCCGAATCGCTATTTGCCTATCCTAGTTGGGATCAAGTACAATAATAGGATACCACCAAATCCCCTTGGGGTTCCTCCCGCTTTCGCTCACAATGCTACTCGGGCCAAGAAGGATGCACCAGTTCAGCCGCTTTTAGCTGTCAGTATGCCTCATTGTCGCCTCTAGTCCAGATTCGCTTGATCGCCTCTCGATCATGTGTCCCCAGTCAGACCCGTCCCGCACCAGACTGACAATCATGCGGGATAGATACTGTCGCCACTTCAATATTGTGTGGGATGTATGACCTGGAGTTTCGTATCCTGCGGACCTTGCCGGGTCTATTGACATAATGGTCCTCAGCCGAAACAGCCCGCGGAGTTGTTCCAATGCGAATCCGACATCAAGAAGAAGAAAGCTCATCGCGCCCGAGGTCGCGTGATCACACGGGCTAGGCCATAGCTGGACAACCTCACACAAGGAAGACGAGCAACGGTAATTCGCCCAACTGGACCGAGCTGAGCCCATAAACAAGGCGAGAGTCTGCTTTTTAATATGCCCATTGGCATCTGGACTGGCCGCCCGAGACACCCCCAGACGACTTGGCGCGGGATGGCGGCGTCGTCTTCTCCGTTGTCAGACTAATGGCAACGACAAATTGGAATGTCATACTATTGGAAGCGGGAGGAGCCCTTGGCTGTGGAGTGTGGGATCGACCGGTGCTGCGGGTGAGCAACATTCCTTCGCCACGAGGCGAGGAGTGCCAGCCTCGTCCCGGTCCAGCGGGCTGGGTCCTTGCTGGAAGCTGCATGAAGATTTTAGACAGCTGAGACTCGACGGCCCGCCTGCTCTGCATTCGCGGGCTTGACCCTGTTGGTTGCCACAGGCCCGAATCCTGCACGTTTCGACGCGGATGCAAGTTCATGCATCCATGTTCTTGATGAATTGGGAAGTCTGAGTGTTGCGCAATACGGTCCATTCGGGACGGGTGTCGTCAGTGTCTGCCCCAGTCCCAATCGAGTGATGTACAGCAGCAAAAAGAGAGAACAGAGGATAAGACGAACCAAAAACATCATAGATCGAGCACCTCATTGAGGCCCGCGATTATCACATGGCACGCGCGGGAGAAAGGACCAACATGGTCTAGCTGCCCAGCCCATGACCGGCCTGCCAGAATTGCAACACAGAGCAGCTACAAGCTCGGCAAACGCCACCGTCAATTGTCTCACACGCTCATGTTATGATGTCTTCGTTCCCTCTGGCATCTTAATGTCTCTTTGCCCTGTGAAAAGATGTATGCCGCGTGGTGTGGCAAGCCCAGCTGGAAGGGCGAGACCCCATTGTCCCTTGAGGTCTTGGCCCCCCCACTGGCGCGATACTGGGGCGCGATGACGACTTCGGGTCCAAGAGTCTGGGCACGCTCATTCGGAGCCGGATGGCTTGAGCTTATGTCACCGCTCACGCTCTGGTCCCGGACTGGGTACATGCTGACTGCTGCGCTTTCCCACCTAAACCCAAAGTATCTTTCAATGTCCACGGCACATTCGCGACAAGGATTGCCAAGGCAAGCCGACTCTCAGCCCAAGAACGTCCAAGACTCCAATCAGTCAATACACTTGTCAGCTATGGGAGCATGTCGCGACTACCGAATTCTGCTGGTTCGATCAGGGTGCTAGGGGCTTTTTGGGTGTGTCCTGTGTATGTCTCTGAGGAAATGCCCAGCGTGAGACATCCCACGGTCCCGGCTTGGCTGGCCTGGGCACAAATGGCGTGCCGCGACTTGGCGATGTTTTTGAAGTGCTCTTGACGACGCCTGCAGGGTCGTATAAAACTCAGTAACGGCCGCCTGGGCATAGGGTCTGTCCGTGCCTCTCATCTGCCGCAACCGCAGAACACCAGCATCGACGCGGTCTACAGCACTCTCTTGAGCTTGTATTTTCCGACCACAGCTTGCATTGAGAAGGATCGTGTTGTTCTGCAGAGCAAGATTTCGCAGACATGGTGGATCTCAAGGACTCCAAGGAGGACTTTCGACCGCCTCAGGAAGATGAGCAGCCTCTGGCACTCGTCGTCGACTGGTCCAAGGATGAGGAGATCAAGGCGAAGAGAAAGTGAGTACGCCGACGATCAGGCCTGAGGCTAAGGTGCATGCTAATGGAGGTCTACGAACAGGCTTGACATGATCATCATGCCGATTCTCACCCTTGGCTTTTTCTGCCTGCGTAAGCTGTCGTTCCTGGCAACCACTCTCGGATAATCGCAACATCTTTAGCTGACACAATTTCTCTCATGACTGTAGAGCTCGACCGTGGCAACATGGCCAACGCCATTACCGACCGCTTCATGGAAGACGTCGGCATCGACCAAGACCAATTCAATGTCGGCCAGCAGATGCTGTCCCTCGGCATCGTCCTTACCGAAATCCCTTCCAACATGATCCTCTACCGCGTTGGCCCGGGCAAGTGGCTCACCCTGCAGCTCTTCCTGTTCGGCATCGTGAGCACTTTCCAGGCCTTCCAGCGCGGCTATGGCGCCTTCATCGCGACCCGCTTCATCCTGGGCATCACCGAGTCCGGCTTCATCCCCGGAGGCCTTTGGACCTTGTCGACGTGGTACACCCGCCGCGAGACGGCGAAGCGCGTCATGATCTTCTACTTTGGCAACCAGCTCGGCCAGGCGTCGGCCAAGCTGCTCGCCTTTGGCATCCTGCACATGCGCGGCGTCGGCGGCCAGCCCGGCTGGTTCTGGCTGTTCGCGCTGATGGGCGCCTTCACCGTCCTCGGCGGCTTCGTGTATGGCTTCTGTCTGCCAGACTCGTTCCAGAACCCGCACAGCACGTTCCTGCCCAATTTTACCTGGTTTACACAGCGCGAGCTGCACATCCTGCAGACCCGTGTGCTGCTGGACGACCCGATGAAGGGCAAGAAGAAGCGCAAGATTGGGGCCGATGCGTTCAAGCGAGCCGTAAGTGCAGACATAATACATACGGTATCCCGGGCCACTTGGACCTGGGACAACTGCTCTTGATGGTAGGATACTGACTCATGTTCTCGGACAGTTCACCGACTGGCGGATCTGGTGCCACTTCGTCATCACGCTGTGCAACAACGGGCCGCAGCGTGCCTTTGACACGTATGCGCCGACCATCGTCTCTGGAATGGGCTACGCCGCACTCGTCAGCAACGCGATGGCCGCCGTCGGTCTCTTCGTGCAGGTCCCCGTCTCGTTCGCATTCAGCTGGGTCTCGGACCACTTGTGAGTGACCTTATCCCATTCCCCTGACCTGGATGTCCAGGTGTTGCATGATCACCTAGGACTAACCGCTGGCCTCGCTCGTGTGACAACAGCAACCTCCGCGCCCAGACCGTCATCGTAGGCATGAGCTGCCACTTGCTCGGCTACATCTTCAACCGCGTCTTCACCGACGTCAACATCCAGGGCGTGCGGTACTTTGGCGTCGTCTGGACACAGGTGTTTGGCACGTTCTCGCACCCGCTCAACATTGCGTGGCTGTCGCTCACGTGCCATGACTCGGAGCAGCGCGCTCTCGCTATGGCTGGGTATGACTTCCTCACTTTTCCTTACGGGCAGATTACTACATCCTGCTATGATCCACTGGCATACTTTCCCGTGCCCAAGTGTGTGTGTGTGTGTGTGTGTGTGTTTTTGGACGTCCATGGAATATGCTAACACGCTTCTTACCCGTTCCCCAAAACAGAGTCATCATGGGCGCCAACATTGCCGGCATCTATGGCGCGCAAATCTTCCGCAGGGACGACAGCCCACTGTACCGGCGGGGCTTCAGCGTCGCATGCGCCGTGCTGGCGTTCGGCCTGGCCGTCGCCATCTTCCGCTTCGTCGACGACGTTATTCGGCGCCGCAGGAACAAGGGCGCGATTGACGCCGGGGACCAGCACTCGGCCGGGTCGCAGTCCCAGGACGACGAGGCCGAGGTGGGCAATGTGCTCGGGGACGAGAGGAAGGGTCCGTTGGCTGCGACGGAGCTTGCTGCTGCGCCTGTTGGTGCTGCTGCTGCTACTCGTTGAAAGGGCATTGGAATGTGAACACTTCCCGGGATTCAGGGGGGCAGCGAAAGGTAAAAGGGCTTGAGTATAAGGGGGGGAGCAGAAGCTCGGGTCACGGAGTGGCTGGCTGACAGCGGCTGTACGTAATGGGTTTCGCTTTCACGCTATGAATTCTGAGGCAGGTATAAGGCCGTCGTGTCTGGTCGAGATTGTTGAGGCATGCCTCCCTGCACACAAAAGTTCATCCTGTGCGCTCAGGCCATGAGTGCCATGAGTGCCATGAGTGTATGCCCCTCCCCCATTCAAGCGGCCTGTCAGTGAACAATGCGGTGGTGTTTAGAGTTTATCTCGTCTGGTCACCATTGGCGGTCTGATACGTGACGCGTCAGAATCGTGGGCGGCTGCAATTCCTTCCGAGAACTCTTTGATGCCGCACGACCGCAGGGACCACCTGGCGATGCCTCATTCGGGAAAGCGATGTCGGCAGTGGGAAGCCGCCTCCCCGGATCAGATCCCCTAATACGGGTTAAAGATAGTGCCACTGCTCATCGCGAGACAGAGTGAGTGAGCTGATCCAATCGGAAGGGCTAAAAACACAGCTGCACTGGGACAGTCTAACTAGACACAGGCAAGAGTGTCGACTTATCTCGCCCGCTGAACGGTCTCCGATTGGAATGCACCTTATCTGGGGTACGGACCGGTCCCCTTCTTTTTTCTCAGCTCCAAGATCTCCAACTCCAGATCCCTGCCACAAAAGAGGGTCTTATGCCAGACGGGTGTCACCATGGGTGGGTTTCGGCAGATGGGCTGCATAAACCGATTGCCACATGGTGCGATCTCGGCAACGTATAAGTTCCCACGTGGAGGGCTCCTCGGATCGGGGACGAGGATCACTGCTTTTTCGAGTCCTTCGCCCAATATCTGCTAGACAAGAGACGCTGGATTCGTCACGCTAGAATCTCTCCCGCCGCTTCATCTCCACAGAGCAATTACACCAGGCAAAGCATCATCCCAACGTTGGGCCACAGCGGTCAACCACGACAACATAATAATGGCAACGACCACTGCCACCGAGAAGGGTGGCATCGAGCCCGTCACCTCGGGCGGGCCCCCGTCCATCATGAACAACGAAAAGCCTGGCGCCGAGTCGCACGAGGTCTTTACAGATGCGGCCGATGGCGAGGGCGTCAACTTCCGCACCGTCAGCTGGCAGCGTGCCACCGTCATCTTTGTCAAGATCCAGTTCGCCATGAGCATCCTCAGTGTCCCTGGTGCTCTGGCCACTCTGGGAGCCGTCGGAGGGTGTTTGTCGCTCGTGGGATGGGGTGTGCTGAACACTTGTGGGTGACAAGCCGCTCAAGGCATGTAGACTGCGAAAAGAATGGAAGCTGACTATGGCTGATGATAGACACGGCGCTACTCCTTGGAGAGTTTCGTGCCAGACATCCCGAGTGTCACAGTGAGTTCTGAACCCAGCCCTGTCCCAATTTACTTCCTTCACTCTTCGTTGTCCATCAGCACTGACGATTCTTTGTTCTTCACCAGCCCTCGCCGACATGTGCGGCTTCCTCTTTGGGCGCATCGGCCGGGAACTTGTCACCGCCCAGATCCTCGTTGCGCAGGTCCTCATCACGGCGGCCGGCATCGTGAGCTGCTCGACCGCCTTCAACGCACTGTCCAACCACGGGGCCTGCACGGTGGCCTTCAGTGCCATCTCGGCCGCCATCATCACGGGCTTCAGCATGGTCCGCACCTTCAGCCGCGTCGGCTGGCTCACCTGGTTCGGCTTCGGCACCTTCTTCGCGGCCGTCTTCATCTTCGTCGTCGCCGTTACCCAGCAGGACCGGCCCGCCGCGGCGCCCCCGGCTCCCGCCGAGTTCGACCTGGGCTTCACGGCCATGGCGTACCCAACTTTTGTGGCCGGCATGACGGCCACGGCGAACCTATTCCTCTACGCGAGCGGATCGAGCATGTACCTGCCCGTCATCTCCGAGATGCGGCGCCCGGCCGACTACCGCAAGGCGGTGCTGGTCACGGGCGTGCTCGTCGTGGCCATGTACTTGTCCTTCTCGCTCGTCGTGTACCGCTACTGCGGACAGTGGCTCGCCACCCCGGCGTTCGGCAGCGCGGGGCCCCTCTTCAAGAAGATCTCGTACGGCGTGGCCCTCCCCGGGCTGGTGATCGGCGTGGGCATCTACAACCACGTCGCGGCCAAGCTCGTGTTTGTGCGGCTCCTGCGCGGCACCAAGCACCTCCAGGCCAACACCCCCCTGCACTGGGCCACCTGGCTCGGCGTCAACTTGTTGCTCGGCGTGCTGGCCTTCATCGTGGCCGAGGCGGTGCCCATCCTCAACTACCTGCTCGGTCTGGCCGGGTCCGTGTGCTTCGCGCCGTTCAGTCTTGTCTTTCCCGCGATGCTGTGGATGTGGGACTTCAGAGAGTACCGCGGCAAGGGCGCGAGTGCTGGGCAGCGGGCCAAGTTCTGGGGCCACGGGCTGATTGTGCTGCTGGGGTTGTTCATGGTGGTTGCCGGGACGTGAGTTTCTTTTCTCCTTCTCTCTTCTCTCTCTTCTTCCTTGTCTTGAGAGTGAAACCCCCTTTCCCCGGTCTACAAACAAGGGATTCTTGACCAGCTCTGGATTTGGTTGCTGACATCCTGTTGGATATTTCTTGCAGATACGGTGTGGCGCTCGCCATCCAGGATGCCTACGCGACGGGCATGATTGCCAAGGTCTTTGACTGCGCCGACAACTCTGGGTCCGTGCCTGCCTGAAGAGGGATTGTGTCTGAATGGCAGGCAGTGATTGAACCTCGTTCTCGTTCTCGCTCTGGAGGAGGACTAGACTAGAATCAAGAGAAGGGCAGGCTCGTGCAGACATATCCTGGTTGATATGGCCCCTTTCCATAGAGATGTCTGGGTCGCGTGGTGGTAACGCAGACTGCGCCTAACCACTTGAACAGCCATATTACTTTCCCAGTGGAATGCTTACTCGTCAACCCAAGTTCATCTCAATGGATTCAATGTGAAGTCGGGGTTTGTTGACAAAGGACCGCCAAGCAGCTAGTATGGCTCGCCACAAGTTTCAAGATACATGGCCAGCCCAAAGCTACATGGAAAGAGATCGTATCAGCTGATTGAGGACAACAATGTGAATCATGTTCCTCGGACACAGGTACGACCAGAGCGTGTCTATGCACATTCGAGAGATCGAGGGCAAGGCCATAAATACATGATTTGTGCTGTGCACAAGTGGCACGACATACCGCAATGCTCTGCACAATAAATGTGCCGGCACAACTTGTGCAAGGGCCCCACTCTGAAAGGGAAGCAAGCAGCCTAGGTGAAGCAAGGAGCAGAGCGGGCTGGGCTGGTGCAACCACTGGCCAACGGACGGACGAGTCAGTTTGAGGTGGAGCCATTCCAAGTCCTTTGAAGCAAAGGAATCAGCCCAGCACCAGAAAACTCAAATTGCGCCGCACTGTGCCGCCCAGGACGATCCATCTGCGAGGACCCGGCCAGTACTTTGACACCCGGCTGAAACACCCTATTATGAAAGTATCGCTGGAGTGCCTCCCCACAGGGATGATCCCAGCCACCGTGATTTTGGCAAGCCACAGTCGGCGCGGGCAGTCGCGTGCACGGCGTCCCTGCTTAATTGATTTCCATGGCGGGCGGGCAGTCGCGTCTGGCCTCGTTTGCGCCTGTGCCGCGCCGCGCCTTCCTTTTGCTGGATGAGACGAGAGAGGCTTACACGCACTGCGCCGCACGACTCACCCGTCAGCCTCTTCTCTTCGTGTGTGTGTCTCTCTCTGTCTAGCACTCACAGCTACAAAACCTCACCTCCTCCTCTTCTCTCCTCTTTTTCAGACAAGCTGCTGCTGCTGCATCCCACTCCACTGCTACTGTACTCGTCACATTCGTTCCACACTCGTTCAGCTCTGCTTCTTCCACACCAATTGGCCTCTCCACGCCATCCTCGTCGCATTCTCTCCATACACCATGGCCTTCAACATGCCCTCTGCCGAGGCCTTCCTCCGCACCTTCGCGCCCCCCGTCGTCGGCCTCAATGGCGAGATTGTCAACACGCCCTACCTCTTTGTCGGCGTCCTCCGCCCGCCCCCGCGCACCCCCCTCGCCGCCAGCTCCCTCTCGTCCCTGCGCCTGCCTCGCGACGTCTACGCCTCCCAGCCCTCCAACGGCGCCTCCCCGACCATCCTGCTCGTCGACTCGGATGCCTCTGCCATCTCGCCATTGTCGTCGCCAAGAGGCGTCCCGGCCCGCCACTTCCCCTACAACAACGCCGCCCACGCCGTCGCCCTCTACTGGCGCCTGCTCCAGGACCTCCAGCAGGGTCTCGTTAAGGCCGCCTCTCCCGCGACGCCCGTCGACCCCGTCGCCATCTACCGCCAGGTACTGCGCGACTACGAGTACCGCACAATGGTGCTTGGTCAGAACCGCAACCTGCACGCCGACAGCAGCTGCTCCGTCACCGCCGACGGCGACGGCATGGCCTTCCGCAGCGTCCCCGGCGAGACGGCAGAGGCCTTCTTCCAGCGCCACCTCGGCCCGGACGTCAACGTGGTCGCCGTGTCGTCGACGGACGTGCGGCCGTGGGCGCATGCCTACGCGCAGCAGGAGCCGGTGGCGGTTGACATGGCCATGGACAATGCGCCGGCGATGGTGGTGGAGACGGCTGCGCCGACAATGCCCATCAGCGCCGATATGTCGATGGAGCTCGACGCGGCCATGTTTATGCCGCTGACGCCGCAGACGAGCGTGGCGCAGCCGCACGGCATGCACCACCACGGCCCTTCTGTGATGCTCGCCCAGCAGCAGCAGCACCAGCAGTGGCTCGACTCGGCCATGACGTTTACCACGTCCAAGAAACGCAAGCTGGTCGAGGCGACGACCGAGAGCTGCCGCAAGATGGCCCGGCTGATTGCCAAGCCGCACTTCCGCACCCGGCCCACCTCGTGGACCACGGCCTAGATTGATGGCTGTGCCAGACCAAAGGGGCTTGCTTGACCCCGACTCTCCGTGTACTCTTTCCTGTCTCAATAATTTGCTTTTTTCGACGGCGTTAAACAACTGGTCATATGGTGTTGTGGGCAGTTTCTGAGGTTCCCCGCAGTGGTCAGACAAGTGCTGTCTTTCCATTGCCGGCTTCTACTATGGGGTTTTCTTTTGGTGTTGAGCATGCCTGGTCCATGGCATTTTTATAGTCTTGTTTTCTGGGACGGCGTTTTGCAGAGACAAAAGTGTCTCGCTTCAGTGACCGCGTTGCGTGGTGCGGCATCATAATGGGCCCTTGCCTGGATTTGTATTTAGTAGACAGCGAGCAGCGAGCTTGCTGAGCCAGGAATAAAAGCATTACAAGTCAAGAATCAGATGGTACTCGTTGAACGTGACCTCGGGACAGCGGGTTTCGGGTAATGGCCGAAGCGGACTAGCCTGGGCACCGAGGCCCCGCACGCTCCGGGGCGGCCGATCCGTGTGCCGGCGCAGGAATTCCCACACCACCCGTGCCGGCCCAGGCAAATCCCTCTGCCAAACTCACCAAAACAGACTCGACAACCCGCGACACTGGCTGCAAATCATCGACCTGGGGCAGCAGGAACCAGAATCATCCCGGGAGACACGCGCCGCTCCTCTATTCATCCGCCAGACAGGCCAGCAAGCAAGCAAAGCCCCATCAATGACTGCTGCCACGGGGGCGGGCCCTGCGGATCCCGGGCCAGGGGTGGCAGCACCTGCAGCAGCACCAGCGGGATCGTTATCCCTGGCCTTTCGCGAGGCGACCACCCCCGCGGAACGAGCCGCGTGTTTCTCCCTCGGACTTCCGAGGCATCACAACGGCAGCAATGGTGGCAGTACTGGGGGCAGCGCGAGTACTGGAGGAGGAGGAGCAGGAGGAGGACAGGCACTCGCAGAGCTGCAGGAGTATCTGTACACCCTGCCCAGGGAGAAGAACAACCCGACGAGGGTGTGGTATCTCTGCCTCGTGCCCAAGGACGACACCAGCAATACCGGCACGCGCACAGGTACAAATGGACACGGAAGCGAAGATCCCAGCAATAGTCACCAACAGCAACGACAACAGCACAACAATGCAGCCGCAGCAACAACCGTGCTGGCAGCCTGCAAGACGGTCCGGCGCGACCTGCTCGTGTGCGTGGACGGCAGGGTCACCACGGAGACCGGGTACCGCCTGACGCCCGTGGTCACGCACCCAGACTATGCTGCCGGTGACGGGGCCGGGTTGTTGGCGTCGGTGCTGCTGGGACGGGTGGTTGCGTGGTTGGACGCTGATGATGATGATAGTGAAGGAGGAGGAGGAGGAGGGGCCATGGCGACGTTGTTGTACGCCCCAGCTGTCAGTGTAAGTCGCTACTTGCTCTTCATTCCTCACTCGCGCAAAACATGCTGACTTCTCGGGATGCACACACACGCACACACAGCTCTACACCAGCCAAGGCTTTACTCCCGTCTCCGGGACCCAGGCCACCCTCTGGACCGCCTCGCGCGAGTGGGCAAGCACCTCATCGTCGTCGTCATCATCGCCATCAGCCTCCTCCCTGCCGAGCAGCCACCTCCTCACGACCGCCCACCGGGACGAGCTGACCAGCCTGGCAGCGCAAGACGCGGCCGAGTGCCTGGTCCTGACGCACTTCATAGCCCCGCTACTAAAAGGCAGGCACGTCGCCGTGCTGCCCACCCCGGCGACCCTGGGGGCATGGCTCGCCCAGGCAGAGTTCATCGCCGCCGCTGGACTGCACTCACAGTATCCATCGTCTATATCGGCACCCCAAGGATTTGGACCGGAGACATCCGGCGCAGGAGCAGCAGCAGCAGCAGAGAGAAGAAGATCAGGCGGTGGCGGCGGGCAGACAGGCAAGGAGGCCGGGATAACGAACCTGGGCGCCGTGTCGAATGCCCTCCCGAGTATCTGGCTTGCGTGGTATCACGACCTGCGCAGGGGCCAGCTCACTGTGCAGAGAGTACATTTGCCCCCATTGCACGACAGCGCGTATTCGTCGTCGTCGCCAACTCCGGCGGCGGCAGCAGCAGGAGGAGGAGGATGCGGAGAAGGAGGAGGAGGAGGCGACGGGATGCTATCCCCGTCCTCGCCGGAGTGGCGCGTCCACGTCCGTGCTCTGGCGCGGCTGCTGCTCGACGCGGTGGACGAGGCGCTGACCTGGGGCTAGCCAAAGTCGTGCTGTGGGAGCCGTGTCCGCGGACGAGGGACGCTTTGGAGTGGCTGAGCAGGGATATGGGGATCAAGGTCGAGGTTGGGCCGCGTGGTGGGGCGAGTTCTCAGAAGGGAGCAGGAGATGCGACGACAGGGAGTGTGACGAGCGTGAGGTGGAAGGGTGGAGGGAATGGGGAGGGAGTGGTGCTTCAGGTGAACGAGTACTATGCTTGGAGTGGTTGAGCGTCGGTTTTAGGTTTTGGAGGACGTCGTATTTTAAATAGACCTCCACAGTACACGAATTGTTAGACAGCCACTGTTTGGCTCAAGGTATATCCGTAGCAGCCCGTGAGTGTGATATGTCTCCCGTGGCTCAGTCCCCCCCTGGTCATGGGAGCTGGAAACCCAGCAGTTGATGTAGGCACAGAATGTGCTGGCAAACAATGTCATAATGTCCTCGATGCTTCAGCCACTACCGGACCAGAATCCTCTACAGTATGATAGATGGATCGTACAGGAGCTAGGCCAGCAGCTTTGCCGAGTCGCGCGAGACACCTATTTGACACAATAAAGATAAACAGCGGTGCGTGAGAGTGATTTCAGGCCAGCTTTGGTGTCAAAGTATTGTAATCCGCTACTCACCGCCCGCCCGCTCCGCAACGGCAAGTCCAGATCCAACATCGGGCCTTCTGGCAGAGTGTCCAACCAACAGAGCGGGGTTGGGTATCAGTAAAGTACCTAAGTATTTAGGTACGCGCAGGCAGCCAACGAATTCAGTAAATTGCCCAATTTCCATCCAACGAGATCAATCCTCTCCCTCATCCACGTTCAACATTATAATATGGATCGTCTCTCCCAGGAATTGTACGACACGATCGTCTCCTACGTGGCGAGGATATCCGCGGTAGCGTCATTGGCCTCTGTTTCGCATCGCTGGCGTGTCAGCGTTGAACGCCGCACTTTTAGAGAGATCCACCTCAAGAGTTCTGAGCTAGACTTCTTCGAGCACATCTGCCGCCAGCGGCCTGATCGTCAACAATACATTCGGACCATCCAATTCTCCATCATACTGCCGACATATGATCAGGAGAAGCGGGGTTTATTCGAGAGCGACGAGGATCGGGCGGCGAACGACAGAGCCTTCACTATAGCGATCATCAGACTCCTCGACATTCTCAGCCACTGGCCAAGCGAGAATGGGCATCTCAAGCTTCGCCTGGAAGAAGTTTATTCAGTTGCAGATCGTCCATCCTGTCGAGGGCGTTGGGCAGGAACCGACGTGGACATTGTCCCTGGCACCCATACGCGCATCGACGCGGATGGCACAATCCACACGGTTACCGATTTATACGAGTGGCGGTACTTCTACTCGTTTCTGGACCTCGATCGAAAGCTGGTTGCCGATCGAGGACACCTCCCAGAAGTCCCGGTGATCCGTGAGTTCTACCTAGGGCCAACTGCCAGGAACATCGCCGATCACGTGTCGGTTATCCTAGCAGCGCAATGCATGCCGAATCTTTCAGTGGCCATGTGGAGGCTGGTCACATGGGAGATCAAGTATCTCAGGCTACGGCGTGCATACCGCTCTTTGCTGTCACAGGCTATAATGACGCACTTCTTGGATCTGAACGGGTTGAAAGAGTTGGTGATCCAGATGGGTTGTCCCAATACGTGGTGGGCAGACAATTTCATAGAAGGGGATATCTCGCGGGGGCCTTCTACCCGAACCTCATACTGGCCTGACGACCAGGCAGGGCGCGCAGAGGAATCTGGTCAAGCACGAGTGGGCTCTGACAACCTGAGCTCCGCCTTGCGCATTGGGCTCACTCAGCTACGCAATCTCAAAAGGTTGATACTCAGCGGTACCTTTGATGCCACGCTATTCACGGAAGAGGATCCGTCTGCTGTGTCGCTCGAAGGGGGGATTGTCGAACAATCACAGATGGCACCATGCTGGGGCGAAGCCCTCGAGTATCTCCACGTCTCTTTCGACGCCCGGAGGCCCCAAGGCGGCAGTTACTTTCGCATGGCGGGTCCGGTCAGGTTCGCCTCGGATCTAGACGATATCGAGCAGCGGAACGACCTGAGCACAGAGGAAGAGTTTCCGCCGGGCTACGGCAGTCTCACCCCTGAGGCCGTGCAGGCCGCCACCCAGGCGTTTGCCATGTCGGACCACACGGCGGGTTCTTCCTCTGCTGACTTTCCCGTTGCCGCGGTGGACGACGACGACATGGGCATCTCGTCTCTCCTGGCTGGATTCGCGCGCGCGTGCGCGCGCATGCCCAAATTGAAGCGGTCGTCCATTTCGTCTTGGATTCCAGCCCGCGTGCTGGACGAAGCCGGCGAGCGGGTGACGACGGGCAGGCGGATGTGGGGTGTCTGGTATGTGACCCCAGACCTGGAGGCGGACGAGTCCATACGCGGCCGAGCATTCTGGTTCCGAAGTCCAGCGTTCTTCGGAGATGTCAAGAGGAGGCGCGTGCTATGGGACACACAGGACTGGCGTCCCTCGGAGCAATTGAGCAGTTTGTTCGCAATTATTGGGCGCGAGAAGTATGCCTGTGATTTCGTGGAGAGTTTTGCAAGCACAGATGGGATCAGAGCGCTGGAACGTTACAGGAAGAGCAAGGATGACAACGAAATCTTGGACATGATGGATTCGTGAGATCGCAGGGCGACAAGCAAGACGTAGGGATATGATCCAGCGGGATTTGGATGAAATATAGTCTCAGACGGCTTCACGTGCACGGCCGCCCTCAGGGACGGGGTTTTCTACGCCCAGGTCGTTTTCTGATTTTTACGGGATTGGGCACATATCCTGCTCCGCCAACATAACCACTCAGACACACCGCCAGCTGTTGGCATCCTCGATCGGCCCTGGGCCCTTGTGCACATTCCTCTTGGGATACTTGCAATGCCTCCTCTGCAGCACAACCTTGCTCCCATCAGGCCCCCCACCCAGCTTCTTCCCCAGGATATACTCCGGCGCGACGCCCTTCTCCACCCATCGCACCAAGCTCGCCAGCATGTTCCCATCCGCGGGCTCAAAGGCCGTGGCGGTATTCGCTCCACCACCAACCAGACTGGCGCCGAGCCCCGGGTTGCAGTGCGCCGTCCCGGAGACCCGAAAGAAGCGGTAGAACTGGTCCAGCTCCTGCACCCGCGCGTTCATGGTGTTGGCGACGTGGTTGTAGTACCGCACCGAGTTGTCGCTGCTGATGATCGGGTCCGCCTGGCCGTGCCAGTGCAGGATCTTGACGCCCGCGTCCCGGGCGGCGGACAAGTCCCCCTGGAAAGTAGCGGCGTCGAGGCCGGTAGACTCGTCAAAGGCCCGCGCAGTGTCCATGTCGGTGGGGTTCAACTTGTTGATGTCCCACGAGGGGTCCGCGTAGACATACTTCCAGCCGTCGACCGGGTACGGGGGCGGCGAGCCGTTGAACGCGCTGCTCGTGGCATTCGCGCCGGGCGTCATGCGGGGGTATATGAAGGTCCCGTTGGTCCCGTAGATGTCTGAGTAGATGCTGCGCACGGCAGCCGCCTGGACTGGGGTGATACACTTGTTGCTTGCGGCGGTCTCGCCCGGCCCGCAGAGCAGGCGCTCAGGCTGGTAGTTCTTGCACATGGTCGGGTCTTCGAGGATCCCGTCCTTTGCGCCGTCGAGCTCGTCGCAGAGCGCGTTGACGTCGGCGTACACGAGCTCCCACTGCGCCGGGGTCAGCCAGGTCGGCTCCCCCTTGGGCCCGAGGATCTTGTACGCGCTGGCCGTGGCGTACTGCAGCGCGTTGAGGTCGATGGCCGGCGCGCCCGCGAGGATGCCGTCAAAGTCCCCCGGGTACCGCTGGGCTTCCTTGAACCCCTGGCGCCCGCCGGTCGAGCAGCCCATGTAGTACGCCTTTGTGTGTGGCTTTCCGTAGGCCTGCTGGACGAGGGACTTGCCCATGCCGGCTTCGAGGTGGACCGCACGCGAGACGTAGTCCTCCCACACCTCAAGGTTCTTGTAGAATGACTTGCCCTGGTTGCCGTTGTGGCCGTTGTTGGTGCCGATGGCGGCGAAGCCGTTCTTGGCTGCGTAGTTGAGATCATCGTATTTGATGCAGCCGCCCAGGCCGCCGTTGCCGGTGCCGAGCAGGCGGCCGGACCATGCGGACTGCAAGGGCAGCCAGGCCTCGAGGGTGACGTTGCTGATTGGGCTGGTTGTGGTGAAGAGCTGGACGCGGCAGATGGGCGAGGTTGAGACCTGGGACCGAAGACAAGTTGGGTCGTTGTTGGGGTAGGTGAGGTTTGTGCCGGCCTGCACAAAGCTGGTGCTCAGGATGGTGGTGTTGGGGAACTGGAGTTTGCCGGCAAGAGCCTTGCAGTCATCTGCAGTCTGGAAGCCTTGCGAGACTGTGGCGCCCAGCAAGAGGCCCGGGGCAGTCACGGCTCGTTGCTTCATTGTGTCGTTCTGAGGTCTGTCGAATCAGGTGTACAAGCAACTTGGACTGGCAAGATCCAGCGGAGCAGACTGACGAGATATGACTCCTCAGAGAAGAACCCAGTAGTCGTTTCTTGGCCTATACTTATATGCTTTCAGTGCCAGGCGCAAATGATAGCGGCTGAATGAAGACCCCTGAGCATGCAGGACGGCATGGTCAGGGAACACGGACCGCGGCACATAACCCTTCGCGATTCATGGGTCTATAGTACCAGGGGAGCGGGGGTTAAGCCCATTGGTTGACCACTGTGGTCGTACTCAACTTGTCCATGGAACAGGGACTCAGTCGCCCACTCCACCAGAGCCCGTCCGATCGAGGGACCTATACGTAACGGCAGTTACTCGCGGCTAGGGGGACTCGGAGTTTCCCCGAATGAGACCCAGGCTGCGGAGTATGTCGCGGGGAAACCAGCAGAACCCCGGATTCTCTGCTCCACTTCCCCAGCGCCACACGCCATGCGGGAACTGCTCCATGACTCGAGCAGTACCATCAGCCGGCAAAGAGAAGCAACAACAGTGCTGTCCACAACCAAATGGCCTTCACGGCGTCAATGCACATATCTCCCCGCTGATCAGCTCACAAGCCCACCTCCTGAGCCGGCAGGCGTGCATCTTGTTGTGGCGGCCTTCATCGGCCTCTCTTCGTCTTAGGCAGTTGAATGAGCCGCTCACTCGTCGACAACAAATTCCTCGGGTGCACCATGGTCCGGGGCTTCCTCCCTAAGCCCCTCTCCACCGAGCCAGGCATACATTGGCCCCATGTGACTGACTCGATCCGCATGTCGGTCGTCCCGTGTGCCTGGTGTGCCTGGAAAGCTTGGCCTACTGGCGGTTAAATTTTGACCCGGATCACCCCGCGGAACCCACGAAGCTACTAGCGGCCTAGCCCATAACGGTGGTCCCTGTCACTCTGCAGGGCCCTTTCCCCCTTGGCGGGGTTGCAGTCGTCATCTCGAGCCGCTTTTCCGCTTGTGTTTCCTCAAACTTTATTGCCGCGGGGAAATCTGGGGTTGCGCCACTCAGGCATAACTTTTCGCCAGTGATTCGCTGCGGAAGACGGGAATTTGATTCAACAAGTTCTATATCTTTGAGCCGAAGGATGGGCAGAAAAACAACTTAGTTGGGCTGCAATTTCGAACACCAATGAACAAGGTGTACTGGCCTAAGAGAAAAGGAATACGTGTCGTCCGTCCTAGCATATCTCTACCATCCCACGTAACCACCAGATCCACATCAATGAAGTCGAGCTAGACTTTCGGGGCGACGTTGACTGCATACTGTCCACCAACGTTTCCTAGTTTCCCCGCCACAGTCAGTAAGCGGAAGCGCTCAAATCCGACCTTGCGCGTAAGAAGAAGAAGACATACCGGGAGGACTGTAATTGCAAATAAACATGTGAGCCGCCCCCGCATTGCAGGTCGAGTAGGCGCACCCGACCTCGGTGGTGGCATTCCAGACGACTTGCGTGAAGTGGCCCCATTCGCCAAGACGGGCCGTGTTGGGCGTCGAGGCGCCGTACTCGGTGAACTTGGAGACCTCGCCGTACCATGCATCCGTAATCATGTCGGCCATCTCATTGACTGCGTCGTCGTCGCCTCCGCTGGCCGCGGACGCCCAGCCGATGTTCTGCCCGTAGTCTCCATCGCTGGAAGTGGGCGGGGCGGGGCCAGGTCAGATGGATTCTTGTGAAGCGAGGTTCGGCAGGTGCAAACTTACATCTTGTGCGAGAACACGCACGTGTTTGTGTGGCTCTGCGCAATGCCGGCGAGCTCGTTGCTCCATTTTAGCTTGGCAGCACCGTGCAGGGCTCGGGCTCGGTTGTGCTGCTTGAGAACAGTTCTTTTGAGGCTGGCGGCCATGCCGGTGGCGGCGCCGGCGAGGAGGATAAGAGTAATTCTCATCGTTGCGTTCGCTGGATCATCGAGGTATGACTTGAAAGGGATGCCTTTTGCTCGGTGCAGGAGGCAGGACAGATATTGATCTGGATGTTTTGTAATTGGGCTGAGCGAGGCATGTTGCGTTGTCTGGGGTACATGTCTCAGGGGCTTGGGGAATGTGCATGTCTCAGAGGCACGCGCAATTGTCTTGTTCCGCCTATTGAACTAAATGGGATTGTTGACCAGAAAGAGCCGGATGTAAGACGTACCGAGGCATGTTCGGATGCATTGCAATGCCTTTGTACTGTATGTCTGATGTCAGGCAATGTCGACTTTTTCAAAACTGGCCTCGGCCGCAAGCTCTCCACGCATCGCTCCAGACATGTAGGCATCACCCACGAGTATCCAACGATCTTTTGGCGCCGTTCCATCCTTCATGCGCTGGAGCCGCTGCTCGATCCCAGCCAGCCTGGAGAATCGTTGCAGCTTCGCGAAGCTGTCCTTCTCGTGATGCTTGCAGCAAGCAGTGTCGAGCTTTAGTCTCTCCCCGAGCTGCTTCGACCTCGCGGCCAGATGGTCCTCCTCTCGGGCTAAGACAAATGGGGTTGAAGCGCCACGCAATAGCATGACGGTCGCCCCTGGTGGAAGCCAGTCTGGTCCAAGCACGATGCGGCCGGCCGCTGTCGTGAAGATACTACGCCGCTGAAGCATCTTTGTAGCCTGTTCCTCAAACGCCAAGCATGGCTCAGACACCATCCGCTTGAATGTGATGTCGACTTCGCTCTTGATTCGTGCGCGGCGCAACGGTCGGAATGCATGATTCCAGAGATGGTAGTACTGTCTCCGGAGGGGGCCTATGCCTGGGGCACCTTCCTGGAGCAGCGTCGCTTCTTCCATCCGGGCGAGCGCGCCATCTAGTCTCAAGTCTTCCTTCCATACACTAATGTCCTTGTCCCTGGGCCAGGGCAAATGGGTGTACTTGGATCTCAAGGAAGCGAGTGTTGTGGCTGCTCGGTCTGCCTCCTCCTGCTGTCGGCGCTGAGACACCCGCACCTTCTCAGGCAACATCTCTCTGGACTTGACTTTCACTTCCTCAGGCTGGCCGACCAGCAGCTCTTCGAGATTGCGCGATGCTCTGTCCAACTGCTCGTCGATGTTGTGTCTCGTCCTTGCAGAGATCATGCGCACATGGCTCACAATTGACTCGCACAACCAGGCGGCTGCAGCAGCTCCCGAGACAGGCTGCGCACCGATTCGCCCGGCAATGAGTGCAGCTGCCACCGCTTCAAAGGGGCACTCCGATTGTGCGGTCAAGGGGAAGTCCGGCGTCGCAACCGTGAGGCATGCCGGCGTCTCAATAAAACCCTCGGCGGCTTGGGAGGGATCATCAAGATCGACCTGACACCCGACCGTTCTGGTGGTTGCCGGTATGGAAGAGCATCGTTGGGGTCCTCTCCACGCAGCGTGAAGATATTGTGCTAGCCCCATCACGCTGTCGTTATAGGAGAAGATGGCCCCGCGGACGATTGGAGAGGAGTTGATATGGTCAATCTGTGCGGCACTGACTGAAAGATGCCTACCATCTGGTGAAATGGACACGTTCCCTGCTGTGGAATCAGCTGCCTGGTCGCTGCTTGTAGGCTCGCCGCTCGCCGCGTACGGATCTGGACTTCCAAATGGCACAATATTCGTGGTCGATGGAATCTGCCAGTTGTTAGTCTAATGCACAAGCTGGGTACTTGCTCTCCAGACCAAAGCTTTTCAAGGTAAGAGTCCAAAGTTTATGGTAGAGATTTCAACCGCACACATGACAATGTACTAACCGTCCATGAATCGCTGGTGGGTACCCAGGATGGCAAGGTGTCGTACACACTCGGGTCCGCGTCGTCAAGCTCTTCCGCTCTGAACCTATCCCGGTCTCCCGGATGTACTGCTGTACGTAGCAGAACGCCGAGGCCTTCGTGCGTGAGGAGGCACGCGGCAGCATTGACGAACACCTCCGCTTCCAGAACCATGGCTTTTGCTTCTAAGACCGGCCACAGTCCGCGCGGCAGGAGTGATTGCGCATGAGAAACAATGAGCTGTTCGGGCTGATTGTGGGTCGCGTCCTTCCCGGTGGCAGAGACCATCTCGTCCAAGACCAGACCCTGGTCGATGGTAAGCAGTTCTGGCTTCACCAGCGACAAACCTCCGTATACGTAGTCCCGGCCTACTGTTGCAGTGCGACCACTAGAAGCCAGGTACCATTGCGTAAGCGACCACATATTCCCCGCCGCAAAGTCCTTGCGAGCCTCGAGCGTCGCTGGCAGATTCATCATGTAAGGAGCAAACGTCCAGAGAATCTCTTGCCATAGTTTCCGTGCAGAGTGGTCAGGCCCGACTGTCGTGCTGTCGTGGTTGACGAGCCATCCGCACACCGTCTTCATTGTATCTTGGTGTATCTCGTGTTTACCATAGATATAGACGACGTCGCGGGCGAAAGCAAGCTCTTGGACCACCCAGACCCGGCTGAACCATGATCGAGCAGCCAGCCAGAGGACAATGACTGGCAGAATCTGGACGCGCAATGCAGCCATTCGAGACTCCTTTCGTGCTCTCTCCATGTAAAGTGTCAGCTGCTTGGTGACCAGAGCTGCAACGGGGTTGAACGCCAGCGGGACTGCGGAGGTGGTCATATCGTGGAGGATTTGAAGTCCCGTGCTCTCGATAATGTTTGCGGTGCCCAGCCATACGATGACGATTTTTGCTGACTGATAAATCCGGCCCATCATATTGATCTGGGCGACCTTCTCTTCCTCATCTCTACGTATATGCTTGTCAGCAAGGGGAAACAGCTCGCTGTGAGAAACCGGATCAGGGGGGCACAAGACCAAAGCTATTGAAATAAACAAACCCTTGATCGATGCAAACGGCATCTGCCCACAGCCATTCGCCCGGCCTCTGTCTTCGCAGCTCTTTGAGCGCCCCGTCAAGATTGTCCCCGATCTGAACCCTCTCGCCGTTGCACCAGGCCCTCTTCAGGCTTTCCGGTCTATGGACCTCCTTGAAGTCTGAAAAAGATATATCCTGCCTCAGAATCCATTTGCGGATGGCCCTTGCGAGAAATTCTAGAATGGCCGCACCGAGATGCTGCTTGTTCCAAGTGTACGAGAGGGCCGCGAACCCCGGATCATCATCGAGGTCGAAGGTGCGCATATCAAACCACACTTCTGCACTATTGCTCTGTCCTCTCTCCAAAGGCTGCAGCCTGATGAGTCGTATGCTGGACGGCGTCGGTAGGTTCTCGTATGGCAGAGGCGGGTATACGGTCCATGGCGCGTCACCGAAAGTGAGGCAAGACCATATGACGCGGAACGGCTTGGCAAGGTCAACCTTGCGATGGATCTCCCAAGCCAGGTTGAGGTTGGCGACGATGATCACGATCGCCTTGAGGCACGACCAGAGGGCTTCGACCACCATTGCCTTGGCGCGCTATCTGTTTCGAGGCTGTCGTAGCTATTGGTGTGAAGCAACAGGAGACGGCACTCCTGTAGCTGGCGGACCTGCATATGAAGTGGGAATATCTGTGGTCTTCTCACTTGACCGGCCTAAGCCGATTCTTGTGCACTTAGCAGGCTATCTCGAGCTCGAGAGGACTGACGGTTGTTTCCTCGACGGTGGGATCAACAAATCAGCCCCCACCATCCACTATTGAAAGGCGGGTGAGATTTGAAGTGGACCTTGGGCGGTAAGAAACGGCAACAGTACCCGATAGATGCGATAGGTTGGTGACGGCATGGAGATGGGTATGCATATCTCTTTTCACTGCAGCGTACATCACGACAAAGGAACAGCTTCATTACCTAGACAGATACATGTGTTATTCATCAAATGCTAGGTCCCAATTAACCCCCCTCTTCTGTTGCCCTGCCCGGCAGCAGTTGTGAATATTCCGTAACAGTGCCAGTCGCCAAGATCAAGCTCACATGATCAGACAGGTTGAATCATCTTGCGCGACACCTGCCGGCCTTCCCCCTTCACTCAGCGTCAGCTTCAGTGCGAAACCCCCTTCCGGGTGCAAGGCTGTTGGTTCAGGCGGCTTGCCAAAGCTGATGTACAGCTTGTACGCAGTTCTCAAGACGACGAAACTGCCAAGGCAGCCGTCGCTCGGGACCGAGAGCGACGAGGCGGCGCAGGTCCCAATCACAAACTCGGAGCTGGGACTCTGATCCAGCTTGTCGAGGAAGGAGATGTCCTTTTTCTGGCGCACCAGGTCGTGCAGGGCAAGGACGCGGACGTCTGTGCATTGGGGCTGCCAGTTGGCCGCAGCAGTGGGGGTGGTTCGCGAACCGGAAAGACCATCGACAGCGCCTCCCGTGCCTATCTGGAACGACAGGAGGTAGAAAAGTGAATCGACGCCCTGGTACTTCTTGATGATCTGGCTCGTCGAGTGTATCCCCCTCTCCATGCCATAGTCGACCCGCTTCTTGGCCTCCACGCCGGGAGGGTGTACTTGGAGCAGAGCCATGCATCGCTCCTTGCGAGAACTGCGGAGCAGGAAGCGATCTTTGGTTGCGTCGAACAAGCGTGTCGGGAAACCAGCGAGAACCTTCACATCGCATGCCGGGCCAGTTTCAAACGTCATTATTGGAAGGCTCCGCGAGTCATCTAGTTGGACCTTTCGCCCAAACGACGCGTCCACTGAACTGTAGAAAACAATGCTGTTCGTGACGGAGATTGTGTAGTATTCCATCCCGCGATCAGACATACTCGCCGAGTTCGGGTGCAGCCCAAGCCTCCGTACGAGCTTCGGCTTGCTCCGATAGTAGCCGTCGACAGTCCTGCGCACTGGCAGGAAGAGGTTGCCGAGGTCTCCGTCGCGAAATGGAAGAGCAAAAGTCTCGCTGAAAGATATGCCGCTGTCCGACAGCAGCATGTCTTCGGCCATGGCGAATGGCATGCCGCTGATGCTGAGCAAAGTCGCTACTACCACGGACGCATCAGAAAGGGATCGTGTCGGTGCATTGTCCGAGGGGGCAATCTTTGCACTGCCCTGAAACGCCGCTGGGGACTTGGCAAAGACTCCATGAGGCTGGAAAGATCCGTTATCTTCGACTTCCCAAGCGAGGAGGGAAAAGTCCCGTGTCTCTTTCATGATCTCTTGCTGCAGGCGTAGAAAGGCCCTGGGACCCCCTTCGCCATATATCATGGGCATGCTGATGTCGAAGATGCCGAGTAGACTGTAGGCGGCGTCCTCGGGCACCGTGGTTTGTCGCTTAGCTGCCCAAGACATCTTTTGCGCCACTGGGACTTGCGAGAGGTACTCGTCCGGGCTGCGGAGGACGGCAGTAGGGATGTTTGTGATCCGAGACAGGCGCTGCAGCATCGCCTCATCGTCCTTGCTGCCGCAGGACCTCCAGGCAGAGTCGAAGAACTTGATCCGCGCAGGCGCAATCAGCTCCTGGAGCGTCCAGCCCCGGGTGAAGTATCGACACTGGGGCAGCCTCATGTCGAGCAGCTGCGGTCCCAGGTTGAGCTGGAGGTCGGCGACGAACACGTAGCACACCTCTGCGGCGGCATACCAACGGTACATGGAGTTGATGGCCGCGGACAAGTTGGAGTCTGAGCTCTTGTCTATGCAGCACGTGTCGACCCACGAGTACCGCAGCCCGTCGGCCCGCGCCAGGCGGCACGTCTCGCGGATCTTTGCATAGCCGCGCTTATGGGCGACACGGGCCTGCGCGTCTGGCGCCATGTCTTGGAAGGTGACCTCCTGCCCGTCCTCCCACGTATGGGAGAGGATGGCGTACCTCTCGACCGTTTCATCGTCGACGAACCGGAGATGGAGGGTAGTGTTGTCAATGAGCCACATGATGGCACGAGTTTGGCTAGCAACAACTGTGGGATGATATTCAAAAGTGGGACCTTGCACTGTGAACTCAACAAGTATAGTGCATTCTCTCGGGGTGGAGCTTTTGTTCACGAACCAGGCCGTCTCAGTGGGGCCAACACAAGTATATCAATCATTGCCGCCACCGTCCTCGTGCTGCCAGGTTGAATATCCCGGGGAGGCTGTTTTCAGCTGAGGTCGACTTGGCCGCGCCTGCTGCATATCTATAACTCTATAACCCTGTCACGGGCGGGGTCAGTCACCTGGTTGGGATAAATCCGACGCCGTGGGGGGCCTCGGACTACACTCGCCCCAGCTGGAGTCGCAGACCTTCGACCGCTGTCCCTCCGACTATTGGTGGGCGCGATGACAGCTTGCCGCGCTAAGAGCAGGCAACAGGTGCCAGGTTGGTTGCCTCCGCAAACCAGCTCCAGGATGAATGGCCGTCCAGCTTTCAGCTCGAGCCAGCGGCCGCTGCTGATAAGTGTATCAGGCCAATGATGCTCGCAGTCATGGAGATAGCAGTGCTGATGAGGTCACTTTGCGCCACACCCATTGTGCAAGGCGCCGTGTAAGGGTGCTGCACATAGGGACAGCGACGAAGCAAACAGAAATGTGGTATTGGCTGCCTGACGTCGGCGGACAGCTTCATATTGCATTCGTCCTTCACCGTTGTGACATAGTAAGCCTTGTCTTTTGATTAGCACGCTCGACGTTGGAAGATGCTCGACTCCGTGCAGCAGCGAGGACGATGTGTGCCGACCACCGTACAATAGCACAAATAGCAGTCTCTCAAATCTGAGCTAGAGGAAGTTCTCCCAAGTAGACAATTTCCATGGTCCCCATCAGCATTAACACGTAGTTTCTCAAGTGTGACTTCCCCACGTATATAGCCCGTCATCATCCCCAAACCTTCTGGCCACTTCATCAGTAAGAAGCTTATTACGTCATAGGCGCGTCCACATTAGCTGAGGGCCAACTGTCGGCCACCTCTTCTCTCCACGTACAATCCTGTTCGATACTTGGGCTCATTTTCAGAAATGTTTTCATAGCAATTAAAAGCAGGAGAATGGAGACTGCACACTTACCGGACATCAGAGCGTTTTGAGTCTACCCAGGCCTTTCCCATGGCTTATGAGATACACATTGAATAGCGGTATTTATGCTGTAACCAGATGCATCCAATGAGACATGTGTGGCCATGAGGATAACAACCACCTAGCCTACATCATTATTGTAGCACCAGTACTCTAGACTAGGGGAAAACGACAACGGCGGCACTCATTTGAAGCAAAGTGAGGCGGAATTCAGACAAATAATTCGTGTATGGACTTCATGCTTACTGTCCATCGTGGTGGCTAGATATTTGAATACTTATTCTGTGGTCTATTTGAGCCTTGCAGAAAATGCCTAATGGAGTAAACCGCTTATTGGGCAGCCTAGGCTTTGTCCACGGCACGGGCCTCCCCTTGCAGATAGGCTATGGGCAATAGGATACTCATCCTCATGGATTTGACTTGCTGACTCAGATTGCCATCCTCAGAACCACCTTCCTATGTTGTCAAGGCGGATGGACTCAAAAAGACTACCCAGACCCATTAACCTCGTCTGGAGCTGATCATATTCAGGACCCTTGCTCTACTAAAGCAGCCAGGGCAAGGGCCTGGCCATCGATACCCCGATGCTCAGAGAGTCATGAGATTGTTTAACAGAAACTTGCCAATGCCTCTATTCAGTAGTGCTCGCGTCTTGGTTTACGAGCTGTGCATAGATCCTGGTCGCCTTTCATGATGAGGTCGATTTCTGGCCTCTTCGGGGTCAGGGAACTCAGCAACCTCCGCCGACTAATAGACCACGTCATGCTACAGTGGAGCATGAGCTACAGTGGATCCGGTATGACTCGAGGATCCCTACCATCCACAACCCTGGCCTTCGATGGATATATCTGCACTTGAAGAAAAATACGCGGAGCACGGCGAACGCGCACTAGGCTTTCATGTACTTGCCAATTGGCTATTGGCTTGGTCAAGAAATCACGCCCAACAACGAGAGCATTTTCCCATATATATATGTGACGCATCACTGCCACTGGAGATGTCTTTGCGTACTTGGTTTACATGCAATTTGAAGATCAGTTCTCCCCCTTCTCAAAACCACTGCATTCAATTTCTCTACACCATGAAGTTCTTCCAGAGCATGGCTGTGGCCGCAAATCTCCTGGCATCTGGTCTCGCCATCGAGATTCGCTTCCATGATACAAACAACTGTATCGGTGGCTATGTCTACTGCCCAACCATTAACCCCAACCATTGCTGCCTCGGCCCCGGCAGCATGTCTACCTATTTCGCGTGGATCCCCAGAGAGTGGAGCATCGATACCCGGGTTTTCGAGGGCAAAGTGTGCAGCGGCGTGTCACGCACGCAGCGTAGTGGATCCCGTGATGCCATCTGTATGGGGGCGGAGTGGGAGTTGATTCAATCTGCTCGCTACGACTTTGTCGGCAAAAAGCGAGGCGAGACGTCGGACGGCAATACTGGCGACGAAGAGTGCCAGAAGCCGAGCGGGGTTGTCTTTGCGGACGGCGCCCACTATCAGTTCGACGCCATGACCGAGAGTCAAGTTGTCGAGATGGTAAGTGTCACTCCTATCTATATATCACGTCACGAACATGAACTAACCCGTGGTCTTCTCTAGTAAGCTAAGACCACCGATTCCACCTATGAAACCCTATTCCTGCTACCTGCTGTTTCGCGGTCTCCCCATCCCTGTTCTCATTGCATTTCATATTACCACGATGCGTGAACTAACCATACCTTATTTGGGCCTCAGAACCAAGATATTTTCTGCCGGTGGCAATGGCACCGACGTGCCAGCCGAATTTGACGCCTTTCTGATCTAGATCGCACGATGGGATCATTTATAGGGCTTGGAGGACTCGGATGTTTTTTTACAGTTCCTCATCGACCTCTAATGCGATGGCGGCCAAATACTTTGACTCGGGCATCGACGCAATCAGGTTTGGGTAATGGTTTGCCCGTTTTACCAGCCGACTTCACTTGAGCATCCTCACGTGAGGTGTGTAAATTCCGCCTGGGCAGGTGAATCTCAGTTGTCACGGCTACTACGTTGCAATCAAAACATCCAAAAGTCAAGCCCGCCGATGGGATGTTGCGCTAGCTGGTAGACAGCGAATACACTGCCGTGATAGAACTGGCATACCGTTAGATGCGTGTTTACAAATGCGTTAATTATGTCCAGAGTGCTCTCTGGCTCTTTGGCTGGATAATATTAAGGCTAGTTAACATAAGCTGCGTCCCTATGGACTTACCATTCTAGAACGATCCCAAGTAAAGCTCCCACAAAGGCTACGCCTTGCCCACAATATCAAGCTTGAAAGTCCCGCCGTGCAGTATGGAATTAGAGAGTAGGCTTTGCCAATTCATATGACGGTCGTCTTGTATCGCCTCAACTGTGGTTTCTCCAGCACCATCTCACATGGAAGATGCAGCACGACTCGCCTTAGCCCGCAATCCCTCTTCCTGCTCATTGCTGTCAGCAACTTTTTCAAACGCAGCCTTCCAGAACGCCCATCTCTGCGGCGAGAGAACCGAGCTGCCCGAAAACTGCGCGCTTGCCAACGAGGTGTGTTCCGATAGACTTGACTCTCCCGTTTCGCATAAATGGAGCAAGCGGGAGCCCGAGTACTTGATCCACTCTGCAGCAGCGCTGACTCGACTGCTGAGGATGTCTTCTCGTGATAGACTAACATCGTTGGTCTCGAAAGAGTCGCGGAGAGTCCAAATGCCAAAGTAGTACCAATCCATCAACCCCGCGCCGTAAAGCCTACTGACCATCGAGTTGAGGTTGACCCATTCCTGCAATGGTTCAAATGTGTCCTCCTTGTCCGAAGGAGCTGGCAAAGGTAGTCAGAATGTGGTTTTGTGAAAATGCAAGGTGATTGGACCTACCTATCCAGCTTTCTTGGACACAGTTCTCAAGTCCTTCTAGGCTCGTCCAGATAACACGGTCACTCTAGCGCCGCACCAGCCTCGAGTCAGTTTTGCAGCCCCCAAGTAGCGGGCTGTGTAAAAAGGATGGGTACGTACTTCGACATCACTTGTGGGAAGTTCTTTCAACTCGGCTACCAGCTGAACGAGTCGATCCTGGGCAGGGTGGTCATGCGGGACTTGGCGTGCGATCCTCAGGAAGAGCTCCCAAAACTCCAACAGGAAGCTTACGTAAGACTCCGCCTCTTCAGCCTCTTGGAGGACCCTGTTGGCGGGTGCCAGAGCACCCAATTCTTTCGCAGCCTCAAGAGGATCGGGCTGGTCTTTAGCTTGAATGAAGGCACTGATTATGTTATATGCATTTTGCGAAATGTACCACGGATCGTCATCTCGGAGGCTCAAGGACAAGTGTTCGGCCATTGTTGTTGTAAGAGGGTGCAGTTTTGTGTGAGAAGTCGAGATATGGGAGGTCTGAGGGGTATACTTTGGTGGTGGGGGGACCATGGTGCAGAACCCCGCTCGGGAAGTGCACTGGAACTCTTTGTGGGCGCTGCTGCGTGACCCGGCGTCTCTGCCGTTAATGAGCGTGCGCTGTGGTGAACACTTCCGAGCATTGGTCACTGATAACTGGAGGATATGCGGGCGACAGCTGCTCCCAGAGGCTTAGAGGTGTCTTTGATTCACTGAGGACTATCGTACTTATGTCGTAAACGTAGGGCCAATCACGGTGTCAGGACTGCGGCTTGCTGTGAAGTATGTGAAACAGTTCTTGGCTGATTGTCTAGATTTGTATCGTCTCACAACGTCATCATCCCTATGTCCCTGGCCCTCCGTATCCCTTATCCTTGTCATCGATAACACTTTGTGAACTGCCCGGCCCACGCTGCTGACCAGATGCTGCTTTGACTTTCCATTCTGTACTTCCCTCCATGAATGTCAAGCCGTATGATGCGTATGTTCACACTCTATCTCGTGAGAGACGTTCTCCGTAGACGAGCTCAGGCTGCAAGGTCGTTGCCCTCCCCGCGTCGAGAAGGCGAGTCAGGGCCTGGTGGCGGCGCTGTGAGTCCGGCTGCAACGGTGGCCTTGTTTGCAAGGGAGTCTAGATCTATGTCCAGGAGTCTCTTTGAATGCTGAGAGACACGCTTAGAGGGCTCCTCATCGTCGTCGTCAGGGGGAGGCGGGTTGGGAACTAGTTGAAGGATGCCAAGCAGCTTGGAAACGACCTTGTTCAGGTCGGTGCTGCCGAGTGCCGCCCCTCTTGAGTCCAGCCAGCTTGTGTCGCGGGAGATAACCTCGCTGTCGGAGAGAGCCATATCGCGCCTGTCGGCAGAGGCAGGAAATGCCTGGACAAGGGGAGCAGCGCCCATCAGGACGACAGAGGCGGCGACGCTGAGCTTCATTGTGAGCTGATTTTAGGAGGAGGTAGTGATGAATTCTGTGGAAGAACAGCTCAGAGGTGTTGGTGGCCGATGGGAATCCGGGAAATAGGTCGCGGGCCATCTTATAATCATCCAACCTCGCTGATTGAACGAGTCGACATCGGTCTGTGATATGTCATCCACATAGCATTCTAGAGCTTCCAGCCACTGACAGAGGTCCTGTAGCTTAGTTCGGCTAGGCGCGGAAACAGCCTTGCGCGCGCCAGGGCTGGACCACTTCTGCGGGATTGTCTCAGAATGCCCGCCTCCGATTCGTTCGATCACGCCCAGCGGACAGCCCCGAGAGTTAAAAGTCTACCACATCTGGCGCCTCTGGGACCCGATAGGCATCAGTATCCAGACCACGGGGGGCTGGCCACCTCTATTGAGCCTTAACTGGATCACTCAACGGTGGTAGACTTCAGCCATTCGAGTCGGGACTTTCTGTGTCCGGGGAAGCCAGGGGCCACTTGGCCTGCATTGGAGTCCACGGTCAGTTAGCTCATCTTATACTAACCTCTAGTCATATCTATCTTAGCGTGCAAATTTACTCGGTCAGGTGTTTCTTGGCACGAAGCTGCGCTGTTGACACCTTCAGCTGTGTCAAAGTGAAGCGAGCCACGGTACAAGAGTGAATTGGTAGCAGAGTGCTCCCGACGCGCTGCGCATGTGCAAAGCACCTGATCCCCCGGGCCGGGTAGAGCATGGGGCAGTCTCGCGCCATCGCAATTTCGTCATATTTTCAAACGAAGTGCACGATCCCCGTGCTGGTTTATGATATGTGCATGGCACTGGATGCGTCGTGCCGACGGCAGGTCGTACTACCAGACCAATCGAACCCCAGGAACTGCGCCCTCCGCTATGGAGGCGAGCTGGCGGATTGTAAAGGGACATCGTAAATTGGACCTGGACTGCAGGGGCGGGTAGTCGGTGCGGAAATGAGAAACGGCCGCTCAATAGAATAGCTGCTGACGAGCATGAGGGTTCCCATGCAATGGCAGACGCCCCGATGGTTCCTGACGGGCACTATTAAGCCACTGAAAACGCTCGAGTCCTGCACTTGCGTTTCGTCTGTTTTCACAGAGATCTGCCCACTTCCAGTTCTCCTCCGTCCGTACACTCAACACCACACACAGGTTGCAAACCATCCCATCGTTATGCATTCCAAACGCATCCTCTCCGGCACGCTACTTGTCGCTGTGGTCGCTGCAGTCGCCCAGTTCCCGACGACCGCCACCGTGCCGGGCATGACAATGGTCTTGCCTGATGGCAACGGCGGCATGACGACAGAGATAGACCCGGCGCACACAGTCACTGGCGCCGCGGCTATCATGCCAGATGGCGAGACCGTCATCATCAACAGCCAAAGCGTCTACATTGTTGACGGAAGCAACTTTGTGTATGGCGGCATCGACGGAACAAACATTTACAATGGCGTCACCGTCATTGGCGGCACGATTCAGGGTATCGACCTCGTGAGACCTACCACGACGGATTTGGTAGTCACGTCGTATACATCCTCGGCTGGTGCTGCGCAGACGTCGACTCCTGCTGGGATCACCAGCACGCCTTCTTTGTCTACGAGCACCACGACTGCCCCCACACAGGCGACAACCACGACAAAACCCAATGCTGCGGCCAGGACTGGCGGGGCGGAGATGCTGGGCTGGGCTTGCATGGCTGCATTCGGTGCTGCTGCCGTAGCCATCAACTAGAAGCGAAAGCCGTTTCGTACGGCACGGTGCCCTTTTGAGTATTCACTAGCTATTCATGGTCGAGATCTGAGGTTCCTTACATGTTCTCGAGCGGTGTTGTGCAATGCTTATGTCTTTAGGTAGTACGCATCCCCAGGGCCTTCAGATGAAGCGCCCCAACGCACAGGTCAATAATCGGACCTGATTACGTTATGGATTTCTAAAATCCATTATTAATAGCTGCATCTGCAATAAGACTCATTTCTTTCCCCGATACGCCTGATTCGCATTATAGATCTCACCTCTGGACGATCCATGCGTTCATGACGCACCAGTAGTGACCTTTCGGTATAGCCGAGCTATGTTGAGCCCTCGTCGAGCCTTCTTTTCCAGTCTGGCAGTGACAATAGCGCCACTTGTGCAAGATGCCATAGAATCCAAAACTCGCAAAGCAAAATCATTCTGGCTCGAAATAACTGATGGCTGGGCTCTTAGCTCTCCCTTGCCGAGCTGGTCAAGTTGTGATTCGAACCATAATCTCAAAAGCTCTCTGCCGCCGTATGCCATCCTATTTGATTCTTCCACCGAGTCCATGTCGTACTCGGTGACCCTGCAGTAATGCCCCCGATGCTCTCCTGGAGCATTCAGTGGCTCTTTGAACGCCAAAAGGATCCTGAGATAAGAATATGGCCCATGGCTCATGCTGTTCCGGCTGTACTTGATCTCCAATGCGGCAGCCAGCATCTTGCAACTACCTGCTGACACGCGGACCAACTGCAGCAGGCCCGTCTCTTGGTCGAACAGCGCAGAGGCGGGCGCAGGTATGGTGTCAATCATTGTGAGCTTATTCCCACGTTTTACCCGTTCACTGCCCGTGTGAGCGTAGGCCGTCCAAAACCCGGGGCAGTCCGCGGCCAGCACGAACTGGAGTCTGGGGTCGCGCTGTCCCGACCTTTCAGCCTCGAGGTCGCGGGTGTCGCACACCTGTGTGATGGTTGGCGATGAGACGTCGTAGGTGGGCAGGAGGTGAAGCCGGGTTAGTGACTTCATCCCGCTCATCCCACTCATGAAGGGCGATGACTCGTCGCTCGGGAACACGATCGGGCCACAAGGGATTGGCAGTCGATAGTATCCGTGAGTAGTCCAGCTCCGACCACTGATTGGTATGGCAATCATTGTTCGCAGGTCGTCGTGGGCTCTCGCCTCGTGTAGCCATATAAGGGCGCCTTCACACGTGTGCACTATGGGCAGGCTTATGGACAGCCCTCGATTGGTGATGGACCATATGCTCGCATCTCGATAGAGATCCTCGAGGTACGAGATCCTTCGGAACCCCCCCGAGTTGACAAAAACGTGGGGGCTAGGAGCTAGCATGCCGAGCCAATTTGGCGGGACCAGATCGTCGCGAGTCCAGCAGAAGATGGTCTGGTCGGGGTTGCGCTTGATGATCTCCTCCTGGAGCCTGACGAATGCCTTGGACCCCTCGCCGTAGAGCAAGGGCATGTTGATATCGAACAATCCGAGCATGCAGTAGGCCAGATCCTCTACTCTTGTCGTCTTTCGCTGCGAAAGCCAGGACATCTTGCGGGCTACGCTGGCCTTTCGGATCTCCCGCTTGCAGTCCTCGGCTGCAATACCGGTCACGAGCTTGACCTGGCCCGCAAGATTCTCCCGGGTCTCGATGAAGGACCAGTCGGCTGCGAAGAACGCTAGTGAGCTCGGCGCGAGGAGTTCTTGGAGCGTCCATCCGCGACCCCACCATCGACTGTGGCGGAACGGGAGATAGTTGTCGTCGCGGGGGTGGTCGGCGACTGGAGGCACATCTGCGAGGAAGACGTAGCATACGGCAGCGTCGCGGTACCAGGCGAACATGGAGTTGATGGCTTCTGAAAGCTCCGCTGAGCTGGACTTGTCGATGCAGATAGTGTCGATCCAGATCCACTCAAGCTCATCCTTCCGGGCTTGCCGGCAAGCATCTTGGATCTTGCGATACCCCACCCTGGCCCGTACTATATCGTTGTGGTTGAGCCATTCCTGGTATGTGACTTCTTGCCCTGCAGTCCAGGTGTGGCTGAGGATGGCGTATGGCGGTGTTCCGTCGTCGTAGAATTCGACAAAGTCGTGCCTCGTGGTGTGCAGGAGCCGCATGCCTATGTCCTTCTACGAAGAAACCCAACCGTTGACGAGCAAGGCTGTTGTCGGCTGGGCATGCGCGCGCGGATTCTCCCACTCGTGAATCGTGATATGCGGGAGGTATACACGGGAGGCTGGGCCGTCCCCTGGTAACCTCCCACGGGTTGCGCACGGGGCACTTTGACGGCCTTCGCTCAGCCGCAGCAGGGCGCCTTTCCTATCCAGGCCAAGCGCAGACGCCATCGCCCTTCGTTACTCGATCGATCGGCCCATCCCTCAAATACAATTATGTTCTTTAGTCCTACCCGTTGCCACTCATGGTCATTTCGAAATCGTACTCGTCTTTTGGAATAATTTATGCCATGTTGAAAGCAACTACAAATTTCGCACCTTGATAGTGTACAAGCTATACTTCTCCCGTTCGGGAATCGAAAGCCAGCTTTAAACCAGTGTTATCGTCTCCAACTCCGCAATATCTAGCTCTCCCCGTTCCCTTTTTAATTTCTCTGCTACCTCCCCATGCATTATTCCGGGCATTAGACACGGTCCGATGTGATTGAACTCTCCAACATTACCATTCGGCCGCACCAATATGGGCGCCTGAGTGCCTGGTATGACCCAGACAGCATCACCGATCTGAGAATCACCAGGGCCCCAGCCGAGAAGCCCGTCGTCGGTGGCAATGCATTTGTACTCGCGCATGCTCGTGATTAGGACAGACATTGGCGGCAGGAATTCCTCGTACTCCTCCCCGGACAATCCGACTTCAATTTCTTCGAGCCGGGAGTCAAGGGCGTGGAGCTCATCGCTGGTCCAGCCCAGGCCGTCATTCTCGTTGAGAAATCTCGCCCGGAGGTCCGCCAAGCAAGCGCAGCCCCATTTCTGAGCAGGTGTAATTGCTGGCATCTTTGCTTCCTGCAATGCTTCTGTTGCAAATGCGTCGTCATTCGTTGCGTCAAGATCACTACCAGCAGATGTCCGAGTGATGTGGACTGCTTCGGGAGCCTGCTCCTTTCTCTCCCTCTCCATATCCTGTTCAACGTTGCTCCCGGTAGACCCAGACGGCGTGATTATCTCTTTGTTGTTGTCATGGCCCCATACGTCCTCCAACACGAGTATCCATAGCATTGCTGTCGAATAATATCGTCGCAGATGGGCTGTGGCCGAGCGTGACACTTCGGTTGTCATTGATGTTGCTGCCGTTTCGCGATGGTGAGAGATAGTGTCCATGATCAATCTAAGGATGCTCATGCCACGGGCGGTGGATGAAGACTCGATCGTGGACGGCGAGGAGCCATTTCCCCGTCTCGTTCCGTGGAGGTAGTCCCGGAATACACGGCGTAGTGTCTCAAAGTCGTCATCACCCCTGCCCTCTTCCTCCGTTGCTGTCACATTACTAATGCGGACGCCACGAATAGAGAGCCCGTCGTAAGATGGCATTTTCGTGATGGGCATTTGTGCTGGCAACCCGAGGTCCGCATTCAGCCCCAGTCGTGCCACGTGCCGCTCTTTTCCCCCCAGGTGATCCCAGTTTGGCACCCAGGAGGGCACAAAGAGATGGTGTGCGACACAATCGCCCTGCTTGCGCCACGGGTGATGTGCACCTGCCCAGGCCAGGAATGAGAAGTCGCCACGACGTATCCAAAGGTCGTAAACTATACTCGTGTATAACGCTTCTGCAGACAGGTCGTAGTTGGGTTGGTGTAGTTGCCCAGGACAGCGGCCTAGAGTGCAATATATCTTGTCGTGCGAGAGAGAAGCCTGGAGTCGACTTGCGTCACAGATGGACTGTCGCCAGATTTGGAGTTGCTCCGTCTCGTCGTGGGGAGCCTGAGAATCCAGTCTTGAATAGCTGTCGCGGGTACGCCACGCCCCATCCAGATCGGCCTCTTGGTAAATCCTGCCTAAGGCCCATAGGCATGTCCAGTCTGAGTCAGTCATTTTGAGCGGCTTTGGCCTGCTGATCATGCCCATCTGCCATCGTGTAATCCTCTGGAAGTTGGAGAGGAGCATGGTTCCCCGGCCAAACCAGAGTATGACGTGCCGCCCACAGCCAATCTCCTGGCGAATCCAGGCCCGTCGCCAGTAGCCAGCACGTGTAATCGTATGTATGAGTGACCATGTATCATTCAACATCCATGCACCGTCGTCAGTGCCCAGGAAGTGCCATAGGCCGAGGTAGGCCGTCTGAGCAAAGAGGTGGTGTGAATCGGTGTCAATGTCGATGTCACTGATGCACCCGGCTAGGTTGTGCAAGGCCGCGAGATCTGCGTTGGCGACATCGAAGTCAGGGCCGAGCCCTGAAAGGACATGGTGTGCGGATTTGTATATATCGGCCATGAAGGCTACCTGCTGAGCTCGTTCCACCAAATCGGACTGGTTTATGCAGACCGCATCAACCCAGAGCGGTCGGCGAGAGTCGCCCCTGGAGCTTGATGCTCTTTCGATCCGCTGTCTCCGCCGCCATTCGTGTAGAAACGAGTGCAGGTTGCTTGTCACGCTGACCATGCTGCCGTTGATGCAGATGTTCCCACGGCCTTTGTCGTTGTCATCTTCGCCCCATACATAGGAGAGCGCGTCAAAGTTGTCCTCTGCTTGGTGCAGCTGGCTGGTCGTAAGGGTGCCGACGATAAGGTCGTCGTCATCGCTGTCAACGTACACGCTGAGGAGGCGGACCTCGCGGGCGGCGGCATCTAGAGGGTGATAGATGTCCATCACTATTCTACACGTCCGACCTGCCACTGGTCCAGCCAAGATATCCACTCGTCAGTCTTAGGCTGGGTAGTATCAGAGTGGTCAATGGCAAGCTGGTATACGATGGAAAACGGTAATGCGAATGCTTGGGAAAGAGCCGTTGCCAGCATTTCGCGTGCATTTTCTGCGCGTGCATTTTCTGCCCGGACATCTCACGCAAGTGGGGTTTGTGCAGCCAAAAACCACACGGTACACTCTGTACAGGTCTGTTGGTTCAGCCGTAGCCTGCCAGATGGCTGTCGCCGCCAAGCATGCATTAAGTGACAAGGGGGGTATGAGAGGGGTCGGGTGAACCCTCCGAATGCTGACATGGGTGGCCCCTCTCCTGCGCACATCTCTTCCACAAGTCCAGGCTGTCTAGCGGATGGCTGGACCATAGATGGGCGAGCAAGCATGCCATGGCGACACTTTCGCAAGCTGATGGTAAGCTCACCGTCCGCTGATAGAGACAGCTGGCGGAAGGCATGCGACGCTTACTAGGCCATAGCGATCTCTAGAGTCTTTGACACCACCCTGGAAACCCTCGCAGAGATCGATGTCTTCTCCGGCCCCTCCTCGCCAAGCAATTTCATCGTGTACGCCCACGACTCGGACACTGTGGACGATGACTCGGGACCCGGCTACAGCGACATCGTCAAGAAGTTCATGTCATGGCTGCGGAGGGTACGGACCCGGACGGTGTCGGACCAGTATCCAGCAGCACCTTTTGCACATGAGACACGTCCAGGCGACGGAGTGGCATGTCGCGACATTCTAGAGAACCAGTTCTGCGTGCTTCCCAACACTGAGGAACGCGTGGGAGGCTCAATCTCTTTCGACAGAGCCGACACAGTGGTAGTGTGTGGGTCACCGCGCCTCAAGAGCTATTGCAAACATCCCTTCGCCGATCGGTATATCGATGCCGTCAAGGGCGTGTATGATAAATGTCAGGGAAGGCCAGACAGCGACCTCTACCACGAGATACAACAGGAGGTTCTCAGCACGGCAACAGCGCAGCCAGGATTCCACCATGCCCTGACCGAGATCGCCTTTCTTGAGCTCAGGCGAGAGCACCGCGCCACCGCACATGGTATCGTCCTAGTCTCCTTCGACGACGGCATGATAGACTACCTGAGGTTCTCATATCCCACAAACCTTCAACTCAAAGTTCAGACATCATCAACCGACGAGGAGCTACACGGCAGGTTCTTGAAACTGATGCGGGTCATCTATACCAGGGAGCACGCGACATTAGATGCATATATAAAAGCATACAACAATGCGCGAGCCGAGATAGAGATGCAGCGAACTGGGATGTCGGAGAAGAGTCTCGAGATTCTGATTGACAAGGAGCTGAGCCAGGCGCGGCGGTATCTCGCCAGCCATATGACCGCCGAACTCCGACAGCTCCGGCAGCGAAAGGAGCTGGCTGAGCTGGGTAACAATCAGTACACCGCACTACAGCAAAGGCGCGACAGACTTCTTGGCATGCTGCCCACGATCCCGTACGCGGATCGCAAAGATCGAAACCCAGAGAGAGTGCCCGGCACATGCAAGTGGTTCACGAGCCATCCGATTTTCAAGGACTGGCAGAAGGGGGAGGTCACCAGGCTCCTTTGGGTCTCAGCATATCCTGGCTGTGGTAAATCAGTCCTGCTCAAGTATTTGATTGACGACGCCCTGGTGGCACCGAGCACGACTATTTGCTACTTCTTCTTCAAGGACGACTTTGACGACCAAAAATCTCTATCTGGCGCCCTTCGGTGCCTTATCCACCAGATTTTACTTCAGCAGCCCGAATTGCTCGACAACGAAGTGCTACAGAAGTTCGAGCAGGACCAGCAGCTGATGGGCTCGGCGACCGGGTTATGGAACCTTCTTATAACGATATCGCAGCGTAACACGGTTGCCGACATCATATGCGTGCTCGACGCTTTGGATGAATGCCATGAACAAGATCGCCGGTTACTTATCGGGTGGCTTGTAGAATGGACCCAGCACAGAAGGAACGACAAGGCTTCGAAACTGAAATTCCTTGTGTCAAGCCGGCTCTATACCGACATCAGTCGCAGCTTCCACAAGATAGAAGCGCGGATCCACCTGAGCGGCGAGAACGATACCGAGATGCACCAGATCTCGCAGGAGATTGACTTGGTTATCACCGCGAAGCTAAATGTCATTGCGCCCATCCTGAATCTCAGCGCCAAGCAACAACAATTGCTGCAACAGGAGCTGAGAAGGGTGCCACATAAAACGTATCTGTGGGCCTACCTTGTCTTTAACGAGATCGAGGACATAGTCGAGACGGACAGCAAGTCTCTCCTGGCAGCCGTCCGTACTTTGCCCCAGAGTGTGCACGACGCATATGAAAGGATACTGAGTAGGAGCAGAAATGCTGCGAAGACCAAGAGAATGCTTTCAATCATAGTAGCTGCAAAAGAGCCTCTCAATCTCCTGCAACTAGCCGAAGCCTGGGCAATCGAACCGGGTCTTTCCACCTATGACGAGCTCGAGGTCGTCTCCGAGCAGCAGACGCGTGACAATCTCAGGGGACTTTGTGGGCTCTTTGTCATTGTCTACGAACACAAGGTCTATCTGTTGCATCAGACCGCCAGAGAGTTCCTTCTTGAGAAAAACGACATAGTCGTGAAAACGCAGCAGCTTGCTAGGTGGCAAGGGACCATCGTGCTAGCAGAAGCTGAACTGGTCGTGGCGACCATATGCATTCAGTATCTCCTCCTCCGCAACATCCCAACTTGGGCCGAAAACCAAGGCGACAACTCGTCGTCTGCTAGAAGAAAGATCCTTAGTGGAAGTCGTCTCGTCTCCTCGCGAGCAGGCGGAGACACCGCTCAACACCATCGAGCAGAGCGTACTCAAAGTGGTCTATCCACGTACGCTGCTGAGCATTGGGTTGACCACATGCTCGAAACCCAAGGACTAGCCAGTGAGGAGCTCGTACGACAAGCGGCAATGCTCTGCGACAGAACAACGCCAAACTTTTCGTCATGGACTTCGGCCTTCTGGAAACTTTCCTCCGGCGGCCGTAGACGGCGTTCGTGGGAAGAGGCGACACCATCATCTCAACTGATCGTGGCGTCCATGTTGGGCCTCACGCCTGTGGTTGAACTACTTCTGTTGAATCCGATAATAGATTTGGAGTATAGAGAATCCGGAGTTTCCGCAACCGCTCTGGTGGAGGCAGCCCATAGCTTTCGCGCCTCCTGGCCTTGCGAGAGACACTATATCGAAACCATAACTCTGCTTCTCGCCAGAGGCGCCGACGTCAACGCAACAGATACAATGGGGTGGACAGCCCTGATGGGGGCGGTCGAAAGTGGATCAACAGATGCTGTTGAACTCCTTCTTCGGCACGGTGCAAATCTTGACACCGCGCACGATGGGCTCCGAACGCCTCTGATTTGGGCTGTCTCTGGCACGGATCTGCCCATAGTGCGTGTTCTGATCGAGCATGGAGCTGATCCGTGCCAGGCGGACATTGATGGTATTGAACCCCTGATGTCATTCGAGCAGGGATGGACCTGTCCTGATGAGGAAATTGCCGACATGATTGGCATCGCGGAGTTCCTTCTGCTCAAGGGTGCCGACGTCAACGCCCAGGGGCCCAATGGCAGCACTGCACTCCACCATGCTTGTCAAAGCGGCCCCATCGAGCTCGTAGAGACCCTGCTCAAGCATGGTGCGCATGTCGAAGCGGAGGACGACTGCGGAGAAACGCCACTGAGACGAGCAGTCGAATGGGCGCCTACATCATCGCTTGTGCAGCTGCTCATAAGCAACGGAGCTGACGTGAACCACGCCGACATCTACGGGCGAACACCCCTAGATGTCGCAGCGGCACGGAAAACTGTCGAGTTGCTCCTTGAAAATGGGGCAGAGTACGGAACCGTGACCGACAAACACCTGGAGGATCTGGAATCGGCCATATGGAGCAGAAACCAAACGGCAGTCAAGTTCTTGCTTGAACATGTCACTGACACTGCGAGGATTTTGAAGGCAATTGAGATGGTGGCCCCCCTGAAGGAAAGCGGCATCAGCGCCATCAAACTCATGCTGAAGCAGAGGCTGGCAAAGGTTGCCGTGCTGGAAACCAAGAATCAGCCGGTTGGGCCACAGCTGCCGGACTGATCATGTGAAGGAGGGAGTCCACCGCCCATTTTGACTATGATAGACTCTGTATTCGTTGCATCAAGGCTTAAGTCGAGAAGCGTGCGCGCCACATCAGGCGAAGGAGGGGAGGGGGGGGAGGGGGGGGGGGCACGTCTGTTTCGGGCAACGCAGCACAGAATAGTCTCGCATGTGGTCGAATGGTGTATTTGTCTTATCCGGGACATGCCTTGAACGTGGCGAAAGTCAAAGGACTGCATCCTATGTGTCGAGACAAGTGCTTTGCATGGGGCTCACGTGATGTTTCTGCAGCTTGTTCAGTTGAAAAATGCCTGTGAGGTGGCTGCGCAAGTTTGAGCAAGTTTGTCCCAGCCGCACGACAGACAGCCTTGGCAGACCAAAAGAGAAACTCTTGAATATCTGCGGTGGCCCATAACATTGTGCTCTACATTTGCGCTCGTTCTAATTGGTGAAGAAGATGTTCTACCTTTCGTCAAAATTCATCGGAGATGGATGCGGCTGTCCCTGCACGGGCACTGCTTGCAACCAGTGGCCAGCGCCTTGGATAAATGTGCTCGTGAAGAGAGTCCATAGTATACCTTAAATATTTGATTCCCGCTCTTCATTCAACGCGTGACGTGGGATCTTCACACTTGCCAGAAATTTGTCCAAAATGAAGTCCACAGCTTTGGCACTGCTCGCTGTGTCGCCATCTGCCTGTGCCCAGCTCCTTGTAGGCTACGGCAACTCCCCTTACAACCCCTTGTGCGCGGAAGCATGCCTTCGCTCCTTTAGCTCCCTCCAACTCGACTGCGAATTCCTCTCTGCCAACAATGACGACCAGCCCGACCACAGCGGCAGCGGCCACTCTCGCCGGCATGCCATGATGGACACCACGCCCGAGTGCTTTGCAAACAACACACCATTCTTGACCTCTGTGGCCTGGTGTATGAGCACAAAGTGTGCCGAGCAGAGCGGTGTGCCTGACTCCCTGGTCCAGCACTACTGGGAGTACTGGATCACGGGCACAAAGGGTGCTGTTCCACCCAAGTGGTCGTACGCTGAAGCCCTCGCTGCCGTCGACCCAGCTCCTCCAGTTGCGGAGCTTGAGCCTTCAAACATGATGCTCAATGAAACTTCACTTGTGGCTCCGGGTACATATCTCGCACAGTGGAATGTCCTCGGAGCCGTCAACTACGAGATAGAGCGCGAGTCCACATACGGGCAAGTTGTCCACGCCTTGTGTACCGAAGACTGTCGCTAATGTTCTTGCCATAGCATTGTGATCACTTTCGTGACCGTTGGACTTCCTGTCCTTCTTAGCAGCATTCTTTACCTGCCCTACATGACCCGTCTCTTCGACCAGGTAAGCACCGAGGAGATTACCCGCAACCCTCTCGAGTCAAGACAAGAACGACGAAATGACTCCTATTTCATAGGTCAACCCGTATTTCGTGTGGCCGAGCATCATCCGCAACTACCAAGTTCATCCCCTTCCATTTCTCCTCGGCAACGTTCCCACGCTTGGTCAAGCTCTGTACATTTGTGCCCTATTCGTTCTCAACTTCGCCCTCGCCGGGGTCTCCTACAGCGTCCGCCAGCCAAACGCCTGGTTTGCGACAGCCTGGCAAGAATTTACCGTGTACGTCATGTATCGCACCGGAGCCTTCGCTTTTACCCTTTTGCCACTCGTCCTTCTCTTCTCCTCGCGCAACAACGTCCTTTTGTACCTCACGAACTGGTCCCACTCGACCTACCTCCTCCTGCACCGCTGGCTCGCGCGGTTCCTCATGCTGCATGTGGTCGTGCATTCCATCATCGCGCTGCAGGTCTATACGAGCAACGCAACCACAGATTGGTGGAAATGGGGCGTCGCTGCAACCATCCTCACCGTGGTCATAACGTTTGGCAGCGGGCTGTACATTCGCAAGGCAAACTACGAGCTCTTCCTCATCTCGCACATTGTCTTGGCGCTGCTGATCCTCGTCGGGTCGTGGTACCACATCACCCTCTGGTACGCGAGCATGGCCATGACATATCCCGACACCTCTGGGTACGAGGTCTGGCTGTACATCGCGTTCGCAGTGTGGGGCTTCGACCGTGTCGTGAGGATCGGCCGGATACTCAAGGCTGGCGTGCGGCGATCGGTCGTGACGGACCTGGGGGAAGGGTATGTCCGTGTTGACGTCGAAGGCGTGCGGTGGGGGTTGCAGCCGGGGAGGCACGCATACGTCTATTTCCCGGGTCTCCTGCCCTGGCGGCCTTGGGAGAATCACCCGTTCTCGGTTATACCAACGGCATTGTTGGCGCCATCACGTCCGGAGCAGCAGGTGCACTCTCCAACTACCAGAGGGAGCTCTTCCTCTGGAGCAGCGTCGGACGAGGAGAAGCAGTCTCCCCAAACTGAAACGCACGCCATCTCGACTATTCGTTCCCTCCCAACCAAGACCACCAGCAATAACGGCATCACTTTCTTTGTCAAGAAGGGCAAGGGCATCACAAAGTACCTCGGAGCTCGGTCCCCGCTGATGACCCTGCTCGATGGGCCTTACGCCAACAACCACCGCGCTGTTAGCACCATGCTGCGCTGCGACAGGGTGCTCTTGATCAGCGGCGGCATCGGCATTACGGGAGTCCTGCCCTGGCTACACACAGGCCACGCCAACGTGCGGCTGTGCTGGAGTGTCAAGGAGTCTGCAAAATGTCTTGTGAACGCGACTGGCCTGGGTAGTGCCGTGGACGGCAAGGAGATCGATGTGCGTGTAGGCGGCCGCTTTGACGTGCGCCAGATCCTGGAACAAGAAGTGGAAGCAGGCTGGGGCCGGATTGGCGTTGTCGTGTCCGGGCCTGGGTCCCTTTGCGACGATGTGCGTGCTGCTGTGGCCGCTGCAGCCCGTCACAGCACGAAGACTGTCTTTGAGCTCGAGGTAGATGCGTACTCGTGGTAAACTGATTTAAGCCGGGCAGCGGTCTGGGACGACAGATTGGCAGGATGCGGAGCTGCATCCGACTACGTCATTATGTTCATACCGAGAGAAGACATGAATCTATTGATGACCAGTACATCTAGTATAGCCTGAATATCCGCCAGTTTCGCATGGTTCTCTGAGGAATTTCACTTGCAGCAAGCACTGGTCCCGCCTGGCGCAGTGTGGTCTCAATATCCACAATAGAAATGAGGAGAGGGCATGATTGACTCGCCAAGCCCGCCGCCCATTGCAAGCCGCGAGTCAGGATCGGCTGAGGTTCCGACGTCGCGGTTCAGCCACGTTCCGGGAACGATTCCCCGCACTGGGCAATTTTGCTTAATCGGCGCCGAGGACCGAACCCTCCCTCTCCACGTTTTCTTCCCCACACAAAGCCCCCTATCAACAGGCCGGGCGAGCAACACCACGCGATGCCGCCAGCGCTGGGAGCACGCCGTGTCATTGCCTGCCAGCAGTGTCACCTCCGCAAGGTCCGCTGCGACGCCCAGCGGCCCAAGTGCGGCAACTGTGTCCGGGGCCTGTTCCCTTGTTCCTATCCGCCGGATTCCCGACAGCACCGTGGGCAACAGCAGGCACGGCTCGAGGACAGGATACGGCGCCTCGAGGCAGAGAACAGCACTCTCAGGCGACAGGAAGAAGAGTCAAGGTCACGCAGGATCAGCGGTTATGGTCAAGATGGAGACTCTCCGGCCCAAGAAAGGCAGCCTTCGAACACGTCATTGCAGACATCGCCGATAGCACTATTACCACAGCTCTCGCAAGATCAACATGGTCACGAGCAGCCACAGCAGCAACATCACCAGCAGAGCGATGTTGCCAGCCAGGTCATCCACTTGTCACTAAGTGCTGGAGGTGGAAGGACATACGTCGGCTCAACAAGCGGCTTGTTTCTAGCGAACCTGCTACAACCGCACACGCAACAGCAGAGCCCCGCGCAGCACCGTGGAAGTGGCCGTTCGTCATTTCCAATGCCGACAGCGACACTGACGCCCCATGGTGGAGACCACAACACAGTGTCGCCATCATCGATACTGATTCACTCCTTGCCAGCAGAATCTCTTGCCAGAGAAATCAAGGATGCCTACGCTGCCCACGACCATCTGATCTACCCAATCATCCCATTACGAGCGATGGACAGGGCTTTTGACACTGTGTACAACCACCACGACCCGAGTCCACAGCAATCCTTTGACGGCTTCGTTGTCGATATGGTGTTGGCCATTGGCACAGCCCAGTTGTCCAAGCTCAACTGGAACGGCGTCTCGGACGCCGAAGTCCACTACAACCGGGCCATGAGCAAGGCCAATCCAATACTCGCGAGCGGTGGCCTCCCCGCGCTGCAGGCCATCCTGCTGATATGCCATTACCGGATGGGTACCAGCTCACACGATACGACCAACAGCGTGTGGCATTTAGTGGGAGTGGCGGCGAGGACTTGCTATGAGCTTGGTCTCCACAAGAACGCAACTTACCAGCAGCTCAAGGCTGATATCCGGGCTGACGCTGACCAGTACACGGCCAGTAAGGAACGAGAAGAGCAGATCGAGGCTAGGTTCAACTGCTTCTGGTGTACAGTCGCGTTGGACCGGGTCGCGAGTTTGACACTAGGCCGCCCTCTGGCCATGCAGCTGGAAGATATCGACGTTGACCTGATGGCATTGCAAAGAGACCAATTTTTCACGCAAGCACCGGAAATTGCGAGAACGCCAGCCGAGTCCAGATCAGTGTCGGTGCCTGCAGCCGAGGAGAAAGTTAGGCGTTCCATCTTCACACACATTGTCAAGTACCGTGTCATCTGCGGCAAGGTCCTCAATGCTCTGCACAGGAGCACGTCAGACGACCTCCGAAGTCCCAGCGTCGACTACACCCACATCAGAGACCAGCTGGCCCAGGAACTTCAAGCCTGGCACGCAGATACCGCGAGTGCCGTGCTGGTTGCACCGTCATCAGCCATTGTTGACTCCATCGCAACGCCAGCGACCCCAGCCACGACAACCTCGACGTCCTCTCGCACCGAGTCACTCTCCAGCTTCCGCTCGACAGAGTGGTACGATCTGCTCTACCACAACGGCAACCTGATGCTCTTCCGCCCTTCGCCGTCCATCCCAGACACCACGGCGCGCAACAACAGCACTGCCCTCCAGCGCACGTTCGACTCGTCCCGTGCGGCCATCACGCTGTACGCCAGCCTCCACCAGACACGCAAGATCAACTACTCGTGGGTGACGCTGCACTCTGTTTTCATGGCGGGGCTTTCGTATATCTATGCCTTGAGGACGCATTTCCAGCATGCTCGACAGCGAAGTCAGTCTCAGGGGCAAAGGGAGAAGTCTGTTCTTGCGGCGGCCCCCTCGATCATCCAGGTCGTCAATGACACGCGGGCGTGCTCCAAGGTTCTCGTTGCCGTGTCGGAGCGCTGGGCCAGCACGACGCGGAACTGCTCCGAGGTGTTTGACAAGCTGAGCGACGCGGTGGTTGCGGATGTCGTGGAGGCGCAGACGAGGAGTGTAGTCGCTGCTGGGGCGGCGTCGACGAGTGTGTCCTCTGCTTCTGCTTCCACTGCGGCGTCTGTGAACGGCCGTGTTAGTGAGGGCGCTCAGCTAGAGGCCGGTATGCCTGGCGCACGGGACGAGACCCGACGCACGGATGGGATCGATACGCACATGGATGGCGTCCTCAACACGCGCTTGGCTGACCCCGCTGCAGCTGGCAGACCACCCGCTCCGACCTTGAACCACCCCTCACTTGGTATGGGCAGTAGCACTGGCGGTGTCAATGATGACAGTCATGGCAACGAGCACCCTGAAGGGCACCAGACGAGCCAGCAGCTAGCGACAGACACTCAACAGCAACAGAACTACGCACAGCAGCAAGGCTATGAAATGTTCAACATGACGGTTGACAACACGCTGCGCGACTGTTACACGGATATCCAGAATCTGTTCTATGACCAGTCGCAGAACGACGCCATCGCGCGACTGTCGCAGGACTGGCTGTTTGGCATCGAGGAGGTGACCCACCGGCCGTAACGCCGTGCCATACAATCATTGCCATCGCAATCATGGCCCCAGGAAGGAGACCGCAGACGGACCCTCCCTCTCCAGGCAGCTGTGCTGGGGTCAGGGGTAATCCTTGCGAGCTTCATCGTGCGTGACCTTCAAAGCTTTTTTACTTAAATAGCAAACAGTCTCGTCGCTCGCATTGATCGTTGTTCACTACCCAAGGCTTTCTCCAATTGCATTTCCCAAACAATTTCGCATTATCAGAGCGCACTGCTAGCTTCAGCGAGGCATTCATACACAGGCCTCATACGCCTACCATGCCAGTCCACCTCCCCGACGAGATCATCTGGCACATCCTTCGCAACCTCGTTCCATCGGAAAAGGTCGAACTGCAGTACGACTACGACGCACAGCTCTGCCTCACGAGCCTGGCTTATGCGAGCCGCGTCTCTCGCTCGTTCCGCCGCGTCGCAGAACCTCTCCTATATCGGCACCTGCATTGCTCGTCACGCCAGCTCCTCGAAGCTCTGTGCAACCGGCCCGAGCTATGCGAACATGTGCGCAGAATCGACGGCTATGGTACATCTATGAGTTTGGAGGACCGGGCGGTCGCGGAACGTCTGCTACACGGCCGGATCCGCGGCATGGTGAGGGACAAGTATCGCTGGCCGGCGCTTGATGCCCTGCTGGAGCGCCTGATTCCTCCCGAGGTGGACCCCATCAACAACGACGAGGATTATGGCTACCTCGACATGGCCTGGCTAACGTTCATGCTCTGCTTGACGCCTCATGTTGAGACACTACACGTAGATTCGTGCCTGCTCGACAAGCCAGACATGCTTGCGCGACTCTTTGACCTTTGTGGCCGTGAAGGGTCCCCCAGACAGCAACGCGAAAGTGGCAGAGTTATGGTGCCGAGGTCATCGGGGCCGCTGTCCAAGCTGCGATCACTGCAACTCGGGTGCGATACCGTCCACGGTGAGCCTGGCGGCTTTGGTGACAGAAATGTTCGCCCGCTGGTGTTGTTCCCCGGGCTTGAGGAGCTGGTGGCAGTTCACATGGACTGGGAGTACACTGGCCAAGGCCCCAACCCCTATGATCATGACGAAGGCGAAGGCGAACACGAGGATACCAGCGACGAGGAACAGCTCGAAGACGACCAGGATCAACGCTGTCAGGCTGAGAGGCCTGGGGACCAAACGAGCCAAGCCCTTCCCGACAGGCCACCCAAAAGGCTGTACACCTTCCCAGGTTCTCATCCAAACATGAAGAGCCTGAGCCTCTTACACAACAATCCACCTGTCTATTCTACGGCGCGCGAGATGCTACTAGCTTGTCCCAATCTTGATTGTCTGATCCTTTTGCCATGGATATTTGAGGATCGCGAGACCTTGGATTTTACAATGTACGGCAATGTACTCCGCGAGTTTGGTACCCGCCTGCGCCGTTTCGAGTTGGAGCCGGCTATAGCCCATGGGGACTTTTCGGAGGTAGGCGACGAGGGCACAATCGGTTCGCTTCGAGAGAAGTTGACGCGGCTGGAGCAACTCCGCATCCCACTCGCTACGCTGGCCGGCACCGACGTCACCGATGTGGATGACGAGAACAGCGAGCAGCTGGACCTGTGTGCTTTCCTTCCGGCGAGTCTGCGCTGGTTCTGGACGGGCGTGACGGAATCCGGAGTCGCGGAGGTACATTACAAGGCACTCGCAAGGATGATGGACGAAATCACGAGGGGTTCTCAAGGTGATGGCTGTTGCAGGCTGCCATTGTTGGAATGGGTCATGGTCCAGATACCCAGCAAAAACGATGGGCCTTCCTTTGAGCCCAATGGATTTGATGTACTGCGGCTCGGCAAGGACCAAGTACTTTGCACGAGGAAGTCCGCGCGTCTCGGATGGACGCAGACGCCGCCGGGATGGGAAGGAGCCCCGATCGATACTGACTCGTGGCTGCCTTAGTTCAACAGAGTTTCTCAATAGCACATCGTTGAGCTTCTGATGATTCGAGAACCCATGTGTCGGTTTTCGCCTTGTGTTGCCTGAGCACTGCCCCCTTGCCCACCCTGACCCCTGGCTCTACCAAGTGATCAGGGCCGCATATTCTGAGTGGTCAGCCTTGCCACCTGGACTGCAGCTGACCCCTCACTTCGATTCTTGCACGTGCTTACTTGAACCTCTCGCCTCCTATTTCCTCTCTATACGCCAGAGCAATCTCGTCGTTGACATTGCTGCGATGGCGGAGACAGCGGGTCTGGCGCTTGGCGTCGTCTCGCTCGGCATCCAAGTGTGCAAAGGGCTCATCTCCTACGCCGACGCCGTGCGCGGGAAGAGTGGCGACCTGGTATCGCTTGGTCGCAAGACAAAGGCGCTGGCGAGCACTCTCACGGTAGTCGGCACCACACTCGAGCGGATCCGGACGGAGAGAGCGTTGGCAACCGCGACGACAACGACATCTTTACTTGCCGTAATGAGCGACTCTCTGCTGGCTTGTCGGGCTGATCTCGAAGAGCTGCTTGGTTTCGTTACCAAGTATGCAAACGTCGGCTCCGCTTCAGGCCCGCATGTCAAAGACGCCTACAAGACCTTCAAGTATGGATTCCGCAAGAATGAGCTGGCGGAAATAGAACGCAAACTGGCGACCGTCAACTCTGCTTTGATCCTTGGCTTGCAGACTTTGAACCTGTAAGTAAAGGCTTGCCGTCTTGTCTGAATGCCCCTTTTCAAGCTGAGGCTCACATTCGACCTACCTTGCCCTAGTGACCTAGTTCTGGGACAAACTGCGGTCGCAACAACTATGCACGAGGAGCTCAATCAATTACCAAGGAGACTAGATCACCTGGAAACATCAACGTCGACAATCGACCTTGGCACAGCTCAAACACTACAACAACTGGAGACTCTGCAGCAGAGCGTCAACGACATGCAATCACATTTGCCCAAGAGCCTCCATACTGGATTCATGACGGTGCAAGAACACATCGAAAGATCCTCGTTGAACATGATTGAACACGTCACCGCACTATCCACGCAGCTGGATACCCTACGCGTAGTACACACGGATTCCGTGACGGCCGAGCTCCGAGCCATGAGGCAGGCTGCGCTAGCACAGGCCGAGTCCTTCACCGCATTGACTACGCGCTTGGAAAGTCTTGAACCTGTCCCAAACCAGCGCGAATCAGTGCGCCGACTTGTCGAGCGGCCAGATATGCTTCGTGATGCCCTAGCAGGCAGACCCCGACAGCCTTATCTGATGTCAACAGCCTTTCTGTTTAGTGGTATGCCAGCAGTGGGCTGCAGTTGCGAGGAGTATATGGCATCGTCAACGTGGTCAACCAGAGTCGGCACATCCACCTTCTCCATTACGAACACAGAAACTGTCCAGCACTACCCGAAATGCCGCCTTGCCAGCTCTGGAGCGAAGAAGAAGCGTGCCAGCCGCTTGTTCAGGGCTAAAGTCACGTGGTTTAATACAGTCGTCGATTTTGCCCTAAAGGCGGCGTACTCGCAACGCCACGGCGCCGGTGGATTCAGCATCAGTCCATGGCTAGCCTCCTATTCGGTTGTAGATCGTAAGAAGTCACCAGCATTTCAGGTCTTCGAAGTTCTGCACGATCTTCACTTCTATAACCGGGAGATTGCGATCTACCCGGAAACAAAAACGACAATGCAACTCTTTGAAGACGTTGTGGAATTGGTGATTCGTAAGCTGAGACAAGTCTACGGCGCTCACAGGGCGAGTCCCAGCGACGTGGATGCAAATGGAAACACCGTGCTGCACATCGCGAATCCTCCGGTAAGTTTTGCTTCTACTAACCAAGAATTCTGACAATTATCCCGGCCACTTAAAGGATCGCCGCTCGCCTCCCAATTTCCCAAGGACTGAAACTTTGTTATAGGTAGACGGTAGAGAATTGCATGCTGAGAAGGCCCAACTGGTGATTCTCGCGGAGCTAACCCGGCATCTTGGAGTGCCCATTGCCCAGAAAAATGACTTGGGCCTGTGGGTTACACCTTCTTTGCAGTCAAGGAACGAGGCTGATACATTATTAGTTTGGCGCTTCATGATGCGCTTCGAGGAGACTCAGTCCACCGCTTTGCACAAGCTCGATTGCTGCTTCCCGTGAATGATGAGCACGGAGAGAAAAGCGTAAAGTTTATTGGCCGTCAGCTGGCGAATCTGATTGAATCGCTGGGGTCTGCAACATACGTTTGTGATGGTAAGTAAGTCGAGCCATAAGTTGTATAGTTGCCTAATGCTTTTTGTCATAACACCACGACGCAGTTTTCGATGTCGAGCCACTAAGCCGGGCAATCATCTGCAACGAACCAGAGTCGATAGTCCGGCTTCTCGAACTCAACCCTTCGCTTGTCGTCGATATGCCAAGTTTCGGATTCGACAGCCACCTCCACATGGCTCTCAAGTTAGGCCGCCTCAACTGCTTCGAGCAACTTCTCGAAACGCTCCAGATGCTGGAGATTCCCGGTCCGCCGCCCATTCAGGGAAGCCTACAGGCGCCCATGGGGTCCAGAGGCCGGTATCAGTCCCATGCCCTGCCAGAATGGCTTGTTAAACAGTGTGTGCGGCAGACTAGGGATCTTGAGACAGACTCGTTTCTTTCTCGAGATCCTCAAAGACTTGAAGCCAGCCGGCAGCCCTGTTGGTACTTAGGACCATTATCGCTTCTGATTGTCAATGGATGTCCCATGCGTCCTCGTTATTTTGGTTGGTGGCCTCGGCAAACATCTTGGTGTCCCACCTGCCCAGAAGTCTACTTTACAGAGCTCAGGAATCGCCGTCAGCAGGTGAGAGCCCTGGCCCTGCAACTTTTCAATCCCATTGAGATCAGGAAGTTTGATTTGGACAAAGAGATACTGCTTGACAGGCACTACGCGTCTGTCATTCAACATTTGCAAGGCCTTGACGTCCAGGTCCCAATCCATCTCATAGATGCTGATAAAGGTGCCGAACCCTTACCTCTGTACCACGGCCGCATGGACCGCGCGGTCGTACTCCGTGAATTCGATCATGCCCACCACCAACGACTCTGGTGGGCACCAGATCCGGGCATCCATACTGCTGTTGCAACACATCTATATGATGCCGGATTTCGCGATTTTGAGGCACCGTTACATTGCGGCATGACGCTGCTAGAATATCACACCGCCATATCTTGGATGTGGCCCCGACAGCCGTCGTCATGGAACATGATATGCTGGATCCTCGATCACAGCACGCGCGTGGCAGACATTCTTGCAAAGCCATGGCGGGCAAAGCTAGAGCTTGGTATCCCATGTCCTATTGCCAGGTGTGTCGCGTGCAACCCACATGACGTCGCGCCCCTTGCTACAGTCGCACACATACTTTCCAGTGCTCTCGGTTTCGACATGTCGGAGCACATCAAGGTTACTCTCTATGAGGCGTCTGGACCTTGGCGGCCCAAGCTGGTACAAGTCGCCCTGAACAGTACCTACCGTGACGGGACAGGCTGCGTTTGCGCGCCGAATGGTCGGACGCCTTTCATGTATTTGCTCCGCGGCTATACAGATAGGCATCTTTTCAACCAAAACTCCAGCTCGCTCGCAACGGCGATGGCTGGATTCATCAGGGTCTGTGGTGCCGAGTGGAAAATCTGGCATTTCCAACAGGCCTTCAGGCTTCTCACATTTGAAGCACTGTGGCTGGAGCACACTTGCGAGCTCACACAAGAAGAGCTGGAGGAGGAAATGTCTCATTGTGTCAGAACTGGTCTTTCAGGCTCCGGCTCGGTACCCGATGAGCTCAAGAAAAGATTGTTTACAGACATTGTGTCAAAAATGACTGAAATGGTTCAAGTCGAGTTTGTCGATGCCTTTCATCCTCCCGCGCCCTCGGAGAAATATGGCTCTGGGGAGAGCAGCGACAAGAAATGCTCAGTGGATGACTACGACGATGGATATCCCCCATACATTCTCTCTTCGGGCGCTCAGCAGACACAACTTCAAAGTGGCCCTACCGAATTTCGGTCCAGCATCTGGAGATCATGGCTGGAAAGGTGGACGGAGCTTGTGGACGGCGCACTGGTCGATCTGAACGATAATGCCCCGGTTGACGATCTGAAAACAGCCACAGAGGCTATTGGCGTCATATGGGGACCGCCGAAACCCAACCCCGGTATAAACTTCAAACCCTGGCGCCGGTACCTTCCAGATAGCGACCAGGGGTCCTCCTTGGAATACTGGGCTCAGAGGCTTGATGAGATCTAGGCCCCTGCCACGGCTTCATACCTCTCAACTTTAGGGATCCGTTTAGGTTCAGAGCAGTGTAGACATGACATACTCAAGGGCAATGAAAGCCTACATCATACTCCCTTTGTGTGGCGCGTGGCACAGTCAGAAGAATGGATAAATCAGCCCGCACAATCAACGGCTCTATCTTCGGATAGGTAACTCGACTGTCCGCTTGGTCCTCTGAATGATTTTGCCGTGGAATCCCAAGACCACTATGAAAACAGCTATGTCACGGTCGTAGGATAGCACTTAAATATGCACCATTTGAAATATCATGACCACGATTTTAGGAACACAGAAGCAGCAAGTTGGTTGGTTGAAGTCCACCGTGATGGAGTGAGTCATCCTTCTGTCTGGCAAGGGTACCAAGCTTTCTACGTATAGGTGTTAGGGTCTCACCCTCCATCCTCATCAAGTCCCACGCCTATCAAGATATACATTAAATGCAAAGGTTTGAAGCACAGTTGCCTTCATCATACAGCTCTACCATATCTGTACCAAATCGGTTTTAGGCTTGCGCCACACTTGTAATGCCTCTATTTTGACACCACCAATCGGTTGCACCCGAAGGCAGGATCGTGACATACATCCTACACGCCTGGTATATACTCAAGACCTGGGGCCGGTTCTTAACATCTGGTCCTCTTAGCGCTAGCTCCCGGAACAAGATCACTCTCGGAGCCAGATGGCGGTGGTGCGACCTCTTCCACGCCGTGTGCTTCCCCGCCATGCTTATCGAACTTCGTGCGATCGCATCGTGTCGTAGAAGGCAGGCTTTGGAGGTAGAAGTTACCAGGCGGTATGGCAGAGGAGCCCGACTGTGATTTATGGTGATGGCCTTTAATGTCCTTGGCGACAGCATAGAAGAATGCGGTATTTGCTACGATGCAAGCGCACAGGATCTCGACGGCGGCCCACTATATGAGATTCAACGATTAGTCTAATATCTATCTTGTAGCTTGCTGTGCCTAAGACAGGCAGGGGAGGGGATAAGATAGGCGTCAGAGAAGGTAATTACCACGGAGCGCGTGCGCTGCGAGACCGAACTAATGAGAATGAATGGAATGCGGATAACAGTAATGATAACGACGATGCCTCCGATGCCGAAGAGGAATCCAAGCTGAATCTTCCTACAAACTGTATTAGCAACGACCTCACTCGTATGAGCCATGGTTCTCATAGGTACTTACGTTTTGCGACCTAGGCTCAGATTACGGAGGATTGGAAATGGCAGCATGATGAGTGCTAGGTCGGTTACGATGTTAGTTGAGGCCATGGTTAGTAAGTTCCATATTCCCAGACTGCATCCCGGAGGTTCTGTCGATGATAGATCGCTGGTCAGCTATTCGGCCATGTCTCGGGCGTCGGGGAGGGGCCGCCTAAACTGACGTTCTCCTGGAGCAGAAAGCTCCCAAGCTCTACACATATCAGACCTATTAGGCACAAGATCTCAATCTTTGAGGGTTGCACTGGCGTAGGGAGACTCACAGACTCAAGGGATTACACTCGGCGAATGTGACGATCACAATGACAATGAAGCTGAGCACGATGATCCACCACAAGGCCAGAACCATTCGCGCTCCCCAGGCCCAAGGATTGAACCAATCGTTTGTAAAATGAGAGCAGAGAGAGCTTGAGAGACCAGAGGCTATACAAAACAGGGTGTGTTAGCCGAGCTTCGGGTAGCGATGCCGGACGGCCGACAATGCCGCCTGGACACGACCCCCAGGACAACTTACAACATGGCATAGCAAAGCCTGCTGGGAAGCAGCAACTTGCGAGCGGTGACCCAGTCCTGTGCGAGCTGCCCGACCCCCACACCAGCCTCGGCCGCGTCCGCATCGTCGGGAGTCGACGTGGACTGGTCCGGGTTCAGCGAGAAGCTGATGACGATGGACACCGTGCGGGCGACGAGCGGCAGGAGCGCAAAGGCCATGTAGAAGTCGTCGATGCGCCACCGGCGGTGGCAGAGGGCGTGGCCGTGACAGCGGAAGGCGGCGCGGTACGCGCACCGGGACATGATGAGGATGCTGCACAGCAACGCGCAGGCGACGTCGATGGCGGTGGTCTGGTTCAGAGCCATTATCTTGGTGGATCCCTGTCCAGGCGGGTCACGGATGGGGAATGCTGGTGAGTGATCGCCAGGACTAAGAACAAGGATGAGAAACGACAAGGGACCGTTGCTTTGAGGCCTTGCAACAAGGTGTCTCGACACGGATGACCGTCTTTGATGATAAGTGTTCAATTATACGATGGACTCGATCAAGGAGATAAGAAGATCCATTCGTGCCCACGAAATGCAAAAGTCGTTCGGGCAGAGACCTCCTCCCCATTTATGGCAACCAACTGCAGTGTTAGCTGCTGTAGCTGACCCAGACCAAGTCCGAGCGGGCACCAAGCGCATATGCATGGCACTGATAACTACGCCACGGCCAAGTCGAGGCAGCTCTCATCTGTTGCCCAACACTACATCAAGTTAGAGCGTTCCCTAGTCGCGATGTTAGTACGGGGTCGAGGAGGACTCGGCTCGTCTACCGAGGTTTGCTATGAGATCAGACTGTCCTTTGAACGTACTTCGGATAGTGATCAAAACAGCTGCCCCTGACTTCGCTGGTGGCATGCTGCCGTAGGGCAGTCGGGCGTGGTCAGCGTGTTTACCTGAAGTTCGACCAACCGCCTGGACCGGGCAGCGTAGCCTCTATCGGGCAAATGAAGAACGCAAGTCTCTGCATCCGTCACACAGTAGCGTTGATTGTGGCGTCTGGCTCCTGCCAAGTCCCTGTGTTGAGACACCACGCGAAGTAATGGTCGCTTGCTTGCTCCATCCTGGCATAGTTCTGGAATCAACTAGTGCGGAGATAGAACCACGCTTGGAGGGCAGGGAGAGCTCACTCGCCCCGATGAGTAGGCTAGGGATCAAGTTTTCAGGCTGGGGTAACAGCCACAACAATATCTTGGCCGAACATGAGGCGGGGAAAGTCGCATCATGCGGGGGCTGAAGCGGTCGTAGCGCGCTAACTTCATCCCGATCTGGCGAAGGACGTTCAGCCAACACGGTCTAAAAGGGAAGCCCTCTCAAATGCGTTTGTGTTGGTTGCATGGACTAGGTGAGGCTGAGAGAGCTGATCGTACTCTGAGGCCTCTCTCAGGGGTGCGTGAATTTCTATGCCAGGTTGCAGCCTGACTTAGCCGATTTGAGATTTGACTTGGCACAACATCTGAGAGTCGCGAAGAAATGATTTCTAATCATCCAGGGGAATCATCCAAGGGGATTCTTGATGGTAAAGGGTGGTGATTAGCTTAGAACCATGGTTGATTAGACACGGCTAGGAGGTTCTCGCGAAAGGACCACCCACGACGCCTTCCCAGGACAGAGAGGATATCATAGATTCATCATAGCGAGCTAGAGCCAAGGATGCACACCTAAACAAGGGGGAGAATGAGTCCCTACCGGAACGCCTACCGAGCCCAAAGTGCAGCTTTGCTGGTGGAAACCTTATTCGCTTGATTCGCCTGCTCTTAGATCGTCTGCAGGGGTGTCGGGCGTCATTGTTTCGTAGGGACATTTGCGCTAGATAGGTTCGCAGAAGGCCTATTGGTCGGACCTGATCCAGTAGCGCTAGGAGCTGAGACCAGGGGGAGGGATGAGACAGGGGTAGTCGACTTTTTTAGGGTCCAGCCGAAACTATGCATATCTAGCTTGGGCTCTCCTACACAATTCCAAGAGCATGAGAAGCGTTCGCCTTTGCCGATATTGGGGTGGCAGGCATGATTTCCCTCCTTCCCTTGTTGAAGGCGCCGCAGACTTCGCAATGAACATGGCATTGGCATAAAGCAGGTGCTACCAGGCTATGCGGGTCAGAGGCCAGTTATGTCTAGCCATTCACTCAGTGGTATTGAGAAGCATAATCAGGATCAAACCCCAAGAACCGATGGGTCCACTCACGGCCTGATATCGTTATTTGATCTAGGTCGAATGACCAAGACTCTAGTAATTTCATGTCTGTAAATCTGGTACCAAACACGGACGCCGCCAGATTGGCGCCCAAGAAAGATGGCACCAAGTCTTTGGTCACATTTCCTGAACATTTGTAACGAATTCTTGTGGTGACTGGGGCATTGGAGAGTACGTATTCCCGAGCTATGACTCTCTGCAGGCTAACCACTACAATGCAGAAATCTCGTCTCGGATTGCAGCAGAACTAAATTGCTCAGCTCAGCTTCGGCTAGGCCAGGACCTCGTGCCTGGACTCTGCTCGGCCTTTGACCACCTTTCCCAACCTAATTTTTCCGCAGAGATGTATCCCAGTGCATTATGTACTCTATCTCGTGTCGATTTCTCTGTAGCCGTGACGCCCTGGTGTTGCTCCGTCAACCCTGCCTAGTAGGACCGGAGGGCCACCTTGTCGGGATATTCCTTCGAGGCATAGCCATCGCGTCGCGGCCGACACACTCAACTCGCTCTTGTTGCGGGCTTCCATGACTTGGGAGTCGCTAATGCCGCCTTCATTAGCTAGAACTACCTCATGGCACCAGTTGTGAATGGGCAATCAGATGTGCAAAGATGGCCGGATTATAAGGGTGTGTATGATGTATGCTCAAGGCCCTATGCAAACGCCACAAGGGCAAATTTCTGCCTGTCTCTCTCTATTATAATGAAGGCTGTCATATTCATAAGCTCACATAATTCGAACGGACCCGATTGGTTAACCGTGCCGTTGTCTCTTTGCACAACATTGTCCACCACTGACGAGTTTTCAAGCGCCGAGATCCCCGCTGCGGGCCTGCATGTTGACAGTGGAAGGCTCGCACGTGCTTTTAAGTGGGCTTAATGTCTGGCGTAACACAGCCTCGTCGCGGATGCCATAGTCGATCAGCTGGCCTGGGCCTGGTCTCAGGGCAGCGTCAAAATCCAAGCCCGCCGGGGCGCCGGCGAAACCGCCGTACTGGGCCCTAACGTCCTTGACGTTGCGGATGCCTTGTGTGCTGACGCCAAAACTCCCGTCGGGGGACACCTCGCCCGTCAGCGAGTTGATGGCGTCGGTGTAGGCGGACTGGGCAATGGCCGAGGTGATGTTGAGCTGGGCGGCGATGGCGGAGACGGCGCACTCTTTGTTGCGGGGCTCGAGCAGGTACTCATTGGCGGCGTACATGGACTGAGTGAAACGGACGAGGCGATCGTGCGTCACGGGATCCGCGAGGGACTGTTGGCGGATGGTGAAGGCGCTGGAGGTAATGGGCGCGACAACGTCGGCGACAGCGCCCAGGATCGACGGCGCCTTGCCTGTGTTCAGAGCGGCGGCCTGCTCGGTGAAGGGGTAGTTGAGGATTGTGGCGTAGACGGCAGTGCCGTTCGGCAGCTGGCCGGTTAATAGAGCTGAGTAGCGCGCCGCGGTGCCACCCACGGTCATGAAGTAGTAGTCGGCGCCCAGCTCTAGCCCGTGGGATGAGAGGATCTTACGTAGCAGGTAGGCGTAGCCGCTGACCGGCGAGTCGACAATGATAGGCTTGCCTTTGAGCTGCTTCGCACTGGTAATTGACTGCACGGCAGCGAGGACAAGACCCGGGCCCTGGTCCAGCTGGCCAAGTACAGTGATGGGCTGGGCCTGGTTGAAGCGGTAGTTGAGCGCATTGTCGACGGTTGCTGTCAGGATGTCGTATTGCCCATCAAGTATCGAGTCAAAGGCTGCGGTGCTATTAGGCACCTGGTTGTATACGACTTCCAGGTTGTTCTTGGTGAAGAAGCCGAGCGCGTTGGCCACCGAGTACGTCGCGGTCTTGAGGCTTGAAGCACGACATTTTCGGTCAGCTGCTCCGGGAACTGGAAGGTTGCGGATGCTCCGACGCGTGGGACAGTATTGACTTACAACGCACCGTACTGGACAGTATCGGCCGCTTGGGCACCCGCCAGCAAGGCGAGCACCAGGACGGAGCCAGGATGCATAACAACAAGAGAGGGGAAGGAGCGTATGTCCAGTTGGAGGCAAAGAATGTGGAGATGCGGTATCGTCTGCGCGGTGAAGGCAGAAACTCTTTCGCATGTACAATGTAGGATGAAGGTAGCGATCGCAGTAAGATACAGGGCACAGATAGAAAGAATTGAACAGCATAGCAGTAGAAGATGGGTAAGTTGCAAGCTTACCCGCTGGTGAGACCCATGTTAAGCGAGATAGCCGCACTTCTACGGGTTCGTACCCTATAGCTAACCTATATCTAGACTATTGTATTGCGGGGGAAACAGAGAGGCCCCCTCCTACAGTAGAGGGGTTCTCATGAGAAGGACAAAGAGCTTTCTATCTTTTTAGCGACAGGTGTGTAGGAACCTACGTATCAGGGTCGCAGAATAGTCTGACGCTATGTCTGACGGAAGTCTGTGTAAAAAAGCTGTCAAGCCGGCTTCTGTGCGGCTTCAGCGATGGCTTTTCGGGCCTGCTGAGGCTGGGGTTCCAAGTCCCGACCGTTGAAATTGGGCAGCTCCACTGTGACCGACCGAGAGGACAAGGGTAAATAGCCGGGTTCCAGTTCTACCGGGCGCTCATATCAAACCCCCCCTCCCCGCCCCCACCCCCTTTAGAGCCCCCGCGGAAATCCAGACAAGCTTCGGAGAGAAGCTTTTCAGGACCAAGGCGGGCTCTCCTCCAAGACGGGGCTTGCCGTTTACCCATGGCATAGAAGCCTGTCTTCCAAGTATCATGAAATGCCTGGGAACGTTACACGCACGTACTCATGCAAATATATAAAGATATATCTCCCCGTATGCAGCCTACCCAGAGATTCATCTCTCTTCATAATTAGCGGGATGGGAGGATGCTTTACGAGGATGCGTGTACTCTCGCTGCACCGAAGAGACGCAGTCGATAACCACGTCTCGGAATTCGTAAGGCGAAAGCCTGACGCGCCTGTCCATTACCTTCGTCTGCCTGGTTGCATTCGGTCGAGGTTAGCTGGGACTATGGCAAAGAGAACTGAGGAATCACTAGAAGGCAAGCCGTTTACGCCCGAGACCCTGAGCATAGCAATAAGGAGGAATAGACGTTGCATTATGAGTCTATGGATACTTTGTCGACTACTCAAAGATTTGAGGACTTAGCTCGTGTGCTATGAATTTCATTCTTCTAGAATTAGTCTATCTCCTTCGCGGAAAATATTGAAGACGCAATAAGTCTGAACCTGATGATGTAACCGCTAAGACCTTCCAGCTACTAGAGCAGCTACTTTTAATGGTTCCTAGACGAAGCTTCGTCATTCTTTGCGTAGTCTCCTGTAGAGTTCAGAAACCGGTGTCATTCTTAGAATACTAATGGTTCTAGCAAACTATTTGGGTTTTGAAGTGCCAAACATCGACTTATTACTGTTTGCATATCTACGTTTCTCTTATATCAAAATAGGCATAGTTATAGCCATAGTTGGTAGTGATGCTACCTTCGTAGCCGTTGTAGATGTAACAATTACCCGTTAAAATATTCCAATTCACCGCGGTGCATGCGTCATTGATACAGGCATTTACGCAGGCGCTCCAGCTGGATGCGAATTCCGATTTTATGTACGAGACTGGATAGCCACCATACGAATTACACTCGGTAACGACGGAGGCAGTAACTCCAGGAATACCCAAGTCTACTGGTGAGACTTGGCCTGGTTTGCAGTCGTTCGTATATGGCGTGACACCGTTAACGTAGTAGCTGCCTGTGCTTACTGTCGTCGATGTTGAGGCTGTGACTGTTGTAACGGGGATAGGCGCGGGAACCGTGGTGAATGTAATACTAGTTTGCTGTGAAAATGTGGTAATAGTGGAGCTAAGAGGTAGCTGACTAGTTACCGTAAACGTGCTAACCGGTATGAATGTTGCAGTAAATGTAGTAGTTGAGATGCTGGTTACAGTTACTAGAATGAGAAAGTAGTAAATCAGCTACTGTTCTAGCTCGCTCCGGTCGCCCATCTCTTGTATGACTGAAAGCAAACTCACTTAATATAGTTGGTGGTATCGAAGTAGTCTGCTGTACCACTAGGGAAGCTGGTGGGGTGACCACGGTGCAGCTAGTAGGCGCGGTGATCGTGAATCTGCGCATCGAGCCCGGAAGAACGGTTGAAGTGGTCATGATCTTTGGTTTGATCCACTTTGAGCAAGCCTCCTTGATAACGTCGTAGGCGAATGTATGGCCGAGCTGAGAGAGCTCGAGCTGCAAGCTACTCGAAGCCCTCTGGGAGTGGCTGCCGCGGCGCCCACGGAGCTTTGGAGTGTTCCCACCTACTTCTGAGTATGTCGTTATAGCCCTGAACATGGTTTAGTGTAGGAACTTCGCGGGAGAAGGACTGGAAGACCGACGCTGATGTCAGGACTGTCGAGGTCACTGTAACCGTCGTTGTACTGGTCGTGCTTGGAGGTTGAGTGATTGTGCTCGTCACAATCGAAGCCGGGATGCTGACAGTGCTAGTCGACGTTGACGCCGACAAAACCAAGGTCGTCGTGATCACGGACGTAGATACCGTAGCTGTAGAAGTTGCGGAAGCAGACAGGACGACAGTCGAGGTACTGTGCGGCGCAGGTGCTAGGAGGATGCTTGTGCTAGTGGTTACGGCTGCAATACGAGTAGTGGTACAAGCGGCTGCCAGAACTGTGATTGTCGTAGCGTATGTTGTATCAATCCTTGTGATGGTTGAGGTGATATCTTTCAAGCTGATGAAGGCGGAGCAGAAAGCAGAAGCCTTGAGGGAGACGAGAGTCTCCAGGCATTGCGCAACATCTCCACGCTTCTCTATGGCTTCAATGCCTCTTTGTGGCAAAGAATAGGCGACCTGAGCCAAAAGATAGATGGTGGCGAGCAGAAAATAGGGGAAGAACGAGCATCCCATCGTGAATAATGGCTGTAGAATGCTAGGTTGGAAACGCGTAGAATTTTATCGGGTCCCATCAGGGTTGTAGCGGACGGCGACCATGATAAATGCGAGCCCTGACTGGGCGCGCGCGTTTTTGCTGGAAAGCTTAATAGGTACGAAAACAAAGCCTAATTATGGTGCAGAAGGCGGAGGCTGGTAGTATTCCGTAGTCTGTGTTCAGGTAGATTAAACGTACACGAGAGCGAGGATATAATTCTCTAGTTCTTAGCTGTGGCTGGACATCGCTTGTGGATAAGTAGCTGTACGAGAGCTGATTATGGGTCCACGCCTGCGAGTGGGTGGTTTACCCATGGCTGTGCTACGCCAATGCAAGCATTGAACTTCATTTCGGCTCTAACGATCACACGGAAGGGTTGCAGGATAAATCTCGCTATGTTGGGCACGCAAAAACACGCAAATAGTCCCGCTGCATGCCGCCACGCGTTCGTCCTCCTATAATAGTACCAACTTTGATCGACGTCTGGGACGCTGCAACGACCTTCGAAGCCAGAAGGGAAGCATTCTACGCCTGACTAGCATAGTGCCGGAAACGCGCCGCACTTTCCTCGCGTTATGGAGTATCAATCGGATTCCTGTTCCTGACGGCCAACTGCGTACGAAACATTGACTTCGCCTTTGAAAGTCGCATTACCCTTGCTATCCGGTTCGAGGCTCTCGTTTATTGCGCTTATGTTCTGGTGTGGACTAGTTGGCTGGAAAGTTCTCGCAATAGTGATGCCAGAATCGAGCCGGTGACCGAATGTGCAGAGCTCGCGATCATGGTTATGAACGGTTGGGAGATCAAGAACACAATACGGCTAGCTACAAGTCTAGCATGAGACTAAGGCGTAGCCCCGAGCTCTTTTATTCTTTCGAGAACGATCGATGTTACATTGCTTGGTCGTCAAAACACGTCCCTCGATACCTAGCTGCGAAGATGCTGGTGGGAAATAAGGGTGGGTTGGAATCTGTCTACTAGGGATTTTGAAGTGGCGATTACTTCTCTCTATTCAGTAGTAGTGGGCAATTGGGAGAAACCGACAGGACGGTTCAAGACAGTTCATTGTTTGCAAGAAATAGTGTTCATATGTGTCACTTAACCCTTTCACTCCTTCGCGTCCCCTGACCTAACCCCTACGTTTCGGTGCTGCTGCTCCCATTCTAGGTGCCTCTTTTCCCACTCGGGCCCAAACTTGAGGGGCTGACGCGTTACATTCATGGGCATCTCATGCATCCCCAGTCCAACCGTACCGCCTGCCATCATCGAGCTGGCCGGCTGCCAACGGCCCACCCCCTCGGTGGTAACTGCCCACTTGTCCAGATCGACGCGTGACTTGCCCGTGTACTTTTCAATGTCGTCGTCCGAGAACTTGGCGCTTCGACCACTCCGGGCGTCCTTGTAGGCGCGGTACTTGGCGCCTAGGAAACCCATGTCTGATATTATAGAAATTTTCCTAGATGAGGGCTTGCATTAATAGCCCGAGGAGAGATGTGGGCTGCTTGGGCGCATACTGTCAATAGTAAGACTGGCAATCTTCTCTTTGAATGCCGCGGACGTTTCTTGGACGGTGAGACTCGTGATTCAAAGACTCTGAGCAAGGGACACGACTGTATTCGGTGCTGGCGAGATGAGAGTGTCTCTGTATCCTGTGTATTGAATAAATGATGGATGTAGGGCTCATGCAAATCGATAAATTCAAAGGGTAGTAGACTTTATATAAATGTGAGATCGAAATGCCGGCTGGGCCTCTAGAGTCCTGGTTGATAGGCCGTGTTGGCTGTGCACTGTGTTAAGCAGCCCAAAGCATGGGTGAGATGACATGATAGAGCCAGCTCTGTCCAATCACGGGGTGATAGCCTTATGTAAGCGGGCATGGCCTGAATCGCATCTGGGGGCGCAGCTGTACTGCGGCCTGCTCCCCAGCAGGTGTCAGGCTTGGCGCAGTAGGCAGCAGAATTCTGGAGCGCTGGCTTGCTTGGCTTCCACGAAAAGAGACCAGTTGGACAGTGCCATTTTCTAGACGCACTAACTCTAACTGCCGGCAGCCATGCCAGCGTCAGGGCTTGCAATGGAGCCGACCATGTCACGAGATTCTTGTAACCGGGGAACCACAAGGCGCAGCCACTTCAATGCAGCACGTGTTCTGGGGGGACAGGAGCGGGCTGACATGCACGACGGCATGACAATCGCAGGTCCAAAGCAAAATGTCAGGCAACAGGATACCGGTCACGTCTGTCAGCCTCACCCTTTGACAATCGCTTTCACCGGCTGACAACATCGCAATGTTGCAGGACGCCTATGAACAGTCGTCTTTACCTGTCCTGGTCCTTTGCCCCGGACACCACCCACGAATGACCCGCTCGTCATGCAGTTCAACTTCATGTACTGTGTATCATTTTCCAATGCGCACCCGCTATTACTATAGACATGTATTTACAGTGACGTAATTTTCAACAATAGCGCAGATTTCATTACAACAGTTATCATAGCGCGTACATGGCCCGCCTGGCGCGTTGCACGTTGTGGTCGTGTCAGTCACCGTTACAAGCGCACCAGGAACCGTAACAGTAATCGTCTAGATACATGAAGTACAGTTAGCGAGGTGTAGTCTTAACGAGTTTTCTACCTAGAAGTTGTCAAAGTCCTGCGAAGTAGAGAAGGCGTTTTGATATTACACGACGTGCCAGATGATATAACACAGGCGAACGAAACAAGCCTGGAAGAGGCCGCACGGATCAAAACAGTATCATAGAGAATAGAACAAGATAACAAGCATGAAGAAAGCCTTACCGCATGTGCTATCGATGGAGCCGGCGTCACTGTTGCCGTAGGAGCCAAGTTTAAGCACCGACAGGCTGAGGAAATCTCACTAGCGGCGTAGGAAAGCAGTTGCGGGGGCGGGCCGTAGGCTCTGGGGTCGTGCACATTATATACTGGGGCGGCAGTTCGACGAGCCTTGTTGTCGGCAATAATAACGGGAGAACCTGTAGTGACCGTGATATATGTAGTCTGGCCAACCCCCGTCATAGTAGCAGTTTGACTGTTGGAAGAGGTGTTAGCAAGGCCTAGTCATGCAGTTAATTGTGCCGTTTCTTAGCCGCTGTGTGTTTTGACTTACTCCGTGACTGTAACAGTAGCTGGTAGCAAAGTGACAACGCCTGGAGAGTGGACATAGGAACGGCAAAAGGTGGTCGCGGGAGGCCCTAGAAATTTGATGGCACGTAGGACGCCGTCGATCTTGGCACAATTGACGGTCCGTTTCTGGAAAGGGGATTCGATAGAGGCGTGGTTTGGGGAGACGTCGGCAACAACATGGCCGTCATCAATGATAGTTGCGCTCACCCATACTAGGAGAGCTGAAGAAGGCACTAGAAAGGACCTTGGATTAAACAACCTCATTTTTCATGGTAGACAAGCAGGGGACCTTGTTCTTCTTGATGACACCGGGAGGATGATTTTGGTAAACTTGAAGATCAGCTCATATAGTCAAAGGATGAGAGAGACATGCGGGTGAGATCGTCGCGGGGGGTAATGATAAGGGATGGCCGCAGGGGAATCGCCCAGGTATCCGTAATATGTATACCTGTATTATCGTCAAACGCGCACCTCTTCGGGGTCTAGGTCCAGGCCCAAATAGACTGGTTCACTCATCGGGACTTTGCTGCCGATAAGCTGTCTTTTACAAAGGTAGAATACTATCGATACCTAGTCCTGTCCTCTTAGCCTTAAGAGGTCAAAGTGCTTTCCTCGGCTAGCCTTAGCTGCTCGTTGGACCCGTCCGAGGCGCCCGGTGGACTTATGGCTTGGTCTAGATCCATGGTGCTGGCACCCACCCTTGCGCAAGATCCCCGCACTTGCAGAACCACAGTGCTAATCAAATTTTATTCTACTTCGCATGTAGAGTCTTTGCTCTTTGATAACTGAAGTATGACTACCAATTTCGATACTACGAATACTTCGATTCTGCGGGGTCTGAAGGCTGCCTCCATTAATCCGCAAAATCACGGGATCTCTGTACAGTGGGAGGATACTAAGTTTCTCAGGTATATATCTAAGTATAACCTGGGATGCGCTGCTCCGCGTATATGACCTGCCCTTGTCCTTGACCCGATGTTGCCACCTGATGGTCAGGTTACTACAATCAGTCTAGTGGGCGATAATAGTGTTTTTGCCTATGATGTGAAAACGGCACCGATGCAGAGAGCTGGAGGAAGCATCTTTACGATACTAATGCGGTCAGAATGTACACCGCCCGTAGCGCCGCCTTGCACGCTGCCGGAAACCCTACTCGAGCCGCCTTAAGCCGTGGTCGGCACTGGCGTAGACGAGGCTTTCGTCGCACTATCCGCGTCATCACAGGTAGTTTCTCCCCAATCACGGTAGTGTCGGCCACGTAGCTTATCAGCCCCGCGACCCTAGTACGCCGGGGACCAAATTGGCTCTATGACCGCGCCGCTTCCCAGACAGCTTAGAAGAAGTGCCTTGGGCTTGCCGCAGGAGCGGCCCACCAACCGGCGCTTCGTGAGACGAGGCGACAAGATACCCCAGTCACCAGACGTCACGCTTTGAGTTCCGGCTCATGGGTAACCACGTGTGAGCCCAGTTTCTGCATGCTCTATTGGGTCAAAAGCTGGCGCGGCAAGGAGCAACCATAGGTTGGACACGCCTGGTCACGATATGATAATGTGAAGGGGCCTGACAGAAAAGGAACCAGGGATGGTGGACGGTATTGTCAAGGCTTCACGGGGTGCGTCGCACACGATAATAGGCATGTTGCAAGTCTGCATTTCCTGTGTCAAAGCCGCCTAGTATATGCCGGACTCAGGTGCTGCCACCCCATCACACTTATGCTTTGAGCTAGTGCGGGTGTCCCCAGAGTATCTAGTTTAGTTCTCGCTCTTTGCATGGCAGCAACCCTCCATACTCCAGTCGACCGTGTAAAAGCACAACTATGCTATCAGCCAGCCACATCTGCCCCGGACAAATAGTATCTAAGCCGCACTGGGAAAGATGACCAGAAGGTTCAGAAAGCCGCTCCCCATTTACCCTAGTCAAGCTTTGCCCAAGCCTCCAAGCTTGATTGGCTTGTTTGAACCAAGCTAATGGCCCATAATCATTTGCCACTCATTCAGGGAAGCGGAAACAAGGCAGTCCACGTGCCGACGCAACCCAATCTTTGGCTGGCGAAACCCAATCTGTGGCCACGGATCTGCTGCCACTAGCCAGCTCGGGATTCGAGTGAAAAGATCGACACCACTAGCTTATAAGGGCTGATCAGCTGCTGTGGCGTGGCGCCAAGCTTTGCATGACCAGCCTCATGAAGTATTCAGCTGCTCTAACAGTACTCACGGGTTGTCGGAGCCGAGGTGAGAGGAGCTCATCGCAGCCGTTGCATTCGCCCCTAAATGCTTCGTACGAGGCAGATCTGTCGTTGTCCTGAGGCTGAAGAGCAGCGGGCCTGTCTCTCTGTCTGGGTCGTGCGAGATTCTGGCTATGTCTTCGCCATCGAAGATAGATAGGGTGAATATATGTGCCATCGCGGCTTTGTCGTGATCGAGCACAGGAAGACTGCTGAAGGGTCGATATCGTTCCGCGTGGCCGGCACCGTGCGCGAGAGAGCTCTTACGGTTGCATGTTGTGCAGAAGAAGCTGAGAAGACAGCGATACCTGCAGTCCGGGTGAAAGTGGCGGTTTCGTGAAAGATAGACTTGGTTCCCAGGTTTCACACGGACCCAGTGGCAGGGAAGTCGGATGTGAAATTGCCCGTCAGCCTCGGCGGCTCAGATTAGCTGAAGGCAAGGTGGATGAGATGGTGGAAAAGGTCGAACATGAGAACGTATGTAGGGAAGGGGATGATGTGTTTCAATGCTACCTTGCCTAGAGGTACGTTATTCATGGAGGTTGTGTAAGAGCTTATTGTGGTTCCCACAGGCTGTTTGCATCATCCTGCCACCTTCAGAATTGACGGCCAACAAAATTCATCAGCTTAAAACGGATAGATTCTCCAATTTGTCCAGGATACTGCTTGTTCTATAAGCCCTTAGATGGAACCAGCAAGACCCAGGATTGCACTTGTAATACCAATCGACCAGGCAAGACCGAGATTCAGCTTCATACCAGCACTGGTAGGCGTTGGCGTCGCAGCCGTAGGGGTTGCCGGCCCAGGCGCCCATGTGGACGTGACATAGGGGAGGCCAAGAGTACCGCCTGTAGGTAATGTGCTATTATCCATTGCGACGGCAGCTTTCACACATGAGAATAGGATGTTCTCTGCAGGCACCAGAACTGGGCCATCGTTGTCGGGCTTCCAGTCCTTGCCCCAAACAGAGATGAGCGGCCACGTGCGAAGACCGAAAGTGTTGTATGAGTTCGGCCCACCCAGGCTGAACCTGAGCTTAGGCGTGGATGTGTCTGTCGTTGATGAGTCACCTTGTCAGTTCAACATCCCGTACGCCAGGAAACGTGCCATAGAAGCAAACACGGACTGGTCGCAGCACCCGCTCCGAGAAGACTTACAATATCTCTCTGGCTTTGTATATCCCCCACAGCTCTCAGGCACCGTGAAGTTCTCCCACGTCCGCTCGAAGTCCTTGGGGTCAATGCTGATCAGCTCGCGCATATCTCGTACGCACTGTTCGCTCAGCACGCTCGTAGGGCATGACCCATCCTCCATATCGTTGTCCCCGGGCACTTGGCGCAGGTCGACGGGCTGCGGAAGGAGGTACATGACCTTCCACGTGCCTGAAACCTCCCGGGGAACGTTGGACTCGCCGTCTTCATCGTAGAGGGCACCTGGTCCGGGCGCCGGTGGTGGACGCACTTCCAAGATTACTTCTGTCTTCCTGTCGGGAGTGCCGTTGTGGGTGACGTTAAGCTCAAGTGTCCAGGGGCGGGATAGCTCCTCTGTGTCCCAGGAACCCGGGTATGGGATGTTGAGGCGTGAAGCGTGGACGGGAACGTTGCCTGTCAGGGCTGCCTCGATCTGCGTGGCGCGTAGAGCATGGGCCTGCTGGGTATGGGTAGGTGTTGTGGCCGTTATAAGACCGGATTGAAATAGCAGCCGGGCTGTGGCCAGTATGGTCCAGTGACTGGTCTGAGCAAAGTGCTTTGCTGTAGTCTGATGTTGGCCTCGCGTGTCTTGTGCAATCACCATGCTCTCGAACTACTTATTCAGGATGAAGGATGTGCTCGGTAAGAATTGCTCGGCTCCTTTGCCGCGAGGAGAACCCTTCAAATACTGTTCAATGTTGGGGCCGTGCTTCTCAAGCAGGATGAGACGAATGCTTAGGGAACGTTGAAGATCTGTTACACAGGCGGTGTGACAGCCACGCCCGAGATGGTTATGACGTACGGCGCTTATGCCAAGCCCATCATGCAGGTCCCATCTGTGGACTATTTGGCAGGCAAGCCCATGTCCCAGGCGGCCTTGCGCAGTGTGGGGAATAACAGCTGAGCCACTGGCGATCGAAGGATCGTGCTCATCACCTCGTAAGGAGGACAAGACAACCTCCGCAATGCTGCTAAATATGTACAGCCTTGCTGCGGTAGGGATAATAAATGGGCCCTCAACTGAGATTCGCCATTCTGGTGGGCGAAGCAGCCTTGCGGTGGCTGGATGGAACTTTGGGCACCACTCTTGCTTCTTTCGACGCCAGGAAAGGCTTGGACTGTAGCACAAGCATCCTCCCACTGTTGATGATCGCATCCACGAGGACAGGTCTTGTCTTGGCAAACGTGTCTAATTAACTCGACTGGAGTGAAGGACAAGGCCGGCCCGAGTTGACCAATCAAACGAGAGCCCCCGGCGCTGAGAACAGACTTCGCGACAGTTGTATAAATTCCTCCACATCTGCTAGAAACGATTGCGGCTGTTCCAAGCTAGCGAAATGGCCACCCTGATTATCAACTGAGTATGAGTACTCCATCACAATCATCGGACCTGTAGATGCGACTGGGTTTCGTATCTTACCTCGGCGTGAAATCTGAAGAGCTTCAAGTTTGGGTACAGCTCCTCTGCCCAAGCCCGGGGCAGAATGGCCAGATCATGCGCAAACAGTGAGTAGCCCATCGGCTTCTCCGTCGATATCGGTAACGTGCTGCCGGCCATGACTTTCTTGACGAGCTCCGCATGGTACAGGCAATTAGGGAACGTGTCTGTAAACCAGTAGAAGCTCACTGTAGCCAGGATGGTGTCGAGTGACAACGGCGAGTGCGGGTCGACCCATTCACAAAGTTTCTCACCGATCCTATACGCCTTGTCAGCATATTGGTCCAGACCTTGGGTAGTCATGAGGGCGAGACAGACCAGGCTAGCAGGGCAAGCGGGTTCGAGGACATGGCCAGCCCGACTGTAGCCGGGCGCGTGCCGTGTTCAAGAGCATAGGCAAATCCGGTCTCCTGCCAACGTTTTGTGCGATCCAGGGCCTCCTGCTCTTCAGCGGTGGGCCTCGCAGAAGGTGACACACTATCTCCGGGGTTCAGAACGAGCATGTTGACTTGAGACGAGTCAGGACTATGTGCAACGATTGTTTCAACAGCAGGCCAAGACGTACCATGAAAAGCCTTGCATTCCTCGTATTCCACAGCCATGGTTCGAGCGAGCATGCTGCCAAGATCGCCACCCTGCACGACATAGCCTGATTCGCCAAACCCAAGGTCGAGCATGAGCTGGTGCATGACCCGGGCTGCTCTATGCACCGTCATTTCTGCCTTGCGGGTAGTGCGAACGGACAGTCCGTAGTCCGGCAGAGAAGGCGCTATGACATGGTAGGGCAGGGTCTCTGGTGTATACTTGCCGACCAGCGTTTCCATGATGGGGAGGAAGTCCATGAAAGAACTGGGAAAGCCGTGCAAGAACATCAGAGGAACGGCGTCGGGCTTCTTGGAAAAAAGTGCGGCGAAGTGAATGTCGAGCTGCCCCAGCTCAGGATCTTGCAATGGAATTTTGAAGTTCGGAATGGCGTTGATGCGCTTCTCATGGTCGCGCCAATCGAACTTGGCGAGCCATGTTTCTTGGGCTCGTGTGAGCCATTCGCGTGAGAGTCCAAACTGACCGTCGCCTGGTTGGTTCCACCAGGTTGATGGGCCGATCTTGGAGAGTTTCAGGAGTATCTGGAACTCGTTCAAGGCTTCTTCAGGCACGCTTAAGGTGAAAGGTACTGGCTTGCCTACGGCCTTGCTTGGGATGGCGCTGAAACGGTCTGCCATTGTATCAGATTGCGTTCTGGGTGTCTCGGGATCAGTGTCTGAGGTTGCTCGCTGCCATGTCAAGAGTATGGCGAGTAGTGACGTTTATATAGTATTTCATCTCCCAGCTCGCCTTGCGCCACCCAAGTGTGTTGACCAAGAAGTCTGGATGCTGTACGCGATGGAGCCCGGCCTTCTGCCACGGTTACTCGGTCGATTACTCGGTCGAGCGGTCAATTTCGGCCGAACAGCCGCCGCCGCCGCCCTCACTGTATCCTGACAGGCAACCGCCGCCAACTTGGCGATATCGTACGTTGCAGGTCTAGAGTCTCGTCGTTAGATCATGATTTCATCATGCGTGGTATTGGAACATGTCGTTGGCATGGAAAGGGGAATGCTCTTTGTCACCGAGAGGCTGTATGCAGGACGCTTGGAGGATGCATTCGAAGCCACCATATATGAGACTGTGACCATGTTTGCCATTGTCGTCAACTTTCTAGGGCTGTTACTCGAAAACGACATCCACCTGTTTCAATCTTTCGAGGCGGTCACTCTCACCAAGCCTTGGCGGTCCGCAGGTTCTATTACATACATGCACCAGGCTTCTTCTCTCATCGGACCAAGCTTTGGCGGGACCAAATGCCGTGTGCGGGGGCGTGCGGGGGATCTCCTTGGTGCGCGAGTCAGAAAAGCTTGAGAGGGGGCTTGGGGACAGTGGCTGGAGTAACATCCAAGATGTCGACCCACCACTGCTCCAACACTGATTATGCAGGTGTGGTACCACGGGTTGCTGATCGTGATGCCACAACACGGCCGTTGGGGAGTGGCTAGTCGTTTGAACTAGCACGTGTCATCAATGTGTGAATTGCCTGAGCATGAATTGCAGTGGTGCTCATTTACACAGCAGGCACCCCGAGCAACGTCTTCGTGTCCATGGACTCAGTCGATGTCCATGGCGAGGGACCATTTCCCCCTCACAGTGTGACCTTGTTGGGGAGTCCCCAATTCTGTCCCACGGTATCCCTGGCCTCGTCGGCTATCTGCCCCAGGGACGCCAAGCCGACCAATTGAACGGCCCTGTCCATCTGCACAAGAACCTTTGCCCACTTGAGTCCCCCAATGCCGTATGCACGATGATAAGCAAGGACTGGTCGATCATTGCCGTCATCACGTTTCGTTCGAGGAACGGGCCTAAAAGAAATGGCTATCGTGCCAATCTACGTTACATTTGCCGCTGTGTCCCTCCGCATGTCGGCGTTGGCTAAGAGCTCGTTATCGAAATGGTCCTTGCACCCGTGCATCTCTACCAGTATATATGTCCTCTGGGGGTCGCTGCACAACAAGGCGAAGAAAAAATGCTTTGAGACATGCGCAGTCCTTCTTGTTGCTCGTCCTGTGCCAATAGAGTTTCTCTTGGCCACAATCTTTACTGCCGATCACGCCACCACAAGGAAGACGACACCTGCACATTCGCCCACAATGCGGGAAGACGTCAAGCATGGCGAGATCAATGGCGACCATGCCGACATGATTGCGAAGGAGCTCGGCGAGACAGTCGTAATGTCAGAGCCATTGAGCGAGGAGGAAGACAAGCGCATCTTGCGCCTCGTAGACTGGAAGTAAGTATCATAGAATCGGTATGAAGGGTGATCTTTGCTGACCTGGGAAACCTGCCACAGTCTGCTACCGATCATGGCCATGTCATATCTCTTCCAATTCCTGGACAAGTCCGCGCTTGGCTTCACCGCGATCTTGACGCTTCGGGAAGACCTGCACCTCTCGGGCTCGGACTACTCATGGGCTAGCGGCATTTATTATTTCGGATATCTAGTCGCTTCATATCCCGCAGCATGGATCATGGTGAGAGATTCTCTGGCTCCACGCCGATAGTCACAAGATACAGATAGACTGACGGGCATCTCACAATACAGATTAGAACCCCAGTCGGCAAGATGATTGCGGCGTCCATGTGAGTTTGCTCTGCAACTGCTATTCACCTCCCGGACTGTTGCTCCCTAGCGTCCAAAAGGATTGGTTAACTGATTGCACCGCCCTGCCTTAGCACACTCTGGGGCGCAATCCTCATGTTGACCGCTGTATGCTCCAACCCCGCCGGTCTTCTCGCGAATCGCATCTTCTTGGGCGTTGCCGAATCCGCCATCGCCCCTGGACTCGCAGTCATGGTGTCAATGTGGTACAAGCGAAAGGAGCAGCCGGTCCGTCAGGGAGCCTGGTTCATGGGCAATGTCATGGCCGGCATTGTGGGAGGCGTGACAGCCTATGGCATCAGCCACATCCAGAGCATTGCGGCGTGGAAGGCCATATTTCTCATCTTTGGCGCCATCACAGTGTGTTGGTCCGCAGCCATGTTCTTCCTGCTCCCCGACACACCAATGAGCGCGCGATTTCTGAACAAAGAGGATCGGGTCAAGGCGATCAAGAGAGTGGAAGAGAACATGACCGGCATCAAGAGTAACGAGTGGAAGCGGCATCAGTTCCTAGAGGCGCTCGCTGACATCCAGGTCTGGCTCCTGGTCATGGTGCAGATGACGGGATCGATCGCTAATGGGGGTGTCAACAACGTGAGTCTGAACCCATACCGCTCAAACAAGTCACCGGTGTGAGACTTTAATGGTAGGCGAGAGGGGTGCTAATCAACTTTGGCGTAGTTTGGCTCTATTGTCATCAAGGGCATGGGATTCTCTACACTCGACACCTTGTTGGTACAAATGATTGGTACTTGTTTCCAGGGCTTCTTCGTCATCACGGGGATGCTCGGGTCAACATACATCCCCAAATCTAGGACAATCATCATGGCGTGGCACATGTTTGTGTCGATTATTGGGGCTGCTATGATCCGACAGGTGCCTGCTCAGTACCAATGGGCTCGGTTCTTTGGGTATTGCCTGACGTTGGGCTACTCTGCGAATTTTCCCCTGCTTCTGGCCATGACGTCGAGCAACATTGGCGGGTTTACCAAGAAGACAACTTCAAACGCTATGGTGAGTCTATCCCATTCCGCAATCCCCTTTAGATTAGAGGCGAAGGAGACAGGATCACTCTTTTACCTTCTTACAATATGTCCCTCGAACACCAATTGAGATGCACAAACATGAAACTGGCATTCTCTTGGGCTTGTTCATCGTCAGATCTTTGTTGGCTACTGCGCAGGAAACATCATTGGTCCCCAGCTTTTCTTCGAGTCTGAGGCTCCCAGCTATCCGTCTGGCTTCCTCGCTATGATGCTTTGCTTTGGCCTCGGCTTTGCCGCTTGCGTTGCCCTCCGCTTCTATTTGCCTTGGGAGAACAAGCGGCGAGATCGCGCTGGTGGTTTGCATGAGATCGAGGCCGGCGCGGCGGCCCATGGCTCAGTCAACCTGATGGATAAAACTGACAAGGAGATCCCTCAGTTTCGTTATCTCTACTGAGCACTGTCGTGTCGTGGTTTCATTCTCTTCGTTTTGAGAGAAGCTCCAACGGACTGCAAGGCACTAGGGTAGTAAGGGAAGCGCAATGCATATAGAACGAGTACGAAGTTTTCCGAGCTGAGAACCGCGAAGTGCTTAAATTTCTCATATGTAAAAGACATAACGTAATCCACGGGCGAGTGGCCCATACGGGCGAGTGGCCCACTTTCATTCACTATACCGAATCCAACTCTTCTTCACGCGTTTATTCCACCACGAAAGATGGAGACGCCTTCTAAAGAGAGTCAATTGTTCCTTGCTATCCAAGCAATGGAAAACGACCCAAACTTAAGCACCCGACGCGCTGCCGAGATGTTCAACGTCCCCCGAACAACCCTACGACGCCGAGAGAAGGGAGTACCTGCCCGACGCGAAAGCCCTCCGAATTCTACAAAATTAACCAAGCTGGAAGAGGAGAAGATTGTCGAATACATTCTCGACTTGGATGCGCGAGCATATCCTCCTCGGCTAAGTGAGGTTAGAGAAATGGCGAATCAACTACTCGCGAAGCGCGACAGGCCAGGTGTCGGAATCAACTGGGCCTCAACCTTTGTTAAACGACGACCAGAGCTCCAGACGCGTTTCTTTCGCAAGTACGACTACAAGAGAGCCCAGTGCGAGGATCCCGACGCGATAAACGCGTGGTTTCGGCTTGTGCGGAACGTAGTTGCGAAATACGGTGTCGCGGACTCCGATATTTACAACTTCGACGAGACAGGCTTTCAGATGGGCGTTATCGCGACCGGGATGGTCGTTACAAACGCGCAAAGACGTTCGAACGTTAAGATGAAGCAACCGGGTAATCGGGAATGGGTTACGGTCATCCAGGGCGTCGGCGCGACCGGATTTTACGTCCCGCCGTTCGTAGTATTTACCGGCAAATATCACCTCTCGACCTGGTACCAAGACGACGCGATTCCTCGCGACTGGAGAATTATAACGTCCCTAAACGGCTGGACTACAAATGAAATTGGTCTAGATTGGATTCGGCATTTCGATCAGCATACAAAGTTGCGAACAAAAGGCGATTATCGCCTCCTCGTCCTCGACGGCCACGAAAGTCACCACTCGGTCGAATTCGAGCTCTACTGCAAGGACAGCAAGATTATTACGCTCTATATGCCTCCTCACTCGTCTCATATACTCCAGCCTCTCGATGTTGGGTGTTTTGGTCCGCTGAAGAAAGCATACGGTCGGCAAATCGAGCTCAAGATGAAGGCGGGTACAACGCATATCAGCAAGGAGGACTTCCTCCCCACGTTTTTAGCAGCATTCCAACAGACAATGACGGAAAAAAACATCCAGGGAGGCTTCAGAGGGGCAGGACTTGTACCCTATAACCCAGAAGCAGTCTTATCTAAGCTCGATGTAAAGTTCAAGACGCCAACGCCCCCAGGGACGCCTCGGAGGTCACCCGAGCTATGGACTTCCCGAACGCCTACTACAGCTATAGAAGCCCGTTCACAGTCTGATTTTATTAAAGGTCGAATCTCTCGTCACCAGGGAAGCTCTCCAACGTCAATTATTGAAGCAGTTGAGCAGTTCACGAAGGGGGCAAAGGGGATTATGCATAAGTTTACCTTAATGGAGGCAAGGATGAAAGCCCTTGAAGACGAGAATGCAATACTTAGCAAGCGTCGTAGGGCGAAAAAAACACGTCTCAGGAAAGGCCAAAGCATGACTCTAGGCGAGGGACAAGATCTCGTAACCCAGAGAGAGGTAAATGCTCAGGTAGTACAGGAAATGCAGGAAAACTCTGGGGGTGAAAGTCGATCTGCACCAAAGCAGCGGTGCTGTAGCGTCTGCGGGAAACCCGGTCATAACGCAAGAACTTGTTACATAGTTACTCTTGGGTCTGAACTAGAAGATAGCGATTGAGCTTAATTGATTTAAGGCGTTGGGGCTGTGTTATCGAGTGTGATACCTGCAAGACTTGGTTGGGGTGGGCCACTCGCCCGTATGGGCCACTCGCCCGTGGATTACGTTAATTATCAAGCCGCTGAATTTTTGCGTAGGAGAAAGAATGCTTGTCATGTCCCCTTGGTAATAGAAATTCTAGATCAGCGTTATTTCAGAATCAAGCTCTCCATTTCTGTATCAGCACGAAATACGGCAGCTTCCGGTCCGTACAAGGGCAAGCAAGCGGGCATTTGCAGGTGGGTCGTGCAGGCCCGCCTGCTGCGTACGTTCGGAGGCTGCCCTGGTAGCCAACATGTTGGTTGAGAGTGGCCCGTGACTACCACGCGCCAATGTCAATCGTATCTACATCGACAAAACGGACATCCCACGCTGCCTTCACATTCCTCCGCGCCTCGCGTCTGGCCCAACTCGACACCGGTGACCCGGCCCAACACAACATCATGCGTCGTCGCGCCTCGTGGTTTCTGCTCCATCCGCCATGCCCATCACTTCTCTGGCCCTCTCCACCTCGACAGCGTTTCTTGTCGAGCACAGCAACAATGTCTGAGCTACCCGCCACTCTCGGCCGGGGCGTGTCCCTGCGAAGCGACTCGGGCCACACATACACCATCAAAGACACACTTGTGGCCAGGCCCAAACCATTCTCCAGTGTGTTCCTAGCAGAGTGAGCCACCCAGAGCACACATGGCACCCCTCATGCTCAACACTTGCTGACCTGCGCCTCCAGGAGCGAGGGCAAACAGTTCGTCATCAAGGATTCCCTCGGGTCAGAGGCAGACCTGAGATACCGCGCCAATGTTCACGATCGTGTGGCCGACTCGCCCCACGTGAGGGCTCGAATCGATACCATCACTGGCGAGAGTGCGTTTGTAATGCCGTACATGGATGACGATCTTTTGCAGATGGCGGGAAACAACCTCTTCAAGGATGTGCGCAAGAACGTCCTGAGACAAGCCCTGTGCGGGCTCAGAGACCTTCACGACAAGGACCTCGCACATAATGGTATTCCATCTGTCTCACGGCGCAATCCCCCTTTCATCCAGCGGCCGAACACTAACGTCTTTCTTCGACGGCACCTCTAGACGTCAAGCCGAACAACATTTTCGTCGATTATCAGCTGAACCCTGATCGCCAGGTTCTGCTCAAGAGCGTGAAAATAGGCGATTTAGAGGAGGCTGTCGTTATTCCACCCGGCAACTGGCTTAGAGGGCCTCAATGCGGGAACAAGAATTGGCGGAGTCCAGAGGCTTGGGCGAGGGCCGGCCAGAACCAGGCCTCTGATATCTACTCCTTCGCCGTTATAGTGAGTCCCTTTCGGTGCTGCGCTTCCTCTCTCTTCATAGCACAGACTGCCTCCCCTGCTGCTCGCTTCGCAGTGTATTGACGATCCCGATGCAGATGATCTACGTGATGCATCACGTCATGGTGTTTTATGAGGAGGGAGACAATCTCCTTGACGAGGACCAAGTATGGAGACGCATTCTCTGGCAGCACGTCTGCGTGTTCGGCGACCGGGAAGCGTACGCCGGATATCTGGAACACGTTACCAAGACCCAACCGGAGTTCGCAGCCCAGCTTGACGAAATGGTGCAAGAGAAGCTCAAAGAAGGATTGTTCCCTCCGTTCCGTTTGTACGACTTCATCGAGCCCGAGTTCCGGGATCTCGTGGGTCAAATGACCAACTTGAATCCGCTCAACAGGATCACTGCGAAGGAGGCTCTGCAGCATGTTTGGTTCACTGAGGGAGATGAAGCGGAGAAAGCTTGAACGAACAAACTTGGATTGATTTCTTGGATTTCATAGGCGTGTAGGTTGCTGTTTCTCTCTTCCACAACAGTACATAGTGACTCTCCACTCTGCTCACTCATATGAAAAACGAACAGGTTCTTGTGACTCTACGGGCCAGCATGACGCTCTGGAAGCGTCTTCGGAGAGATACCTTACCATATACGAATGTTTTGATACCTTAGTGATGATGCAAGCACGTTCCAATCATCACTTGCCACATGGGCGTCCCTATACTCAGGCAATTGTTTGGATCAATATGCTATATTTTATTGGCAGAGTTCGGCTAATGACAGTAGTGTTTGCGGCTACCGGCGCCCTCACGTGAGCACCTTTGGCGCCAAGTCAAAGAGCTGTACCAGGACCGAAGCGGCACTGTCGCAGTTCAAGAATCGTTACCGGCTTCCGCTCCGTGTCTGAGAGCAACGCATCAGTTTCTTTGTCATAAGAGATACGACAGATTCTAGAAGGCACTATAACTACAATAAGAGTATTATACTAGATCTACTTGCCTATGTACTCCTCGCCTGTGAATAGGGACTTGAATGACTAATGAGTTTCTTGCCCTGCAGGATACCGGGTCGTGATACCAGGTTGAGGCGAGTGACGAGTAGTCTGAATCGTGAATTTCTAAGCATAGTATAGCCGTTCAGCCATCTGAAGAGCATGGGTGCAAGGCGAGTTCCCATGGTAGACCGGGTTGCGCAAGGCTCAGTGCCCATTATGGGCTATCAGCCCTAGCCGATAATCCTTGTCACAGACCCACTACCTCTCGTCCCTCGTCTTGCCGCCGATAACCACTGGCAAGTTTTTCCGATGCTGACGCGCAAATTTCGGGACAAATGAATTCGCCGGTATCCATCGAGCATCAGCAATATGCCCCATTATAACCCTGCCATAAAAGGCTTCAGCCCTTGAGCTATCCACCAAATTAGCCGCTTTCAACAACCACCCTCGCTTACAAATTTCAATTCTGGTAGAGATGCTCCGCTTAGAACGGATCCACCCTTCGAGCAGAAGGCAAACAGTCCTCCAGCGAGGGTCCCGGCCCGAGGACAGCCACGTGCGGTCGCTTAGATGTCGTTGCCGATAGGCAATTGCTTGCGGGTCTGCGCGTACATCCTAGTGCATAAGCCAAGAATTTGCGAGGGACAACACGGCAAGGATGTTATGTTGTCCACTTGCGGACTCTGTCATTACTAACTGGGAGCACATGGAGATGCTCTCAGACGAGTGCAGAAGAGATATAAAGGCAAAGTGAAGGGGCTTAGCAGAAACGGAATTCCAGTCCCCAAGGCATACTTGACCTCTTTCATCTTAACGACCATTTTCGAAAACACCCCAAACACACAATGCTCTACGCGAACATCACCACCGCAGCGCTCTGCGCTATAGCGACTGCCAGCAATGTGCCTGCTCCTTATCAGATTTCCGTCGACCCCAAGCTTATTGCAGAGGCGGCTACCAAAGCCAAGCTCTACAGGCCATCCATCGGCTTAGAAGACCGCACGAGTGATACCTGGCGGGAAGGACCACCAGTCGAGAATATGACAGCGCTCGCTCGGTACTGGGCGGACGAATACGACTGGCTTGAGGTTCAGGACGAGCTCAACAGTAACGGTCATCACTATTCCGTAAATGTGTCTGCGGGAGACGGATACGACCAGCCCTTGCAGCTCCACTTTGTCCACGAGCGATCTACCCAAAGGCCCAATGCGATTCCTCTGTTGATGCTCCACGGTTGGCCGTCCACGCATACCGAGTGGAGCGCTGTCCTGAAGCCCCTTACATCGCCCAAAGACAGCTCCTCGCCGGCTTTCCATGTGGTAACACCCGACCTTCCCGGGTTTGGTTTCAGCCCGGCTCCGACGCGCGCAGGATTCGGCCCTCGCCAGGCTGCCGCCGCCTTTGCCGACCTAATGAAGACGCTGGGGTACGAAAAGTATGGAGTCGTCTCTACGGATCTTGGGTGGTGGGTCGGAATGTTCATGGCTGGCGACCATGCAGAGCACCTCGTCGGCCACTTTACCGACTTCTTCTCTGTTTCGCCCACGCCTGCTGATCTTGAGCGGTACAGCAGCAACCAGACTGATGCGGCCGAGAACGAGTATATTGGCGGACTCTCTGCATTCAGTGCCGGGTTTGGAGCATACATGACCATGCAGAGCCAGGGCCCGTTGAAGCTTAGCCAGGCGCTTAACGACAGCCCCGTTGGTTATGCGGGATGGATCTGGCCCATGATTCATGCTATAAGCGATGGGTATCCTTACACGCTGAAGCAAATCGTTACGAGAACCCTCCTGTTGTGGGTCGGCGATGTGTATGGAAACGTCAGGGCCTATTTGGAGTGGCTGAAGGTACGTGGCGTATAAGCCTGATCCGACACTTGTTCAAGCCAGCGTAAGACTAACTACGATTGCAACCAAAAAGCCCGAGGCCAGTAATTTCCCCGAATCGGATGTGCCGACAGGTGTCGCCCAGTGGGGTGCAACGGGCCCGTTCAATGAGATTGCCGGCTCGGTCCACACGGTAAGCTACTATTCCCGAAGCTTCGCCTGCAGCAAACATCTGGCTGTGTTACTGACAACCATACCCCTCAAACAGCCCCGTAGTTGGATCGAGAGACAGAGCAACGTGACTTTCTTCATTGCTCGCGACTTTGGAGGGCACTTCGCCGTGGAGCACTACCCCGACCTTTATGCACAGGACCTGAGGGAGTTCTTTGGTCAACTGACCGCATAGAACGCGTGGGAACTGGCCAGAAAGGAACGTGCTTGGGACGTCATTCAAGCTTGACCGGGGTGCTTGGCAAACCGTCGTATTTCCGGCTAAAGCCACATGGTTGACAGCAGTCGTACACATTGCATTTGCTTAGATGGGCTTATGTGGAACAGGTAAGTAATCACGTAATACTGCCAATAGGGCTCAAAGGGGAGGGGCCAGGCTTGGGGGGACGTTAGAGGAAGTTGCTGTAACTGAGTTTCATCGTATTTTCTATGCATATCTGAGCACATGTACCCGCGACCTTCCAAGCTTCAAGTCCGATCGTGCAATCGTGCAATCGCCATCAGAGCCCATCCAACTCAAGTTTTCACGGACGCAGTATGCATATATATATGTATATCGGCCTGCGTGTAGTATTGATGACCTAATTCAGATAACATAGCGGGAAAACACTATGTGGCCTCGTTGCAATAAGGCCCTCAGCCTACATCAGTCTAGGTCAAGTCGCCGGCAAGCGGACAATCTTTACTTCCGCCTCGACACGTAATGCCACCAGTTCTTCTCGAGCTCAAGTTATCGACAAACATCTCCTTGGACACTAGTAGCCAAACTCCATGTCGTCTGCCACTAATTATTTCGGCACGCATTGGGCATAAAATTCGTTCCACAGCTTGCAGATGTACCCGGAAGCGCAGGCGGTCGGGCCAGTCCAACCAGAGCCACCACAGCGTTCATACGGCCCTGCAGTTTGGACCGGAGGTGGCGCAGATGATGTCTTGGTCGTGCTTATCAAGGTGCTGGAGGACGTCGAGACAGAGCTGGAAGACGTCACAGACTTGGACGACGATGACGAGGTGGCAGACTTCGTGGCTTGCTGAGACGACGAAGTGCTTGGACCGCCACCACCACCAACCAAAGCGCCGACGCCATGGAACACGCCGCGCCCATTGGTTCCCACGTAGACCTTGTTGGCGACATTGCCGCTGCCGGCAAGCCTGGCACCCTCGATGCTTCCAAAGCCTTGTGCACCACCCTGGATATCGGTCCACGAGGAGCCGCCATCTGCACTGCCGTACAGCCTGGCTCCGTTGCTGCCGGTGCCAAATGCGTACAGGTTCCAGCCCGTGCCGGAGCCACGGCCAAGCGCAACTTGATACGTGTTTTTGAGGTTGCCTGCAAGGGCGGCGAAGCTCTTGCCAAAATCCTCACTGTAGAATATCCCAGCATCCGTGGACACATAGAGCTTTCCACCGGCTGCGGGATGAGCCGAAATGTCGCGGATGGCGGTAGCCCCAGTCAGGGTGCCGCTCTTCGCAAACGTCTTGCCACCGTCAGCGGAGACAAGGAATGACCCTGCAGAGCCAGCGTAGAAGTAGCTGTTGTTGCGCCGGTCAGCGGCAATGACGGAAGCAGGCCCAAGTGCGGCCACCGCGGCGAAGGCGCCTTCGTTCTGGGATCGCACAACTCCGCCAGAGGCTGTGGACCACAAGATGATATCGCCATCTGCAGAATACGCGACTGACCCGCCATTGTTGGTCGTGTCCGCACCTCCGTGAATGGCCCAGCTGATACCGCCATCCGTTGAGAGAGCAACCATCTTGGCGCCGGCATCGTTGCCAACACGGACGACCTTGCTGGGTGAATTTCCCGCGTAGTCGACCCCGCCCGTGCTGGTAAACTTAGGGCCATCCCAGACATTCTTGGGCGACGTGCCAAGGTCCGAGTCTTTGGCAAAGGTGTATCCCGAGACGTCACCAACGGCAGCAAGGAGCTCACTGCCGCCCGGCGCAGAAGCGACCTCGAGCACGGCCGTCTCCTCGATACCGTCAGCAAGAGACTGGATCGTGATGTTGTGGATGGAGTCCCACTTGGTAAGGTCGTGCCCGCCGTAGACTGTCAGGCCAGTGCCGTAGAGGAAGTGGTCGCTGTCATGAGGGTCAATCTCGAAAGACTCGATCATCCAACCGAGCCACTTGGAATCGACGTCGAGGAAGTCCTTGCGGATCCAGGGGGCCTTGGGGGTCGAGATGCCATAGTAGTAAATCATCTCTGGGTAGTTGCCCCATTTCCACAGGACAGACCACGTCTTGCCCGAGTCCACGCTGCGGTAGATCTGGGCATCTGGCCACCAGGAGTTGAGAGTGGCCACTACGATGGTTCCAGGCTTCTTTGCATCAAGCGCAAGCCCTCCGAAACCAAAGGTGAGGTCGCTGCCGCTGACAGGCGTGATGTCCGTCCACGTCTTGCTTTTGAGGTCGTACCGCCACACTGCACCAGACGTGCCATCATAAGGGCCTGCGCCATCGGCGTAGGACAAGTACAGAGCACCCTCCTCGGGGGACAGCTTGCACTTGTGCGGAAAGAAGCGCTTGGGCTGCCCCGGCACGGCACTCCACGTCTTTCCGGCATCCTCCGACACGTACACCGAGGCTGTCGTGTTGTCGGCAGTGCCAACAAAGATGCGCGACGTTGCGCCATTGACAAGAGCCGAGGTGGAGTCGAAGGCCACGAAGCTGAGTCCGATAATGTCGCTGTTGTATCCGGTCGTGTCACCAGGGACGGGGATATAGGTGCCCACCGCCGTGAACGAGTCGACCTTGGCAAAGGACTTTCCGGCGTCAGAGCTCTTCCACAGCCCGTTGCCGCTGCGGGCGCCGAAATACACAATGTTGGAGTTGCTGGGATCAACGGCGAGGCGCTCTCCCATGCCTCGGCCGGGCATATTCCCACCGACCTTGAACTTGAGGGGTGCGGAAGTCCATGTCGCGCCGCGGTCGGTGCTCTTGAAGATGGCGCCCGGGCTCGGATCCCAACTATTGGTGTACAGGCCAGCAGCGAAGTACACGACGTCGGGCTTCTGCGGGTCAACCGCGAGTGCATCTGCTCCCCAGTTGTGCCTGAAGTGAATATATCAGCTTCAACCCGATCAGCTGCCATCTACACGCAGGCTCACTTACCAGCCTTGAGTGTCGGCGAGGCTGTCTGTGATTGGGGTCCATGAATCGTCGCTGTTGAGCCGGTAGACACCGCCAATGTCTGTCCGTGCATAGGCGATTCCCGGCGCAGTAGGGTGGAAGACGATGCCAGGCACAAAGCCACCACCACCACCGAAACGTGCGCTGTTCCACGTAAAGGCAGCCTGGGCCGCTTGAGTGGCGGCCAAGCACAATGCAGCAAACTTCATGGCTACTAGCGTGTCTTGGCAGTCATAACAAAATGCAACTATAATAAAACAGCCGCAGTGCAGGAAGTACTTATAGTGCTTCGGGAATCCTCACCAGCTGTCGCAGTTGGTCGTGGCAGGCCTCCTCCTGCTCGAGCTATCGGAGCCACCAACTTGCGCAAATGCTTTAGCATAATGTCGGCGGAATGATCGGGATCACAGCCACGGCGTGAATTATTGTCCACCAATAAGATTTCCCTCAAATTTCGCGCAAGATTGATGAGCCTGCCCGATAGATGTGTCGGAGCGCATGGCTCCGGGTTGCAGCTTTAATTACCCAACCAACACGTGGCCAGCACTGGCCACGCCACAAGTAGACGAGACTCACCCGCTGTTTTCATGGAAATGTCAGAAATCTCAGCGAAACAAAAGGCGAATTGTGCTGACCGGCGAGGTGGTTGAATAGTAGATACCAGGACTTCACTTTGCGTGTTAGCCACCAACAATAATGTTCGTCTCCAATGGAGCAAGAAATCCTCAACAGCACAACACGCCCCTTGAAAAACATTATGTTGCAGTTCATTGTGATTAAGAAATTCGTATCACAAGACGATCGATGGAGCATGTAGGACGCCTCAATCGCATCGAGTCCTGTGCTCACTATATAGCCCGCCACTCGAACGATGTAGACATGACTCGCCTCCTCCGGCGCAACGTCTCGAAGTGGCCGCGTTCTCGGCCTTCCTGGCTAGCCGAAGCCGTGATCCTCGACGGCCGTGCAGTCTCTCGTTTACAGGCGCCTGATGCCGGCCTGTGGCCCACCCGGATTTGCCAAGTGAGGATATCAATATCATACTCAGTCTGGGTTAAGGCCACATATCAACGCACTCCAGGGCCATAGCAGCGTATCACTTCGCATGAGGGTGATACTATGAGAATCAAGACTTGCAAAAGGGTTGACATGTACTTTCTCCAATGAACTAGCTATGTGGCGCTGGATACAGGCTTTAAAAATGTTCCGTATCAAAAGTGCTGAGAATGAGGACTCCAGAAATCAGTATGCATTCTCTCAATCGAAAAGATTTGGCTGCCGTCACTAGAGTAAGGCATCAGGTCATTTCTTCGCAGAACACACCGCAGGAATAACGACGTCTGAATGCCCCACGCACAGTTTTATCAATCCCCGGCTGGTAGCAAGACACAGGCGGCGCCTGCATGAACACGTTCAGTTTCGGGTAGACATGACGGCGTCCTGCCGACCAACTCCATGCGCAAGTCACTTCCACGGTTGAGGCGTGATCACCACTTACTCGAGATATCACATAGTTGGCAGAGATCCTTTTCAGTATTGTTGTACAAATCACAGCAGGTTCTCAGGCTTTTCCGTTGTGTTGGCCTCGGTGCATTCGCGCAGGACGGCACTATTGCACATAATCACACCTGTGCATAGCACATTGCGGGCAGCTCATATGAGGAACCGGCGCGGCTGTGTACTGACCCCAATGGAGGTGTTCTGAAGACAGTCACGCACGTGCAGTAGGAGACATTTAGGCATTGACCTCTGGCCAACATACTGGAATTGGCACAGATGACGTCGCATTTTGCCAAGAACCCGTTGGCCGCCCTTGCACAACCGCGTCAATGAGATAGGAGCGCGTAAGGCGGGTCACAGGCATGGCTCGATGCGACTCAGCACGGATGATGCTCTGGCCAGATGCCAATGTGCGGGAGCAGCTCTCTCGCGCTGAAATAAAGATACGAGGAGGACCATCAGGTCAGAGTCAGGTGGTATGACCTTAGGGTCGCTGGGAGCCAGTGGTTGGTCTAGCGGATGAATTGCGCGGATGAATTTCGTTTTAAGCGAGAGACGACGGTCGTGACCTGACACAAACATGAATCCGGATCACATGCTCGAGATATGGTTCTTCTGTCTGGATGTGAACATCGCAATAACACCTTCGGTCAACCTCGAAATTGTTCTCAAATGAATCTCGCTTCGCCAAGACCAAACACTAGATGGGATGCTTTCAAGAGACAAGGACTTCTGACGAGCACAGGAATTTGAATCTGTCGCAAGGCGCCAGCATCGACCACATTGTTCTAGGATATAGCAGGGTGCATATTTGTCCGATGTCCAGGGGTGCTTAGCCAGAAATAGATTTCGCAGCTCGGTGTGTTGGCTGCCAAAGTGTGCCTACCGCAGGTAAAATCTGGGGAGCGTACAAGAATCTGGGGGAAGCAAGGGGCACCCTTGTCCGCGTGGCATTGAGTAGTCTGAGCAGGTGCGGAAGAGCACCGTCCGAGGCGGGCAAAGTGCCGTTGTAACTGCCGACGTCGATCATTGCGGAGAGGTTGCAGGATACGGGGCAAACCGACCAATCAGTAGAGAGTTCTTGAGCTGTCACAAGAATCTTTGTCGTTTGTTTCGTTTTGCGGCTAAAGGTTCTGTGTGATATCTCCCTGACACGGCACCGTCTTGGCAGTTTCCCCTTGAACACGCCGTCTTGGCAGTGGGATCTAGTGGCAGACAGTCCTCCAGCCGGACATGACAGCTCCGCGCCGCTTCAAGTGCGAGTGTTCTCATGGGTCATGGAGAGGATATTTAAGCGGTTCGAGTCTCCGGCGTTTTCTGTGAACATGAGAGCACACTCTGCACGCACTTCTTTGTGTCTCGGTTCGAAAAACTCGTACGTCTTAGAGCAGCAGTAGCCCGGAGCATTGGTTCAAACCACTCGCACCCGATCCCTCAGACTACACAGCCATGCTGTCCAACACGAGACAGCTGGTACACTCGTTGGCCGTGGTCGTGCTTGTCCTTGGCTTTCTGGGCCAGGCAGTCACGGCTGCCAAGTCGGCGGGTTGTGGCAAGGCAGCTGGCATTGCATCCGGCACATATTCCGTCACCGTCAATGGCAAAAGCCGCCAGTACATCATCCGTGTGCCTAATGGCTACGACAGTAGCCGTGGCTATAAGCTCATCTTCGGGCTTCACTGGCTGAGCGGCACGATGACGGACGTTGCTACAGGCCAGACTGTTCAGCGTGACGTCTGGGTAGGTCGCCATTTTCAATGGGCGTCGCAATCACAGTTTGATGCAAGACTAACCGCCACAACAACAGGATTGGTATGGACTGCGCCGACTTGCCAACGAGGGGGCCATCTTCATCGCGCCGCAAGGTCTTAACAACGGATGGGCCAACCAGGGCGGCGAGGACATCACTTTCATCGACACACTGGTTCAGACCGCGCAGGACAAGCTCTGCGTTGACACGACCCAGATCTTTGCCACGGGTTTCAGCTACGGAGGCGCTATGGTAAGACGTTCTATTCCAATTCCAGCTAAGTGGTGGCTACTGGTTCCGGCGACTGACCCATGCACGCACAGTCTTACTCGCTTGCTTGCTCACGACCCAATGTCTTCCGAGCTGTCGCTGTCCTCTCGGGTGGCCTGCTGTCTGGCTGCAGCGGAGGCACCGGCCCAATCGCCTATCTCGGAATCCACGGCCTCCGTGACAACGTGTTGAGCATTTCCGGCGGTCGCCAACTTCGCGACAAGTTCGTGTCCAACAATGGCTGCACGCCACAGAGTCCGCGCGAGCCCAGCCAGGGCTCGTATACGCATGTCTCGACCACGTACTCTGGCTGCAGGGCCGGCTATCCAGTCCGCTGGGTCGCCTTCGATGAGGGCCACATTGCTGCCCCTCGCGACGGCGGGCCTGGCGACAGTGGCACCCAGGCCTTCAGCCCCGGGGAGACGTGGAACTTCTTCAACCAGTTTGCAAGTGGCGAGCAGCCGGGCACGACCAACCCTCCAACGACCCCGACGAGCACCACGTCCTCTCCACAGCCGACGGGCAACTGCGCTGCGTTGTACGGACAGTGTGGCGGCCAAGGCTGGCAAGGCCCGACCTGTTGCTCGCAGGGAACATGCAAGGCATCAAACCAGTGGTACTCCCAGTGCTTGTGATCGCTAACAGGGCAGGAGCGCCTTGGGGAACCCGTAGGCAGGCTTGAAGGAGATCACGGTGTCCCCCGACGACGGCCGAGTTGACCTAGAGCAAGCGAGGCAGCAAATGCGGGTTTTGTCAGGAATGTTAAGGGATGATTGTGCTTGGAAGTTGTCGGACAGAAAGACTCCTTATGTGCGAGAAGGCAGACAGATGTAGCTCAGACCCTACAACTCGCCCGTTTCAACCCGCCGACTCTACTTCATGTGACAGTATGTCCAGCTCTGGTTTCCACCCAGCCCATTTCTTGCATCCGTGAAACTTGCGCAAATGTTGCCAGAGATGATCTTTGCGGGCAAAGGTCCGATCCGGGAGGCTCCTTTCGGCACACGCGTCGAACTCGTGAGTAGACAGGTGCGCTTCGTCAGGCTGCTCGCACCCACATAGCAAGCATTGCGGTGTGCCACTGTCGGTGCACCACACTACGAGAGACTGGTCGGGAGGCACTGGTAATGAGCAGATCCAAGATCGCGTGGTTGCCGAGTGTATTGTCGACTCGTGGCGTGTCAGATCGGACCGCTTCTTGAACTGCCTTAGGCAAGTCTTGCAGGCGTGCAGAGCAACTCGAGATTGCCTTCGTGTGGGACGTTTCTCGACAAGGAGTTCATCCGCATTGAACGACATAGCCAGGGAGGCTAGAGACTGGTCGTCAAAGGCAGACATGGACGACACGTGGGACACGGATGATGCACAACTCATCATACTGCCACTGTCGTAGCCGTCCAGGTCTGTAAGGGAGGAGGTACTCGAGGCACCGCTCGAGTGCTGCCCCAACCACTGTACCTGCTGGGCAGGCGTTCCGATGGCTCGCTCGATCGCTGCGACTGATATTCCTTCCTGTTCTGGGGGCGAGTTGCGCCATCTCTGCATGGGCGACATGCTGTAATTGCTTGGTGACGGCATCGGCGACCCACGAGAAAAGTGCGACTGTTTTCGGACCGCCCGAGCCGTCTGTCGCTGCCGTCGTCTTGCATTGGCAAACCAGTTGGCGATCTGGACAGCTGTGAGGCCTGTTGCACTGCCAAGTTGCTCCTTCTCCTCGACAGTCGGGTACGGATTGTCACTGTGGGCCACGAGCCAGGTCCGTAGCGGCTTTGTGCGGCTGACGTGCCGCGACGCTGCCCGCTTGTGTGACATTGAGTCCTCGTCGATGGGCCCACCGGAAATATCATGTGCTGTCGTGGTGGGATCCTGCTTGAAGAAGTCCAGTAGATGGTCTTCAGTAACTCCATGAAGCTGCCCAATGACTGGGTCGGGCGTCTCAAATTCGGAAGGCTGTCGTTTTATCTTTTGGGCCAGGCTGCAGCTCCTGAACAACGCCGCGCAGCTCGAGCACGACATGACGGGATTTGGATTGACCGTCGTGGTCTGCAGCATGATACACTGCAGCCGCCTTGTTCGGCAGTGGTCGCAGGGCACCGCCGGCCGCCATCCCCCGTTGCTGCTGAAGAACGCCTCGAGCGAAAGGTTGGGTCGGTCGTCGTCAAAGTCGAGGTCCACCAGAACGCTGTCGTCCAGGAAGGACTGCGATGCAGTCAGGGGCGGTGCTGGAGCATCGTCGGGCAGTCCGGTAACTCCTGGAAGGAGGAGTAGATCGTCATGGGCCTCATGATCTATGAAGTCCTCAAAGGAGAAGTCCATGTCTTTCCGCAGACCGTGTGTCGCTTTTCGTGCGTGCCGTCCAAAATTCTAGGCGAAGACGTGCAGGTTCATGCGTCGGGTTGGACTTGGACAATGGCGCGTTGTTTCGCTGTGACTAAGAATTTCCCCCAGACGCGGGGGGCCGATTGCGGCCGCTTGTTTTCAGAAGGCGCAGCTTTCAGGGCATCTAATAGTGGTCCAGAGACACACCCCCTGGGCCGACTACGGCAACCCCAAATCCTGTGAGCATGCCCCAACCAACATGGTGATCCTTTCGACGACAACAACACGATGCCAAACGATTCGTCCTTTTTCTTCAACGAGTCCGCACAAACGTACGAACCAAGCCGCTATCCGCCTGTTGATCAGATCGTACGGTTTCACCAGACATTGGTTGGCTATGAACACACACCCCTCCATGACCTCGGTAGAGTTGCCAGCGTAGGGTGCGGGAAAGTCTTGCTCAAGGACGAAAGCAATCGATATGGCCTCCCATCGTTCAAGATCCTTGGTGCATCCTGGGCAGTCTGCCAGGCACTGACTAGCAAGGTCGGCCTTTCCACAAATACCACTCTGCCGGCACTCAAGGACGCGCTTCAATCACGTAGACTCAGGCTTTTTGCAGCCACCGACGGAAACCATGGCCGTGCAGTGGCGAGGATGGGTTCTATGCTGGGCGTCGACGTGCAAATATACGTCCCAGCGGGGCTGCCGAGGTCCACCATAGATTTGATCAGGAGCGAGAATGCCACGGTTGTTCAATCGGCGTGCAACTACGACGGTGCCATTCAGGAAGCATACCAAGCCGCCAGAGACATTGGCGACGAGGGCGTACTCGTTCAGGACTTTGCCTTTGCCAGCTATTGCGAGATACCACAGGTAAATCTACCCAATCTTTCGCTGGTCGGCATGACCCGATCCGCGTGGCGGCGACTATTCCATGAGCGAATTGCTTATCATCCTCGCAGTGGATTGTCGATGGCTATAGCACCATGTTCCACGAGATAGAGCTGCAAATCGGTGGGATGGTTCCAGATCTAATTGTCGTGCCAGTTGGTGTCGGCTCCTTCGCACAGTCTGTCGTCACATACTACAAACGCCACAATCCAGCCACCGCTATTCTTGTCGTGGAGCCGCAATCTGCACCGTGTCTACACAGAAGCTTGCTGGCAGGACATCCCACCACGCTCATCACGTCGGAGACCATCATGACAGGACTAGAGTGCGGGACGGTCTCTGAGACAGCATGGCCAATATTACGAGATGGAGTCGACGCCAGTGTGGTTATTCCGGAGCACGCCGCACACCAGGCTTTGACGTCCTTGGAAATGGAGCACGGCATCAAAGTCGGGCCATGCGGCGCCGCACCTCTAGCCGCCATCAGACGGCTTTCAGCCAAAGACAAATCGCTATTGAGGCTATCAAACGACTCGATCATCTTGCTCTTGTGCACAGAGGGACCCAGGGAATATGTCGTGCCTCGCGCCGTTCAGCTGAATACGGAGCTGAGATAAGACCAGCCTTGATGTACTGGGTCACTGAACAACACGACAAAGCTGAAAGCCTCCAGAGCAGTATACCTTGACTCAACATCTTATCTAATCCAGAGTCTGCTTCTCTGGCAAACAGGATCGACCCCAGCACTAGCAGGTACCTTTGCAAAGCATTTCGCATCGACTCCTAGACGAAATGGGGCAGCGCCTCCTCGGTTCAAATGCAAATAGCGTATCCGAAGCTTCCGCTGCGTACCTGCTCCCGCATTCTGATTAGAAGAAAACGTGCCTTGCATCTACATGAGACTGGACAAATTCTATCACATGTCTATCGTAAGGCGATATCCCGGTCAAGGAGACTCGACCGCTTGGACCAGCTTCAAGACATGCTGCTGCAAAGTGCGTATGCCAAATATCGTCCTACTTGCCTTACATTTTTGATTGGGTGGGGGCGGCTTGGACCCTTGTCGAGCCTCACGGATTTTCTAGCCGTGGAGCCGAGAAGCTTCTGACCTAGCCTCCACGCGGCCTGCTCATGGTCTCTGGCGAGATGCCGGCTGGACCGCCGCTGGCCCTGGCCCTGGCGAATGCTTGTTGTTCCCCGATCCGACGTGCGCCGGAAGCCTTGTGCAACTGAGTCGCCATGGAACAGGAGTGGGCATAAGGCAAGCTTCTGTATTGTGCGTGGCTTTTCAGCTTTGGATAGCTCGCTGCACTGAATGGTGGGAATCGGCATCGCAGCGAGCATGTTTCGTGATGAATTTGCAAGACTCACCGTGATGGCGCACAATTGAAGCTATGCTCGAGCTCAAGGCCCCTCTATGATTGCTGAGCCACAAAACACAAGGGACCTGTACGAGAAAGTGAGCGCTAGCGGGGACACTTCCCCGCTGACCACCTCACTCAGCTTGCAACCCTGCAGAACGGTCGACCCCGGGCTCGTGAAGGCAAGGCGGGTCAGGAGCAGGTGGCAAGCTGTTGAGGATGGCTGATTGCGGAAGGTGAGCCCGCCCGCCGCCGTCAGCCTGCTGCAGGCTGCCTTGCTGTGGGTGCGAGCTGCATGCATGGGAGGGGGTTTAGACGACTGCATCAGCAAGAATTGCGTGAATGGCATGGCTTCTGGTGTTATCTCTGCTGGGCACGCTGCCTGCAGCCATGTGCATGGCGCCCGAGGTTCGAAACATTCGCAAATTGGAGCACCCAAACCTTCTGGCCTTGAAGGTTTCTAGTGGGGGTCACGGGGGTCCTTGTTCGTGTAGGGCGTACCTGCAGTGCCAGCTTCGGTCAACCTCCTGCACGGAATAAATTGGCTGTGGCTGGGCGGCAGGCGTTGCCGGAGAGTGGGAGCAGTGTTTGCTCGGCTAACTGTGTCCAGACTTCAAGCAGCAATTAAGCAAACGAGGAAGCAGGAAGCAGGAAACAGAAAACTGTCCGAAGTTGGCAGCTGCGGACATTATGATCCCGAGGCAGACGCCCGGAGACAGCGTGAGGCGGGTCCGCCCTCAGCCCTCGATGCACAGCTCTGAGGCCCTGATCAGATTGAGCGATCCGCTGAAGAACAGGGGGCCTACTTTGGGGAAAGGTTGCCTGGAGGCAGTCGAGAGAAGTGCGGCGGGTGTGGCTCAGGAACGCGAGTAGGGAGAAAGAAGGTTGTATATCCGTGCATTAGCGAGGCCTTGCACGAGGCACAACGGCCACGCCACCCGAGGAACAAGCTAGCGGGTTCCAATGGTTCCCGACCACAAAAATCCCCAGGCACGAAACCATACGCGCGACCTGGGCTGATCCTGCGGCCCCACGAAGCGGCCCGTCAAGCGAAGCGATTGGATCGCGGGGTGCCCTCCATGATCGGGCAGGCCCCTGGCCCCTAGAGAAAGGGCTGTGGCGTCGAGCTTCATTCCGGCTAATGAGGTCAACCAGCACATCACCCGTTTTTCCAAGCTCTATTCTCGTGGGCAGGGTGCGAGACAGGGCAGGAGGGGCACCGGAGCTCCCGGGCAGCGGTCTGGGCAAGCGGACTGCGTATGTAAATGGCATTTTCCCCATTTTCCTGCGCCCCATTGCGCCACCGGAAGGCGTCGCTGCCCATGGGGAACCCGCAGGGGCCGTCCCCACGGTCCGGGCAAGCTCTCTGGGACATGGTGGTAACTTAGTTAGCTGGAGGGGGCCATGGCTGGGAGCGGCACTACGGCAGCGCTCGCTGGTCAGGACCGGTCCAGCAGTTCCGGCCACCAAATTGAGCACGGCAGCTGCAGACAATGAGAAACCCGTCCTCGCACTGGATAGTGTTTGATCGCACCAGATCAGAGCTGATGCTCCGCGTCAGCACCGCGCCCAGGGCTTGCTGCGTCCTGTCGGAAACAACCGCGGGAAACATTTCCAAATGATGGGGGCCTTTCTCCCACGTCAGCAGGCCCTCAGTCATCCCCTCCCAGGCCTAGCAGCCTGCTCCCTTGCAAGCCGTCCTGGTTGAAGGGGTCTTGGCGCGTGGAGACGGCTAAAGAATATCGCTTGGCCTGCTCATGGGCGGGCAAGGGGTGGTTCTTAGTAGACGCCTGCCACCACCATGTCAAAGTATCGTCAGCAACACAACATCGGATGGAGCCACACAGCCGGGCCCCGCTTGGCAGGACCCATGACCGTGGATGGTGTATACGAATTGCTTCTCTGGTCCTGCTGGTCTGCGGCTGGGGGTCCAGCCCGAGTCGACGGTGGTGGAGTGGAGGAGGGAAGATGCAGACTGCACGACGCAAGTCCTTGGATTGTCATTTTGCCTTGTGCCCCTGGACCTGGGCCCGGATGCCTGTCCTTCCACCACACCACACTCAGCAAGCACCACCGCACGCACGTCTATTCACAGACAGACGCGAGCCATGCACGTGCTTGGCTGACCCGCGTAAACCGGCTCGTCCCACAAACACGCTGCTGCATACATGTCTTGGCGACGGCCTAGTCCTGGACCATGGGCTTGGTGAGTCGTTGGTGCTCTGCCCTGCACGGGAGCAATCCCTACGTTCCGGCGAGCCTCAGCTGATTCGCGGGACAAGGCAACACAGAATGTCGGCGGCGAGGACCCTGTCACGGAGACCGCGTTGGCCGGCACGGCCGAGTCAACCCAAAGTATAAAGAGTAAGTCTAAATCCACGCTTATTGACGCCGTTGGAACTCTCCTCTCCCAGGCCACCTCACCACCGCCGCTGCCCATCCCTTCGCTCTGAGCTGTCTCCCCTTCGCCTCCTCCAAGATGCGTTCTGCTCTCGCTCTGGCCCTCGGCCTCGTTGCCGCAGGTGCTGACGCTTTAGTCACCCGCGCGGCCATTGACGCCTGCCTTGTCTCCTCTGGTGTCCCGATCGACATCCCCGGCAGTGATGACTATATCCGCGACATCGCGCCCTTCAACATCCGCCTGCCGTACATCCCCACGGCCATTGCGCGCCCGTCCACCACGGCCCACATCCAGAAGTCGGTCCAGTGCGCCAACAAGCTCAACGTCAAGGTCTCGGCCAAGTCTGGCGGCCACAGCTACGCCTCCTTCGGCTTCGGCGGTGAGAATGGGCACCTCGTCATCGAGCTTGACCGCATGATCAACGTCACGGCCTACAACGCCAAGACTGGTGTCGCCCACGTCCAGCCCGGTGCCCGTCTCGGCCATCTCGCCACCGTCCTGTACGAGAAGTACGACCGTGCCATCTCTCACGGCACCTGCCCCGGTGTCGGCATCTCTGGCCACTTTGCCCACGGTGGCTTTGGCTTCAGCTCGCACATGCACGGCCTGGCGGTCGACTCGGTCGTCGGTGCCACTGTTGTCCTCGCCGACGGCCGTATCGTCGAGGCCTCTGCCACCGAGAACGCCGATCTCTTCTGGGGCCTCAAGGGTGCTGGCTCCAACTTTGGCATCGTCGCCACCTGGAAGCTCGTCACCTTCCCTGCCCCCAAGCTCCTCACCCGCTTCGGCATCACCCTCAACTGGAACAAGACCACTGCTGTCAAGGGTATCGAGGCCGTCGAGGACTACGCCCGCTGGGTTGCTCCCCGCGAGGTCAACTTCCGCATCGGCGACTACGGCAAGGGCAACCCGGGCATCGAGGGCCTCTTCTACGGCACTCCTGAGCAGTGGAGAGCCGCTTTCCAGCCTCTGCTCAACACTCTGCCTGCTGGCTACGTTGTCCAGACCCCGACGACCCTGAACTGGATCCAGTCTGTGCTCAGCTACTCCAACTTTGACCACATTGACTTCATCACTCCCCAGCCTGTAAGTTTTTTGGACACACCGTCTGCTGACCAGCGAGATCACAAACGACTAACCCCCGCCGCAGCAAGAGAACTTCTACGCCAAGAGCTTGACCCTCAAGACCATCAAGGGCAAGGCCGTCCAGAACTTTGTCGACTACTACTTCGATGTCGCCAACAAAGTCGTCGACCGCTTCTGGTTCTACCAGCTCGACGTCCACGGTGGCGCCAACTCGCAGGTGTGGAAGGTGACCAACGCCGAGACCGCCTACCCCCACCGCGACAAGCTCTGGCTCATCCAGTTCTACGACCGCTACGAGAACAACGAGACCTACCCGGACACCTCGTTCAAGTTCCTCGACGGCTGGGTCGACTCGGTCACCAAGGTCACCCCCAAGTCCGACTGGGGCATGTACATCAACTATGCTGACCCCCGCATGGACCGCGACACCGCCACCAAGAACTACTATGGCGTCAACCTGCCCAAGCTCCAGAAGCTCAAGGCCAAGTTCGACCCCACTGACCGCTTGTACTACCCCCAGGCCGTCCGCCCCGTCAAATAGACGGCGTGATATAGAGATGGACAGCTGGAAAGCGATACGCGGAGGACAAAGTTTGCGCAGTCTCGAAGCTTGTCAGTCGGGCTGCGCGACCTGGATAACGAGTGAGCGAGCGTGTGTGTGTGTGTGTCATTAGAAGCAAACCCATCTCCTTGAGTAGGCGAAAATGGATGTAGATGTTCTTGGAAAAATAAGCCTGTATCGTCCTACCGTCTATAGTACTCGTCGCGCTGTCAGCTTGGAGGCGTATACTAAGCATGTGTCTGAAATGCGTCTTGTCAATAGTAAATAAACACACGTGTTGGCTCTCCTAGCATCCAATCATGCACAATATCGAGAACTTGGCCAGGTGATGCTGAGAAAAAGAAAGAATAGGAACAAAGAGATCAATATTCACTACGAGATAATGCCATAAATCGCAAGGGGGCGAAGGTAAAACCTTACATCAGATAATAGAGAGGCGCCCATTCCGTGGGCTCAACAAACCCATGTGCCAGCATCTTGATTCTCGGTATCCCAACAACGGCTCTTCACCACGGTAAACGTCATTCGAGGGTCACAGGTTCAAAATACCATTGCTGGAGTAGGAAGCACTTTATTAAGGGCTTTAAACGAGTTGTCCGGCTTCTCACAGGGTGGTCTCGCATCGTATGACGTCGGAGAAATCATCGGGCAGATACGACACTGATGACCAAGTGAGGCTTTCTGCGAATCAGATCTGCAGTGTAGCCGGACACGATCACTTGGTAGCGAATCGCAAGCCGATGGGTTCGAACGGGCCCTTGAAGCTAGCGTTTATACTCAAGGCACGTCGGAGAACCAAATTCAAAGAAACCTCGAAGTTGAGGACGAGTGTAGGGAGTCGGGGACAGAAGTTGCAGCTCTGCTGCAGATTCGATTCCTTGGCGCTGCCTCCTATATTTGAATAGCCTCCACAGCAGATTCCAGTCTGGTCGGAGAGGTTCTACCCTGACGGCATTGCATGTCTCCGGTAATCGCGTTGCCATTGGCTAGCTTTGGCCGAGGGGCCGTTTTTGATTTGTCACCGGCCAAAGATTTCAGAGTCAGAAGACCCATCGTTTGACCAGGATCAAACTACCCACTCATTGCCGGGAGGGCACGACCAGACAACTACCGAAACCTATTTCGTCATCGTCGTCCATGCGGCGAGCACTTGCCAGCGTGCGATCTGCAAGAATGATCTGAGCCCCGGGACTTTCCATCCGAATCCCAAGAGCTGCTCCATAGACGTCCATATTTTCATGTCTGCATCCCACCAAAAGATCCACGGCCTCCATCCTCGCTGGCCAGTTGCGTCGCGCCCATCGGAGATGCTACATAATTACAAATGAAGCCACACGATGCTGGTTCGGACGTCGACTAAGCGTCATGCAACGCCCTGCAGGTGATTGGGCCCCACGATGCACGAGAAGTTCGGAGACAGAACAAAAGTTCGGTGTTATGCCCACGGCAAAGTGACTGCCCTGCTCTAATTGGTCAGCCTGAAAACGAGACGAAGTACTTGTACTTTGAAGAAAATCCTTAAACTGTTCTGGAACGAGGCCTTTTCGTCTCTTCGGTCATTCAGTACTGGGAGCTGGTTATTTAGGATCCGTGTATTGTTTTGAATAGGCCTTGTAGTATGTGATTTTGTGCTATCATTGTGATCTCATAAAGTTGAGATGAACACAAGAAGTACCGCAGTACAAAGTGGAGACTTTGTCGTGCGCATAACCCCGAATCTCACCGCGCCTTGAGAGCTTTCTCCGATGCATGTGACCCAAGGCGGCGGGACGCCTCGCAGGACATTACGCTGACTGCCCCGGGTACGACGAGGTGCCCACACAAGCACACCGAGACGGGGCTGGCGTCATCTCTTAGCTAGCTACGTATAAAAGAGGCCGGCACCTCCTCAAGCTGACAAGAAGAATGAAGAACAGTGCTGGTCAGCCTTCCACTGCCATAACCTATCCGCCTTCTCCCTGAGCACCTTGTACATAATGCGGACACAACCACTCCTCCCAGCAGCAGCTGCCAGTCTTGGCTTCTTCGCTGGACAGGCGGCAGCTGGCTCGAAGCTCTTTGCAGGCGGCACCATTGTTGCTTTCGACAGCGGCTCCGAGTCCATCCGCGTCGTGCGCGATGGCCACCTGCTGGTGACGGACGACCGCATTGCCGGCATCTTTGAGTCTGCCCCTGACAATAGCAGTTTGCCTGCTCACACGGAGCGGATCGATGTCACTGGCCAGATTCTCACGCCTGGCTTCATTGACACCCACCGCCACGGGTGGCAAACAGCCTACAAGACCATTGGCTCCAACACGACTCTGGCCGAGTATGTCGGCCGGTATGGCGAGTTTGCATCCGCGCCTCACTGGACGGCGGAGGACGTGTACAACAGCCAGCTCGCCGGCCTCTACGAGTCACTCAACGCCGGCGTGACCACGAGTTTGGACCACGCCCACCACACCTGGTCCAACGAGACGGCATATGCTGGTCTCAACGCCTCCATAGCCAGTGGTGCGCGCATCGTCTGGGCCTATACTGTACACCCGCTCGAGACTGTCGACTTCCCCGTCGCGGAGCAGCTTGCCAACCTCCGCGAGATCGCCCAGAGCGCTGCCCTGGCCGAGAGCTCCCGCACCGAGCTTGGCGTCGCCTTTGACTTCTTCTCTGGGGCGGACACGAAGTTGATCGAGGAGGTCGTTGCTCTTGCCAAGGAGTTCAACGTGTCGGCTGTGACGACTCACAGCGTCAACGGGCCGTTTGGCTTCTACAACGTGCCTTCGGCCGTGCACCAGTATGGCCTGCTCAACACCTCGATCCCCGTCATCTTCTCACACGCAAGCTTCCTCGCTGCCGTCGACGCCCAGCTGCTCCGCCAGACGAACCAGTTCATCTCCATCACGCCCGAGTCTGAGATGCACTACGGCCACACCCACGAGGAGTCCTACTACATCAACGACCAGGCCGCGCTCGGGGTCGACACGCACTTTACTTTTTCCACCGACATCCTCACCCAGGCGCGGATCTGGCTGCAGTCCGTCCGCTACTTCTTCTTCAACATCGTTGCCAAGCAGTGGCAGGAGCCGGTCACGAACCCCATGAGCGTCGACCAGGCCTTCAAGCTCGCCACGCGCCACGGCGGTCTGGCCCTGCGCCGCCCGGACCTCGGCGTCATCGAGGTCGGCGCCAAAGCAGACCTTGTCGTCTGGAACGCCCGCGAGTCGCCGTCGCTGTTGGGGTGGAATGACCCCGTCGCCGCAGTCATGCTCCATGCCAGTGTCGCAGAGATCCTGCACGTCACCGTGGACGGCGAGTTTGTCAAGAAGGACGGCAGGCTGACTGCCGAGAACTACTACACGGACGTCCGCAGCAAGTTTCTCGAGACCGCCAGCCGGATCCAGGGCATCTGGAAGGACCTGCCTTACCCTCAGCTCTCCGGCCCCAACTTTGTCGGATTCGAGCAGGTCCACACAACTGAGGTTGACTCGCAGCGCGGAAACGGCACTGGATACGGCGAGACATTCATTGAGTAGTTGAACGTGGTGTCCATAAAAGTAGCGAGCCGCTGATAATCCTAATTTATTAATCATTCTAAGACCCCCGCACATCTTCCATGCCAAAGACATTGTTTCATGGTGCTATGGCGTGAGTGTTATATATGCATGAAGCCTCTCGACCCAGCAGGCAAAAACTGCTGCGAAGTCAACATGAACCCCTGGAATTGCCAAAAGTGCTGTGAAATCGCCATCGCGACCTCTTAGGAGATGACGACACGGACACCCTTGCTGGAAGACTTTGTCAATGGGATAAACATGTCGCAATCATACTTGACGTCCTCCTCTGTCGTCTCATAGAGCTTCATGTGCGGCAAAACACGCAGAGTCAAGGCAGTGACCAAGAGATAGAGCTCGCAGTGCGCCAGGCTGTTGAAGTGGAGGGTGGCTTTGTTAGTATCTCAAAGAAAGGAATGATGGGAGCAAGGCCTTTGAGCAGACTTACTTGATACCCAGGCACCCACGGCTGCCCTTGCCGAACGACATGTGTCCGTCCTCCAACTCCTTGCGCTTCTGGCCAAACTTGTTGACGCCCTCGCCGTCCTCGCCAAAGATCCAGCGCTCCGGGTCGAAGGTGTGCGAGTTGGGGAACGTCTTCTCGACGTGGTGCGTGATGGCGGCAGACATGCCGATGCCGTAGCCCTGAGGGATGACGTACTGCAGGCTCTCGGTGGTGCCAGTCTCGGGATTCTCCCACTCGCCCTTATAAATCAGAGACTCGGCCGTGGGCACTCTGCCCGTGCGTGCCGAGACGCCGTACGAGAGACGCAGGCCTTCGTGGATAACGGCAGTCAGGAAGGGAAGCTTCTCGAGAGCCGCCCAGCGCGGCAGGTTCAGCGGGTCATCCACCTCGTCCTCAAGCTCCTCGGTCAGGCGCTCGAGAATCTCGGGGTTCGCGAGCAGGTAGTACGTGATGACGGCGACAGTCCAGCTCGTAGTCTCAGTGCCGGCGTTGAGCACTGCAGCGGCCTCGTCCGACAGTCGGGTAACTGTCTTGAGCTCCTCGGGCATGTCTGAGGTGAGCAGCGAGGCGAAGACGGTGGGCTTCTCCTGGTTGTTGGCGTTCAGGATGCCGGAGTCCAAGTCGGCCTGGGTCTTGCGGACATAGCTGGGAATGTCCACCTGTGGTAGTACACTGTCAGCCTATGAGCTTCGTTGATTGTGGAACTGATCAACTCACCATCAACGTCTTGATGAAGAGGCCCATATCTTCGGGCATGATGCTCGTCATGCTGTGCAGCAGTGATATCAGAGTCAGCCCAATTCGTTATATCCACGAGCCATTTAATATCGCAAGAGAAACTTACTATGGCGCGGCGAGTGAGGCGTGCTTCAGCCATGGGAAGTATCTGAAAAGGAACACCGTCTGCAACAGACTGTACACGGGCTTGCGGTAGTTGGGCTCCCACACCGGCTCGCCCTTGGGGCCTTGCCTGTCGAGGAAGCCGAAGCTCTGGCCAAAGGAGTAGCCTGAGATGACATCACTCGTGAAGCAGCTGTAGGCGGAGCCGAGGTCGAGCGGCTGGCCGTTGGTCCAGGCGAGGAGTCTGCTGCACAGCCGCTGGACCTGCCCAGCAATCTGCGGCTCCAGCTTTGTCACCTGGGTCCGTGAGAAGAACTTGGCCACGGGAGCACGCAGTTGGCGATGTCTGTCATGGTCCACAGTGGAGAAGCCCGAATACTCGATGCTAGAGTCGTCTCGCATTCGCGATTAGCAGGCATCACGGAGAGACACAGATGAACAAGGTAAGTACTAACGCTGAGCCTCTGACCTGGTGAGGAGGCTTGTTGCGCTTCCGGCCGCCGGAGGGGAAGATCTCGTTGGCGAACTTGGCATCATTGCAGTGCTGGCGAGATGTCGTGTTAATCTTTTACCCGGCGGCAGAGCTGGTCTGCTAAGGGCAAGTGATGACTTACCACCTCGTCTGGGTTGATCCGCACAATCGGCCCGTACTTCTCGTGCATCTTCTGGATCTCCTTGGTGTACTTGCCGAACCGTATCGTGTCATGGTAGAACTCTGGCAGATACGTCATGGTGTTGAGCTTTGGGCCGGGGATGTGGCTCAGCGGGTGCAGCGACGAGACATTGTAGGCGGCGCGGGCGAGGGCAAAAGTGGTGCCGCCGGCGAGGAGCGTGGCAATGATGGCCTGGGCCGCCGTCAAGTCCAGATCGTACTGGATGTAGTCCCAGAGATCCTGGATGATGCTCGCCATCGTCATGGCTGCGGGGAGGCGTGTGCGGCGCTGGTCAGGCTGCGCTTTACAGAGATGGGAATGTCGCACGAGATCCAGCAAGACCCGGTGGAGGGAAGCAAGAAAGAGGGATCAGCACTCTTTTGTTCCTAAGTACCGGGCAGAATTCTTGGAAGCCAGTCTGGGCTCCCCGGCACTAGCCAAGGGGCCCCGAGAGTTGGCAGGCCAGGCCGCATGGTGCGACATCCACTATGCTCTAGCTGCCGAGCCTTGGACCCTGTCGTCGGCCGAGAAATGCACCGGCATCTACTACCACGTACATACGTGTCAACGGCCATGAGCCCTGGCCTTTTCGATAATTTTCCATGTGGTGGAGGCCCCTGTGTCGGGGCGGTGCCAAGTGCTTCACGGCCTCGTGGGCGTGCTCCGCTATCTGAGCACCACGCAAATAGCCTCGATTTGATTTGCTGGTTTGTATCGACTAACAGCGGTACCCCTGCAGGATCTAAATTCGCCAGCGATGCATCCCGTACAGGTTGCCAGATCGGTGGTCGCGGGTCCACTCCAAGCTCGGGTGCACAGTGCTTGCTAAGGACGCGCTCTGGGGCACGGAATGATTCTTCCAGCACGGTTGCAAAGGTCGATCGAAATGGGCCAGGTGCCATCATCTTACAGCGCTCTGACCTTGTCGCCATTGTTGGAACTAGGTCAGCCACGATCGGGCTATCCGCCACTAGCAGCATCGTACATTGTCACAATATCAACACTGTGGGCTGCCGTTGATGGTCCTTGTGGGGCCTGCCCATCCCGCAGGGGTCAAGCCACATGGGTAGTGGACAAGTCCGATGTTCCGTCGGAATCCATCATGAGATGAAGTCAACACTCCGAGAACTATCAAAAGACGTGGGCTGTACAAGGGCGAAAAGCTGGCCATTTTCAGAGAGAACAATGAGAATATAGGGGCCTTCTCACCATGGAGTGGAGCCTTCAGATAACAAATGACGATGTGCTTGAGAAGCCGAAAAGTCAGCGAAAAATGCATAATAATCGTACAAAATTGATTATTGGACAAGAAATTGCAGTGCTTTCTAACCTGAATGGAGAGGTCACAGGTCATCAGTGAACCATAGCGACTCTCTTCCTGGCCTCTTTGCCGTTCTCGAGCAGAGCAAACGTGCAATGGCCCCTGTCCTGGTCCGCGACACCTTTGGTGACTGCGGCAGACGTGATAGCTACCGTGCCAAATGCAGCATTGAAGAGGCAACAAGCTTGTATGGCATCATATTGACCTTCTTGACCTGCGCCTGCACTGCCCCGATGGTAGCGGTCGTGTCGCCTCGAATTGAACCGTCGCAGTGGACTTGAGGACAGTGGATGCAGCGTGAACTGCTGGCAGACATCACACTCCGACATTTCACGCCGTACCACAAAAGACGATAACTCACAATCCTCAAAAGTGTTGGTTTTCTGTTCTGTTCTCGCCATCTATGCCGCTCCTGACTTGCGCTCCCACGTGACGCCGTCCAGCAGATCCTGCTTCAGCTCACTCATATCACCCGCGAACAAAAAGGTCTTGCCGCTCACTTTGGGCGTCTCCTTGCAGTCAGGAAGCTGTATAAAACACTCATGTACCTCGTACGCGTCGGTCTCATACTCAGCAAGCATTTTCTCGTGCTCCTCCTTCTGCACCAGGTACGCAAGTCCCGTGACGAGCTGGCCACTATCACCGTCGATCAAGGCTCTGTAAGGTGTTCGCTCGGCCAGAGCGTATCCAACCACGACAGCAGGCTGGTAGAGCGGCTCCTCGCCGGGCGGTAGATCAAGGACGTCCTTGAGCACCTCTGGCTGTGTTAGGGTCCCGTAGAAGAAGTACCAGACCGGCTTCCATGGCTCTTCCGGACCTAGGTCTACGTAGATGCCGACCTGATCCATAGTGAGGCCTGATGCCTCTAGTGAGGCGAGCAGGTAAGAGGGTTTGCCCTCGCCCCTGCGCACTGACTCGGCCCTGTCTGCTTGTATTTGGTCGTGCCGTTGCTTGTTGTTAAGCTCCCGGGCGCCTTGTTCGGATGAGGCCTGGTAGACCTTTGGAAGCGTCAACAGAGACGGGTCTCCATCATAAAGAAAGGCCACGCCGGCGGCAGTCGCAGGGTCGAGCCCGTCAGAGAATGAGATGCTGCATGGCGCCAGCTTGTACATGCGAGGCTCCTGCTGAGACAATATCCTCTCGTGCTCCTGAGTCGTCACGAGGTAGGCACAGCCGTCGACAATGTGGGTGGGATCGCCACTGATTAGGGCAGGAAAGAGACCAGTGTCACTCTCTGCGTAGCCGACAGCGAAGCCATGGAGGCTGCATCGCCGGAGCAGCGGTTGTGGTGGGGGCGGGAGTTGGAGAAAGTCGTTCAGAGTGTGCGGATCCCTGAGGGATCCATAGAAGAAGTACCACTTTGGCTGATACGGCGAGTCGAGACGAGACTCGTGAGATGGTTCTGACGGTGGCTTTGGTGGATGGTGTGGTGTTGCTTGCTGAGACGGTGGCGAAGCATCGTGTGCAGTCGCCATGCTCGCGATGAGGCGGTCTACACGGGGAGACAAGCAGAAGAGACGCAGCCGGCACTCTGTCTTGTGCGTACAATGTATCAGGGAGGAAGCGGACTTGTCAAGGCCGGGAGGTAGTGAGGTCGGCCAAGAAGTGCCTGGAAATACGAATGTTGTCTTGCAGGTTGCTCAAACGCCCCGCGGTCAGAAGCCCCGCCCGTGAAGAGACCGCCATGAGCGCCTAAATCAGGCCAACAAGCACGCGACTTGTGATTGGCCCCACTTGCAAAGCCATGGCCATCTCATTGTCGGCGGCGCCAACACGGCGACTTGCCCCAGACTCAAGCGGCAGCGTGCCAGAGGACGCCGCTTTTCGCGACCTGACGCGCTTAGCGGCAAGCCTTCATTGGTAGCTGCGTAGCCGTCACCCAGGGCCTCGGAGCCGCGCGGGCTCGGGGGTCTCCATGATCCCAGTAGCCGCCGGGTCATGCGACTGTTGGTTGCAACCGCTGTGCCCGCGTCAACATGGTCGCGGCCGTGGCCAGGGTATGTTAATTGGAGCGTTGCTTGTGTGTGTGTGTGTGTGTGTGTGTGTAGAATGACAGCAGTCTGTCGCCATCCATGGTTCCAAGCCGGCGCGTATCTTCAGGATTACGATCAGCGCTTATAAAGGCGAAGAGGCCGACGCAGTGATGCTTTTATTTGTAACGATCGAGCTGGTGTAGTGCTGGCCATATTGTGCTTGTTGGAAAAATAATTTTGCTCTTTTTCTCATTACATCCATCATGGGGCTTTTTGGTAGCAAGAAGCAATCCACGAACGCGCACGACAAGCCGCAGGCGGTCTATCCCGTTCCCCCAGCAGCGTCACCCAAGCCGCCACGGGAACAGGATCGTGGTGCCACCCATACTTCATCAAATATTCCCATTGGCACCATTGCTGTCGGCATCGAAACAGAATTCTTGTTGAAGCCTCGTGATGGTGCGCCGAGAGCCCGCATCAAGTCTCTACGAGCCTTTGGGGATTGGATGGCAGAAACTCATAACGAAAATATTAGCCGACCGTACCCCCGGATGGAGAACCAGGTAGACATGCAACCCGCCACGACAGAGCTACACCTGTGCTGGAGGCTCGTCTACGATATATCAATCGCTACCACAAGCGATGGCTGTGAGTACGATCATAACCGGGCTCGCCACCGAATTTCCTGCTGACTCAATCCACTGTGCCAGGGGGTATTGAAATGCTGTCTCCCATTTTCCGACTGCTGCCTGGATCCAAGTGGAGAGATACCGTCAGAGGGACCTGGGGCGTTCTCCGCAAGACTACAGTCGTCAATACAGATGAGGACTGCAGTACGCACGTGCACATGTCGCTCAGTGGTGGCTACTCGGTGACGCAGCTGAAGCGCCTCGCACAAGCCGTCATCTACTTCGAGCCTGCGTTTGAGGCCATCCTGCCAGAAGACCGCCGGGGCAACGAGTACGCCGCCAGCAACTGGATAGACAATGCGTACCTCAAGAGACTCTCGAGACAACAGGCGATTGACCGCATTGAACAATGCCGGACACAAGATGAGCTCATTCAGCTGATGAACCCTGGCGGGGCTCAAGACCGCTATTACGGCTGGAACTTCCAGGCGCTGAACAAACTCAGCACGGTAGAGTTCCGCCGTGGACCAGCCAGCAGCACGGCAGACCAGGTCCTCCACTGGGTGGAGCTCGCGACCACCTTCCTGCGGGCTTCGATCCATCTGCCTTCGTCCGGGGCGCTCTCAAGATTGCCCCCTAACATAGGTGGCCTCCTGCACTTCTTACACAGTGGGCATCAGGACCATCCTGGCTTGGGTGACTCAACCCTTTACATGCCCTTGTTTGCTGGGCGACAGGCCACGGACAGACTGGACCCCAAACCAGTGGGTCATCTGAGCCCCGAAAGGCTCAAGAAGTTCAAGAAGAAGGTGGCGTTTGACAACGCCCGCCTTCATATGCTCGAGAGTATACACGCGGCGCACATGTACAGGGCTATCTGAGCAGCGGGAGTACCTGGGGATGTATCGTGCACCCTCCTCCGTGTGGGGCGTTTCTTTTTTGTCTTGAACACGCATTGCTCCTGGCCATACGAGGATATTTGTACTTCTGTATATAATCACCACGCTCTCAGTGTTGTACTATCCATCTTTGCAGTCAACCATCCGCAGCCACCATGCAGGTGCTTCTCTTTGTTCTGTGATAGCTCATGGGTGCGCTCGCCAGAATGGCCATGTTGCCTTGGATGGGTTCCGGTGCCACCAACAGTTTTCGTCAGCCATGTACAACCACACCGAGAAAAATGAACAAGGCCGGCCCTCGCACAGTGATACATGGAAAAGGATCGGCTGGCACACAAAAGAACAATGAACAAAGCGATACAGCGGTGCGGGACATACAAAGGCCGAACAGATCGTAGAGTTCCCAGCGTGGATAGACAAAATTGTCTAGATCCTCGTCCAAGCGAAAGAGATGGCTACATGCTGGGTACTCCACCCGCCAACGCTGCAGGCGTCTCGTCCACCAACACGTCAGCCAGCTCACCCACAAGCAACAAAGAGCTCCTGTCAGCGTTACTGCAGGGGGACATCCCACTTAGCCCGCATTGGCGACGGCAGAGCGAACATATGATGTCAGCCCACATTTTGCCCTCGTTCGGACTGCTATGCCCATAACGGCATCTCGGCCCTGTTGGATTCTGCATGCAAGCTGCCGGTCCTTATTGTCGCAATCCGCACAAGCCGGACCCAAAACAGGACTGGCTCTTCCTGCAGCGATCAAAGTTTCGCCCAAAGACCTCATCCAGCCTGACGTCTTGGGCCTAGGTTTCGGGCAATCAGTAGCGAATCCAATCCAAGACGAGCCCGCCGTCCAGCTCCAGGGCTGTCGCGCGAGGGGATTTGCAAATTGCGGGTTCCGCGGGCCCGTCCCGGCCCCTCGGGGTGCCCCAACTCCGCACCCTGGGGTCGGTTCCAGCCAGTGGGTGAGCTTCCCCGCACCGCTGGCTCTGGGGTAGGCTTGGAAGCCTCGGCGCATGTGTAGCTCGTGGCTTGAGGGCAGGCAGGTAGCTGTACTTTGGAATTTGCCACCAAGGGAGGAGACACAAAATCACTCAGATTCGCAGGTTAGAGGGTATCCCAAGGGCCTCTTATCAGCCAGAGTCCCGAGGACAGACGTCACGGAAAAACTACGTGTCAAAAAGAACGATCGACACGCCCGTGCATGCCCGCCAAGATTGCTGGGCTAAGCTTGAGTAGGCTACCGCGGCAGGCAGGCAGGCAGGCAAATGTCTCGAGTACCTGATACCCGGGACGCCGGGAAGCCCCCCTGTCCTCTCCCCCAAAGTCTCCCCAAAGGCCCTGCGCCCGCGGAGCGCTGCATGGCCCTGATTCGCCCCCCCTAGTGCGCAGAGTTTCCCCCAGGGTCGCAGCTGGGCACGCTGGTTACCTTGGAAATGTTAGCCTTTTAGCACCGGCAAGAGGCATGTGATGCCGAGCACGGCACGGCGTTTCTGACAACATACGATTGATCCCCAGACACTTTAAAAGACCTTGCTATCCCCCTCTCGTCCAGCGGTCTCGCTGGCGCTGGTTCTTTGAATCAATCATCGACGTCAGTCATCGATCATCACCACCAATCATCAGAGACTGTGAAAGCACCATTGGCAGCATTCACACATACAAACACACAACAACGTGCGGCGACAAAGCGACAAACGCCCACACCATGGCCCGCTCCCGCTCCCGCTCTCGCTCGCGTTCACGCTCTCCCGCCGAACCCCCCAAGCCCGTCATCATCGTGGGCCACGGCCTCGCGGGCCTCGTCGCGGCATACGAGCTGTCGCGGCACCACATCCCGACGCTGATCCTGGACCAGGAGAACGCGCACAACGTGGGCGGGCAGGCGTTCTGGTCGCTGGGGGGCATCTTCTGCGTCGACTCTGCGCAGCAGCGGCGGCTGGGGATCAAGGACTCGCGGGAGCTGGCGATGCGGGACTGGTTCGGCAGCGCCGGGTTCGACCGGGAGAAGGAGGACGTGTGGCCGCGGCGGTGGGCCGAGGCGTTTGTGAATTTCGCGACGGACGAGATGGAAGACTACCTCAAGGGCCTGGGGCTGGGGTTCCTCTTCAACGTGGGCTGGGCGGAGCGCGGGGACGGCCGGGCGGACGGGCACGGCAACTCGGTGCCCCGGTTCCACGTCACCTGGGGCACGGGGCCCGAGGTGGTGCGCGTGTTCGAGGAGCCGGTGCGCAAGGCCGAGGCCAAAGGCACGGTCGAGTTCCGGGGAAGGCACATGGTGACCGAGATCGTGACGGACCCGGAGACGGGGCGGGCGGTGGGCGTCCGGGGCAAGGTGCTCGAGGCAGACGACTCGCCACGCGGGGTGAAATCGTCGCGGGTCGAGGTTGGCGACTTTGAGATCCTCGGGGCCGCGGTGCTCGTCTCGTCGGGCGGCATCGGGGGCAACGTCGAGGCCGTCAAGGCCAGCTGGCCCGTCGACCGGCTCGGCCCCAAGGTGCCCGAGCACTTTGTCGTGGGCGTCCCCGCGCACGTCGACGGCAAGATGATTGGCATCGCCGAGTCGTCGGGGGCCAGCGTCATCAACCGCGACCGCATGTGGCACTACACCGAGGGCGTCGCCAACTGGAACGCCATCTGGCCTAGCCACGGCATCCGCGTGCTGCCGGCGCCGTCGTCGCTGTGGCTCGACGCCACCGGCAAGCGCCTCCCGCCGCCCTTCTTCCCGGGGGCCGACACCCTCGGCACCCTCAAGCACATCTGCAGCACGGGCTACGACTACACCTGGTTCGTCCTCGACCAGACCATCATCGCCCGCGAGTTTGCCCTGTCCGGGTCCGAGCAGAACCCCGACGTCACCGGCAAGAGCATCTGGCAGCTGCTCACGTCGCGCGTCTTTGGCAAAAAGGGCCCCGTCCCCGTCCAGAACTTCCAGAAGCACGGCGAGGACTTTGTCGTCCGCGACACCCTCGAGGAGCTGGTCGAGGGCATGAACAAGCTGGCCCGCGAGCGCAACGGGCCGGTGCTGGAGCTGGAGCAGGTGCGCGAGGTCGTCGAGACGCGCGACGGGCAGATGACGAACCCGTACTCCAAGGACTACCAGGCCATGCTCATCAACAACGGCCGCACCTACTGGCCCGACAAGCGCAGCCGCGTCGCGCCGCCGCACAAGCTGCTCGACACAAAGACCCACGGGCCCTTGATCGCAGTCCGCATGAACCTCCTCACCCGCAAGACCCTCGGCGGCATCGAGACCGACCTAAACAGCAACGTCATGCGCGCCGACGGGTCCAGGTTCCCGGGCCTGTACGCGGCGGGCGAGGCGGCCGGCTTTGGCGGTGGTGGTGTGCACGGGTACAACTCGCTCGAGGGCACGTTCCTGGGCGGGTGCATCTTTTCCGGGCGGGCGGCGGGCAGGGCCATGGCCGAAGAAGTCAGGCCGGAATCGCAGAGCACAAAGGTCAGCGAGCAGTCGAGACTGTAAGCTGGGGGGCAGGGGTCGAGGGAGAAGCCGTAGACTTTTGTGTTTGTGTGTATGTGTTTGATTTTGTGCATTTTGTTCTCGTTATCCCAGCCAGCCGTGGAAAGAGTTCTTGTTTATTTTCATCAAAAGGTTCTACCCACAGCACGCCTGCTCGCTATAACTTGACGTGTCCCGACGTCTTTGCAAAGTGCATCCCCGCCGCAAAGTGGAACAGCTTGGCAGCGACCACAAACCGGTCCCTCTTTGAGTACTCGACCAGCTTGTCGTACATGTCGTCTAGGGTGACCATGACGCGCTCGATGCGCTCGCCGTCTTCGAGGCGCTGCTCGGGTAGGGCGTCGTCACCGCCCAGCTTGACCTCGACCATGACGAGCTGCATGTTGGCGTTGGTCATGCCCGGGTCTGCGGCTTGCGCGGGGCTGACGGACGTGACGACGCAATCGTAGCCCGTCTCCTCCTTGAACTCGCGGACGGCGGCCTGTTCTGCCGTCTCGTCGGCGTCGATGAGTCCCGCGGGCCACTCGACCGTGTAGGCGTCGAGGGGAGGGCGGTACTGGATGACGAGCATGGTCGAGGGGGGTTTCGAGGGGTGGAGGAAGACGTTGCCCATGGCGACGGCGTCGACGGCGGCCTTGCCGCGGGTCTTGCGGGTGGCGACCTCCCAGGTGCGCGGGGTGCCGGCCTGGTCGGTGTACTCGATCTTGTGGAGGGCGATCCAGCGCGAGTCGGTCGTCTGGAGGTCCGAGACGCGCGTGATGGCGGGCTCGCGGTCGGGGTGGGACATGGTGAAGGCGTGGGTGTGGCGGGGATGGAGGAGGAGGAGCGGAGGAGGGGTGGTCGTCGAGAGGCGGGGGAGGTGTTTGTTGCGAAGTGGACAGGAGATGCGAGCCAGGGAGACTCTCAATGGAGGAGATAGCATATGTAGGTATGAGTGAGCTGCAGGAAGGTAGCTGTTCGAGTGAGAAGCTGGCGATCTCAAAATTATGGTGCGAATGGATGAGGCTGTCGACAAGTCGGGTCTCAAGTGCGGCACGTCTGAAAGCAGCGACCACGTGGGATTTGGCTGGGGAAGGTGTGATTGACGTCACGCCAGGTACAGTACATACTGTAGGGCCATCTGCCCCACCTGCCTCGTCCACCTTACACGTGGGAGAATGAACCAGCCGGCCTCGCCTGGCTGGATGCATTTCAAGACCAGAGACTGTCCTCAACTCATGTCCTTGTCCCTCTTGTTCTGCTATCAAGGATCCCCAGCGACAAGATGCGCCGTCAGCCTTTCGTCATCCAGGCGCCGATCCCGGCTGCCATGACCCATGCCACGACGCGTCGACGCGCCTCCTTCCCTCAGTATGTTTGCTACTCCAGCTGGACCCTGGCAACATGACCTCCAATTCCCAACTACCGACACCACAAACACATTGCCAAACCGACACATCTCCGCGACAAGCTCCATGACGAGCTCAATTTGTCTGGATCCATTTCCATGACGACTCCTCGTGCGCCTTGAGCAGTCCTGAACATGGCGACATCCACTACCACCACCACCACCACCCTTCCGGCCTCCGTGCTGCCCCCAATGACGGCCTCCGAGCTCAAGACCCGCCTCAATACGAGCCTCTCCAAGGTCGGCGAGAAGACAGCCTTTGCCTGTGGCGAGTACCACGCCGGCCTCCCAAATCCAGGCCTCTCCATCCACGGCTACGGCGATGTCGGCCTGCCCCTCTCGTCCCGCGACGCCGACGCCATCATTGCCCGCTGCAAGCAGAGCGCCTTTGGAAAGGGCGAGCACACAATCGTCGACGACTCGGTCCGCCGCAGCTGGGAGCTTGACCACCACCAGCTCACCCTCCGCAACCCCCGCTGGCCCGCCGCCATCCGCGGCCTCGTCCCCGTCATCCACAAGAAGCTCGGCCTCGTCTGCGCCGCCCACCACGTCCGCGCAGAGCTCTACAAGCTGCTGCTCTACGAGGAGGGCGCCTTCTTCAAGCCCCATCAGGACTCGGAGAAGACGCCCGGCATGTTTGGCACCCTCGTCGTCGCCCTCCCCTCGTTTCATGCCGGCGGCCAGCTCGCCCTCCGCCACGCCGGCGAGACCATGGATTTCAGCACTGCCGAGACCTCCGAGTTTGACTTCTCCTGGTCCGCCTGGTACGCAGACGTCTTCCACGAGGTCAAGCCCGTCACCAACGGCTTCCGCCTCGTCCTCACCTACAACCTCGCCATCGACCCCAGCCACGCAGCCACGCTTACTGCCCCGCCCTCCGACAGCGTTCACCAGAACATGCTCCGGCAGACCCTCCGTGACTGGTCCGCACGGGTCGACCGGGGTGATAAGCTGCCCGTCTGTCTTGTCCAGAAACTCTCACACCAATATACCCTCGCCAGCTTGAGCCTCGATAGCCTCAAGGGTGCCGACCGTGGTCGCGCCGAAGCCCTCAAGACTGCCGTCGAGGCCACAGGGTCTGTCCTCCTCCTTGCAACCGCACAGCTCATGGTCGAAAAGGACGATGAGAATGACGACGAAATCGACCGCACAAAGACCCTCCAGGACCTTCGAACGCTTGACGGCAAACAAATTCCCGATGTTGAACCAGAATACACCGCGGAAATTGCGCTTGTCCATCACGATTTTGACGAGGACGAAGCCGACGACGAGGAACACTCGGGGTTCACGGGCAACGAGGGCGCGACCGCCACATACTGGTATCGTGAAGCGGCAAGTCCTTTCCCGCCCCCAGGTGACTTCTGCATCCGTATGACGACCACGCGCTGACAGTGTCCGCGGAACAAACAGGTCTGCATAATCATCCCTGCGTCCAATGTCGACGCCTTCATGATCCAGGGACACGAAGGCTGGAAGTGGGCCACCAGCCAGGTCGCCAAGCTTCTGAAATCAAGCGGCGATGGAGCGTCAGAAAAGGAACGGCTTGTGCGCCTGTGCAAGTACATCACGAAGCGAGCTGCCGACGAGATCGCGTCTCACGCCAAGGGGTACGCGATGCAGTACTGGCAAGGAACTCTTGGCTCCAGAGACGAAAGAAAAGCTTGTTTGACCCAAGTGGCTCACGCAGCCCTCGTGCTTGACGTCTTGCCTGTCTACGATAGTGCGGTCGAGCTGGGCATAGTTCCGCCCCAGGAATGCTTCGAGCGGATGGGCGCAATGATTGCCGAGAAGCACAAGGATGACATGCGATCCAGGCAAGTACTATTGAGGAACCGCGATAACCGTAATTTGAGGCGAAGCTGACATGACCAAGACTTGCCACTGCTCTAAAGCTTGTGCCTTCGGCCGAGGAGCGTTACATCCGGCTCGAGCATGCGCTGCAAGGTTTTGACAGGACACTTTCGCCTCCAAATGACCCGAGCCGCAAAGGCGACCGCGATACTCTCGAAGCCGAGTGCTGCACCACGGTATTGGAGGCCGAGGGCCAGATGAGCAAGGAGGATGGAACTGCCGTTGCTCAGATGGTTGCCAAACTTTCCGCAAGCGCCGAAACCAGCAGGTATACTCGAGACCCCGGCGCCAATGACACGGCCGACCGCGACTGACGAAACATGACACAGGACCGAATTGGTGCGAATCCTTCTCACAAAGTCTCTGGCTGCTCAGGCTGGTTTCTGCCTCCGCTGGGCGGACCGAGTAGACCCGACTCAGTGCAGCGACGACGACTACTGCCGGGTGCTAGTCTGTGCCTTGAACGGTTTCTGGTCGCAGTTCGGGTCGTCCAGCCTGAATGGCGGCCTCGTCTCGAAATCCGGCACCGAGTCGGTTGTGCCTTTCAACAGCACGGAACTCGTGCAGGGCAAAGACATCGCTCGGCTATTGGCAGCGACAGTTGATCTACAGCGGAGTTCGATAAACCATGACCAGCCAGCATTGCAATTGCAGCAAAATATTGAGCAGATCCTGGCGAAACTGGTCGACATGTCTGCAGCCATGGAGGCTTGCGACCTGCGCGCGGTCTGGGTTCCCTTTGCCACCCTCGTTGCAGCCAAGGAGGTACCGTGCCTCCTGACGCCAGACAACCGATACTCTGACGCTGCCGTCAAGATTGCTCAGAACGTAGTACGGATCTACGTGACCGTGGATCTGGGCGTCAAGCCAACGCAGCCAGTGGACTGGACCAAACCACGAGTGGGAGGGTGCAGCTGCAAGGACTGCGAGGCTGTAGACCAGTTCCTCGCCTCGCCGACAGAGCAGGTTGCGGAGTTCGCACTGGTGCAGGAGCGTCGCAAGCACCTGGATTACAAATTCGAGAGTAATGGCAACAGCAGGAGAGGCTACCTCTACTGCACGCGGACGCCAAGCGGCGATTACTCTGTTGACACGGTCAAGACACGTCTTCCGCACCGCTGGCGGATTACCAAGAACCACAAGTCGTACAACGAGAAGCTGGCCTCGTGGAATGCCAGGGCCAAGACAGTGCGGACGGTGCTCTCGGGCATGGGCAAGGGCCAAACCCTGGCGGAGCTGCTCGGCATCGACATGGAGAGGGCCATTGCGCGGGAAGACTGGAGCGCCCTCTTCACAGATATGCATCTCAAACATCAAAGTGTTCCGGAATCGCCCGTGGGAGGACAGCCACTGACACCAGCTCGTCAACCCCTCTTGCCATCTTCTGCAGCCTTGAATGGCAAGCGCCTTGCGCCTGGTGGCGGGTTTGGGCCGGGGCAGTCATCGAAACGCGTCGCGAGCTTCGGGTCTATGCCGAGGGATATGAGCACCGACGTGATTGATCTGACTGACGACTGAGACTGGACGTTGTGTCGGCGGGATCGTGTACGAGACCTTTACGGTGCGGGACATGTACGATGGATGGATGGCTATTTGAAACCTTGACCTTGCAACAGCCCGCTGTGACTCATAGCTGTCGTGTCTGCAGATAAGCGGCCGCGAGATCCGCAGAGTGCGGGTGGTGAGTCGGTTATATGAGGCCGGAAATAAGGACAAAAGCCGATCGAGATAGGACAACGCCGATGGAGATGAGACAGCCGTGGAGTGTCTGACGTGATTGTGGAGGTTTCTGCACCACACCGTTCCTTGCACGACAGACACGCGTGCATGCGGCCGAAGCTTTCCGCTGAGTAAGGGCCCTCGCTGTTGAGTTCGCGCTGCTCTCGAGGAGAGTACTTGAACGTCGTGCGAGGTTGTAGCTCTGCCCAGTGACTCAGCAAGAGGTATGATAACATCACCTTCAGCTTTCATAATGACCAAAAGCGGGTACTTCGGAGATAGGTGCTAAATAACTGAGACGCGAGGTGAAAGACTTTGGAAGTGCGGCGTACGTGGCTGTACTAGCTCGATGGTGTGCTGTCACGCAGAGCAGAGCAGAGCTGGGCAACAAGGGAGCCAGCTACCCCTCAACTATGCTGCGGGGAAGCACACGACGATCCCGTCATTGATTCGCCCGAAGCTGCATGATTTGTGAGCGGGCGGGTAAACTGAAGGTTGGGAACGATTGAGTATAAATACATACATATCCAAGGACGACCTCTTCATCGTCCGGTTGTGTGCTATCCATCTGGCTGTGTCACAGTTCTCCAATTGGTTCATCAGTTCAAAGATCACCCTTGCAACAGCCCCCAATCTTGCGCTCTCAACTGCCCACCATGTCTGAGATCCCCGCCGGCCTCAAGGCGTCCCTGGACGCGACCAAGGTCGAGTATCGCCAGCTCGGCAAGAGCGGCCTCAAGGTTTCGGTGCCCATCTTTGGGTGCATGAGCTTTGGCGACTCCAAGTCCATGTCCTGGGTCATTGACGAAGGGGAGGTGAGTTGCTTTATTTCCCGGCCACCGTCTTCCAGATTCCCCGCCTACTCACTACACCCCGAAATCTGTTTCCTCCAATTACTCTCTACTGAACCCACAGTCGAACTGACTCCCACTAACCCTCTTGTGCAAAGGCCCTCCCGCTACTCAAAGCCGCATACGACCGGGGCATCAACACCTGGGACACGGCCAACGTCTACTCCCAGGGCGCGAGCGAGAGGATCATCGGCAAGGCCCTCAAGAAGTACGCGATCCCGCGCGAAAAGGTCATCATCGCGACCAAGTGCTTCTGGGCGCCGGGGGAGCAGCCCGAGGTGCGGCACATTATGCACAAGGAGGCCCTCGAGCTGTCCAAGGACTACGTCAACAACTACCACCTGTCGCGCGGGGCCATCTTCAACCAGGTCAACGCGAGCCTGAGGCGGCTGGACGTCGAGTACATCGACCTGCTCCAGATCCACCGGTTCGACTCGGCGACGCCCATCGAGGAGACGATGAAGGCGCTGCACGACCTCGTGCAGAGCGGCAAGGTGCGGTACATTGGCGCCTCGTCCATGTGGGCGACGCAATTTGCGAGGATGCAGTTCGTCGCGGAGAAGAATGGCTGTATGTTCTGTTCCTCCCCCACTCGCCCCTGCTTTTGCTTTCACGTGGTTACGTCATTTTCTGTGCGACATCGCTGTTTGCGCAGTGTCGACTAGAGTAAATATTTTACTTTTCACTGACACGATGGCTGTGTGCCAAAATGATATCCAGGGACAAAGTTCATCTCCATGCAGAACCACTACAACCTGCTCTACCGCGAGGAGGAGCGCGAGATGATCCGCTTCTGCAACGACACGGGCGTCGGCCTGATCCCCTGGGCCCCTCTGTGCCGCGGCCACCTGGCCCGCCCGCCCAGCGACTTTGGCAGCACGACGCGCAGCAAGCAGGAGAAGGAGTCCCAGCCGGGCACGCACGGCACGAGCGAGCTGGACGTGCAGACGATCAAGCGCGTCCAGGAGATTGCGCAGAAGCACGGGGACGGGTGGACGATGAGCCACGTCGCGCTGGCGTGGATCAACAAGCGCGTCACGAGTCCTATCATTGGGTTCTCAAAGGTAGAGAGGATCGACGAGGCCATTGGCGCGAGGGGAAAGGTGCTGACGGCCGAGGAGGAGAAGTATCTCGAGGAGCTTTACCAGCCAAAGCCCATTTCCGGGCATGTCTAGGCAGCGTTCTGGCTTATGCGTATGGCCAGGAATGGCACTGTATTGCTAGAGATATGTGTGCAGGGGGCGGCGTATCAAGTCCAGATCCGGTCGACCGGTCCCTGTATGTGGCCTTACATCAAGTGGAACATAATGCAACAAGCAGATGTCAATCGAGAATACCGGGCTGAGATTATGTCATTGAAAGTTGTATGCTTTAGGCTACAATTTCGTGCTCCCGGAGCTACTCCCAAGCCAGGTCTACCAACTCTAGATCCCACAGAGGCATCTCGGTCCATGGCTCTAGCGTCCCGGAAAGTTGATCTGTAGCAGACATGCTTCCACACCCCCAAAGAGAATCAGCGTCTGTCGAAGCGAAAGGAAGTGACCCTTCCCATGCAGGCTTGGTGCGTCCGACGCCAATACGACTCGTTCCTGCCTTCTCGATCCTGCTGGTCGACAACGGCGCCTCTTCACGTTGCGCAACAGCAGATGCCCACAACTCCCAAGAAGAGTTGATGTTTGGAACCATCCCAGAGACCGCAAAGTCTGGTGGTATATCTGATCCTAGTGTCTGCCAAGGATGATTCGAGGCTGCATCTAGGCGCATCTTGCTGAACAGCCCTGCCGGGAAGTCGTCCTCTTCCACAAGCCGACCCTTATTGATAGAGAGGTCTATAGACATCACCATCTTGAGATACAGCTCTGGGTCGCCAACTAGAATCTGTGTCCAGCTCGTAGGTGGTGTTGCTGCAGAATGCTTGGATAGAGCCTGGCCGGCGGCGTGTGCTAGCTCGGCTGCGTGTTTGACGGTCTCCTTGATTAGGTCCACGCCATCGTACTGTGGGAGGAAGGATTTTATCGTTCCCATGAGAACCGAAAGATCTCTGTCGTTTGAGCTGGTCGGGCCTGCGTCATCCATGGCAAGACTGGTATTTGCAGCTCTCAGTCTGGCGGTCACGACACAAAACGCCAGTGGAAACACCATGCAGCATAGTCTGTACGAACCCAGAATGGGCTTGCCTGTCAGTAAGTTGTGGCAGATACGAGGGATAGATAGCCTGCAGCAAGGAATCTTACGCGCTGATAGGAAGCCAACGTACAAGCCGGCGACCATCCAGATCTGCAAAGAGTTGAGTCATGCTTTCAGCGGCTCCCTGTAGGTCGTCCCGAATCAAGCCGAGCTCGGAAGCCTCCACGTTCTTGCTCATGTTTGATTTGACGAGTCGTAACAACCTTGTATGGGATAATGCAATGGAGGAATGACTGGGGATGCATCAGTACAGAGCAACGCTGTAGGTTTTGGAGAAGCAGAGACAAAGGTTCAAGGGCCAACCGCGGTCGGGAAGGAAAAGAATGGTTGTTGGAACTCACTAGTAGTAAATGTAGATGAGGTTGACGTGTACCGAGACGGACTTGTGCAGGTTTTCTTTTTTGCTGGGGTTAGCGGTTGCGATTGTCGAAGGCGGTATCACTGTCATCGCGCAGGCCAGCCAGGATTTCATTGCCGAGATGCATTCGTCAACTTTGGCGCTCCGTGGTCGCTCTGAAGAGCTAGAAGGATCCAAAGATTCCGCAAAGGGGAAGCTTACGGAAAGAACATCTGTGAGAATAACGATGAACTTCAAGTAAACCTCAAAAACAGAAAGGAGGCGCTGCTTGCTGGCTGGATTGTAGACAGAAGATCTGAACACCTCGTCCCTCAAGTCTTCAGAAACGAGGGCGGCACTGCTTTCAAAGTCGGATAGCTCATGGTGAATGTAAGGATAGAAGCGACAGCATAGAGGTGAGATTCGATCCATGACCACGCAGCACCACCATAGACGTCGTAGGGCTTTCTGGTTTTTAGTAGTGGCAGAGGAGTTGTCATTGGCTACGCGGTCGGCATTGAGAGACTTGGAATATTGGACAGCCCTTCCAAGCCACATCTTGTAAGGAATCAAGGTCAGGTTCGACGGAGGGACCCAGGCCATGAGAAGTAAGGCGGCCTGCGCTAATGGCAGAGGGGAGTTTTCAGTCTCCATGTCGTGTAAGAGCTAGACATCTCGTCGTCAGCAACGACACAAATGTACATTGCATCAAGTTCGGACGGGTCCAACTTACTTTCACTCTCCTGTAGAACTCGCCTCGGGCGCTCCGAAGAGAACTGAAGCCGAGGCGTTGTATGCTAGCAAATGGCACGAACTGGAACCATCGTCAGCACATAACTCACGATAGGTGGGTGCGTGAATTCAAGGCACATTGTTGTGAACACACGTACCGTGCAGCTACTGAATAGCATAGCCTGGAAGAGTAAAAGCGACATTGTATTCCCCGGCGCCCGATTCGTGTCTGCCTGAGAGTACATGTCCCAGAAGTCTCCTTCGTCAACAATGGGGAGAAGAGGATGTATATGGAGAAAGTAGTGTTGCACAAAGTCATCGAGGATTGGCGGCACAGGGACATGCAGACATCCCTGAGATTCGAGATAGTTCACATCCTCGAAAGGGATCCTATGGAGGTTGCCCAGTGTAAGGAAACGGAAATGAGAGAATGTTATCGTACACGAAGAGCGCGGAAGCGAAGACGGTCGGCTTGGCGGAGGAGATCCTCTGTGTCCGTTTTTGGCGTAACTGCGACTCCCCGATAGTTGCTCTGAGGATATTCTAGACGACTCTGATGGTACGTGGAATGATAGCTGGTCCTCTGGAAGACCAGAATCCTGCTCAAGCTCAAAATTGTCGCAGGCGTCCTGTGGTTGGAAGGCGTCCCTACTCTCGTCGTTTCGTTGATGCGTGGAGCAAGTTGTCTCGTTTGGTTGAGATGGGACTGATGTGGATGTCCGGTCGATGGCTCCAGCTTTGAGACTACCTTTGGTGACATCTGGCTTCCGGCGATCCCTTCGCCTCTCTGCCGCAGCCCTGTACAGCGGCGTAAATATCAGTATGTCTGGGTCGACCGTCCACGGGATGCAACGATATTAACCCGCGCAACGAACAGAGACCTCAGTGCAGGAGGCTTGGGTGGCAGCGCAAACTCACAGTCTGGATCCTCGCCCAGTGACTAGACAGTTCTTCCCGTGGAGCTGGCAGTTCGTGCATGGCTGAGAGACGACCGACACATCGCAGCGAACTTTGCGAGAGCGACAGCTAAGACATGCCTTCAGTGCTCTCTTGCGGCCGTCTTCGCCGGCTGGGAGCCCAAACACCTTCAGGTCCTCAGACCAGGCGTGCGGCGCCGTGCTCATCACGACGGAAGCGGAACTATGACCGGCAACGAGGACTGGTGAGCTTGGTTGCAGGAGTCGATGCGCAGTGCAGAGGCGAGTACTGAAGGATGAAGAAGACTAATTGGCCAAGTTTGAAATCCGGGGAAGACAGGCGGGGGACTGCGGGGAAGCTTGTGTGGGACGCGGAGGGATGAGTGAGGCGTGGCTGAACTTTACTAGTGCGGAGCTCGGATGCGGAGACCGGGAGTTGAATATTACTAAGGGGGGCCCTAACCGCAAACCTATCTCAGTACTCAAAGATGCAGCGTTTCCTTCAGGAACTCGATCTGCGTAGTCACGTTGCGCTCCAATGCCTCGCCATAGTACATGCTAAAGTGGTCCTCTCCCGCAAAGAGCTGCAGCTTCTTGGGCTGCCTGGCTCTCTCAAACGCCTCCAATTGCAGATGCGTGCCCGTGACAGTGTCATTGTCAGCAACGACCATGAACAAAGGCGTCGGCGCAATGCGGTGCACGTACGCCAAGGGCTCAAAGAGACAAGTGTTGGCCATGCTCTGGACTGTCACGCGTCTGTCCCAGGTGTATCCGCGACGGCTTATCTCCTCCATAAATGCGATCGTGGACTGGTCAGCGAGGACAGCCTTGGATGTTCCATTCGTAATCTCCTCCGTCGTGTCGGGCAGACTGGGGATCATAGTGGGCTGGCCAGTCGCTATGGCATGGCCTCTCTCCAATACCAGTCCAGCTGGTGGCTGCTTTACTGTGCGGGAAACCCATTCGCCTGAGATGAAGGGGACCTGCGCAATGACGGCTGCGATATTCTTGTTCAGAGCAGCAGCCTTGAGTACAACGCCTCCCGAGAAGCTCGAACCCCAGTAAACGATCTTCTTCGGGTCTACTTCAGGCAGTGTCGCTGCGTAGTTGAAGGCATCAAAGTAATCCCTCGTCTGGAGCTCGGGGTCGACCTCATTGCGAGGGAGACCTTCGCTATCGCCAAGGTTTCGATTGTCATAGGAGAGCACCGTGAACCCTGCCTTCTGGAAGTACGCTGCAATATCGGGGTTGAAGTGAGCTCTCTCGCCTCCGAACTAAGGGAAGGCACAGTTAGCTTAATGCCGTGTCCGAATGGAAGAGGAGGCTTGGGGGTGGTAGCCGAAGTAAATGACTCCGGATGAATGGTGTTGAGGATCATGGAGAACCTACACCAGCAGTCATGATGACACATGGCTTCTTCTCACCGGCAGGAAACAGCGTGCCTCTGAGCTTGAGACCGTCGTAGGTCTTGAACTCAACATCTCTCTGAGAAGCCATCGTTTCCGCAGTGATAACTGTATGAATAAATTCTTTGCTGAAGCTGTTGACAGTATAGAGCAGTGTAGATTGAGAAGGAGAAGTGGAAACTGCACTCATGACAATGCTGAAGATGGTGCACTATATAGTGCAAGGCGACCAAAGGCGACCTTAACCCATGCGTGGGGAAGCAATGCCGCCGAGCTAAAGCTAATGCTCGTCGACGACTAGCTGTGGAGCACGTCCTGGGTTGCCCCTGACATCCCCCGAGAGCAACCCCACCCACAACTCGGCTCTCTGCGACTCTACAGCCGAGTTTCTGACTATTTGCCCACCTCGCGGAGCTCCTGAAATGCCGGTGAGCCGTGGTCGATCCGAGAGTACCTAGATGGGATGCCGCCATGACGTAAACTCCTGTCTGTGGCCCAGTGGTAGAAAGACGCGGCTGTGTGGATTCGGCATAGGAGGCCAGCTTTGCCGAATCGTGGTGCTCTCGGCAGAGGACGCCCGCTTTGCCGAACCTTGTTGCTAAACTTAAAGACCCACCCCCTCTCCAAAAGTCGCCCGGCCTCTAACGTGCTCCTCGGTGTAGCATAAGAACAATGTAGCTGTATAGTGCATAAAAAACCATAACCCCCGCCGCCATGGGTGTCGTCGTCCAACACGAAAAGTTTGTTTTTGATATGATTTGGGAGAAAATCAACGTCACTTTCCTCCAAAACGCAAACCAATCATGTCGTCTCTTTCTCAGCTGTCTCAGCGCTACTTGCCCGTTGCTCTCAAGCTGGCCAAGTCTCCCAAGGTGCAAGCACTCACTCTAAGCATCGGCGTGCTCGTTGCTCTGCGTCGCCTGAACCGGGGGTTGTCTTGGCGAAGCGCCAATAACGGCGTGACACGCAAGGAGTGGGATGCGGAAAGCGAGATTGTGGTGGTGACTGGCGGCAGCAGCGGCATCGGCGCGGATATTGTTGGGCTCTTCGAGCAGAGAAACATCAAAACCATCATCTTGGATACCAATGCACCTTTGAGAAAGCTAGGTAAGAAAGACCTACAGAGCGTCTACATCGCTGGTTAGCTGTGCCTCGCTAATAGCCAGATACTCTGATCAGGTCCCAGAACTGCCTTCTACGAAATCGACCTCTGCGATCCCGAAGCAATCGCCACCATTGCGGACCGTATTCGATCAGAACATGGACACCCTACCGTGTTAGTTAACAATGCCGGTATCGCGACTGGTGACATGATCACTTCAGGGAGCCCTGAGAAGCTTCGCAGGCTATTTGATGTGAATCTACTCGCGCCCTTCCTCCTAGTACGACAATTTCTACCCAAGATGGTAGCTGCGAATCATGGACATATTGTCAACGTTGCCAGTCTTGCGTCATTCTGTACACAAGCGTCGAATGTCAGCTACGCTGCAAGCAAGGCTGGCGTGCTCGCCTTTCACGAGGGACTTCTGCAAGAGCTGAAACACGTGTATAAGGCACGAGCCGTTCGCGCCACGTGAGTCTCTCTCCCTTTCAACGGATGGAATGCTCGGTTATCGCTGACAGAAGAGGGATTCCAGTATCGTTCATCCTACATGGGTCAAAACTCCCATGGGCGAGAAGCTAATAGCCACCGGGGAGGTCGGGGCCCATGTCACAGCCCACGATGTCGCCAGCGCTGTCGTGGACCAAGTCACTTCTGGATATGGGGGACAGCTGATTGTGCCGCCTGCTCTGACCTGGACTTCTATGGTCAGAGCGCTTCCGACCTGGTTGCAAGAAGACGTTCGCGATAAAGGGACCCTGGCACTATTGCAAGCTATGCAGAAGATGGGCCAATGACTTCAAATTTACAACGTTCGCACCCCGGATTGTAAAATACAAACAGCGCAAGAACTTATCGTAAGATGACAGAGGGACATGAACAGCCATCGCGAGCTCCCGATGGTAGAGCTATCTAGGGGCCGAATCGAAGTAAAAATCCTGGGAGGAGATCAGTATTGGCGGACGAGGAGGAGGAGAATCTCGGGGAGCCGTGCCAGCCCCATTTTGGGGCATATCAAAGCAGTATCTCCTATGCGTATGGTTAAAGATGGTACTGGCTCACTGCTACAGGGCCAATAAGCAGGTCCCATCATGTGGCTTAAATGAGCTGAAAGATAGTGCAGCATATTCCAATCGATAATGTCGTGCTGCTGAGATATCCTATTAAGCTGCTGACTTGGAGGGTCGCATCAGACTTGGTAATCGTCTCGTTCTAGTCCTCTTGGGACCAATAGCACCTGCTTATTTCACAGTCTGGGCGGGGTCGCTTGCCGCTTTATCAGATATGTCGGCTCTGCGCTCCTTCTTGATGATATATTGCCGTCTTGGATCTCTCAGAGCTGCCTTGTTCTCTCGTCCTCTTAAGAAATCCGCTGCAACGGCGTCGCTCTCTGCTCAGGGGCTATCTGCTTTTTCTCGCACACCAAGGTCCTCAGCATGGGGAGACTTCTTTCAGCAGCTCTTGCGGCAACTGTGGTGGTAAGCAATACCTTTATCTGTGGAAACACCAAAGACTGACGTTTGCATGAGGACTACGCAGACGATTGTGTACCAGTTTGGGCGAGCCATATATCGCCTTTACTTTCATCCGTTATCAAAGTATCCTGGCCCACGGTTGGCAGCAATTAGTGAGGTACGTCGAAATATTTACTATGTACCTCCTGCCGCGAGTCCTAATACCAGACCACAGATCTTCTATGCTCGCATGGTGATGGACGGGCGATGGCCTTGGATCATGAATGAGCTGCATGTCAAGTATGGTAGGGGCAGTTGATTATATAGAACACTTGCTGCCCACCGGGATGATCCTGATCCCGTCTTTTTCGCACAGAACACACTAACACTCTCGTCCAGGCCCAATTGTCCGCATTGCCCCAAACGAGATCTCGTTCAGCTCGGTACAATCGGCCAAGGACATCTACGGCCCGTCGTCCAAGACGCGCAAGCTTTTCAAGAAGAACATTGCCTTCTACGACACAGGGGATATTCCGCCGGCCACGGGCTTGATAATCGACACAGAAGCCCATGCCGACCGGCGGGCGATCCTCCAGCCCGGGTTTCGCATCCATTCTCTGCGCAACCAGGAGTTTCTGATCCATGAGCACACTGACACCATGCTGAACAATTTCGACAAGTGGATGGCGCAGTCGTCCGATGGCAGCATCAACATGGAGCAGGTGTATACCTGGCTGACCTTTGACATCGTTGGTGCGTACACAGCCTCTCCTTTTGTGGGTAAGATCCTCAACTGATCACATGGCAGCACACTTGGTGTTTGGCGAATCTTTTGGCGCGACCAAACACGGCCAGGCGCACTTCTGGGTCTCAATCCTCCTCGGTGGTCTCCACGCCGGGATTATCATGGCACTAAGACACCGGCTTCCCATTATCGATCTGCTGATCAAGGTCCTCCCATGGGTATCGTCCGACGTGCGCGCGATGATCCGCAACATGGAGGCGCATCAGGCGCTGACTCTCGAAAAGGTGCGGAAGCGGGTCAGCATGGGCAGTGTCGGGTTCAATGACATTATGCAGAGTGCGCTGGACGACGGGACCATGACGGAGGCGCAGCTCGCTTCAGAGATGACGACGATGCTCGTAGCCGGCGCTGAGACCTCGGCGACGGCCCTGACTGCTGCAAGTAAGTCCATGAGTCTTTCCCGGTTTTCTTCTGAGCTTCCAAAGACTGGAGAAAGCAATTTGAGCCTGATGTACTGATGGTCCAATACAGCCTGGTTCCTCGCGACCAATAAGCCTGCTCTCCAAGCACTTCAACACGAGATTCGCTCGAAGTTCACCTCCTACGACGCCATCACAGGTGACGCTACCGCCGCGCTGCCCTACCTCAACAGCGTCATCGAGGAAACCCTTCGTCTATTTCCGCCCGTGCCCATCGGCCCCCCTCGCGTGTCTCCTGGCGAGTTTGTCGATGGCACGTACGTTCCGTCGGGCGTGGGCGTGTCCACGCATTGCTGGTACGTCCACCAGCATCCTGATCACATGGCGCGGCCGCAAGCATTTCAGCCCGAGCGTTGGATTGACGATGAGAAGTCCAAGACGGGGCAGTCCAAGCAGAAACCATTTACCATGCCGTTCAACATCGGGCCCAGGGCGTGCTTGGGCATCAACCTGGCGTACCGGGAGTTGCGAGTCGCCCTTGCCAAGTTGGTGTACCGGTACGACTTTGATCTTGCCGAGGAGCAGATGTTCGGGGACGGTAAGGATTGGACCTTGGGGTGTCGGATGACCTCGTTGTGGAAGAAGCCACCTCTGAGGGTCAAGTTCACGACTGCGTCGACTGCCTGATGCCGTGGCTGGGGAGGCACCTTGTAAACAGAAGGAGGACAGGAACTTTTCGAGATTCACATGCGCCCAAATGAGGCGACGTCTGTTTTCACCGGATACTGGGTCCGGTGACGCCACTTTCTGGTCCTCGTGGCATGTGCTAGAAATACAGCTCTAGGTTGTGCAGCTTCTCGACTCTGAGCGCGTTTCTTGACCCATACATAGGCCCCTGTAGCCATCGGGCCCGAAGATCCAAGCCGACGGAATGCTCCCGAATGCCACGCGCCAGGGCCAAGATAAGGGCACCGATATAGCCGGAGCCATAGGCTATCGATGTGAGGAACAGGGAGTGAGGCAGGGCACAACCCAATGACACCACCCCGCACACTCGCGGAGCCCTTGCTCCTCGGATAGGCGATCCTGGCCCTTGCAGGGCGTAAGCAGCGCCCAACTTGGCAGGTGAGGCTTCTTCAGCGCTGGGCGGACAGGGCGCCGTCCTGAATGCCAAGGCTCGCATTTCCTCGCCTGCCACGTGCGAATCGGCTACTTTGCCTCGTACGGAGATGAACTTGATCCCTTCCCGTCGTAAGCAGATGTATGTGGGTACCCAGTGCGAGCGTATAAATAAGGGAAGGTCGCCGCTGTGTTGCGCTTGGCCTATGGCTTGCAGGTAATGATTAGTTGACGTGTGATCCTCTGCCACTATCAAGATGTACTTCCCTGCCGCAGTGGCACAGCTCGCGCTGCTGCTCGCTGCCGGCGTCCAGAGCGCGCACTGCTCAACTGCCCCGACTGTCGTTGACGAGCGCCTGGGCGTCAGCTATACTGGCTTCGAGCGCAACGGCGTCGAAGTCTTCCAGGGTATCCGTTTCGGATTAGACACAGGAGGCGAGTACCGGTTTCGTCCTCCTCGTCCGTATGTACCGGAGACGGGACGCATCATCGACGCACGACAGTTGGGAGCCGCATGCCCGCAGGAGACCGGCCGCAGCAGAGGTCCGCTGTCGCTCGGCATCATCACTAGTGTCTCGGAAGACTGTCTCAACCTCAACATTGTCCGCCCAAAGAAGGCGCTGAGCGAGGGCGCAAAGTTCCCTGTCATGGTGTGGATCTATGGCGGTGGTCTCTGGGTTGGCTACAATGGCGAGCCGACGACCAAGGGTGATGGTGTGGTCCTCGAGTCCATTGAGAATGGGCTGCCTGTTATCCACGTCACCATCAACTACCGGCTTGGTGGTGAGTTCTAACACAGTCGTTCGCATGAAGAAATGTCTGCTGATGTCTGGCCACGGTAGTCTTCGGCTTCGCCCAATCTGGCTCTCTCAAGGAGGAGAAATCCGAGAATGCTGGAGTTCGCGATCAGCACCTTGCTATTGAGTGGTAAGTCATGTGCGCCGCCCATAACAAAAAGCGCCAGAGACCAATCTCGTTGCCATTCCCAGGGTTCGTGACAATATTGCCGCATTTGGTGGCGACCCAGAGAACATCACAATATACGGACAATCTTCAGGAGGTAAGACGAGCCTCGACTTTTAGGAACGTCTCCTCGGCAGATACTAATGCGCGTGATGCAGGCTTCTCTGTCACCGCTCAGCTTCTCGCATACGGAGGTGAAAAGCCTGTGCCCTTCCAGAAGGGTATCTGCGAGAGCCAGGCCATTGCGACTGGCCTCACTGGCACGTATACTCGAGATGCCATGCAGGTCCTAGTCGACTACGTCGGTTGCAACACTACCGCCCTTGACGACGCGGCCACAATCTCTTGCCTCAAGTCAATCGACACCCTGACTCTGACAAATGCCTCGCGGAATACCTACTGCGGCGAGTGTGGCGACATCTGGCTGCCCTCTGTGGACGGCGACTTCTGGCCTGACGCGCCCTCGACTCTGCTCCGCGAAGGACGCTTTGCAAACATTGACACCATCATTGGCTGGACAGAGGACGACATGACTCTGTACACGGACCCGTCTCTTGCCGACGCCGAGGCCACCTACCAGACCATCCGCGTGCAGTACCCCTGGCTGAGCGAGGACAACCTCGAGAAGCTCCTTGCTCTGTACCCGGTCGAGGACTTCCCCGCCAACATCGAGGCCAACCGCACGAGCGAGTCTTACCGTGCGGCCCGGATCTGGCGAGACATCCTGATGGTCTGCCAGCCCATGTATCTTGCCCAGACACTGGCTGCGGCTGGCAACAAGGCGTACTTGTACGACTGGAACCAGACGGTGACTGGTCCGGCCTTGGCTTCGGTCAGAGGCCTGTACGGCGTGGGCGTGCCGCACACGGGAGAGTTTGCCTACACTTTTGGCAACGTCTCCGTGTACGACGTGAACGGTTATCCGTTCGACCCCTTGCCGTCAGACTTTGAGCTGCAGCACAAGGGCGCCCGGTCGTGGTCAACTTTTGCCAACACTGGGAACCCTTCTCTGGTGGGCCGTGACACCTTCCTCGGCTGGGAGGAGGCCTTCCAGGGTGATTCTGAGGGTCAGCCGTATATCTGGGTCGCCGGTGGGCCGAATGAAGGTCTATCTGCCGTTGACGGGCCCGACTCGATCCCCGAGATTGCGCAGCAGAAGTTGAGAGAGCGGTGTGCCTTTATCAACTCACCCGAGATGATCGAGGAGCTTAGATACTAGTTATCATTCATTGAACAAAAGCTTTATGACTAAACCAGTCGCTCGTGGAGTCTAATATTACTGGCCAACTTCAGCGATCTTCATGAGATATCCCATCAGCCTTGTGCCCTTCAAAGTCCCTCCCGACACTCGGATGAAGCAGCCTCCTGCAAGACAGGCGGTCTCTGGGGCCAAGATGGGCCCCTGAACGATACTTCTCCTGAAGTACAAGTCGCACCATTTGTGGCCTTCCCCGGTGCTCCATTGGGACAGTAAACTGAGGTGTGTCCCAGGCTTGCTGAAAGGTGTCAGCAGGACATGTCCAGAATCCAGCAACGGGCGGTAGGGTGTTTCCCCGATCAGGCTCCTTTGAGAAACTGCTCCTGGCTTTTGTCGCTCCATTGTGAGGAGGACTCTCCGACCCGCCTTGTTGCGTGTCCTTCTCGACCCGGCCGTTCCTGACGCTGTCTTGCTCATCAACCTTATCGACAAGTTCCTGCGTGCTCTGGGGGTTGGAATCAGGCGGCCCTTCCTTATTACGTTCGGAATGCAGCACCGCGAGTGACTCTTCTGCAACAATGATTTGCCTTTCTAGATGACCGGTCCTCCCAGGATGGAAGCTTCTGCCTTCTGCAGGCTCCATTCCAAAATACTCTTCAAACTGGTAGAGCCGCTCAGCCGGGCCAAATTGAACCTTGTCCAGGTTTGGTGACGTGCATGGAACAAAGAACTGGTGCAGATCCCTCCCCAACGATTCCTGGTCAACAACAGGTGTCCCCCGCCACGTGGCATGGGGCGGATTATGACAAAAAGAATTCATGTGGAGGATCTGTCGCTGGTCATCCGGAATAGGCGGCCAGAAATCTCTCCGCGCAGGCACGACAACGGACAATGATTGCAAGTTCATTGCCGCCTCCGCAGCCCGTTTGGGTACTCGTGGCCCGTTGTTCTTCCGAAAAGGCAGTAGGGCTTGCGTCCCGAGTTGCTCATTATCCCACAACTCGTCCCACGTATACATGGGAATGGCCAGGTGTGCCAGGCCAAGGCCACGAGGGTCGTAGACGAGACAGTCCCACAAGAAGGACAGCAGTGCGGTGGACTGGTCGCCAGTGCCGATGTCGCAGAGTGTGATGTAGACAGTGTCCGTCTTGGGGTCGAGAGGGAGCACTGCAGAACGGCAGGCAGCCTGGCCTTCGCTGTGGCTTTGTGTCGGACGATAGCGCAGGGCCAGCCGGTACCGTGCTGCCGCGACCGCGGCGGCTTCCTTGCTGACGCGGAAGAGCACAGAAGAATCCATGGGCTTGGGCAAGTGTAGCGTGTAGAAGTACTCGGAAGCCTGTGAGTTGGGCCCGCAGGGAGCTTCGACGTCTCTCGTTGCCTGTATATCCCTTCGGGACCCTGGCTTCCACCTTTTCTGCTGGCTGGCACCTTCAGTTGTTTCTGCGCCGCCATCGTCGTTGGTGTCCCGCTTTTTCTCGGGAGTCTCTTGCACGGCGAAGTCGACAAGATGAAGCGTGATGAACCGCTGAGTTGGCAGGGCAAGTTCCCACACGCGCAGCCTGAGCTCGACAGGTAGCTGTGGGAAATAATTGAACACAGAGAGGGCCGTCATGATGTCCCGCGTAGGGTTTGCTGGTACGCGTAACGATCATATCTACAGGAAGCGGGAGGCTGTCTCAATGTGCGAATATAAGAGACCAGAACCTTGTCAGGGTTGAGCGAATCAGAAGCCCTGATTGAGGCAGCCGAGTCATCCATGGCCATCGGGCAACGTGAGGCGCTCACTCTGGTCCCGCTTTAGCCTTGACGCATGAGGGGTCCCGTCAGCATAACTTGGGACGGCATCAGTGTCCGATTCAGCTGTAACATTGTGGTAGAGCTATTCCAGCCGCACGAAATACACAACAGTCCTGGTTGAGCCTCTCTTCAACCCCTCGAAGTCGTCCTCTCGCCCACAGTTGTGCCGCACAGCTCTTCCTTGGACTCCGTGCCCGGGACATCTCTCTCAAGTCTTGTAACAGTGCCCATCGGGACTTGATCTTTCTTCAGGTTGGAGCCTATCCTGTCGAAATGCTCAAGTCCACCATCCCGAACTAGCGACACGCTTTTCATCTGCTCGCTTCTCGATGAAACCAGTGCTGTGAAGGATGGCAAGTTGACGGCGACGACGGCGAATTGGATTTCGAGAGCGACAACGATGATCATCTTCCCCAGTTCGTAGGAAGTGTCTGGCGACCTTGTCAGGCTGAGGACCAACGGGATCCGGACGCATGAGACTATCAGCGACGAGACGCCGGCACCGATGATGGCGAGCACGCCCAAACGACGTCGGAGGGACATGTTGAGCTGGAGGACGATACCGATCGGCAAAGCAAGTATGTAAACATCCATGGCAACGTTCTGGTGTGAATTCAGCGCAGTGTTAGCGGGTGCAACCCACATGCAGAGGGCTCAACACGTCGCGTTGTAATGACCTACCAATACGGGAGGTATGATCATCACTATGAACTGGTCAAGGCACTTGGCTTCCGGGTGCAGGTACGGATGTGCGATCGCGTCGAATGGGTCGCATTGCAGCAGAGTGAGCAGCCTAGGATCGGGTTGGTCTGTCAGCTAAGTTTAACGAGGGTTGTGCAGCGACTTCTACAGAAACTCACATGCTGCCCAGATACACCGATGCATTGAATGCAATGCCCGCAAAAACGGCTGCCCGAAACAAGGCTTGCGGGCACAATCTGAGATAGAATGTGAGGAAGGTCATCTTTATGATGAAGTGCACCGTGTACAGAACAACCTCTTCTGCCAGTGCGACCTGATGGGGCGTTAATGGTATTGCCTCTTGTCTGATCAAAAGTGGAAGAACGTACCTGGAAAAGAGGTTCAGCCTGGAAGCTGCAGAGAACAGCCATGGGGCTATGACATTGTCAGCATTGCCTCCGCGCACTATAAGGACCGGCGATACTCACACGCCGCAGTCAATGTTGAGAAGCATTTGCAGGACAGCCAATTGGCCAACGTTGATCAGCTACAAGCGACCGTCAGCCATGATGAGTCGAGAATTCTTGAGTGGTCACGTACCAGCACTCCAACTGCCCAGTAGTCATCCAGGCCCCAGGTCCTCTGGATGAAGGCACGGGCATAAAGCCGTATCAGATTTGCGATCACGCCGATGGTGAAAGTGGTGTACGTGATGGCATACGCGGGAGCGCGCAGGTCGGGATGCGAGACAGACATTGTCAAAGTGTCGAAGGTGCGGAGTAGGGATTTGTCCGGCCGTCGAAGGTTTGAGCAATCATCGTTTGGAGGTCGTTGCTTCTCAACAGAGCAGAATTCTGTCGATAGAAGAACCAATCGCGGCCGAGGTTCTGGGTGAGAGTGAGGCAAGTAGAGGAGGATATCGGAGTCTGGCGCGACGACAGCCTTATGGCATTATCCACACCGCCCGTCAGCATGCTTGAACCATCATTTCTTTTCCATTGCCTGCTGTATTGCCAGGATTACAGCCAACACATGTTGGCCCGGCATTTGCATCGGGCCGGTAAGGTCGTGTGACAGATCCCGGCCCATGAATGCAACGAACTGCGTACGCGTACAAGGCCTCACCTGTCCTGGTTGATCCCTGTCCAAGACGACAGCTCTTAATGTCAGCCTGGCCATCAAAAGGTCTTCGGTGTTTCGTCACAGGCTGCGACTGCAAGCGCTCCATCTGAAGAGTCATGTTATCGAAACGCTGCAGTGCCGCCATCAATGCGCACTCTGCTCAGCAAGTCCTGGCCGAACCCTCGCTCTGAATCAAATTTGATCTGGAGCCGAGGGACTGACCGGACAACGTGATTAGGCAGTGTTGGTCGTGACTCGTGGGTTGGACATGAGTGCATGTATTGCTTGCCGGGGTCATGCCGCTCGCGAACCAACTTCGGACGGTGGCCCGTGATCTTGACTGGTCGCTAATGCACCCGCAAGGACCGGTAGGGACCCTGTGGCTTCCCCTACCGCTGAACCCCTGCATGCTGCCCCAGGTCCCCATGCCTGTCAACCAACATGGAACCATCGTCTCTTTGCGCAAGCCGCAGGGCTCGTCCCTTATCACCCGCTGTGGGTTCTCTGCCCTCGAGCTTGCTTATTCCGGCCTTTCTTCATTATTCGCGCCACATTTTTGCCTTTGTCTCATCCCCACGACAAGGAAGGTCAAGATGACCAGTTTAGCTGCTGTTCTCTCCAGCGTGGCTCAGGCCAGCCCTGGTCGCTCGGTTGTAGCTGCGGCCTTCTTGGCTGTTGGCTTCCACACGGCGATTCAGAGCGTTGAATTCGAGCTCTACATGTTTCCGTTCCTTGCGGTGTCATCCTCCTCTTGGCCCCTACTCTCCGGACTGTATCTCACCTTCGGCGATAATTCAACGCTTGGCGCATGGGGCAAAGCTGCCCTGGTCGCCGCGAGCTTCCACGGCAGTCTACTCACCAGCATTGCTACCTACCGCCTCTTCTTCCACAGATGTCGCAAGTTCCCCGGCCCGGTCGGCGCCCGGCTCAGCCGATTTTACGCAACATACTTGTCTACAAAGAGCGTCCAGTATCACAAGGAGCTGGAGAAGATGATGTTAGAATACGGAGACTTTGTCCGAACTGGTCAGTCTCGTCGACTTCTCCAGTCACCTCAAATCTGTGCTACGGTTGGACTGACAATATTTGGAAAAAGGCCCACGCGAAGTTACTATCTTGCGCAGGTCGGCCGTCGACCTCATTTACGGGCCAAAGTCCGAGTGCCGCAAGGCGTCGTGGTATGGGCAGACGGGCAATGATCTCCAGAAGGTATCACTGCACATGTGTCGAGACGCGAATGCTCATCGGCAACGGAGAAAGGCTTGGGACAAGGCCCTGTCGGTCAAATGTGAGAAACGCCGCAATCATATTCCCTCGTATCGAACTCGTTCTCACCTGATTGTTCCCTTTTACAGCACTCAACTCCTACGAACCACAGATCAAGTCCCATGTTGATGCACTGGTCCGCCAGCTTCACGCACGTGGCGAGACTGGGCTCAACGTCACTGACTGGGCAATGTACTTTTCCTTTGATCTCATTGGCCAGGTCGGTTTCAGCAAAGACTTCGGACAGCTTGGCAAGGGTGAAGAGCATTCCGCCATCCGCCCCATCCACGCGCACATCAAGCTGCTGGGCATCTTCCAGACAGTACCATGGATGCTCTACCTCCTGAGCAGCATCCCAGGAGCAGCCTCTGCGTACTCGGAGATCTTCGGCTTCTGTGCCAACGAGATGCGAGCGAAACGAAAGGTTAGTCTCTCTTGCAGTACCACTTGGCTATCAAACCTGATTTCGGATGGTCTAGACGGTAGAGAAAGACGAAGCACCAAGAGACATTGCCTCTTGGCTTTGCAAGGCCTTTGTGGAGAAAGACATAACTGCAGCGCCGTCAGCGGAGGCGCTCGAGGATGATTCAAGAATCCTCCTTCTAGCTGGAAGGTCTGTACCGATCATACTACCCATTCAAGGATATAGCTCAGTGCTCCGCGAGATGGATAAACTGACGATGGAATCACCAAAGTGACACGACAGCAACAGTTCTCAGTCAATCCCTCTACCACCTCGTCAAATATCCGCACGAACAACGCAAACTCCAAGCCCTCCTCGACGAGGCGATCCCGGGCGGCCCCGACGACTGGACATTTGAGAAGGCTCGCTCTGTGGCGCACTTGGACCACTTCATCTCAGAGACCATGCGACTCAACCCTGCGCTCATGATTGCCGGACCCCGCGAGACACCGGCCGGGGGGCTGCAGATCGACGAAGTGCACATTCCTGGCGGTGTCAATGTGCTGGTTCCCTCGGGCCAGATCCATCGCGACCCGCGATACTGGGTGCAGGCCGACGAGTTCTTGCCTGAGAGGTGGGGAGATCGGCGCGAGCAGATGGGGACGGACCAGAGCCCGTATCTACCATTTCTTCTTGGTATGTGCCATCGGCCGTGTAGGCACTTCCCAGTCTCTGAGTATGCTTTGCTGACAATCAAAACTGTGATGAACAGGACCCTACATATGCCCTGGTAGATATCTGGCTCGGCACAGCGTTCGTGCCGCACTATCCATCATCCTTCTCAATTTCGACGTCTCTTTCGCCCCTGGCGAGACTGGCGAATCTTTCGAGAATGATGTCCTTGACACATTTGTCGTGACACTGTCACCGCTTCGACTTTGCTTTACCCCACGTGTAGAGCGGAGGTAAGAGGCAAGTAGATGTTTGACGACAACAAGCAGAATCGGACCTCCGAGGTTGTCCGGACACGCACCGTATGGTCGTCCGGCGTATTTTGTTCTCACTCAATAGCGGCATTTGAAAAGTTAAATCAACACCCGTGAGCCCCTGCGCTGCATAGATGGACTCATGCTGTTCCATTATTTTGACTCTGAAGCGAGGAAACTATTCGTTCTATTTAATGTTCTCAAGATTCGCTGGAGAAATTTTTACTGCTTAGGTGTGAACAGTTTCAATCATACGAAGTTGATGCATGATCCAGGTCTTTCACCTGTTACATTGCCAGACGAATCAGCCTCACTTAAAAAGCCCATACTTTCTCGGAAACAAATAGTGTCTCCAGATATTATTGAAGGCTGTAATGACGTTAGAATATAGTCGTGAGACAAAGTGACTTCCCACAGTAATTTCCACACTAGCCTCCCGCAGGGTTAATCATACCGCAAAGCTTGCTCGCTTGGAAGTCCGATCGCGCCTGTTCGAGTCTGCTCGGGCTTGCAAGGATAACAGCAGGAAAACTGTACTCTCATACGCTCTCTCACTCCGCTCGCCTATAAAAGGACGACGGAATATCCAATTCCAGATGAGGTCGACGCCATCCACGCTAGAGGAGCTAATCTCGGTAACGTGGATGATACGCGTCATATTTACCACCGTTGAGGAGCCGGACACGATTAAATACCAAAGATCCCTCTAGGTCTTGTTCGACAGCAGCCATATTTGTTCCATTCTTTCATGCAGACTCGACATTCCCGATCTTTCAGCCTGCCACTGAGTCCCCCTCCGACGTTTTTGCTGTGGTGGGGCACAAAATGATTTGGTTCCGTACGCAACTATCACGACCGGTGCGATCATGCTGGACATCGTCAGCACTCCAGCAACAAGCGAGGCTATTTCATTCCAATGCACACAGATCCTTGCAAGATAGTGGCCAGCGGTTTGGGAGGGGCGCAAGCCGAAGACTCAGACCTCGCCTGTCAAAGACGCCACTGCGCAGACCACAAAGGAGCGAACTTGGTCTGCAGAGCAGCTTGCTATTGTTGAACGCGCAAAGACACACAATGTCGTCGTCTCCGCGCGACCCGGTTCAGGAAAGACGGCCACAGCCGAAGCCATTGCGGCCTCGAATCCGGACAAGTCTATCGCGGTTTTGACTTACTCAAGGCGCCTAAAGAATGACACAGCCAAGCGCATGAAGGAGAAATATCCGGGATGCGATGTTTTCACATTTCACGGCGTGGCTGGCAAACTGCATGAACCGCTAGTGGTGCGCGACGACAGCATACTGAACCAACTTCGAAGGTCTCGCGCCAGGCCGACATGGCGGAAAACCCCCTATGACATCATTATCATCGACGAGATGCAAGACTGCACAGAGCTTCTGCACTGGTTGGTGCAAACCTTCATCAGCTGCGTTAAGGGCCGTCGGGGCCACGCACCACGCATCGTCGTCCTTGGAGATGAGAGAAAGGCCATCTACGAGTTCCGCGGTGCAGATGCCCGATTCCTGAGCGATTGCCCTACTATCATGGAGGACTTGTCGCCTGACCCCTGGGCTCGCATGACGCTCAGTAAGAGTTTTCGGCTGTCACGCCAGAACGCCGACTTTATCAATAAGGCGTTTCTACAGGGCGAGGATTATATTGTCGGCTCGCACGAAGGGCCCCGACATTTGTACATTCACGCCGATATTTCCGACGCAAAGGGCCTTGCGAAGGAGTTAGCACCTCTGATTCGCCAGTACGGAGCGAAGAACACGGCTATTCTTGGCCCTGCTGTCCGAACGAACCCAAGGATATCAAGGCTGACGAATCACTTGACAGGCAGGGAAAAGATTCCCGTCGCAGAGCCTATCTCGGGTGATACAGGGTTGGACGATCTTGTCATTCGTGGCAAACTCTGCGTGTCAACTATCCACCAGTTCAAAGGGAGCGAGCGCGATTTGGTCATTCTCTACGGTCTGGACGATCATTATTTCCAGATAGCTCCAGATGAGCCCGACACGACATGTCCTAACGACATTCTTGTGGCGCTCAGCCGGGCGTCGAAGCAGCTCGTCATTGTCCACGACACGAGTCAACAGATGATGCCGTTTGTGGACGTAGCGCAACTCCACGCAACCGCTACCCACCGATTCATAACTGAGGAGAAGCCGGGCTCATTCCACCAAAGGTCTCCCCGAGGGACGACCCAGCAGGGCTTGAAGCTTCCCGTGACCGTTGCAGCATCTGATATTGCTCGATACGTACCCGATGAAACTCTTGATGCCATCGTGGCCAGACACGCCAACGTCACAGTTCTCTCCGCTGAGGTGTCGCCTGTCGACCGCATCGAAGCGCCAGACAAGGTCCCAACAGACGATCGGAAATACCGCTACGAATCCGTGAGTGATATCAACGGCCTAGCCGTTGTCGCAGCATATGAGCTTGCATCACGTGGCACGCTCACAACCCTCGGGAACGAAGATAATGCTTCGTTGCCACGGGAGCTGCCTAGTGAGCCTCAGAAGAGAACTGCATGGCTCTGCCGCGAGGCGTGTGGCCGCCTAGCGGAGCTATCGACGTTTTACTCCCGACTGATGCAGATGCACGCTCATAAGTGGGATTGGCTAGAACCGTACCTTCCGGTGGCCTGCGCCCGTCTGCAAGAGCAGTTCAAAGCTATCGACCCAGCCGATCTGAAGTTCGAGCAGGATCTGAAAGCGGGGTATATGGAGATCCGTGAAAAAGATCAGGGAAGAACCGGGGACCGCGAGTCAACGATAATCTTGGGTCGCGCCGATATAGTTCAGAACACCCCATCGAGATCTCCCGTCGATGACTCCGGCCAGAAAGTCACGCTATGGGAGATCAAATTTGTGAGCCGCCTTTCGCGTGAGCACGTCATTCAAGCCTGCTTTAACGCTCACCTGTGGGCGGCCAGAAATGAGGGCGATATCCCGCGGGTGATGCTTTACAATATTCGAAATGGCGAGAAGTGGGAGATATCCCCCAAGGATGGTGTGGGTAGTTTGCACCTGCTCGTGGACGAAGTTCTACGGGCAAAGTATACTTCGAGGCCCCTCCTATCGGACGAGGAGTTTCTGGACAGATGCGCTAAGGTGCGAAAAGAGGTAGAAGGACTTTTGAAGGACGTCGACCGATAGGTGAGACGAGGTTTGGAATATTGCCCCTAGACGCGGGCGTGGAGCTCATTGGGGGTGCGCGGTAGTTGCTTCACCAACACATCCTTGTGCACATGTTGAATTCGAAGTCTAGGTTTACATGACCAGTACCGAGTTTCTAGATACTATAACATAGTATTGAGGACGCATCCAACGAGCATGACGTGCTTCACTAGGTTGTATATGATTGCTGGCAGACTCCCGCACACTGCTCGTTCAAGCTGACACCGACCTGAGTCGCAGGCTCGAGCTCTGCCAGGTAATTACCATTGAGCTGGACATTCCACGCGGTGATTCTGTTGTATTGGAAGCACTCGCTCGTGCTCGGGCTCCACGAGAAATGATAGCAACTGAAGTTGTCGTCGCACGATCTGGCACAAGCCATGTACGAGCCCGCACCCGCGGGGATCCCGCGACCGGGCCAGCGCGAGCTGAAGGTCGTAGGCGCGTTCCAGCAAAAGGCCGCATAGCGGCAGCTACAATCGCCACCAGCTCGGAAGACCGCAGGTTGTGAGGCGCAGGACGTGCCGGTCGGGGTTGAGATGACAGAGGTTGTGGTTGTGGTGACGGAGACGGACACTGACACGGAGACACTAGTCTCGGTTGTGGTAGTGGGCTCTGTGATTGTCGTAGGCTCTGTGATGGTCGTGGGCTCGGTTATGGTGGCAGGTTCCGTTACTGTATTAGGCTCCGTGATGGTGATGGGCTCGGTGAGGGTGGTTGGTGTTGTAATTGTCGACGCCGGCGCCGTGACAGTCGCCGTCAAGGTGACTGGAGCCGGGCATATCGGACCAGTTGTCCCCGTGGGAGAGTTTGTATTTGTCTTTGTGGCTGTAGTAGTCCTCTACAAAAAGAGATGGTTATTGTCAGCCTGTGCAGAGCATTTCAGAGCGGCAATGGTACTACCTACAGTAACAGTACGTGTCGTCTGGATGCAGGCACAGGCACTGCGGACCACGTCGCTGGCCAGGTGCTGCAGCTCGCCCAGCAGTGGCGCAATGTCACCGCGGGCGTCCACATCGACATCTGCACTGCGTGCCTTAGTACCACACGTCCTTTTGGGGTTCTTCGCAGTGATTGTGACTGTTTGTGTCGTGGATACAGTCCTGGGTGAGACTGGATACTTGGCAGAGCAGAAGGCCTGGGCTGGTGGGTAGGCGCTCAATGGCAGCAGCTGCTTGAAGATGCCCGTCTGGCAGTAGTCGGTGGCGTACCCACGAGGGTTGGCAGGCCAGCGAGGACCAAGACGGAGAGAGATAGTACCGGCACCACGAGGGCCAGCGAGGACGTAACGTGAACCATGCTCGAGAGGCCGGGCAGGGTTGAGGATTCGAGAAGAGCGAGTGGGCGACAAAAGCTTGCTTGAACGATCTTCCCTAACTTGCTCAAACTCAAAGAATGGAACTGCCGCAGGTGGGCGCTTTATATCAAAATGTCCTCGGACAGAGAGCAAATTTCCGCGGACGCCCCCGAAGCCCGACTGCGGCTCTCGCAACGGCACGGTGTGCACATGATGAACCGTTGGCGCTACTCGATGGCTTGCTTGAAAGGCCTGCCAACACGCAGCACATGCAGGCATATGTAGGCGACTCCGGGGTAAGTAGCCCACTGTCGGCTACTTTCTTAGTTACAGGGCCACGCATTCAGCTGCTATTGACAAGCTGTGGCGTGCAGAGGGCCTATCACATTGCTGGAAGCAAAATCAATAAAGTCCGGTTTGGGAGCTTAGCATGCTAGGCGCCCGGGGTGTCGGCAGGGACCAGCCCTGCCATATACTTGGGCTTGCTAGCGCATCTTCGGATCGGGAAATTCTTGCGTGTTCGACTGGGCTGATGGGGGATCTGGACCGATCGCCTGGAGCCCGCCGCTGCATGTTTCAGTGTCGACGTGGCGTGGCTGTCGCATTCGTACTTGCCCATCATGCTCCTCGCCCACAGTCCTGGTTGCAGGCGAGCGTGGAGTGAGGAAGGGCAGCCTTGTGCTGGCGTTGTCTGGGCAAACAACTGCGGTGTGGCTTGCACCTGAGATGAACAAGAGAGGCCATGCGAACGGCGGAAACCTTCGGCCAGTCCGGACGTCGTTGCCCTTGCCTTTCCCCCACCACAAAACACTCCCAAGGTTATGGGCAGGACGGCACCGTCACGTGCGGTCTGTCCCAGCCCCCAAGACACCAACCAGAGCACCAAACACACTGCACAGACGAAAATAGAGTGGATAGCAGCCCGTTGGTGCACACACCTCACTACGCTGAGAGAGATTATTCCAGCTGCAGACAATAAGTCTTGTTTATATACACCAACTGCACTACAATATGCACGTGCCAGTCGGACTGGACGAAAGCCTGTCGCCTTGACCAGCCGTGACGAGAAACACTGTCCCGCCTAGTACGCATAATATAGAACAGCTTCGGAATCGGTACGGCGAATACGCCGATTCTCCTTGACAAGCATCCAGCGCATGTACCACGCCGCGGCGGCACATGCGACACAGAACGCGGCGCTGGCGGAGAGCGGCATGACATAGCGAGGAGCGCTGGAGGTGGGCCAGAGGTACTGTGAGGGGAACAACAGCCATTAGCACCATGCTCGATAGCAACGAATGACGAGGGAAGAAGTAGCTGGGGTATGTAAGCAACTCACTGGTGTCCAGATCAGACTCAGACTGGCGCTCACGTTGGCCAGAGCCAGAGCAGAAGACTTCTTCTCCTTGGTCTCGCCGCAAGTAGCACCCACCCAGCCGAGCAGGATCGAGTTGACGCCGTAGGTGCCAATGGTGAAGACGCACATGGCAAAGTATCGCGCTCCCGTGTTCATCGTGGCGCAGCCCAGGATGAACCCTAGCAGCGCAACCGCCTTGGAGATGGTAATGTGCCACGTGCGCTCGTTGAAGTGGCCCGACGACCAGGCCCAGGCGATCGAGATGATGCCGGCAATGAGATAGGGCGGGCAGGTGAGCACGAGGGTGATCGTGTCGTCGTACTTGAGCGTCTGGACGAGGGTCGGGAAGAAGTTCTTGAAGCCGTTGGTCGCAATGTGCATGTGCTGCATAAAGGCAAACACCCAAACCTTGGGGTCCTTGCTGGCCTCCTTGAGTCCCGCCCAGGGGGAGACGTTGGTCGACAGGCCGACGGTGTCACGCGCGATGCGGTCGTGCGCGAGCTGTCGCTCTTCCGGGGTCAGCCACCATGTCGTCAGGGGCTCGTCGGGCAGGAGGAAGCAGGCGGCAATGGCCACGACAAAGGTGACGAGGCCCTGCAGGATGAAGAGCCAGCGCCAGCCCTCGAGCCCGGAGACGCCCTCGAGTCCGTGGAAGACACCGGCAGCGATCAGGCCGGCAAAGGCAGTGGCCAGGATGTTGCCCTGCACATAAGTAGTTTGATCAGTTGTAGTCCGTGTACGGGCAACATGGATTTCGGGACTGAGTGCCTTACAGAGTACAAGATGCTAATTCTGGTAGCCAACTCCTTCCTCGTGTAGAAGATGGAGAGTATGTACAGCGCACCAGGGTAGTATGGTGCCTCGACCACACCAAGGAAGAAGCGAGTAAGGACAAGGCCGGTAAAGTCGTGTGCGATGGCAGTCAACGTGCTGACAATGGCCCACGCGATCATGAAGCCGCCCATGAGCCATGACGGACGAACTCTCGTGATGATCATGTTGCTGGGAATCTGGCCGAGGATGTAGCTGCATGATACCTTGTCAGAACTATGCTAGCACAATAACTAACTCAAGCCAAGGAAGGAGGATTTACCCGACAAAGAGGATCGACACGCATGTCTGGTATTGGGTCGAGTCCAAGCCAAGCTGCTTCTCCAGACCGTTGATCCGGGCCAAGGTGATGGCGTTGCGGTCAAGATAGTTGAGCCAGTACATGAGCCAGAGCATGGGCTGGACGAGAAAACAACATTAGCGTCGTGGAAACAGTTCAAGTGCAACGATGCTGCTTACCATGATCCACCAGTCGAGCTTCCGAACAAGCTTGATCTCGGCGGGGTCTGACTTGGCCACGGCTCCAGAGTAGTCTCCAAGGACAGCGCGCTTATCGTCCGAGGTCGACGCCCGCTCGTCGTGCGTGGCCATGTTCTTTTCGACGTCGGCACCGAGAGTTGGCTGGACCTGTGCAGGAACTCCCACAGTGGGATGGGCGTCCGCCATGGTGTCAATGGGGCGGCCGGTTTGTTGTCTATGAGTGTCGGAACGTCGAGCAGATTGAGTCGCTCGGCGTTGCGGTGCTGGGGACAAAAGCAGAGTGTCCTGTGGGGGAGGTAGCAGATGATCGACCAGGTTGGGAGGAGCTGGTGTATCTTATAATCAGTGGTTCCCCGTAGTGTCCCCGTGCTCCCCCACACACCCCGGATTCCATGCACTGTGACCCCAGAGCTTGGTTGGGGAGGCCATCTGGGCCGGAAAAGTCGGTCGTGGAGTCATGATATCGGTGGGTTGGGGCAACGCCAGCACCAACAAAAGACTAACGGCGTCGGCGCCGAGGACCGAGAGACAAGACCAGCCAATCAGGCTGTGTCTTTTGTTTATCAAATGGAGCCTCCATTCCACCTAGGGGGGAGCCAAGAGTTGCCAAGGACAACTCTGAGTGGCGGAGCTGGAGGCAAGTGAGGAGAATCCCTGGAGCCGACGGAGGCGGTCCACAAGTCCGTTCGGCGCCGCTCGCCGAAGATGGGAGGTTTTGTGCTTGGAGGCTCTGCCCATCGGCCCTTCACCTCCGACCACTGTCGCCCGCCACCACCGAGCGCCAAGTCTCCAACTCTAGGGTCTCCTGGCCATTTGCTGACCTACAGCTCAGGGTTCTGCCGACGTGTAAGCTGGACAGCTGGTTTTGATTTCACAGGCTGATAATAGCGGTTCATTTATTCGCAGCCACGCTTTACCCGTTGACGCTGTCCTCCCTAGTTCTGTCGACACAGACAACAATCGACATGATAGAAAAAGCCCATATCCGCATCGGCAATGTCTCTGGTGCCACGGGTGACCACCCGCACGCCATGGCGCGGATGGTGCGCTCCGGCAATGTCGACGTTATTACCGGTGATTGGCTGTCCGAGATGAACATTGCCTGGAACTCGATCGCTATGAAGGAGATTGGTCCGCATGTGGGCTACGAGAACGGCTTCTTCGTGCAGCTCGAGGAGTGTATCGACGAGATTGTCAGCCGCAACATCCGCGTCGTCACCAATGCCGGCGCCCTCAACCCTTTGGCGCTCGTCGACAAGATTCGCAAGCTGTGCGAGGGCGAGGGCTACCCACCCAGCACGGTAGCTGTAGTACTGGGCGACAACGTCTTTGAGCAGGTCACGTCGACGACAGCGACTGGCGGCCTATCCAGATTCCCTCATCTCGACCACCCAAAGACTACACTCAGGGACTGGGACTTTGCCCCGTCCTCCGCCAACGCGTACATCGGCTGCTGGGGTATCGTCGAGGCTCTGCGAGCAGGAGCCCAGATCGTCATCTGCGGCCGCTGTACAGATGCCTCACCCGTCATGGGGGCTGCAGCGTGGCATTATGGATGGAAGGAAGACCAGTACACAGAATTGGCTGGTGCGCTCGTGGCGGCACACCTCATCGAATGCGGACCCTACGTCGTGGGCGCCAACTTCTCTGGTTTCAAGGACTTCCTGCCCGACCTGGTCGACCTGGCTTTTCCGGTAGCCGAGATCGATGCAGGTGGCGGCTGTGTCATCACCAGAACGACCGAGGGAGGTGGCCACGTGACGCCCGAGACCGTCAAGGCCCAGCTTCTCTACGAGCTCCAGGGACACTTGTACCTCAACCCAGACGTTGTGGCTGACCTGGCCGACATCCGCGTCGAGAAGTGCCCCCAGGCCGCCGACCACGAAGAGGAGCGCGTCCGGGTCCTCGGCGTCAAGGGTCTCCCACCGCCACCCACCACAAAAGTCATGGTCGCCGCAGAGGGCGGCTATCAGGCCGAAGCGACCTTCTACATCAACGGCCTGGACATTGCCGAGAAGGCGACCATGATGCGCAACCAGCTGGCGTACCTGTTCAAGGACAATAACTTTTCCAAGTTCAGCATCGAGCAGTACGGCAGCGTGGTGCCGAACCCGAGCTCACAGCAGGCGGGCACTGTGCAACTGCGTGTGTTTGCGCAGGCGCGGGAGAAGAAGGACATTGAGCCCGTCAAGTTCAAGATCCCCATCTACGCGGTCCGCATGCAGAGCTACGCCGGGTACCACATGTCGCTCGACTTCCGGACCATGGAGCCCAAGGCGTTCATGGAGATTTTCCCGACGGTGATGAGCCTGGCGGATATCCATCACCGGGCCGTGCTGCATGACGGCACTGAAATCGCGGTCAAGCCTCCGAGAGAGACGGCAGAGTACCCTGTCGTCAGGCCGAGTGTGGATATCACTATCAGCCCAATAGATCTAGTCAGCCTAGGCCCGACAGAGTTTGTACCCCTGGGTACCATCGTCCATGCTCGATCCGGTGACAAGGCCAATAATTCCAACGTCGGGTTTTTTGTGCGGCACCCGGACGAGTATCCGTGGCTCTGTACCGTCTTAACAGTCGATTGCCTGAAGCAGCTGTTCGGGGACGACTGGTTCACTGCTGGGCATCCAAGCAGGAGAATGGAAAGGATCGAGTTTCCCGGCATTCTGGCCGTTCACTTGTAAGTCACGCCTTCCTTTCTTGCTTTCCGACTGGCTATACTGACAAAGTGTTCATTTCCAACAGCCGGATTTTAGACAACCTGAATGGAGGCATTGCATCATCAGATCGCATCGACGGCCTGGGCAAGGGTGTAGGAGAGTACCTGAGGAGCAAATATGTGCATGTGCCCAAGAAGTTCTTGGCCAGAGGCCGAATCTGAAGTCGGAGGCCACGCAGATTATGGGAGACGGGAAATGTACGGTTGTTAAATACAAGCCATGCGGGAGCATCATCTCAAAAAAGTGAAAGAGCCACGTGTTGATAGAGAATTTCTCTAGCCTCGGACCAATTTTGCCATTGTCGATCTCGATTACCCAAATCCCTATCTCTCAGGCTACAGCTTCGCCATTTCACGAAGATCCCAGGCGACCGCAAATGACGCAGGAAGGTGTGGCTCCCAGTTGTTAGCGATCTCGACAATGACCTTGAAAGTTGGGCCGGGTAAATTATCCCACAGCACTTTCTCGACATTGTCTGTCACAGGACTGTTAGTGTACAAGGACTCAGTGTGCTCTAACCATAGGCATAAAGAGAGGGCTTGCGCAACGTACTAATATTGTCAAACCCGTCACCGCCGTGCCGGCCCATGTTGCCGTGGCGAAAGCTTTCCCCTGAGATGACAATGAGATTCATCGAATTTTGTAGCGCTGCTCCCGCCGGGTCTGGATAAGCGAGGGTGGCGACGAGCCGACACCGCCCAATGCCGGCGGGGATCGCGAGGTCGCCGCTTTCATATCGTCGCTCAGAACCGGAGCCGGTCTGGACCAGCCCGGGAACGTCGAACCGGGTACTTCCGCTGCAACTGTCGCCACCCCTGGCTCCTCTGCCATCCACAAAAGTGCCGTTTCTGATCATGGCAATCGAGCTGTCGACAATGACACGGCCAAATCCTTGCTCGTAGTCATAGCCAAACCCAGGTCCGAGCTTACCCGAGAAGTTGACCGCACCGTTCACGAGAAGTGCCTTGATCAGGGCGGAGCTCGGGGACTTGTTGCCATAGAGGTCTTCCAGCGCCTCTCGCAGGAGAGCAACACAGCCAGCAACGAGTGGTGTAGACATGCTGCAGAAGTTAGTCTCGTGATCTCTCATGATGCAGAGAAACCCAGCCACACACCTAGTACCAGATTTGAAAATCCAATCATTGTCGACTGACACGCCATTGAGCTCGCGCGATCGATTCCCCGGCGCGAGTGCGCGAGATGCTGCGGACAGAATCGCCACCCCTGGTGCAACGACATCTGGCTTGATCCGACCCCTGGCGACTCCGCTGCCGTTTGTAGGAGCTTTTGTCGGTCCACGGCTGCTGAAGACTGCTGTGTCGTTGATGCCTGTGACGGCCTTGGCACCCACGCCCTGTACAAACGCGAAGGTGTCATTTGGCCTGTTTGAACCACACGCTCCCACCGTGATGGCGTTCTTCGCGGCCGCCGCGGCGCCAATCTGGCTGGGCCACCGGCCCCGGTCGCTTGGCTTGTCACCGTTGTTGGCGGCCGCGATCAGAATCACGAAGTCCTCGTGGTGCGATGCTGGCGTCTGGTTGGCCGCGCCAGAGTGGACGTGATCCGGGGGCACTTTGGAAAGAGGGACCCCGTAAACAAAACGGTCAATTTGAGTGGCTTGATCCTCGTAGTCAAACTGTCCGCCCTCGTCTGTCCACGGCTTGCCCCAGGAGTTGCTGTGAATACGAATCCCTGCGTCATAGGCCTTCTGAAACAACTTGTCCGAGAGGTCAGAGGGAATTCGAAGACTCTTGAGTGTCGGATTGCTGGGATAAGGTCTGCTGATTGACTGCACCACGATCTTTGAGGCGGGGGCAGTACCCTGGATTGCGATGTCGCTGTTCTTCGGATCTTGGAAGACACCACTCCCGCAGATAGAGGCGCAAACATGAGTGCCGTGGCCGTGGGTGTCAAACCCGTCGTCCCCTTCCCAGACCGTCTCTATCTTTATGACGCGATCCTTGAATGCAGGGTGCCGAGTCAAATCGGGTGGGTTCTCTCCACGAGTGCCCAGATCGATACCTGTATCGGCAACACAGATGATCTGCCCGTTACCCTCGTATTTTGACGATAACAAATCTACCCCGCCCTCTCCGGCCATGAACAGAGCGCCGCGAGCCATGTCGTTGGAAACATCATCCCCGTGGACCTCTTCAATCCGATTGACGAAGTCGAGCTTGGCCGGAGCAGGCAGCATTTTCTGGTTTATGACAAGCCGAATCTTGTTCGCGCTTATCTCGAGGTTGTCTTCCCCTACTCTGGCTGCCTTGGCGACTTGCGGTGCAAGCTCAAGAGGGACGATACCGGGTGCTTCATGGAGAATACAGTCGACCTCATAGTCTTCTTTGTCCGTCTCGGTTCGCACGGCTTGCTTAAGGGCAGTGGTGCTTTTCAGCTCGCGGAGATATCTAGAGGGGGAGTCAGCCGTTTTGATTCAAGGAGGAGGTATACTCAGGTTTCATGCTCACATGCTGACGTTCAGAATGTAGTGCTTGTCTCGTAGAGGCTGCAGGTCATGTGGCTCGTATCGGCACAGATATGTGTAATTACCCAGATACTCCAGAAGGTGCGCACCAGACCTAGCGAGATCCTCCTTCTGGGCTGGAGTCAGTGGTCCTCTCGATTGGACCAGAATGAAGTTTGTCTTCGAGGCCATGCGCGGCACATGGGAAGGTACATTTTCCGGCGCTATCACGTTCCCATTCACTACGAACGGAGCCATGACAAATGCAGTCTGGGTGGGAAGAAAACTGCGCTGGCCACTTGGATGTTGGGTAGATAAATTTGAGTTGCTCAAATACAATGGCAAGGTACAGCAACTATCTTCCTGTTCCTGCGGAGCCTGTGTTGTTGGAAGAAATAGGGAGGAAAACGGGAGCGGTCCACGGAGCATATATGGCTACTCGTGCCCAAGGAATCATACTTCATGCCTCGGCACAGTGACACACCAAGCACGTGTCTCAAAGTGGCAATGGGCCGAGAAATCACCAAGGCAGTCTGAGCACGCTTCTAGCACACAACGCTAGCCAGACAGGGTCTGTCGTCCGACACACGATCCAGATCAGTACGATTAAGTTGGGTTTTCTGCAAGGGTATTAAGGTCATGTTGTCGCCAAAGTTCGTCGTGAATGGCAACATGAAGGCACGACTGTTCTCAGCTGACTACGTGCAGCGCCGAAAGTATAGGCATGAAACACGCCGCATTAAGAAAGCCAGGCATCATGGCGTCGCCCTCTCCGGACAGCCACTCGATAAGACTAACCAGACGACGCGGATCGTTCCAACTCAAAACCGGATGATTTCCAGCTGGATCTTGAACATTTTCCCTATCCGGACCGTCCCGCTTCCCGACCACAAGCTTGATGGCCATCTGAGGGTTTATTCATTGATACCTTCTGGGATAACCGGCATGATTAGCGGGTTCTGCCTCGCACAATGATTGCTTCATGTCAGGATGCCTCAGTGAACGGTTCCCACACAAGTCGGTCTTCTATGCTGATGCCTAGCTGCATTTTGGTGAGGAAAGCCTTGATAGCTCTACCAATGTCTTCATTCTCTAATAACATTAAATAGTCTAGCAGAGTGCTCTAAACAACACGGTCATTCGCAGGTGTCGCATTATGGTCAAGATCAAAGACATTTCGGTCGAGAAACTCCTCGACACCCTCAGGACCACTCCAGCTAGTGCCTGTGAACCTCAGGGTAGCAAGCTTGATACACATGTCCGCAGCATCGCGGTAGCCTATCAGGCCATTCCACTGGTTCAGGTTACTCAGGTTGCCAGGATCAGGGATCGGGTCGGGTGGGTGATCGTAGTGATCATATCATGCTTTGTGCCATTCTGGCCGAAGTATGTGTGGAAGTTCAAGATTGCACCCCACCGATCGGTTGCTCCGGGCTTGTAGGACAAAGGATCTGCAATTTTCGCAGCTTCGAGTTAATTTTTCTCAAACCAAGTACTTTTGCGGCGTACTTTGCCCAGGGTCGTGGCAACACTAACCTTTGCTTGCCTGGTCCGCTTCGTTTAGCGGAACTCTCTGCGTGTGCCCAACCGCATATGAATCCTGAATGACGTGGAAAATGCTGCCGAGCGCTCGTTTCTGGATGTCCAGAGCCAAGAATTTGGACCCAGGCGCTAACATGTAGCTCAGTGGCTGGAATCGGGGCGGCACAGAACCGCCAGGAAAGTCGGGTGGGGTGTCGAGCAGATCTCCCAGCTTAGTGTCTTCGACGAGCGCGCCTGGCGTAATTTGGGGATCCTCACCACTTGACAACTTATACATGACTTCCATCCACGTCATGACCTTGCGCTTCGTATCGCCCGGCTGCTCACCGGCAACAGACGCCATGCAGTGTAGGAATTGCATGTCGCCATAATGCGAGCGGCCGACAACGTTGTAGAAGCGCTCACCCGACAGCTGGGCAGGGTTCCAATCCGCTGCCCCTCGTTTATATTGAGGGTACCATTCCACACCGAGGGCGTACGTATGATTGGAACCCGGACTGTCGCGGAACAGCGAGCCGGCAGGGTCGTCGTTCCACACAACGCCACGGATGTACTCCCAATCTGCATTGCTGGCAGACTCTAGTCTGGTGCCTAGTGTAACACTACTGCCTGGGACACTTAAGAGGGCCGACAGCGTTAACGACTCATGAATGGGGGCGTGGACGTAGCCGGCGGGACCGCCGGCAACTGCCATAGTGGCCTCGATTTCAGTCCCTTCATCGTCTTCATTGAATCGGGGCCCAAAGGCAATGGATTTGTTGACGCTAGAGGCCGTGATGCTTTGGCGAATGAGGAGCTTGAGAGAGCCTTGTAGGATGTGCTGAGATAATGGGCAGGTGTTTGACTCAGTTGGGAAGTAGGGACTGACAGTGTTGGAGGAATAAATCTTGTAGCAAGCGCGTCTTTTGTGATTTGCCCAGATTATATCCGTCACCGGTTGTAGGATTGCGAAGTTATAGCTGAGCCTATGACCAAATGAATCATACGACTCGCTGGTCCTTTTCCTCAGTCTTAGGCGCAACAGCTCCAAGACTGGCGCATAACTCCCAAGGCAGAGATGTGCCTTATGTGTTGAGCAACTCTTATTTCTCGCTCAACCGCGGCACGGGCCGCTTTGACATACGGACAAGCCCCACAGAGGCCGGAGCGGTGCATCATTCCGAGACACGCCCCGCTTGCGAGCACGGACAGATGGAGGTCAAACTTCACCTAGGCGAGCCATGAAAGATTGGAGATAGGGAAGCTGCTACGGGTTGACAAGCCGGTGACTGACTTGCACCGTGTCTGGAACCTCCTCGTGCTTCGACAAAGACATGCACGAATTTGTAGACGACGTTTGAGGAGAAGGTACCCGATCCCTTGTTTCGGATGAGCTCGTGGCTTTGAGACACTGTTGACAGGTATTTTGACTCGGAGACCAGCTCAAGTTAGCGTGTACATCTGGATGTCCTTTACCGCATGGAGCACCCGCCGATCTGTCTAGAATACTCCGGCCAGCCAGCCACAGTCGCGACCGATACTCCGCATCCTATTCTCAGTGAGACAGCCGTACTGAAGGGTCCCCAACCAGTGAGTGGACGCGGTGTTTCAAAGCTAAAGTTGTATGTTTAGTGCTCCCCATTGGTTGACAAGGGTCCTACAAGGTGAGTGGCGAACCTACATATCCAGCCGAGAAGCTTCCTGATCAGTCACTACGACGCGTGGAACAGCGCCACATTCTCTTGTAGCCATTTCTTCGGAGCTGAAAGGGATCTATTGTGATGTCTTGCAAATAATCGCGATAGGAATCGTAGGGTCCATCACACTTTAGAATCGGGACCAGTCTCGGTCATGTCTCCCATTCCGGGTCACGACGGTTCAGCTGCCAACCTTTCTCAGGAAGAACTACTACCTCTCCTACTTGTCGCGCTTTCATCCATCTGCTGCATTCGGGATAGTGCAATGACGGTGTCTCAGGATGGATTTCTCGAGGTCTTTTCACTGTTGCAAGCACTTCACGGAAAGACTGAAAGTGTGTTTCGGTGATGTAATGGTTCAGTGACGAGCTGGGTCTCGAGCTTAACTCTTGTATGGCCACGGCACGGCAATGGTGGCTTGATGGCAAATAGAATTCATCAGTACATCGAAGCCGAGCTAGACTTGGATGCCAGTGTCTGCAGACTCATTTCGAGCCTGGAGGCCCGAGCAGGCTGTTGCATCTGCGTTGTCTATAAAAGACTGTGATAATCCGGAAAGGAGAGCCCATTCCTCCTCAGAGCACCTGTGTCCACAACTCATCAAGTCTTCTTCAAAACATTCTGTCAAAGACCCCGATCGGCCTCAGCATCTGAGAGAACTCGCTTCACTTTCATCCTGCCTATCACCATGTCTACAACTACCACCACCCAGAACGCCGAGGTCCCCGCCAATGCCAACGTTGGCTGGCAGGATCTTTCTTCCAACCAGGGAGAGAAGTACCGTGTCAAGGCCGAGAATTACGATCTTGCCGATGAGGCCTCTAATGGGGATGCGGTTGCAGCTAGCGGTCCTCAATTCAAGAACGTGCAAGTCCGCTGGGAAGTCGGCACACAGGGTGCCCCAATCAAGGAGGTGCAGGAAAAGACCTCTATTACGTACTACAAACTCAGCAAGGCCCCGTGGTGGTCCCCATTCAAGTACGAGCTCACCATCACCGCCAAAGACACGTACGACTTCCGCTTCACCGACGAGGAGCCCGACACGTACAAGATTGACGTCTACCAGAATGCTGGTTCGCACTACGTCCAATATGACTCTCCTCGTCCTACTATTGTCAGCATCTCAGGTTTCTAGAGATTGCATATCTTGGCTTGAAATCTTTAGTACAAGTACGATCGTACGACCATGGTCATGCTTACCCCAGCCCCCCATCCTTTCAGTCCTGTCCTAATCACTCCTTGTATCGTGGGAGCCATTCTGGTCCCGTTCCGTTCGTTTACGGTAGTAGAATTGATCAATCTAACTATCGTTACATAAAAAGAATATGATACGTGACTAACGTAATCCACGGGTGAGTGAGCCACACGGGTCAGTGAGCCACTTTTCCCCCATTTTGAATAGATAACCTTCATTTCCTTATTTCTCCACCAACAATCATGGTACGACAATCAAATGAATGCGATTTGGTTCTAGCGCTAGCTGCGCTTAAATCTGACCCAAAATTGAGCGTACGAAAGGCTGCATTACTCTATAATGTATCCCGCGCAACCCTCCAACGACGACGAGACGGCCGAGCTGCGAAACACGATACCCGACCACCCTGCCAGAAATTGACCTCGTACGAAGAGGAGAGTATTATACGATACGTAATTGACCTAGATTCGCGATCATTTCCACCGCGACTTAGTGGTGTTCGAGAAATGGCGGATCGACTCCTTGCCGTACGCGACGCGCCGCGTGTCGGAACGAACTGGGCCTCAACCTTCGTACGACGACGATCTGAGCTCCGTACGCGTTTTAATCGAAGAATCGACTACCAGAGAGTCCTCTGCGAAGATCCAGACGCGTATCGCGTGTGGTTTGAGCTCGTACGAAATATAATCGCGAAATACGGGATCCACGATGACGATATCTACAACTTCGACGAAACGGGCTTCGCAATGGGTAAAATCTCCGCCGAAACTGTCGTTACAACCTCCGATCGACGCGGGAGGCCAAGAGCCGTACAACAAGGGAATCAGGAATGGGTTACAGTAATCCAGGGTATCGCGTCGTACGGCTATTCGATCCCGCCGTATATTATCTTCGCAGGGAAGGTCCACCTCGACTCCTGGACCGCGAATAGCCCTCTACCGGCCAACTGGGTAATCGCGCTTTCAGAGAACGGTTGGACGACGAACGAGAGAGGCCTAGAGTGGGTAAAACACTTCGATTTCCATACAAAGAGTCGTACGAAGGGCACCCACCGCCTCCTTATCCTCGACGGCCACGAGAGCCACCATTCCGTCGATTTCGAGCTCTACTGCAAGGAACAGAATATTGTTACCCTCTGTATGCCTGCTCATTCGTCGCATAAGCTCCAGCCTCTCGACGTTGGGTGCTTTGGACCTCTAAAACGGGCGTACGGTAAAGAAATCGAAGGTCTTATGCGGGCGCACGTAACCCACGTTTCAAAGGAGGACTTCCTCCCAGCCTTTTATAAGGCGTACGACGCTGCGATAACCAAGTCAAACATCCAGGCAGGCTTTCGAGCGACAGGCCTAGTACCGTACGACCCGGACTATGTGATTTCGCAGCTAGATATAAAGCTTCGTACGCCGACACCACCAGGTTCCGCTGGACTACCACCCCCCTGGGTCTCAAAGACGCCGAATAACCCGATTGAGGCCGAATCGCAGAAGGAGTATCTCCAAAATCGCATCGTACGACACCAGAATAGCTCACCGTCGTCTATAATCGTAAGCCTTAAGCAGCTTCATAAAGGGATGGCGATGATGGCACACGAGCAGGACCTTATGCGCCATGATATCGCCGAACTTCGAGATGCGAACGACCGCCTCAGCCGCCGTCGTCGTACGAAAAGAAAGCAGCTACAGAAAGGAGGGTCCCTTACGATTGACCAGGCAAAGGATTTGAAGGCTCAAATCGATGCGACGGAGCAGTTAAGGGCAGAAACGAGTCAGAATAGTGGTCGTACGAGGAGGCCCGAAACGCGCGCGGCGATGTGGCGTCTGCGGCGAGCCCGGCCATAATGCTCGTACGTGTCAGAAAGTTGTATCTGCCTCTGAAGAAGAGGATTCTGAATAGTTTCAATTGATTTAAGGCGTTGTGGTTGAATTGTCTTATACATTGTCGTACGAGTACTTGAAAAGTGGCTCACTGACCCGTGTGGCTCACTCACCCGTGGATTACGTTAAATGTAATGTTAACGGTTAAAATGGCCTATCTAAAGCTCGGGACAAACGCTATGGCAGTGGAAGACTCCGTTCTGTATGTACTATTTGGACCTATCGAACAAGTCGAGACTATATAATTATTTTGCGCTGTCTTCCTATATATCTCGACTCAAATAGCTAGAAAACTATATCCTGAAGCGCGGTACTGCGTAATGGGCTCTATACGTAGAAACGTTTGGATACAACCTTATAGTAGGATCCCTTACCTAAGTTCAATTCTGCATTTAAACGTATATATTACCGTTAAAGTCTACTAAATTAAATCGAAGTTAATCTGACGAAAGGCGTACAGTGCTTTATACCTCTATGCGAAGTTCCACAGTTATCTAAGTCGCTGGTGTTGTGCTGTGGCCTCCTGGCTCTCTTGCCCATGTTATCGTACTCGCCTCGATTTTCATCAAGTCCAACTCCAGCACGCAGCCTTGCTATGCCAACCCTGACCCGATCCTCCCATAGATGAGCACTGCCCACATGCCCATCCCAGGACTCTCTTGGACTATGAGCACCTTTGCTGGCCACGATAGATCGGCCCAACCTGCTCATGTGCCCGTGGTGGGGAGGGCTGAGAGGCAACGCTTGCCTTGCCTTAAGCCAGCTCCACAATCTGCTGCAAGGTTGTCAGGCTGCACCGCCAACGTAGAGGCCCCCTTCGCAGCTCGAGGTGCGCTATCTGTGTTTGTTGCAGCTCAAGCATAGGTTGCACGCCCAGGGAGCACAGCCGGCTTCTGTTGACACTTGTGAAGCCTCGTGGGCTCGGCATGGTCAATTACTTACTGGAAGATGCTCCTGGAAGATGCCATCGCCCTTGGGGTTTCTTGACCTAAAGTGGACCTCGAGGCGGGGCGCTTCCTAGTCACCGAATCGCGAAACCCGGCCAGAACAGTTGGGAGCCGGCAGTCAGTATGATTCAGCAGGCGCGGCCAATCACTGCAGGACAATGCCACGCACGACACAGATTCTCATGCCAGTCAATTGGTCGGCCAGGGTGGCCCCATGGCAGGGGGATGGAGCTGTCCGTCGGTAGTCTTCTGTGCATTGCTGATGCAAGAGTTGCCATGCTGGGCAGTGAGTATTTCTATTGATCAGTGCCGGGTGTGTATCCGTTCTGGGCCCCGCAGACGTTGGCGATCTCGGCGTTTTCGTGACGTCTATCGCTGTAATCTGCATTGTCGAGGGCGATCTCAAGCATTGGCTCAACATAACCTCGTAAACAGCAGTGGTACAGTACAGTCGGTGAGGAGGTAGCACGTTTCGTGCGCCGGACGCTGGCAGGTTGTATAGGCAGCCAGGAGGCTTCGACACAGGGCCTCCGACCATCCAGCGGGCGCGAATCGCTGGCGGTACGCTTGCGGGCACAAATCGCCAGGGGGCACCAGGCTACTCTAGGGTTGGCGAGGGCCCAGAGGTGACCTAAGCGGGGTCCGGACCCACGACTTCCCTTCTAGTCACAGCTCGGTCATTAGCAACCAACTCTTCCAAAAGGGAAATAGCCAGGTGCTTAGCCACTGCACCATCAGGCCAAGGGAATAAATGAATACAAGAATTGAGTTAATGACTGTACAGTATCACACCTGCTCCATCTTTCGTGGTTGATTAAACGCGTGAAGAAGAGTTGAATTCGTTTGAGTGAATGAAAGTGGGCCACTCGCCCGTGGATTCCGTTACTTCGCGCGGAAATCGGTCCGCTAATGGACGACGAAATCCGAAGGCTTGACGCAGGGTTGTAGGAACTTTATATTAATTGGTTGGTAGCAGCCGAGGGCTGTAGGTGAGCTGTGATCTGCGTCCGTCTCCGGTGTATCCGAGGTACCGTCCCCTTCACCGAAATCCGTGGTTACCACTATAAAGAAAAGATTATCCAGCAGCTGTCATAGTAGCAATCAGGTCAATTCCACCCTCCATAATCTCAAAGCCTACATCGATATTTGTATTCATTACTATCAATATGTCGAAAAAGTTCAGCACAGTCCCTCGCGAAGCTCGCAGAGTACCTGAAGCATTCACCCTACATGTTCCCGATCAAGAACTCGATGATTTCCGAACCCTTCTGAAATTGTCACGCATCGGACCGGAGACTTACTACAACCGACAGGAGGATGGTCAGTTCGGCGTCTCGCGCAAGTGGTTGATCGAGGCTAAGGATGCCTGGCTCCAATCTGACTGGCGCGGCCTCGAGGACCGTGTCAACGCGTTTCCCAATTTCAAGGCTCAAGTCAACACTCCCGAAGGGCATACCGTCGAGATCCATTTTATAGCCTTATTCTCAGACAGAGCCGATGCCAAACCTGTCATCTGCATGCACGGCTGGCCCGGATCCTTTCTCGAATTTCTTCCCATATTGGGCCTCCTAGTAGCTAAGTACACACCTGACACGCTGCCATACCATGTAGTTGTCCCATCTCTTCCCGGGTACGGCCTCTCAAGCGACGCGAGCCGCGTCGATGTGGAAGTCGACCTGGCGGCAGCGACGGCCGTTCTTCATCAACTCATGTTGGATTTGGGCTTCAAGGGAGGCTACGCAGCGTCCGGGGGCGATGTTGGAAGTGCCGTTGCCAGGAATATGTCGCACTACGCAGAGTGCAAAGCTGTCCACGGTAGAGTCTATTACACATGGACTTTCTTCTGTGCAAACACTAATAATAACTGGGCTAGTGAATCTAATGATAGCCGCGTCAGAGGGCGCGGGGCTCACGGAGGAATACTATTCCGGCCCTGGAGAGCTTGAGCACTTGAAGCGGCGTCTTGCTTGGGATGCCACAGCCCGTGGATACTCAACGGAGCACGGGACTAGGCCGGCAACTATCGGACTTGCCTTGTCATCTAGTCCTCTTGCGCTACTTGCCTGGTAGGTATTCCGCACAATCCTGTTATAATGAACGGTGTTGCTGAACAAATAATAGGATAGGTGAGAAATATATCGAATGGGCAGACCCACGGCAACCACTCAGTCTGGAATGCATCCTAGATTGCGTCGGACTCTACTGGTTCACATCGACCTTCCCAAGGAGTATTTATCCTTACCGTGGGATGATAACAGGTACTGGGTGGAAGCCCACGTCGAAAGATACTCCTCTCGGATATTCGTACTTCAGAAGGGAGTTGGGCTTCATCCCGAAAGCATGGGTAGATAAAAACTACCCGAACCTGATATTCTACCGCGCACACGAAGAGGTAAGTGTTCGGGACCCCGGTGTCTAAAGTACCTAGCTAGGGATACAAATAACCCTATAGGGCGGTCACTTTGCTGCTCTCGAACAGCCCAAGCGCTTTTTGGAGGACGTGGAAGACTTCCTCCAGACAGCATTCAACAAATAGCCAGCATAGTATCGCCGAGTAGCCTCGGGATATACTTGTAACGACCCGACCAACAGGTCGCAAGATAGGGCCAAGGACAAGGGCAGGTCATACACGCGGGGCAGGCACGCCACTAGTTATATAAGCATCGCCACTAGTTATATAAGCATCGCATTATGTCAGCAGGACACAGGATATATAGATCGCGACATATCCAGCGATCCTGGATATGCGGATCACCACATATCCCACGATCCAGGAATACGGATACATTTCTATGGAAGTCCGATAAAGGGCAAAGGATATATAGGGACTGGAGGATCTCCTTACAGACAGTTATTACCTTTACACTTTAGCGATTAATCCAAGTATTACTCTTACCCTACTGTCGTATTCCAGTGCGGTTTTAGGTGAAATCCAAGGGACCCACGCGCCCCATATCTCCAACAGAATCCCTGCACCTCGTAGAGCTGACCGGTGCCTGCCTCCACCATGGATTTCGTTGCTAACAGCGCCACTATGGAGTGCATTGCTTTCCAGCCAGAATACCGATCAGGAAGAGACTGGTTCGAGTCATTCCGGGAGGGGTTCCGGAAACGTGGCTGGTAGGTAGGTAGATTACAGCAATTGCGCTAAAGAGGTACCAAGTTTTCTACGTATAGGCCTGATCCTACGGCCTTGTTTGTGCTGGGTCTGTTTGTTACCTCAGCCCCAAATAGTTCCCCTGTTGGTCGGGTCGTTACACTAAGCTCGGGAGACAACTGTTGACCTGAGCTGCGACCATAAGCGCCCTCGTGGGCCCCGGCTACCTCATTGGCCTATTTTCGTAATTACGTTGTAGAGGCCGCCTCGCGCCAAGAGATGTTGGTCGCTGCAGTAGGGGCCAGGCTCGAAACAAAATGCGTGTATATCGCGTTAGTGCACCCTCCCGGCCACATATCTGGCCTACCCCGCTCGTATCGGTTGGGCAGACTCGATGGGCATACTCTCTACCCCGTTCCCCAATGCTCGAGTAGATAAATGGTCGTCGTCAGCCCCTTTCGCGCGACTTATGCAAACTCTGCAGGATACCCAAATCTGAGTTTCGAGGCAGTGTCCAAGTCTACTGTAGCCAACCTCGCGCCATTGACGGTTCTATTGCCGTTTCCCATATCTTCGTTGTGCCAGATGGGCTCGAGCCTAGATGTTGGGCGGGCTGTCTCGAGCCACATGCTCAGCCATCGCGATCGCTTCGCAGGCATCAAGCAGGGACTCGCCGTCGAAGTCGAGAGCAGCATAATCCTGATACAGGTAGGCGTGCCCCCAGAATTCTGTTCCGACTCCTCTGAGATTTTCAGCTGCTAATGCAAACTAGGAACTCTTGCAAGATCTGGACAGCACGAAGGCGGCGTTGCAGGAGACGCAGCTCGACCTTGCCAATGAGTGTGTTGCCCGGCGGCGTTTGCAGCAGGAGATCCTCGACGAAAAGGCTCTGGCCGAGACTCGAGGACGACGACCATTCGTTGTCGCGTTGATTGACGCCGACACTGAATGCTATTTTGTGAGCATCCCCTTACCCACGCAGCAACTCATCTCATCTCGGTAACTGATGCTACAATGTCATGCTCACGACGAACCAGTTCAAAGATGAGTTTCTCAGCCAGGGTCTCGCAGGAGGCGAGCTCGCTGCGGACGCACTTCATACTGCATTACGGCAGTTTGTGCAGGATATCCCTTCCGTACCTGGCAACGTTGATATCATTGTCAAAGCCTTCGCCAAGATGAGCGGCCTCGGCCCTGTGTTGCAGCAAGCAGGCAAGGTGCGCACCCAGGAGCAGCTGCGGGCTTTTGCCGCCGGCTTCTCCAGGCGCAAGCCATTCTTTGACTTTATTGACGTCGGGCCGATGAAGGAAGGCGCCGACAACAAGTTGAAAGGTCCGCTCGCAAAGCCTTCCCCATCTCTTCTCCCTACGTGACGCGATGAACTAACATTCTCGCCGCCACGCTAGCCAATGCCGAGCTCTTCCTGGATAGTTTCCAGTGCAAGCACCTTGTGCTGGGCTGCGTCCATGACGAGGGGTACGCGACGTGGCTTCAGCCGTATGTCGGGGATGAACATCTGGCCAGCCGTATGACCCTTGTCGAGGGCGACTCTTTTGTGCCGCAGATGCGCCGGCTGAACCTCAACTCGGCTCGTTTTGACACGGTTTTTCAGGGCGTGCGTGATATCAGTGCGAGCCCGTCCTATGCTTCTGCTGCGGCCGAAGTGGCCAGTGAGACTCGAAAGTTTCCGAGAATAGACTCGAGTGGCATTGCTCTCCTCGAAGTCCAAGCCCATAGGTTGGGCTCTGTTGTGCTTGACGCAAGTGGGAACCGTGTCGACCGGCGCCTACAAGTCAGCAAGGCTGTCGCGGACAGGGTGTCAAAGAGTGAGTTATGCTACTGGCTCTACTTGCGGGGCCGGTGCGAGATGGTGCACCATATCTCCCACAAACGGAACCACGTTCATTGTGCGCTCACAGACCCAGAGTTTGATGCACTCTGGGAGCAGGCGCGAATGGGCAAATGTTGGAAGAGCGCGAAAGCAGAGCAGGGAAGAGGCCAGGGCTGTGTTGATCCTCTTTGTATTTATGGGCACAACAAGTAAGGCACATTTGCCTGCGTTGGGCGGCTCATGGTTTTCTGTTTAGTTTGGGAGCTTACTTTGGATCATGTGCCCGGAATTTGTCTAAAGGCTCAATTGCCGTACTCTTCGATGCAGGATCATGACACCAATCTCTACATCGAACCGTATAGATATTTGGAATTTCGGCGGCTATATATTCAGTTCATATTAATTAAAGTAGTCTCCTGTCACGATCCTGCCTCCGGGTCCAACCGTCTGGCAGGGCGCTGGGGTTGCTGTTCTGCAAGATAGGTAAAGCCTGTACAATAACAACTAACTCTCTGCTGTCGTTCTCTCTGTGGGGTTGTCGTGTCTCTTGGAAGAGATACCAGTCTCGGCAATTGAGTGACTAGTTCAAGTGTGTGGTGAAACTGATACTTAGATTGATCGCTGAAGTACAAAGGTAATGACTGTCTATCTAGGAGATCCTCCGCATTATATCCTTTGTCCTTCATCGTGGTCATGACATGTCTGGCTGACGGTCATGGTGGTTTGGTCATGACCGTCAGTCTTGGCGCTCATGACGGTCATGCATGAGATGCATGACCGGTGGTACCGTACCCGCGCTTCTTATCCTTATCGTGCCCCTGGCCCGTGATTACATAAGAAACCTGTGACGGCACTGCCACATGATCCGCCCTTGTCCTTGGCCTGATCCTGCGGCCTGGTTTGTTTGTGCTCTTCTTGCCCAAACAGTCGTCCCCTGTTGGTCGGGTCGTCACATCTCCCTGACCATTAGCTAGTTTAAACTTAGGGGGTGGAGCTCCACCGGGGATGTTAGATTTACCCTTTAGAGCCTAGTATCTGTAAGAAATACCCTTTTTAGTCTAGTCTATCTCGGGCTCTAGACTTTTAGTTAATATAACTTCTCCTAGAGAGAAGTTATAGAAAAGTTAAAGCGCTATTAGGTATATCTCTCTCTAAGCTATATAAAAATATATTCTTTTCTTATTTTTACTTTGGAATCTTATATTATTGTGACGACCCGACCAACAGGTCGCAAGATCGGGCCAGGGACAAGGGCAGGTCATGCACGCGGGGCAGCACACCCCTGGTTACATAAGCATCCCATTATGTCAGCCAGACGGAAGTGGATCGCTGGGATCACCACAGATCCAAGACGATCCAGGATCACCGAGGATCACCAAGGATCCAAGACGATCCAGGATCACGAGGAAACCAAGTGATCCAGGGAACCACGATGAAGGACAAAGGATATATAGCACCAGGAGGATCTCCTTGTAGACAGTCATTACCTTTGTACTTCAGCGATCAATCTAAGTATCACCCTCACCCTTCACTCGACCTAGTCACTCAATTGATCCGAGTGTGATATCTCGCAAGAGACACGAACGACAACCCCCTCGAGAACACGAGAAGCACGGAGTCAGTATTGCATGAGGTCGCTACCTGCCTTATTCAGAACATAAACCCCACCGCGCCGATCAGACGGTTGACCCCGGAGATCGGATCGTGACATTTTGATCGCTCTTGTTCGGGTAAGTACACCCCGAGCAATACTGACAACAGGTACCACAGTTACAGGTCATGAACAACAACCCAGCACACACCCAGCAAAGCACCGCCAATCCATCGCAGGACAAAGCACCTGTGGAAGCGCGCTGCAAGGAGTGTGCACAGCCAGCAGTTTACCTCGGACGTTGCTACCGACACCAGCTCAGAAAGGAAGTCGGAGAAATCTGCCGACTTTGCTACAACCTCCGGTACATCAACCACAACGACGTCTGTTCCGGACGATCCTTCACCCACTGGAACGAGGAAGAGTACTTTCAGAGCACCAGCAACGCCAGGAAGGAATAAGCCATGTCGAACATGTCAACCGACTCCGCAGGACGAGCCGTCACTCCAACCCACGGGCGAACCCTGGAGGACGAGCTGGGCGAAGTCAGCCAGCCCGGACTCTCAACCGAGGAAGAACTGGCCAGACTCCAGGAATGGGCCAACGGCGCAATCGAACACACCAAGAAGCAGGACAAGGCCATCCTGGCTCTCAACCGAACCACCGAGGAGTACAAGGGCATGGTCGCCGAGCTTCGGAACCAGGTCCAAGCACTTCTGGGAGCAGCCAGCATCATCGCAACACCTAGCGGAGGAAGCGTTCGTTTCAACACCCCCGCTAAGTTCGATGGAACCCCTGGGAAACTCAAGGGATTCCTGGTGCAGCTCAAAGCCTATCAACGACAGTACATCAACCAGTTCCAAACCGAGCAAGACCGAATTATACACGCTGCCGGTTTCATGGAAGGAAAAGCACTGCGATGGTTCGAGCCACACCTAGCCCAAGCACTGGAGAACGACCCGGAAGATATGGAGGGAGAAACGAGGAAAATCTTCGAGTCCTTCGACAACTTTGAAGAGGCCCTGGAGTCTCTGTTCCAGGACCCCGACGAGAAGAGACGAGCCGAACGAGAACTCGAGAAGCTCAGACAAACCAAGTCAGCTGCGGAGTATGCCACCGATTTCCGACGCATCATCGCACAGCTCGACATGACCGAAGAAAGCAAGATCTCGAGCTTCTACCGCGGACTCAAGGAAGAAGTCAAGGACAAAATGGCCGAATACTTGGAACCACCAACCAAGTTCCTCGAATACTGCGAGCTTGCCATCAAACACGACACGCGTCTGTACGAGCGGCGTGCCGAAAAGCACCATGGCAACACCACGAAAATACAGCATCAGCCCAGGCAGCCGATGCAGAAGACGTTCAAGAGGACCTTTAGGCAGCAAACCACTGCAACGGGCACCCACGCGGGACCCATGGACATCGGGAAGGCGACCCCGAGAGACAACAAGAAGTTGTGCTACAACTGTGGAAAGGAAGGGCATTTCTCAAGGAAGTGTACAGAGCCCAAGAAACCATTCAAACCGGTACCAACCCAAGCAATCAGAGCATGCTACGTGGCAGAAGAAAGCGAACCAAGCGAAGGGACGCCGCCACTCAGTGAGGCAACGACACCTGAGACGCCCAGGACGCCCACCATACCGGCAACGATGCCGCAAGACGTTGAGGAAATGGACTCGAGCAACCAGAGTAACAACGCACCCGACGACGACGTAGAGCCATTTGTGTTGGCTTACGCACGCAGCGAAGAATACGACTCCCCAGAGATAATGGAGAGCCAGTACGACGAACCAGAAAGCAGCGAGTCCAACGACTCCGACAAGGAAAACCAGCCGCCGGGAGACGACGAGATCCCCCGAGGAATCCACGATACGGGATACGAGGTAGAGACCTTCGGCTGGAACAACGCGCCGGCCGCCATGCGAGAGCTAGCGCGGACCAATCGCCAAGAAAGCAACGGCGAATACAGCAAAATGTGGGATGCCCGGGCGGCCGACCTCTCGGCCCCGGAAGGACCCACCACCGGGATGTTCAAACACACCGACGAGCTCGCCAACTGGCGGAGCAAGGTGCACAATGCCTGGGTAACGACGGAGGGAACTCATGACCCCCTAGAGTCAAGACCCGGAACACCCGACAGCTGCGAAGACACCCAACTCGACGAAAACTGGGAGAACGAAGAAGGCAGCGACATCGACGGCTACGAAACCGGGATTCGGTTTCAAGGCAAGCCGCTCAAGGACAAAGATGACCCTTTCGACTGGGCCATCGCGGCAAGAAGGTACCAGACACAACTCGCATACCCCGGAGACCACCGGTATATGCTAAGCTGGGAACCAATGCACGCCACCATTCTATGGGTATACTGCTATAACGACGGGTGTTACCACCACTTCGGAGACAAAGTACGCCACCAAATATTCCCGCGCCGACAGGAGGGGACACCAGTCCCACACCCCCTGCCAGGAAACGTTCTACGGGAATGGCAACCAACCTTCGTCGACGGAGCATACGAACTAGCAGACACGTATGAATACCCCAAGGAATGCGTGTTGGGAGGAAGGGGCAGAAAGCGTTGCATCACGAACAACTGCCTCATACACGTACAACGAAAAATCGAAATCCTGCAGCTCGCCGAAACCACGCGGAACCTCAATGAAATCTGCGACGACATCCGACAGGAGCCGGACTTCGTGGAAGTCTACCAAGGGCTCAAGGACCGAGTCGCGGAACCAGGAACGATCGCGCGGGATTATCTCGACGAACTCAGCGACCACCTCAACGAAGTCATGGCGTTCATCGATCAGAATGGGCTAGTTCCGGGATTCAGCCGAGCAGAGATCCGCGGAGCCGGGATCATGATCCGCGACGCAGCCGAACGACCTACGGGGCTAAGCGCCTACGATCGACGGAAGACGCTATGGAAAGATATCGAGGAAGCATGGAAGGAGGGGCTACTGGACAGAGGTTACACTGCAACCACCGTCCAGGCGGAAAAAGACCGACGGCGGGCGAAGGAGGCTCGTCCCCGCCGATCTTAACCCTTGCGTCCTCCTATCCACACCACGGGAAATGGAGCCCGACAATCAACATCGTCGTCAACGGGATTCCATGCACAGCACTCATCGACAGTGGGTCCAACAGGACCTATGTCAACGCACAATGGGTAAACAGGTGGGAAATTCCTTACAAAGACAAGGAAAGACCCTACACACTCGTCAACATTGAAGGAGCATATGTGCTCTACGACAACGGATGGATACGACGGGAAACTCTACCGCTACAAGTCGAGTTCCCCGGACACCAAGAAACCATCACCTTCGACATAGCCGACATTGGACGAAACCAAGTCATCTTAGGAAGCAACTGGCTACGGAGCAGCAACCCCACAATCGTATGGGAAGACAACATTCAACTCCACTGGCAACCCACGATACACAGCATCCGGGAAGCCATTGTCATGGACGTACTAGAAGGGGTACCCAGCGAATACCATGACTACATCGACGTTTTCGGATTCAAGAACGACCGAGGACTGCCACCACACTCGAAGTGGGACCACGAGATCAACCTCAAGGAAGGCAAGGAGCCTAATTTCATGAGAACCTACAAACTCAACCCCGCAGAAAGCGAGACCCTCAAGCAGTATGTCAAGGACATGCTGAGGAAACAATTTATCCGGCCATCTCAATCACCTGCCGGGTTCCCCATCCTATTCGTAC